ATATCTCCAGTTGTTCATTCAGTTTGGTTTGCATGAGCTTATTCAAGTCTTATATAAACAGGTTCTTCTTTATTTTTGTAGAATCTTCAAATTCTTTGTTAATCTCTGTTGTAAGCTCTAGGAATTATTGACAATAGATATAATTAGTTTTATTGAAACTTTTGTAAAGATTAAAGATTACTTATCAAGAGTTTTGTATGTGGTTTGCTGAGTCTTCTAGTCTTATATGTAAAAATTCTTTAAGATCAGTTCAGTTGTTTTTTAATAAATTATCTTTACAGTGGGTCTTCTAAAAATCTTTCTTAATATAATCAAGTTCTGTAAGAGTATACACAAGAGTATTCTCATCATTCAGTTTGCTTGCATCACAAATAAATTTAATATCTAAGATAAACTGGCAATATTCTGTGTAGATTCCAGTCTGGTAGTACTTTATGTGTTGTGGTGATCTCAAGATCAACAGACACTTTACAGATGTTGGATTGAAGATAATTATATCAAGAAATTTACTTCACAAGTGCTTTTGAATGTTCTGAAGAGTATTTAACTTCTCTTGCTATTTCACTATTTTCTTTAGTAGTTTGGTCTTCTTGTAAAGCTGTTGGATTTTGTCTTTTGATATCAAAGTAAACTCTCTCTCTGAGTTCACAGTGCTTGTTTCATCAACAGTTGAGAGAGATGAGATATCAAGATTAATTGTCTCTTTATGAACTTAGGTTTGTTCTTCAGATAGATTTTTAGCTGGTGTCCCAGATTTGCAAGTTTCAGGGGGTTGACTTCTTTATGTTGATATCATTGTCAGGCATCACCAAAGAAGAGTAGCAAAATATGAGAATCATACATATGAATCAGCATAACAATAAATCTCTAGAAGGAATATACATAGAAAAAAAGTACACAAGATAAAAGATCTGTATTCTGGCAACTATATACAACTTGTAAACAAGATTGTCACTGACTCTCAGCAAGAGATTTGTACAGTGATAGTCTTTTATGTGTGCTTGTGAGCACATGACTTAGTGCCTCACAAGAACACATGCAACTCCCAGTAGCTCACAAGCTGAGGCCTCTGGCCTTCACAGGTGCTGTTTGTCTGTGTAAGGGGTTCGCGGTGAATCCTTACATAATGGCGGGTGGCAGATTTCAGCAAAGGATAAGCTCTGTTACAAATCCTGTGCAGAAATTATCCTTGGTTGGGAAAGACAAACCACTGATTGCCTCTAAAAGAGAACTTTTGCCTGCAGATTGCTCTCCACAAACAATGATCTGAGGAAGGCCAACATATCAACTAATTCCCTGAGACTGCAACTTGTCAACAATATCAAGCAAGTCACAATGCTCCTTCAACTGCAGCCGTACATCTGCAGTATCAGACAATGGTTGCTCATTGGCATTGTCTGATGTTGTGACTGTCATCACTGCCTGAAACAAAACTTTGGAATAAGTGATTCAAGCAAGGGTGACCCTGAAAACTGAGCTTTTTGAATGAGATGTTTCAATGCAATCAAGAATTCTTTGTTGTATTTGGGATCACAGACAGCCTCTTATAGGGAGAACCGAGCACCAGCACAGAGGCACACATTAGCCCTTATCACCGCAAAATTGTATCAAGGACTAGTCATTCCCGGCCACGAGTTCTTGAAATTGAGAACTAGCTGGTTAGGATTTTACAGTGCTTGATTTGCATACCAGCACTGTTTGAGATCAGGTGAGCAAATCTCAAACACAACAGCTCATTGGTCTGACTGGACATGCATGCAGATGATCTATTGGTTGCGAAAAACAAGGAAGTAGAAAATTGTGTCGCCCTTCAGTAAAACAGGTCGGTGAATTTGAGTGAGGCTTCTGACTGTCGTGTGAAACTACTGATCCACTGGAAGTGTTATCCGCTCAGATATCATGACATGGATATCATGACACCTCCCAAGGCCTGTGTGGGTGTGTAGGACATCTGGGTGGCTCTGACTTGTGTATGAGTGCCAGACAGACATCTAACTTGGTGAGTAGAAGGGTCTTTAATCGCGTTGTTCAATTCATTAGTAGATCCCTAACTAGTTTGGTTCACAATTTTCACGCCAATCCTTCTGAGGCAAATGAAAGAAGGAGGATCACTGGGAGCAGGAAATCCACTACATCTTCCCTGGGCAGGGGTTGCTTTATAGTGACATTCTGATACATTTCACTTCCTTGACAAGTCTCTTCACAAATCTGGTACTTAAGATCAGGATAAACTAACATTAGCATGTCCACCATGCTTCCTGCCAAGTCTCCAGGTGAGGCGATCCTGCACACGTCGATTTCTGGAAGCGGAATTTCCTCGCCCAGATAGCTGTTTCATCAAAACTTCCATCAGTCTGTCTTTTAGGAGCTTCTTTTGCTAGATTGACCAATTGCTCCATCACTACAGAGTAGGAATGGAGAACAATAACCACATGAGTTAGCACAAATAGCTACACTTGAGTTTTGTTGCAAAGCATGCTTTCAACCACACCACTCCACAGAACCATATGCCAGCAACCAACACTGCCATTTGCTATTGCCATACCTCTCTCCTCGATTCTATACAAGCACTATTTTTCTAGGAACTCTTTCTGGACCTGATTTATAGCACCAGATGTGCTGGTCTGTGCTGTAAAGCAGCATTCAGTTTTCTCTGAAGCAGGTTTCTGTTCCAGATACCTGTTTGGTTCCCAGGAGGCCCAATGGGCTGTCCTCCTAGATTCCTAGTCATATTTGAGGATATTCTTTCAGCTGGTGCAAATAACTTGTTTGCACAGATATTGACAGTGGATTTATGTCAAACTTGGACAAACAGAGACGTCTTTGCGCACATGAAATTCCAGCTTCTGGGGGCTGAAATGTACTATATAAACTCCTTTCACAGCAAGTTTATCAAAAGTATTGTTGTCTGTTTCAGAGTTAAATGCCTTTGTATCTTCTTGAGTGAGCTGGTAGAAGACTAGCCCTATGAAGACCTGCACAGGTATTTGATATGCTGAGCACCCTTATCTGGGTGCTCTGCACCGTCAAAACCCAGCTCTGATCCAGCAGTGCTTAGCTGATCAGTCGCTTATGTCGCTGGCAACAGATCCATCCAGGCATTTATAGAGGAGCACAGGTCTAGTTTCGCAAAACCTCTCTCTCTCCGTCAGGAAGCATCCTCAAATACCACAGAGCATTTTTACAGCAACTCTTTCCCATTACTAGCGTGAATTCTTTTTGGCACGTGCTCTGATACTTCCCTGGTTTATTATTTATAATGGGCTTCATACATATTCCTTCCAAGCTTTCTCATAAGCTATCGAAGAGCAAGAAGAACTGTTCACACAAGAACAGCAAGAAAGACGCGTTTAAAGCAACTCTTCCCGATATCCAGGAGCAGACAGAGACAGAGAGCTCAGGCCCGTCTACGGCTTTCAAAAAGACCGAGGGGGAATCCGAGTCCCACTCGAAAGCAAAAATGTCGCCTCACATAGGTGAGCCTCCCTCTCATTCCCTCACCTCAACAAGCAGAATTTACAAGATAACTAGTGGACGACTCTTCGGAAACTGGTACTCAAATTGTTTCCAAGTGTCACGTTGCTCCGCCGCTCAAGCGTTCGCATTTCCTGTGCTTCTCATCCCACCGGTCTTTCTTAAAGACGCGTAATACTCACCATTCGCTCCCATGCATGACTTGCAAAAGGGAGGACTTCCCACACTTGTGGAGGTGCACATTCTGTTTTCTTCGCATCTGCGAGGATTGCTTTGATACGCTTTGCGACATGGAAAATCGTTCCTTGCAGAAGCTCCTTGAAACCCTCGGCGTCGACGCAGAAATTCCGTAGTTTGACAACCATCCTCTATGATATCGGCGGATTTCCTTCTCCCACAGTCTTCGTGCATTTTTCGGGAATTATAACGGCGCATCCGGGTTAGTGGGACTATAGGAAGCAGATTTTTTTAAAAACCGCTCCAGCTGCGAATTGCATATGGGAATGTTTAAACTGGGAGGATATTTGTTCTTTTTCATTGCATAGTGAATTCTACAACGAGTTTCCTATTTCCAAGGAGCTTTTTCTACATTCAGGTGTTTTTCGGATGGCGGTGCGTTCTTGGTTTTATGCTAAAAGATACTGGTCGATTTGTATCCTGACAAGGCATACAAGCAATGCAGACTGATTAAATCCCCTGGTCTTTTTGTTTTGATGTAAGAAAGGATCAATTGGGCAAATCAATGGTAACTAAATTGCCTTTCTCTCCATCGAGGTCAACTCGAAACAATGAGTGGACATCTCGCACAGCTGAGCAACACTTCCCTTTGTTCCAATTAAGATCGCTTGCGTTCTCACTTTAAAAAAAAGAATCCCTTGCAAGTTTTAGCATTGGAGATGTCTGCCCAAGTAAGATATATTGGACAAAAGCCCCAAGGCTTATCTCTTCGCGTGGAGTGGAAAGCTCCCAGGATAAAGTCAATTTCATTCGATGCTCCTTTCCCGTCAAATAGCTATCCAGTACAAATGCATATAGCTTTGCCATTTTTGTTTTCAAATCCCAGTCATTAGACTGGCGGTACGGAGTACATAGAAAATATATCAGCTCCAGCCCCTTCATTAACGCTGATTTTGATTTAAGGCCCCGATGGCCCAGATGGCCCCGAAGGTCCCGCCGCGAGAGCATATCGTTATGGGTGGCTTCGCCGGTAAAACCCTTTTGAAATGTCTCAGAACTGTTCATCCAATAAATCCCAGGATTATATTTCTGCGATTATTCGCATTAAATAACAATTACCCCAGATATAATAGAGAAAAGGCCATACCTCTACGCCCAAGGTCATGGTTATGATCTGATATCGTGCATTTGATTTGATGCTGGTAGATGAGTGGCCATGATCCTTAAAAATTTATCGGAACGGACAGAGTTCTGTACCCAAACAGGACACAGTTCTCCTTTCAGGAGCCGCGGCCTTGGCTCCGTATACTTAATAACATGGGTGGCTCGGCGTATATCTCGCAGAAGTATCAATCATGCTGCTCTTCTGTTACGCCAGGGCATCCATCCATCTCTGGGGTTTCGTATCGGTATTTGCACCAGAAACAATAGTTGTGTTTCTCACGCAGGTACGCCACGATGCGTGTCAGCTTCTCCTGCGGGCTCAAGGCGTTAAACTCTTCCAGCTCCGGATCTTCCTCGAGATCACATTCGACCTCCACGATATCTCCTTCGGCATTTCGACCCAGGGCTAACTTGTCGTCTGTGTCAAGATCAGTGTCATTATAGGTAGGAAGTCCGGGTGCATTGCGGGAGAAGAAGCTCTGATCGCGTGATGAAAGGGATTCATATCGTCGCCGTTGAGCCTGATCTTCAATGACCTTTTCTTCCCGCGCTCGAGCAAGCCCACGATAAAGGATGTTGATCTGTGAAATGCGCTTGATAGGGCGCTTCTTTGTGTTAGCATCATCAGGGTTTGCACCATTAGCACCGCCATTGGCTTTTTCCTCAGCTGTTGGCGTGGAGATAGCGTTTACAGGGTCCTGTTGTTTCTCTTCGGATTCCGTATCCAATCTCTCAGCGACTTTTTGCGCAGCATGGAACTGAGCTTCCGCCCTTCGTGCCTCTCTTTCAAGCCTTACTCTCTCCCGAAAATCAACTTGCTCGGTTTTCACCTTTTTTGCCTCCTCTTCCACTTCCTCTCTGAATTTCCGTTTCTTCTCGGTATCCATTCCAATTCCACCTCTATCCTCCTTCACAGATATGCTTAAGGGTTCTGTAATACGGCGATTCCACTCGTTCCGGCCCGAAGGATGCTCCGCAGAATAATCTTTGCCCAGAGCAGTTCCTGGTTTGTATCCTAGCCGAGCCATCATCTGAAACCCTTTATTGGACGGATCGAGCGTACTTTTCGCGAGAGCCTCATCGCGACGGGCAGCTTCTGCAGCGGCAAGTTCGGCCTTTGAAGGGACACGGGCTTTCGCTTCGGACTGTATATGGTTTTAATGACATTATTGTTAGTCTCTCCGACATTCTAGCCTAGGGGAGGAAGGGTTATTATGGTTCGACGCTGATGAAGGGGTCTTGGGCTGGGAATGGTGATTTCGCCTAAACACACCTCTCTCTGTGTGCGGAGGCATCTTTGGGTGTAGGTTTCTTTCGCTCTACTGGGCTTCGGCGGTTCAAGGATGGCCATGGACATGTAATCTTCCTCATCGTCATCATCTTGCGTATCCTTCGGCGTGCTTTTCTCCTCTAGCCAGGCCGGCTTCGGGAGCATGTTGAACCAAGAACGTCCCTTCTGTACAACGTTGCCTGAGGTGAAAGCTAATGGCGTTTCTAGAGCACCGGTTAAGTCTGACGGGGTTTTGCAGAACATTCAGCCGGAAGCAAGCCAGAGGTTGGTCTCGGTCTGGGCAACTTTTAACTTTCGGGGCGTCAAAAATAGCCGACGACATTAAATGATAACGGCACAAAACACAAGACTAACTACGGAGTACTCCGTATAGAGTCGACTATTTCCGGCCATCTGATAATGTAATTAAACTCTTCATACGAGTTACAGGCTGCTGGGCTCCGGGGCTACACTGTCCGGAGTTACCTTACATTTACCACTCCCTCCTCTTTGATATTCACACCTTTTGATATTAACTACTCCGTACAGTAAATCGTCCCGGTCACTCGCCCTTCTTCAATAACTCCGGCATTCTCGGCCAGGAACCCACGGTTGTCATTTTAATAACTGGTTAGTGTCTATGCGGGCTACGTTTTTCCACATGCTTCCGGATATTTCACCGTGTCTCCATGACGCCAGGCTTATGTGAAGACTCGACGTGAGCCTTCAACCGAGAAAGGATTATAAAATTTTACGCGCTGAGGCACCTTCACGGCTATTATCCCAACCTCAGAACCCAACCTCAGAACCCAAGCGAAATGACATGGGGAACCAGACGGCTCTTTCGATCCCGTGAGAATGAACCTTTGGGTGAGGGGATATTCATGTATAGGCGGAGCTGATAGAGTTGTTACCCTCCACTGGCCCGGAATTGTGGCGTTTCCAGACAACAAGAAGCCTGTGATAGTAATCATCCGACATTCCCGGATGTTGAAATAGAGGCATGGAGAAGTCTTGATGGGTGGGTTTCCATAGCAGATTTAACACGCCAAGCAAAAGCTTGAAAGTTATGCGGGGAAAACAGGGCGCCGCGGATTTCCGTCGTGAACGAGCCGAGCGCTTTGATAGCTTCGGCGTTTCAGCGTCGTCAGACAGCACTGATGGCAATCAGTTGGAAACAGCACTCTGTGTGCCATACCGCACTGTTGACAATCCCGGGCTTGTTGACCTGGTTGGCAATCAGCGAGGCAACCCTGAGTGCCTTAACGGCGAGTCAGCCACCATCTCGCAATGCCCGAACCGGACAATGCTTACGGCATTTACCTTATATGAGTTGCCCCAGGGCCCTATGTGACCTTGGAGACAGCAGTACAGATCACTAGCGCGCAACCTCCAAACACTAAACTGCCTGAACCTCTGCCCATGCCGGAGAAATAGACCGGACGGACGGATCGGCCGTTTGGAGGAGTTTAAATTCGAGCGGCCATTCCACTCAGACTCTGTGATAATTGTTTTCGTGCTTCATAGCTACCAGATAACTATTTAATTAGCGGCCTATCTCGTACTGCCAGAAGCCGACTAAGATATCTTGATTCGAAAATGACCACTCTACCAGAGCCATTTGCTTCTATTCCAAGGAAAGCTCTCCTCCTTGAGCCTTCTCCAATCCATCTACTTCCCAACATGACCGCGGATTTAGGCGGGGCTGTGAAGATATACGCCAAACGCGATGATCTCAACTCCGGTCTCGCCTACGGCGGCAATAAGACCAGGAAACTTGAGTATCTGGTCGCCGACGCGTTGGCGACAAAGTGCCACACGCTGATTAGCATTGGCGGGATTCAAAGCAACCATACGCGTCAAGTAGCCGCTGCCGCAGCCCATGCGGGACTCAAAGCAAAACTCGTCCAGGAAAAGTGGGTAGAGTGGTCCGACCCGGGTTACGAGTCCGTAGGAAATATCCAACTCTCCCGACTGATGGGGGCTGATGTCCGCATTGAGCGGATGGCTGGATTTGGAATCGAGCATAAAGACTCGCTGAAAAATCTCCTGAAGGAATGTGAGGACAAGGGCGAGAAACCATATTATATCCCCGCCGGCGCGTCAGATCACCCGCTTGGTGGACTGGGCTTTGCACGCTGGGCGTTCGAGGTCCGGGAGCAGGAGAAGCAGATGGGCATCACGTTTGATAATATCATTGTTTGTGCGGTGACGGGTTCAACGATGGCAGGAATGGTCGCTGGGTTCAAGCTTATTGAAAAACTATACCCGGATGAGCCCAAGAAGAAAGTTATTGGCATAGATGCATCCGCCACGCCTGCGGAGACTCGCGCACAGGTCCTTCGGATCGCAAAGCATACGGGAGAGAAGATCGGGCTTGAGCCTGAAGATATCACCGCATCAGATATTATGATTGACGAACGATATCATGCCGGAACCTATGGAGTTCCCGATAAACAGACATGGGACGCGATCGAGTATGGAGCTCGGATGGAAGCGTTTATCACCGATCCCGTATACGAAGGGAAAAGTCTGGCAGGACTGATTGACATGGTTCGAAAAGGGGAGATCTCCGGAGGGAACGTCTTGTATGCGCATTTGGGAGGGCAGCTGGCTCTCAATGCATATTCGCAAATCGGGACTGTGGCATAATAACCCGAACCTCGATCGGGTAATTTGACTATATAATGCAGCTCCTTCGACCATCATTTTCAGTGTTGCGCGGCTTTGCTACTTGGTTTTCCAGCTTTGAAATCTTGTGTAGATTTCGGCTTGCGCTCCAACAGCTTCTTGGGATCTCCATTCCTCTTAAGCTCAAGTGAGCAGCAAATGGTCAAGCAACAAGAGATCCCTTCGCGATGAGACATGATGATGTTTGTTTTGGGTACCATCCGCTAGATAGGAAGTGTTTCTTCTGGAGCTACTATAAAACAACCACAAGCCTTCGTTTTGGAGACTGAAACTCGTGATATGTTCGTCACCTGGGCAAGTTCAGTGTTGATACTTTATATGTAGCTACGGAGTATGACAGGAATAGTTGCTCGAGACAAAACCGAGAATTTTGGTTTCTTGCGTGTACGAATTTTTCCTTGTCGCTCACTATTGAAATTGATCATATTTTTGAGTGCTGATCCCGGTGAGATGACGTGGACACCATTGGTCGGAGAAATGGGCGCCTTGATTTTCCTATATTTTCCTCCATTCGCCCGGCACAGTCTAAAATGTAACTATGGGATGTCGTCGAGTGTGCATGCAATTCCTTCAAGATGGAGTTCTAAATGCTGGTAAAGGACAGGGGGAACACATTGCGGGGAGCCAGGAGAAAGAGTCAAAGACTCCATAAGGTCGGAAATCCCGAAAAGAAAGAGCATATCTGAGAGACAAAGGTTATCCACATGGAGAGCACTGTCGATGTGCTAGAATGTTGATCTTTCTTCTTGAAATAACACTTATCAAAACAAGATACCCTACTCCGTACTGGCTTGGCTAATACAGAGGAGAGCTTAGGCAAGACGATGCGCCTGCTTGGCCGCTGCACGCGGTTTTAAACCGCATTGTGTCAATTGACAAAGCCATTTTCTGTTAGAAGCCTACGGAGTAGAGGAAGTTGAAAGAGGAGAACAGAAATGTAGGCACAGCACATTTTAGCAGTGTTTGTGGGACAGTTAGAATACACTTTTACGGAAGACACACGCGGCAATTAGTTTTGGCAGCATTGCTGTGATGTGACTCGTACACCCTGCTCCGCTGAGAGCGTTCGACAGATCAAGGCTTTGTCTGTCGTACAGAGCGTGATCGGCTGGAAACTTGCGGCTGCCTGGTTCTTTGACAACAAAATTTCGACTAGAAGCACGTCCATGCAGACATTCACCTCGCTGCCATCACGTCAAGGTGGCACAGTCAAGCGGGCGGCTCGTTTCAGGCGCAGCGAGCGATTCTGTCTCTGGTTTCTGACCGATGATCGATCTTGTCTCGGTGGCGATTAGCTGCGACCCGCAGTGCCTGATCTGACAAGGGTTACGATACAGAGGATGGGGATGGCCAAACCTTGCCCCGTCCAAATCCTCCGAGCCAACCACCAATCCGACGTGACGAATAAAATGACATCAGACCACGTCCGAGTTATCGTCGAGGGGCTGGCTGGAACGAACCCGTCCAGAAAACGTGGTTCAGTCATATGGGAAACTGGCAGAAAACCCATGGACGGAGTACATATTCATGTACGGAGTATGCCACAAATACGGACATGCCTACAACATCTACGGAGTAGAGGGACGGAGAAGTTGCCCATTAGAGCCCTCTTTTCTTTTTTTTTTTTCCCTTTCTTTTTTGGTCGTCTTTGGCCCCTTGCGCCTCAACTTCGCGGCCTGGCCGATCTTAGCTTGGAACGGCCAAGCGCAACTTAGTCGCTCCTCTTTGTTGCAAATTGCGAAGAGAGAATTGAGTTAGTTGATTTTAGCTCTGGCGAGAAAAAGCTTGACTCAAGTCAAAATGGCCCAGCCACTCAGGGGCCAGGTCCAAGAAACCCTCCTGTGGGTTTCAAAAGGAAACCTGCTCTTCTTGACCGCCAGGTACAGCCACAAAATACTCTGTTCAACGGCGTATGATTCGCCGTTGAACCAGAAAATCGAGGAGCCCGAGAGATAGCGAAATATGTCGAGAGTACAAAGTATCCCGCGTCTCAAGGGGAATTTTGACCCTCACCCTTGGAGGCCACATGCCAAGTTCTCCAAGCTGCTGCATCGATTTTCCGGGGGATGGCCTCGATCCAGATACATGCTCCGGAGCCCAGGACTGCTGAATGGCGAAATAGTGGAGTTTGGAGAGGAAGTCCCTGCTTTTCTGGATCTTGAGAGCTAAATAAAAACCGAACCCTATCGGAGGACCTGTAACTAACAGTTCCTGTGGCTGTATTAACTATCTGGAGATATAACCCTATCAAGATGCAAACATTATAGTGACATCTACTCATGCCTTTCCCTTTTTCCATTCAATTTACTCTCCCTTTTTTTGTGCCTCTTTAACTCTTAAATGAAAAGCCCTTTTGATTTCTTCCTGGGAGGCTCTTGATTAAATTACTTTTTGGCCTCATGCCTATTTGTTAAGACAACATCCAACTCTCATAAACAAGGCTTCGATATTAAAAATTTTTTAAATCACTCAAAGAAAAGCACCGCAATGGTTCGACTTTGCCGCGTTATTAATATTGCTCCTTGGATTTTCTCTCTATAGCCTATCGTCTGCTGGGCCTTGCTTGGCCCGTGTCGAGTCACAATGGGTAACACATATAACTCACCCCCATCTGCTTTAGCTTCTCGACAGCTATCTTCCTCGATATCTTCGGATAACTCGAACATAGCTGCTGTGAAGCCGCCTGAAAAGCGATTTAAGATGACCCGGAAAAAGCTTATGATAGGCATTCTTGCGCTTCTGATACCTGCAGCTTGTGCAGGAACAGGGATTGGTCTTGCGCTGAGGAACAACCGAAATGCGTCCAGTTGTAAACCCGAGGATTCATGTCGTGATCTTGGGTATGCAAAGTACCAGGGTGTTCCTGATCCCAATGGAGTTACGAGTTGGCTAGGAATGCGATACGCGGCGCCGCCAGTGGGAGAGTTGCGTTTTGCGGCTCCTCAGGATCCTGCAAAGGAAGAGGGCATTCAAGTTGCTAACGTGGTAGGCAGCGACATCCCCTCTCGGGAAACACAAAAAGCTAATGTGTCGAATAGCGCCAAAAGCGATGTGTTTCAACGGGCGCACGGATAGCCAAGCGCGAGTCAGAAGACTGTCTATTTTTAGATGTTTTCGCGCCATCAAATGCAACGAAAGATTCCAAGTTGCCGGTCTTTTTTTTTATCCAAGGTGGTGGCTTCAATATGAACGCCAATCCCGGAATCAATGCTTCTAGACTCATCCAGGCTTCGGGAGGGAATTTGATAGCTGTGGGCTTCAATTATCGTGTTAGCCTATATGGATTCCTTGCTGGTAAAGAGCTTGAAGAGCGCGCGAGCCTCAATAATGGTCTCAAAGACCAAATCAAAGCGCTCGAGTGGGTTAAGACGCATATAGCCCAGGTACAATCGCATTCGACTCCTTGAGTAGAGGACTTCGCTGACCTGCGTGGTTTTCCCCGTGTAGTTTGGCGGAGATCCTGACCATGTCGTCATCGGAGGCCATAGCGCAGGCGGTGCTTCCGTGGTATTCCATCTGACTGCTTATGGCGGCGAAAAGTGCGATGAGGCCCCGTTTCACGGTGCCATTGCAGGCTCACCCTCAATGGGAACCATGCTCACGGTGTCAGAGAGTCAGTTTCTCTACGACAGCTTGCTGAATCGTACTGGGTGCGGATGTAGTAGAGACAGTCTCAAATGTCTTCGCAATTTGGACGTCAAAACCCTTCAGTCGCACAACACCAAGCAGCCGCTTCCAGGTGCTAAAGTGAATCCGCTCTTTATGTATTCACCAACGATCGACAACGACCTTGTGCCAGATTATACCTACCGCCTTTTACAGGAGGGCAAATTCTGCAAAGTACCTGTTGTATTCGGAGATGATCAGGACGAAGGTACACTTTTTGCGTCGAAAAAGACGAAGAGTATTCAAGACTCAGACAAGTTTCTCCGCGCGCAGTTTCCAGCGCTAACAGAAGACCAACTTCGAAAGATAAACTCATACATGTCAACAGTAAAGCCTGAGTTCCCGGACATTGGCATGCACTGGCAGCAGCTGGCCAGGATATACGGAGATATGCGGTATACATGTCCCAAAATTTCCATTATGGAGAGTTTTACCGAATTCCACAAACACGATCAGGCTTGGAGTTATCGGTACGCCGTCCAGGACCCGTTGTATCTGCGCTCTGGACTGGGAACACCCCATACAGCAGAGTTGGAAGGGATCTGGGGGCCGGACTATGCTGCCGGCAGATCGCCGATGTCTTATTATACCACAAATAAGGAAATCGTACCCGTCGTTCAAGGGTACTGGTCAAGCTTCATTCGCAGTCTGGATCCAAATAAGCATCGCGCACAGGGTAGTCCGGAGTGGAAGACGTGGAACGCGTCAAGCTCTGATCCCAATCCCGAAGGGTTTAGGGAACTTTTCATAAGGACAGGGGACACGAAGATGAGGGTTGTCGACTCGCAGCAAAGAGAAAGATGTGATTATTTTATAAACATTGGCGTCGACATCAAACAATAAGGAATTGGGCTAGGCGTTTGGGGCCGCGCAACCCGCTGCTTGGGCCGCTTGTGATGACTGCAGCAACGATCTGGGTATAATGCGTTGGGAGGGCTTTTGCATAGCGTTGCATCTTTGGCTGTACTTATACTGTTGCCAGCCGGCTTCGTATATACTCCGTAGACTCTGATCATAAAAATAAAGAACTTTCCACAATGTTTGATGCTGAAGTCGTTCATCGGCCGACCAATACACAGCCAAAATAGTTTAGCTTCGTTAGTTATCTGTAATAACTAGTTAACTAGTTAACGTAATTCACCCCCGAGCGGCTCACACCACCAAGCGGCTCACCAAAATACACATACAAATCTCAACTTTTTGCTCTTTTATATCCTAACAAGTGTATGTCTGATCATTATAAAATGAAGAAGATACTATAGAGATGTAATAAACTTTGTAAATTATAAGAATTATCTAAATATAATAATTATTTCTTAAGTTATAGTATTTTATTATCTTTTTACTAACATGTATCAAAGTATCTTCACAAATAATAGAGTTAAGTCAATCAAATTGATAATACTGTTTACTAAGTGTCTATATACCCTACATCTAAATTCTAAAGTCTATATTCAACAATGTTGTTGAGATATAAGAGAGCAAAAAGTTGAGATTTGTATGTGTATCTGGTGAGCCGCTTGGTGGTGTGAGCCGCTCGGGGGTGAATTACGTTAACAGTTCGGAGTAGTTATGACATAATCAGGTTTACGGCTGTGGCTGGGGCTAATATGTTCTCCGTAGACTCGGCATAAAGGCCAATCACCTCGAGGGGGAGATTCAACCATCCCTCACCAGGCGGAAGCCAGTTCAGGACAGAATTTTTCCAGTCCCTGCTTGACGCCACACTAACGGGAACAACCTTGAGTTTGGGGTTTGAGTACGGAGTATGGAGCCAAGTTACAATGACCGCAAAATGCGATTGTCTAAACTCGCCGGAAGGCCCTTTTCTAGGATGCTCAGCTCACACGTTTTCACGAAGACTTTGTCCACATCATGATGGGCTGATTGGCACTAGATGGGGCTCCATCGCCTTTCTTGCTAGGAAGGCCCTCATCTTGTGGTGGGAGTTATGCACTGTTAGCGAATAACAACGACCTCCGCATACGAATGCCCCGCTTTCGTGGGAAAAGAGCCTCGTCGAATGGAGGCTGTGGAAGCGAAGTTGCTCCTCTGCCGCCCATGCCTCTCCCGTACATATTAAGAGGCCTACCGCTCCTCGGCAATTTAACCATTCAGCCCACCAAGTGTTTCGTCTTTACTGATCACAAAGGAAAATTGAAGCTATGGAGCAGGCCCAACAAGCTGTGGGTGGCGCATCTAATCCCCTTGACTCTCAAGGCTTGTGTTTGCTTTCGCTTGGTATGGGACTGTATGCCGCGGAACTCTCCTCAAGGCCAACCACTAACACCTGTGGACAGATGGCGGCGGTGTGCGTGGCCTTGCAGCTCTGTATACACTCAAAGGCATCATGAGCAGACTAAACTATGAGCGCCATCAAGAGGGGAAACCACCAGCAAAGCCTTGTGAGATATTTGACCTTATCGGTGGTACTAGTACGGGCGGGTAAGGATAGGAGATCGGATCAACGTTAACACTGTACCTGACACTCGTAGCCTCATGGCCATTATGCTTGGTCGACTAGAGATGGACGTCGACGAATGTATCAGCAAGTTCTCCCAGATTTCGGAGGAAATCTTTCGGGAACGCTCAAGTTGGTTTTTCCTTGATCGAAAGGCCAGAATAAAGGGACGATTCGACTCAAAGAATCTTGAACGCGCAGTCCGTGCAGTCCTCAAAGAGCGCAATGTTGCCGAAAATGAAATGTTGGACGACGGTGTCTCCCGCGGATGCAAAGTGTGAGACGTCTACGACACGAGTCGCATTTTCGGATTTATTCTTTACTGACCTAGACCTCCCTAGATTTGTCTGCGCAACTTCAAAGGATACTAAGGAGGTCAAGCGTCTTAGGAGTTATACTATACCCGATGAACTAAACATTAAACCAACGATCGTCGAAGCGGCCCTTGCGACTTCGGCGGCCACCTCATTCTTCGACCCTGTCACTATAGGATTTCGGACTTTTGTTGACGGGGGTGTGGGAGCGAACAACCCAGTGAATCAGGTCGAACAAGAAGCTTCGAATATATGGTGTCCCAAATCTGGAGACCTGAAACCACTGGTAAAATGCTTTGTTTCCATTGGGACCGGCAACACAGGAAAGGCCGCGCTGGACTATAACGCGGCGAAATTTGCGCAGGCTCTGGTGGATCTTACTACGGATACCGAATTTACAGCTAAAGACTTTATTGCACGCTGGCGTGGACATTATGAGGAGGGCCGATATTTTCGATTTTCCGTGGACCATGGCATAGAGAATCTGGACCTCGCTGAATATCGAGCGCAGGGACTGATTGAAGCTGCCGCTGACGACTACATACATCACCAAGAACAAAAGTTCAAAATCCAAAGCTGTGTTCAAAATCTTCTGAAGAAAGAAAGTGTGTACCTGGAGAGTTTTGCTTAGATTACACCCTTAATCTGATGCCCAGTGACTGATAATGGTCGCCAATTTAGTAAAAGCTGGGAAAGATATAGAAAACGCAATTCAAGTACGTTTCCACCCTATATCCTTTGGAGCTCGTGTAAAAACATTCCGAATGTATAAATCGTAATCTAATACTTGTCGCAGAGATTCCAACAAAGCTCCCCTTTACCAGAAGCGGGTATGCAGCCCTCGCCGTCGTTAAGTAGACGTTAGCACCACTAAAAGCTAACCGTCTTTTACTTGGCTGCCTCTAGAACCACTTGACTCTGAATTTACTGTTCCTTTCGATCTCACAGGAATCCGCTATACTGCTCAATTTATTGGGCGCGTCTCAGAACTCGCACAACTCCGGGAACTTCTCCTCTCAAATGAGTTCAACCGGCGCAAAGTCGTTGTATTACAAGGACTCGGTGGTATTGGAAAGACTCAACTGGCTATTGAATTTGCCAGGAGACATCAAGAGAGCTTCAGTTCTATTTTCTGGATTAGTGGAAAGACTCGAGAAATGCTTCTTCATTCTCTGGCATTAGTCACCCGTAGACTTGCCTCTGAGCAAAATGACGAAGCCATTGTGGAGGATATGAAAGACAGCAAGGGCATCGAAAAAAGGGCCAGGGAAGCTCTAAACTGGTTTGCTCTCAAGGGAAACAATAAATGGTTGATCATATTTGACAATGTTGACAAAGATCCTTCGGGCGAAGTAGAAGACGATGAGGCTTTTCCAGTTGAGGATTTCTTTCCAGGGGCTGATCAAGGTGCTATAATTATCACGACCCGCCTACGACAGCTTCAGGAACTCGGAGATTTTATTCATCTAAGAACGATGGCGCAGGACGATGCACTGGAACTTCTTGCTGCGAGCGGCAAATCCAGCGTGTTCAAAGATGAAAACGACGATTGGAACTCGGGTAAGTTATGTTCATAAGTTTGTAGAGGAATACGCTTTCTCACACGGAACACAGAAACTTTAGAACTTATCAAGAAGCTCGATGGCTTGCCTCTAGCGATAGTCCTTGCCGGTTCTTATATCAGTCGCACGGGCATGAAAGTCGCAAGGTATGCTCAATTGTATTCAGAAGAATGGGGCCGACTCCAGGGCAAAAGGGGCCCTCGCGACTATTCAAACGGCAACCTCAGTACTTCTTTGACTATCTCATATAGAGAAATCACGCGGACAGACCAACTTGCTGCAACGCTTCTCTTGTTTCTCTCATCCTTTGATAACCAAGATATTTGGTATGGATTGTTAGAGCACGGAAAGAGTGGCTGGGACGCTCCAGAATGGTTTGAAGAAATTGTTTCTGACGAAGTCAACTTTTATACCGTTATCGGAACATTGTCAGATTATTCATTTGTCGAGAAAAAGGAGAACGCAGAGGGCTATTCGATGCATCCCGTGGTCCAACAGTGGTGTCAAGATTATCTTAAAAGCGCTAAGAATTGCAAGAGCATATATATCGCTGCATTTGCGTGTATATGCAATGCCATTCCATCCACTAACGAACAGAAATTTTGGATTTTACAACAACGCCTCCTGCCTCATGCCAATAGATTGCTGCCTTTTTTCCAGGAAAATTTTTCTGTGTTGGAATGTTTAAACGACTCAAAAATCCTTGAAGTCGTCAGCAGACTGGGGCAGCTTTATACCGAACAGGGCAAATTGGCCCAGGCCGAAGTTGTACTTCGTCGCACGCTTGAGAAACAAGAGAAAATATTGGGCGCAGACCACTTGTCCACGCTGGATACGGTCAGATACCTGGCGCAACTCTATTGGGACTTGACAAAATTAGCTGAGGCTGAGGCCATGATCTTGCGGGCTCTTAAAGGAAAGGAGAAAGTTCTCGATCAGAGTGACACAGAGATTCTAGGGTTGATGAACTCTCTTGGCGCCGTACTCTATTTGCAGGAGAGATTTGACGAAGCCGAAGTCATGTACCAACGTGTCATTGAAGCAAATGACAATAGGAAATCCGGTCAAGACGATATTGCAGCTGTAAAGGCGACCAATAATCTTGGAGGAATACGCAGCACCCAGGGGAGGGTGGAGGACGCCAAAAAGCTATTTCGGAAATCACATGAAATGGCGAGAAAGAGTCTTGGTCCAGACCACACCCTGACATTAAAATCCCTCTTTAACCTTGCTGTCATATATCACAGAGAAAAGAATTTGGATGAGGCGGAGAAGATCCATCAACAGGTGTATGATGGCTATGTAAAGGCATTCGGAGCAAACCACTTGTATACCATGGATAGTTTACAAAAGCTGGCCAATGTACTCAGGGACCAAGGAAAATTAGCTGCCTCTGAGCAGATGTACTTGCAGGTCCTAGAAGAGAGGGAAAAGGTATACGGGGAGAATCATAGGTGGACTGCAGAAGCTCTGCAGGAGCTGGGACTGAATTATAAGGCTCAGGGAAGACTTGAGGATGCCGAGACCACGCTGTTGCGCGCGTTAAAATCACAAGAAAAGGCGATGGGCCCAACCCATGATGAGACGCTGGATATTGTGGAGCAGCTGAGTCTGCTTTACTTAGAACAAGGGAGACACAAAGAAGCGGAGGCCATGAAAGGCCGGGTCAACCAGCCTCCGGCATCCGAGGCTCGTGAGAATCCCTAAGGGTTTGATAACTAACTAACTTAAAATATAAATACAAGACTAGCTTCTTCAGCACTATTTCTTATAATTCTATTCTTTCTATTTCTTTATTTATAAGTATCTACCCTGTACTCTGTAGTTCCTCCATGAAATTGGTGTCACCCTTAAACACTTTAATGCTCCAAACCCTAATGCTAAACCATATTGGGACTAGCCCAGAATGACCGCTGCTCCTAAAACATTCTCCATACAGGACCTGAACTCTGGTGTACAGAGTACTCCGTATATGCCCTGTATCAGCAATAACAGTATCACTAGAACATTCGGTGCAAACTAGTCAAACAACGCTGTCAGCTCTGGCTTGACTTTGGTGGTGCCTGACAGAAGCCATCTCTCCTCTTCCTTGCAGCACAGGATGGCACCAAATCTAGCACTTTCAAAACTTGAGCTTATCCGTGATATGATAACTAGTGATGAATCACTAACTACATCCCAGATGGCAGAGGCTGTCGGCTGCAGCACATGCGCAATCAAACAGATCCGCTCTAACTTGCGACTCTTTGGCAGCATTTCGACCCCTCCCATTAACGCTGGACGGCCACGAAGCATCACACCATCTATGCTTGAAGCACTCTGCAATCATTTGCTTGAAAAATCCAGTCTATATCTTGATGAGATGGTGGTCTTTCTATGGGATGAATTCAATGTGTATACGTCAAAATCGGCCATTAGCCGGGCACTTTCCCTTCACGGTTGGTCAAAAAAGACAGCCCAGCAGAAAGTGAGCGAGCACAATGCAGATTTGCAGGACTTCGTTTGCAGCATTGTGGAAAATGGCCTGAGCCAAAGTCAGTTCTGATTATGGATAACACTTCCATTCATCACTCTATGCGGATTGAGCAAATGTGCTCTGATGCAGGGGTGAAGTTGCCGTTTCTACCACCCTACTCACCACACCTGAATCCTATTGAAGAGATTTTTTGCTGAGTTGAAGGCTTTTATAAAATGGTCTTGACATTACTATGAGGATAATCCTGATCAAGGATTCAATAATTTCCTTGAATGGTGTGTTGATGTTGTGGGATCAAGAGAAGAAAGTGCAAAAGGCCATCTTCGGCATGTAGGTCTTGCTATTGAAGAGATATAAGTTGGAGCCAATGAAGCCCGATTTCCTTGATGTGTAGTTGTAGAAGCTCAGACCAAATGGCATGAAGAACTGTCAAGAAATTGCTGGATTTTAACTGGTGTTGTCCTGTACTTCTCCTGGATTGAGATTGATCGAAGCTTGCTGAATTCGAGACGGAAATCTTCGTCGTAATTTGGTCAAGACATCAATTGAAAGCCTGACGGTTGGAACCAGTTGATAAGTAGCTCTGCCTCACCATCACCAGACTAGACATCTTCGCCTCTTATCCCGATGTGCACAAGAGTACCGGTCGGGTCCGCCGTTCTGTTGGGAATAAATAGAGCCCAGTGTGCTCTATCCTCAGTGCCAAATGCAATAAGATGAAGGGTTTGTGGAGCATGTTCAACGTGTACTATTTCATGTCTCTTTTTGCCATGAGCACGAGTTCATTCCCCACGTCGCAGCAACAATTTCAATCAGCAAGACTGGCGGCAAAGCATCAGTCTCTCACAGCACTTTGCATCCTCTGAAACTCAGGCAGACCCCATCGCTGCATCCACTCACACCTCACCACATCGTCTATGCTAGCCCTTTCACTCGGCTCAAGGACTAACATAGATCGCATCATGTCATGAAATGATTTTTTCTCTTCGGTGTCAAAGGCCTCGAGCTTCTTGCTCTTTCGCGAGATATTTATCTCCGCAAACCGCTGAGTCCAGCTCCGGCCGGTGTTGCCATAATACTGCCGCAGGCTCTCCTTGACGTTTTTATGGCCATCTTCATCAAACCAGTTGCCGCGGGTCTCCCACTTGCTCCACCATTGATCCGGGAGTTTACCAAATGTCTCAACATGCTCGACGGTAATGTCATCCTGCGAGCCAGGGAAAGCTTCGAATGGTGGACTAGATCCAAAAAGGTCCCAGATCACACACCCGAGCGTCCAAATATCTGATGGAAAAGAAAGCGGTTCATCCGCAAAGCGAGATTCCGGCGGTGATAAGGGGAGTGGTGCATGTGCAGTGAATCGCTGTGTTCTTTGAGGATCAAACGCTTCTCCAAAGTCTGTAAGTAGAATGGAAGAATCGGCCAACTTGATCTCATCACTTCCAAGCCCCAGCAACACCGGGAAAACGACCTTCGAAGGAACCCCATTATGAAGGGGTAAGCCGTCCGCACGAACAACAGGCTCCTCGTCAGGCCTTTCAACATTTATGTACAGCTGTTCGCGGGTCATGCTCCGAATATTTGGCGGTAGATGAAGGAGAATATTCCCAGCATGAAGATCTGTGTCATCTGGTTTAGACTCTATAAGCCAGGTCAGGTATGTCATAACACCAGAACATACCGCCGTGAACGATCCCCTGAGCATGTACAAATTGCAGTGCCAATATCAATTGGGATGCAATGGCTCTAGCAACTTCAAGCTGGAGAAGGCGGTGATAAGCCATGTCCTTTGCAACATGAATGCTGACCCTCGCAGCATCCGTAACCAAGCACCGATGCGTCCCATTCGGCCCAGAGAGGGTGAAAGAATCGAGCAATGTCTGGACTATGGCTTTTCCGGGCAACGCTGATCGAGACTTGGCCAGTCGTAAAAGAATCAGTGGAAATTTTGAGGGCGACAAGTTTTTTCATTACTTTGTCTTCAGCCAGCCAGGTAGTGGCAGACCCTCCAAATCCAAGTTTATGGGCAATGACATAGCGGCCTTCCTGGAACTCGTCACCAATCTTTACCGGATGGTACCCGCCACGGACATAGTAGTCCAGGCGTTCGACACCTTCCTCGACATACGCATACTTGACTTTGCTTGGTTCCATAATGGTGGGCATATTTTTGGTTGGGGTGAAAAATCGAATCTGTCGGCAGCGGTACTGCAACGCCTTTGCAATGCGGGCGCAACTGGCCATAGTCATCGGCAAGCGATGATGGGAAGAGGGTCCAAACAGAGTGGAAACTCAAAGATGGTGAGACGTAAACAACGCAAGCGAGTGCCAGGAATGGAACGTGTGTTCACGCCAATGTTTTACGGAGCACCTTTGGTTAGGAGGTGATAAACTGGCCAAGCAGAGGCCGTAGTTTTGGGAGAGCTGGGCAAGCGGAGTCAACTCACCGCTATAAAGCAGGGGGTTCAGCACCACACCCCCCCCCCCCCAGCTCTGCACCACGTTGGGGTCCGTGCATCCTGCCGACAGTTTGAGGTCACACCTCGCAATATTCTTCCTTTTTGATCCTGAACACATCGATCCCATTGGGTCAATCTGGCGGCATTCGCGGGGATAACGCGCATCCTCTACACCCACAAGGGTTTTATCCCTTTTCATGGTGAAGCCCCTGACTGCAATCTGGAGGATGAGAACCAATGAATACCCAGGCGGTAGCAGGGAAATGGAAGCGAAGGCTGAGCAAGCATGGGTTGGGTCATGATCGCGGAGTTGAGAGACATCTCTGTATTTATACGGCTGCTCGCCTCGCTACAGCAGTGGGCTCTGTTCAATTCTTCCATCGTACTCTACGGAGTACCTGGAGGCAGTATTATTTAATAATTACTCTCCGGTGCAAGTTTGTTGTCTGAGTATCGTGTCAACCTTGAACTTGGTCAAATTTTCTTCCTGCAACGGCCGGCGAGCGCTACAACAGTTAGACAATGCATCGCCATCGCGTACCAAACTGCAAGAGGCCAAAAGATACATCCAACAGCCATCCTTATTCGGTAAATAAATTGGTACCGTGCAATTTTCGGGTGGGGAGCTAATCACCATTAAACCGTTAGATCAGGTATACATGGAACGACCACGATCGAGGGCAAATATCAAAAGGATCCCAAGGGGGAGCACTTGACCCTGTGCTTCAAGGATGGAGAAATGTCAGAGAAGGGTACACACGTCGCTAGTCATGGCTATGTCAACTCGAGACAGGACTGGGAGATTCACGAAGCATCGCACTCTCCTGAGAAGCCTGATGCCACAGTTGCCAGAGGAACCGGACGTGCTATCTGGCCAGCTGAAGCGACGTATGAGATTGAAGTGGCTTTCGGCCATGTACCAGACGAAACAGAGATCAAACTGCCCGAGAAGTGATTCAATCAGCAAAGGGGATTGCGCGCGCTGGTGTTTGCGGACAGGATAGCTCAGACTGCATCGACACCGAAGGAAGAGAAATGTTTATAGTTGACAAGTAGTACTCCGTACCGAAGAGCAGAATTATGTTAGGCGCGTACCTCATTAGCGCCGACCAACATTGAAACGTGGTGGAATCGAATTCGCAAATAATGACCGGGGTAAATGGCACTAGAGTCTCAGCAAAAAGAACATGAGTCACAGCGTGGAGGCATTTGATCACTGACATGGTTGTGAACTGTGCGATCTGATTGTCTTGTCAGCCTTGATTGTTTCGCATCACATCCGTCGCATCCATTGCAACTGAGACCATTCTGGGATATTGAGAAGTCTGGATTTCAGGGCACCATGGGATTATTAATCACTACCCAATCTGTTGTTACTCTCCTTGAGACTCTCAATACCCTCAGTCCCAAGTTTCCAGAGATTACACACAACATATTAATTACCCCTGACTCAGGAGAGAATACGCCTGAGACCCCAGAGATTGTGTACAAAGAAAGAACTTTCTGTGTCATATTGAGAAAAAGATACAACCCCACCTCACATCAAGATCTAACAGAATAATAGGAACCATGTCTGCATCCAAGACAACAGCCATCAATACTCAAGATCTTATAAACAGGATCTTGCATGTCAAACAGATTACAGAGAAGCTTGAAGAGTAGAACCACAAATTAAAAGATTATAATAAACAGCTCAAGACTCAAGTCATGGCTATCTCATCTAGAGTGGTATCTAGTTCTAGTATTTCCTGTCCTGGATTCCTGTCCCAATTCCTGTCCTGAAGACAGGATTGGGTTGAAGCTTAGCTTAATAGAATGGGACCAGATTGTTTAACAGCATATTGGGACAGTCCCATAGAAGCTGGGATTGCGATGAGACTAGAACCAGAATCAAAATCTAGCTAGTAAAATAAGTCTGCCAGGACCTGGTGTGACAAAATAAGATAGAACTGGGATTTCAATATTGTATATAGAATGAGACTGGTAAAGCATAAAATAAGACTAGGAATTCTGAATCCTGGATTCTGCTCTGCTAACTATCTTTCTCAACTGCACTTGAAGCATTTTCTTTTTATAGATGGATTGGGCAGTTTGATGTATGTAGTATTGCATATTAGTTAAATTCAATTTTTCTCTCCAGTGTCTGCTGGAGTAACTATACTATAATGGTTTCCCTCCACATTTATAAACCCAAAAAGGTATTCTAAACATTTCTAGATATATTTATTAATCAGAGGTTTCAACATTTCTCAATTTCTATATTGAGGATCAGACGCTATATTTCTAAATTCAGAACATATATATTTTTAAACTCCCAAACAACCATGGATTCAGATAAATGTATATTCCGACTTAAATGTATCAGGACTAGTTAGTGGATCTATGGTTTACAAATCCTCCCCATTTCTGCTACGGTGATCATGTGAGGTCATGTGCGCGCTAAGCCCAAAAGAGGTTAGGGTGCGCGAAACATCAATCAATCTTTCTTTAGTTATTTACGACCTCATAGTCTGTAGAATTGGCGATATATATTCCATATCTTTTGAACTCGTTTATACCGTAGTGGCGTTGCGTTCCGTGTCAACGACAGGCATTTCTCCCAATTATACTGAGAAGTGATGGACATTGTCTATTTAAAGTCCTATATGTACAGTACATCCATAATAGATTCCACCGTGTGCATTCCATACTCCATAAGCATAAACGCATTTTCGCTACCAATGCCTCATCAATATACCGTTTAAACCTCTAATTCTACGTTACCTATTATTCGCCCAATTATATCGCTTACTTTCGACTGACAGAATGAGTGAGTCAGCTTACTCGTCCAGATATCCTGGCACCACTTAAGTGTCTGTAATATGGTCGACCTTGGTGAGATAATTTGATTGTAGCACCCGCTCGTTTTCATCGTTGGTTCGGTTCCATCTGGCACAGGATTGTCCTTGCGACAGAGCTGGATGCCAACCATCATGATCGCCATAAAAAAGTCATTCTTGAATAATTCTGCGAACCACCTTGCCGATTCGCTATGCACGGGATCTTCGTGTACCTGTCGCTGGTGGACGAGAATGGCCAAAGAGCATTCCAATGCGGACCAGTAAGATGCTGGGTAACAAATAATCGCCTGCGGTTGACGGGCGTATCGCTGGTGAAGGATGAGAAGGATGCGTCGCAAGGTTAATTCCAGTGTGGATACTTGGAGAGCTTTCCAGCTTGTTTTTGTGTTGGTGGGCCATATGGATAACGTGTTTCGGAGAAATGAGGTTTCCATGAGAAGGCTTCGTAGAATGGAGTCGAGATGGATCACTCTGCTGTGGCTGATGTTTCCTGATAGAGAATTTGCAGTGGTGACTATTTCGAATGCTGTTGTAAATGCACCTGTAAGGAGAATCTGGAAGGAAGAATCTGTAAATTCGAACTCTGCAGCTGGCACAAAGGGCTCTTCCCTACACGGATCGAGGTCATCGTCGTTCAAATTTAGAGGTGGTAGTGTGTTGAAATCATCTCTCTTAAGAAGAGGGGGACTGCCACTGGTGATTGACTGTTGCAGCTCAAGGTGGACAATGGTCGTCCATAATCTTCTTTGCATTTCTGCTTGAAATGGCGATATATCCTTCAAACTTAAGGCCGGATCACAGTGTAGGCCAAGGGACATGGCATGACGGATCACAATTCCCATGAGAGGCCCGCACGAATCGTACTCGTGGCATGACATCGCGCCCATATGCTTTGCAATCACCATCATGCAGAGTGCATTTATAGTGAGGAGAGTCGGGTGGAGGATAAAGGACATTTGTAGAAGGCATACTTCCGCCGCTCTCAGCAATCGTTTTACTCGCTTCGAATTTGCATGTGGTGTGGTGAGCCAGCCAATGCCAATAACCATTAAGAACTGTGCCATCCAATCCCATCTGGGCATTGACTCATTCTTCCAGAAGGCTTCCACTTCCTTACGGAATGAGGGGATATGTAAAACGCGGTATATTCGTTCTACCGTTGAGAGATAGTTCTCAACGTAAACCCAGATTTGGTCTTTATTAGGTATGATTGAGAGAATATAATCCTTGGGATTACCGAAGAGACTGGTGAAGTTCGAATTTAGGCCCGAAGCGTCGGCGTGGGCATCATCTGCTTCTGGGTGAATCTGTGGAAGAGGCGGGAACTCGAGGTGATTGTCGTCAGGAGAGAATATTGATTTGAACTTGTCCACTCATGTTAGCTATAGTGCTTAGCGATAGATTCGATGGCAACCCACTTCCTTCAGATAGACAGCCCAATGAGTCTCGCCTCGAAACTTTGACAACCAGATCGTCGCCGTATCTGGGTATAAATACATCGCACCATTTGGAGACTCTCGAGAGACCTCGACTCTGAGCGGCTCAATCACCCGCCCAGCAGTAGGGGAATCACCACCAGATGGATTTAAGTCGTGCAGCAATTGCGGTGACTCTAGACCCGTTAGCGGACTGTCCAGGCCTCCTTTTTCGTCATCCGTGGAAGGTGTTCTAGTATTGGCGCTCTGCGATTCGGGCCGTTCAGGACGGGGAGAATTCGAAAGATAGATACATTCATCTGCACGCTTACTTCTCTTGCAATTCTCACAGGGAGTCTGTCGATCGCACTTTACCTTCAAGCGCCTGCATCGAGAGCAAGAGATTGCCAGCCGGTGCCGTCTGCGGACGACACGCTTTTGCTTCTTTGAGGCCGGCTCAAGATGCCAAACGTGCCACATGCTGCCTAGAAGGGCGGAATATAAGTATAAATTCAGTATTACAGTGAAAACAGTGCCCGTTGAAGCGTCGTGGGCAGGACATCCGGGGCTCTTGCGCTCGCGAAATGGCGAAGACGGGCTTGATGCAGCCTGGGAAGACGGACGGAGGATCTTATCTGATCAGATTAGATTGATAAAGTTTGCGCGAAAGCCGAATTTGAGTCATATCACGTGATCTATGGCCTGTGATTGGGCAGATGCAGCCTGGGCATACGTGTGTTGGACCGCAGGGTTGCATTATACGGAGGAACTACCTACAGAAGTCCGCGCGCTGGTACGTGTGCAACACGGGTCAACTTCCCCTGCTCAAATTATGTTCAAGGACAACCCGGCTCCATGCAATCCGATATAGCGATTGCAAGGGTACTACAACACATTTCCAAATAACTAATAATGACACCAAGACATGCATGGATGCACGCAGCACACTCCCTAAGAGCGGAGCGAACAAATGACCTTTTACCGCTTCCCTTTCCGCAACTTCTTCTCCCGCTCATAGGCATTTGCTTCGCGTCCCTCCTCGCTCTGAATCTCAGCAATGAGACGACGGTATTTCCGCTCATATTCAGCATCCCTCTCACGTTTCTCCCGTAGGCTCTCGCGTGCAATAAAGTTAGCATCCTTCCGGAGTTCTCGCATCGCGCCTTTGCGCTCGCGCTTATGCTCCGCCTTGAGCTTGTTGAGCTCAGCCCGCTCGCGGTCGGGATCATAGTGCCTATCGGGGTTAAATGATTCTTCAAACTTGGGTATTGCTGTCTTGATTGCGAGCGGTCTATGATTATGGAGTAGTAGGGGGCGGCGGGCTCGTCGAGCTTCTGCAAGCTGAGCATTCATGTTGTGACAAGTACGTTGCATATGATCAGATAGGGCTGTAGGCACCTTTCCCGCACACGACTTAATCAAATGTTCGAGAACGGCTCGGGCGGGCTCAAAGACCTCAAAGAAAGCAGATTTGGTGGCCCATAACTCAGCAGCAGTTTCAAGTATTGACGTGAACGTCTCGACAAGAGACAGCTTTAGACCCTCCGCCCTATCCTTTGCGACCGTCGAGCCGGTTAGAATGTCCCAGAATGACGGAGTCCTGACTTCGGCGGACACATCTGTGCCTTCGAGTCGCATTGGTTCTGAGGGAACACGCGCAGGGAGTGAGCCCAGCTTAGTTTTTGGTGCTGTAGGTGCGAGAATGCATAAAGCATTTAAAACATAATTGACAAGTTCCGGAATGTATCTCTTTGATAATGCTTGATATTGGAGGCATAAAGTTGTCACGTAACCACCGATGACGAGGTCCCCCAAAGATTCAATATTACCTTGTCCAAGGTAACGTCCCATTGAAAGCATCGCCGGTGTCACCACGGGGTGGAAATGATCGGATGTTGGAAAGATAGTTGAGATGCCAGTCAAAATGACCAGGTCACTCGGAAGAAGGTTAAAGGGTCGATCGTTGGCCACTGCACGAAGCTGAGCCCTAAAAGCAACAGCTACATCCTCCGGATGCGTCTTGGCGAGGGAATGGATGTGACGTAGTAGGTTCTCAAGGATGGCGAAGGGCGGGTGTTCTCGTAAATTTGCAAGGTACGAGACATGTTCCACGAGGACTCTAGAGAACTTTCCCAGTTTCGCCTTGTTGTCGCTATGAAGCCTGGAGTGATGTAAAGCGCGGATTCGTTGAACCACTGTTGGCAAATCTTCCATCTTCACGTCCTTTATTATGTTTAAAAACTCTTCATGGCTCTCAGGGCACGGATAAGTATAGGCTAGGGAGCCGTCTTGGGTGGATAGCGTCTTCTTATCATCAGGTATACTCTCTGCCCCTGGGCGTAGAGTTAGCCCGTTAATGAACTCGTCATCATCATCATCATCGTCTTCCTCCGCCGCACTTTCACTGCCGTCGCTGTCGTCGAACGACAAGTCTAGGGCGGACCCAGTTTCAACCAACTCATCTTCAATTATAAAGTCATCTTCGTCTTCCACATCTAGGTCCGGCCGTGTAGTTAATTGATGTAGACCGAACGGCTTGGCATCATCGACTTCCGCATCGTCATCTAGATCCGCACCACCTTCATCTGCTGATCCTTCATCATCTTCGCCATGCATTCGCCTCAGCCTCTCCTTCTCAAGTTGGCGTAAGCGTGTAGCCTCTTCTTCAGCTATCTCCTCTTCCGTTTTAGTCCTATCTGCAGGCTGGGAGCGTTTATCAAAGGCCATCTGCTTCAGTCTCTGATCATACTCCTTGTCCGCAGCATCCCTATCTTTGCCATTCAAAAGAGCAGCACGATCCGGATTCATCATCGGATCCGGACGCTGCTCCTGCAGTGGTGGCTCTGGCGCCTTGATACCCCTCATCATTTCAAAAATGCTCGGAAGCCCCTGATCTAGAGTGGCTCTCAAGTCGTCGTCATCTTCCTTAGCCTTTTGCCGCTCATATTTGTACTGCTTTGATTTAGCAATAATCTCCTTCATGACCTCTTGTTTTGACTTTTTCCGTTCGGGCTGTTCTTCGTCGTCGGATTGCCCAGCTAAACCCTCCATGTCATCTTCTTCAACGAGGCGTTTCCTCTTATTATTCCGACCGGATTCACTGTCATCCTCCGAATCTCTCAAGTCGCCTTCGTCGAAATCATCCCCGAGCTCCTTGTCAAACGAGAGCGCTTGGCCCCCGTGGGTGAGCAGCATCTCTTCATCTTCGTCATCTTCCAAGTTGAACATGGACTCCTTCTTGAGTCGCCTTTGACTTTCGCGTGCAAAGCGTTCCGCCGCTCTCTCTTCAGGTGTCATTGTCGGATCATTTTCACCGAAACGTCGATCGAGGAGCATTCCAGTTTTATTGCGGCTATGGATTTCTTTCAGGAGAGTTTCTTTTCTCTGTGACCAGGTTATCAAACTGTGCCCTATCAAATAGAACGCTTCCCACGGTGAATGCTAGAGAGCTTACCCGCTGCTCGCCCAGGCCTCTCGTGACGCCGGGACGATGTCGAACCGGGTCGGTATTGCCCTTGTTGGTTGTGACAGCAAACTTCGCAGGCCGCGCTGGTGCTCTTGCTTCGAACGGATTGAATTGCTCTCGGAGTTCCTGGAGAACAGCATTGCGATGGATGCGGTTGGCGGCCGCAGCTCCAGACTTTGCATTTTGCTTCCGCTGTTTTTTGGACTGCTGCTGTCCGATAACTCCCTTCTCGCGGAGAGAGGCTTTCAACTGCTTTAGCTGTGAGGGCGCCATCTTCACTTGCAGCGCTGAGATCCACGCCGGTGCCACTTGTCAGCGGGTTATCTGTGCTGTCGGCACTGTCCTCCCAAAAACACGACCGCCAAAAATCGCAGAAAATTAAACCCTTCACCGCCTTCAAAGTTAACTTTCTGCCACCCATCGTCGACGCTTTGACCACCTTCTTCCTCTCCGCCAGCACGCAGACGGCTAACGAACCTGCGATGGAATGCTAAATGGTATGGCGACGCACTTGAGTGATCGGCTCCTGTGGTTCGGCCTAGGTATGCAGCTATACAATCATTCCGTTTTTTATTTTTATTTTTGTTATTTCTAGCGACAAGACCCTAATCCCTCTGCAGGAGTTACCCTCTTTTTCGCATTCCGGGGCATAACCTGGGAGCTCTCCCAGGTCAGGCACCTTACGGAAATCAAAAAGGAAGAGAAAGAGGACCAACTCATTGGAGAAGCTACGGAAGATGGTAATTATGATGTTGCATCTCTACCTCTTTGGGACGCCTGGAACCTGACTCTCTGGAAAGCCCTGAAAATAGAATCGCTGTTGAAGCTTTCTGAAAGCTCCAGTTTCGATTTAAGAGCTGCGTTAGTCTTCTATCCTTCCAATCTATTTTGAATTGTGAAGCTAACGGCCGCTCGCGTATAATAGTGCGTTAAAAATAATAGCCGAACGAGCAACCAAAGGTCCCACGCGAGATTTGCTCCTTGAGGATCTGTCCAGCCGTGACCCACTCCTCCGGCGGCGAGCCTTAGATGCACTACACTTTCTGATCTTAAGCAGACCTTGTATGCCGCCCTCTTCCCTTTCGCCTGTGTCTACTATTCTTAGCCCTTCCTGATCCGTTTCTTATGATAGTGGCCCGCTCCAGCGCGTCTAGCAGATTAAGGGATCTATCTACTTTTAAAAGTCTAGTCGGTTGTTTATGCTACTTTCTAAAGGAACATACTGAGAAGATTGGCACCACTTCATCTCCCATACTTCCGCGAACCAGACCTCCGGGAGAGGAGAAGGCTTTACGCGTCCTCCTTGCCCTCTTACCAGAAAGCGTGCACACGGCCCTAGAAGCCGGGCTTGTGAGTCAGTGGCTAACAAGATATCCGTTCCCGTGTACTTTGCAAGATGATACGAGAAAACGTAATGTTTTTTTGTTTATGAAGACCTGGGGCTCCGATGACCCCTTGATGAGTAACATTTTCAATATTCTAGCTACTCATCATGAAGGAGTAAGACAGCTCCGAAGATACGGCCTAATGGGAGCCAGATTGGAAGAAGACGAGCTTGATGCATATGATTCTTCCGTTGAACGAAGCCGCTTCAGTATTTTGGAAGGAGACGATGACTGGGAGAGTGTTTGGGTGCCAGACGGAGCAGATACAGGTGCTACCCAGGCCTGGGGCGGGAGACGTTTGCAGGAAGGCACCACAACAGATCAAGAGCTGAGGCGTCGCCGGAGAGAAGTAATGGTCTTTTCTGAAGGTGGCAGGCCCCTGGATCAGGACAATATCATTGAGCCAATACAAAATCGCGCCGTCTGGGGTCTAGACGATCAATTTAACGAGCTTCCCGGAAGGGTTTAGAAATCTTGTGACTCTGAACAGAAGTCAGCAACCCGCGAACAGCGCAACGAGGGGATAGAGCTGGGTTATTTTCATATCATAACGATATACCCATGGCCAGAAAACAGCAAAAGTCTCGGGCAAGAAGAATGTCATAAGACACTTTTGTGGTTGAATCCATACTAATTTGACAGTACATACGATGAAATGAGGATACGACGGCACGAGAAATGCTAGAGAGGATGGGTGTCACGCTTTATGAAGTTGAATTGTATATAACCGTCTCATTATAATCCAATCCAGCTTAGCTTTGCTAAATGATCCGTCTTTCGTCGACTCGACTTCACCATTCCCATCATCTTCAATTCAGAGACTGCGCGATAAAATATACTAAGTGCCATTCGTTCATCAAAATTCTCCCCATCCTCACTGCTGATAATGGTGTAGAATGCCTTCCATAGGTCATAAATATTCACGACAGCTCCCGATTCCAAGTAAAGCTGGTAAAGCAACGCAGTAGCAGGCTGAGAAGCCGAAAGACTCTCGAAGAACGTGCCGGAGTCGAACCCAAGATAATCAGACGGATTCGATAGCGCACGTTCCACTGTGAATCTCGGGCGGGGAACGAAAGTATCCCCAATGGGCCCTTTGAAATCATATAGGAAAGCTTCATGCATAAAGAGGCTAGTTGGCTGGATAAGATTCTCGATCAAGTACGTCCGGAAACCACTGTGAAAACGGTCCACTATACGAGTATATTCGGCTTCTTCGTCAGAGAGCTTCGCTCTGCCTTTTGTTAGTTTGAGTCGCTGGGCAACTAGAGTGGTTTTGTGGGTGATGCGAGAGTCGTCGTATTTCGTTCTCAAAACTCCAGGACCTTTCTTATTAGACAGAAGGGTTTGAAGCTCATCGTACAAGTCACCTGCTAATGGCAATGTTTCTCCTAGTGTAATGAGGAGGCTTACAAGTATGTCGGACGTCACCTTCTTGATGGCTGACAGCGCTTCGATAATAATCTTCGACGAGTACAGCTTCCCGCCAACTGCTCGGATAACGAGGTCCGACAGACTCGGTGTTTTTGCTGTCCTGGTAACATCCAACACTGTTTTTAGGGAACCCACGCATTTAAACATACGGGTCATGGTTTCTTGGCCGATAATAACGTTATTCAAGGCTTCCTGGGCCAGGAATACATCGTTATCCAGGAGGTTTTTCACCGTTTTGGTTTCCTTCTTGTCCAGTAGTGTCTGTGCATGCCTGCAATCCATTAACACGTCTTCGTAAACAGGTTGACAGGATCGGAAGAACACGCACCTACGAAATGACGGAATGTTCCGGATCGCTTCGCATAGTTCTGGTTGAAAATCTTTGTCACATATACCGTTTGAGAGTAAGACCGCTAATGGGTTTGCAAAAAAATGGGCCATGTAGGTGTACTGTTACTATTAGCTGCCATAAAACACCTCGTCTTTGCATCAGCTGCATACCTTCAACGAAGAGCTAAATCGTTCGGGGCTTTGAAAGTGATCTTTCGACTGCTCTACGAGCAAGTTGCTGACCCTGTGACCGAGCCATAGGGTGCCATCAGGGCAGGTCTCTAGATCAAAAAATATCCGCTGAATAGAATCCACGGAGTCGCGAATGTCGAAACATCGGCCCTGGAGCAAACTCACAGATGACCGAGGTAATCGAGATTCAAATAAGTCCACTGAGGTCGCCACGCCGAAAAGGAAAACAAGTGGAATACGATCTTGCCATGACCTGGTGCAATCAGTAACCGGATAAGAATAGGTGAGGTCCCGGTCAGAATTACCATAGCAAAGAGATCAGATCGCTCAGAACACCGTGGTCGAATGCTTCGCTGTCCTTGAAGGCAACGACTATTTTCTGCCCCGTGTTCCGCTGTACGTAACCATGCAATAGCTCCAAATCGTATGGGAGATGTTTCGGGCCCTTTCAACTAGTCAGCACAATCGGGTTTAAATAGAGGAGACATGTAAATACCAAATGGCCGGAAGCAGAGTTAATATCGGTCTCTTCGACGCTATTGTCGGATAAAATATTCCGAATGAGGATCTTCAGAACATTTTTTAGGCTCCCAGCGTCTCCAGCTTCGATTACTGCAACTTGCGCAATGCAGTCAGCTTGCATCCGCTTACGAAGCCGGTCTAGGAGCCCCGATATTGAAGATATATTGGATCCTAAAGTAATCATTCCACATGGAATACGGTTCTCGTAACTATGACCAGCAATTAGCAAGCAAGAGATTATATGAGCGCTAGAACCCACACCTCTCAGGTCCCGCTTGCTTAATGAAGTCCGCAAGATCTTTCACGGCTTTGGAGTCAAGCTCGCTAAGAATCTCCTACAATTGAATCAGTATGACATTGTAATCTCCCTAGGACCGCACGAACCTGAATTCTCTGGCTTTGGACGGACCAGAAGTCTGTAAACGCATCATGACGGCGCTTCACCAATGATGAGCTCTCCTTGCCGTCCAAGAGTGGAACGAATGGCAGTTCATCATCCTGAGGAGTTGTTTCAGATAAATGGGCTAGTTTACGCCTTTTAGGCTGCTGCGGTTCATTTGCTTTAAAACTTCTAGCAGGCTTATATATGTATACACCCTAGGATAACTATTAGCCTTGTTACACCGCTTGGACGGTTTTCGATAGGGGGGTTAAACCTGATGCTCGAGACCGTGATGTGTCTCGGTATTTCCCTTTATGGACATCGTGGTCTAACAGCATTCCTCTTTGCAGCGTGATCCGATTGAGTCCGTATTGGATATATTGAAGACACTCCTTTAAACCTCCCCAACTTTAGGATTTCAACGGCTCTTTTCACGATATCCTTTTTCCCTGAACGAGTTCCTCAACGCGTCGGAGCGGATACGATTGATTACGTAATCAAAAAAAAATTACGAGTCGCACGTAATGGCTGGTACAGCGTAATGTATCCGCCTGGAGTTGAGGACTTCCGTTTTGCACCGCTGATCTCAATTCCATCCTCGCAGCGCAGCTTTCTTTTCAACGTGCTTTTCTTTCGATGAGTTAGGCTTCACTTCCTACATTCATGCGCCGTTTGACTCTACAGGGAGCTCGGTGGCATCAACATGGATTTTACACCCGTTGCATCAACCAAGCCTCCCCTGCGATCTCAGCGGTCCGCCGTTCATTCTCCTTCACGCCTCGACTGGAGAAGGGAGGCAGAAAACAGGAGGTAACCATCCGACATTTTGAACAGTCGACTCCCGCCAGCAAAGATCGGACGGAAGTAGATTTCGACTCGGAAAATCAAGCGGAGCAAGAATTGCTGAAAGCGAAGATCGCCGAACTTGAGCGGGAGCTTGCGGAGCTAAGAGAAGGCCCCTTTGGACCGAATAGTCCTTTTATGAAAGAGCTCTCTGAGGAGGACAGACAAAAGGCATTAGAGGCACTTCGCAAGTATAAGGCGGAACATAAAGAGGAGGATGTCGAAAGCGAAGAAGAGGAACGACTCGATGCCGAGTTTGACAAAGCTATGGAGCGGCAATTTCAGGGCTTGATTAATGAAGAGAAAAGGCTATGGGATCCGACAAAGGGCCCCGAGGAACCTTCTCCAACCCCAAGAGAGTCATTCGAAGTTGAAATTACAGTTCCTGATACCCAGCAAGCCGCTGTTGCTCGATTCAACAAAACTTTGAAGGTCCTCCGCAATAATCCAACCTTTGCCCAGAGACAAGACGCGTGGAGGTCATACAGACGTTGTAAAGAAGGGCTACCTTTTTTCCTTGATATTATTCCGGAGGAGGGTTTGGAGTTGCTTTGGCAATCCCAGGTACCATCGTCCCCTGTTGAACATTCTCGTCTGCTTCACTGGGAGAAGCTAGCCGAAGACATTCTCGCAAGCGGCAGGGATTTAACGACAACCCAGTGGCTAAAATATCTTGAGCTTTTATGGCATAGTGGGAAATCTGAGAAAGCGATTCCCCACTGGGAAGGGCGTGCACAAGATCTAAAACATTACAGCCCAGAAGAGGTTGACAGCTACCTAAAATTGGGAGTACAGCTCCATGTCGCGGTACATCAGCCCCAGACGGCCCAAGATATCGCAATGGCCTTCCTTTCCGCAAATGCATCCCGTGATCCCCGTATACTGATACCTGTTATTGCTTCGTGGGCGGAGCAGGCCACCCCAAAAGCTAAAGAGCTGGCTTGGACTCTATACCTTCAGGTCAAGACTATGCTGGGACCCAATATAAATATGCAAGATTACGACTCCATTAGCACCGGTCTGTTGAATGCCGGCCAGACGGAGTTGGCCCTTGCGGTTTTTAAGGACATGATGCTTACAGGACAACAGTCACCCTCGGATTCTGTAGCTCTCTTTAAGACGAGTCTTGGCCTCTATGACAATCTTCATTCCTCTAGCATCAATGCGGCCGATGTCAACAAAGCTTCGCTTGCGGCTCTGACTATACTGCCGCGCAAATTTCACAACAAATTTTTCTTTGCCAGTTGGATGAAAAAGCTGATAGGAATGGGCGAAGTTGATGCTGCCGCCTCTGTAGTGGAGTTGATGTATGAGCGAGGTATTAAGCCGGATGCGAAGCACTTGAATGGCATAATAGGGGGGTGGCTCCGTGAAGGAAGCCCAACTGCGAAGGAAAAGGCAGAAAGACTTGCATGGGCAATGGTTCAAGAGCGCATCGAGCGAGTGTGGCACGATATGCCAGAGAAGCCATCTGTTTACGACACGTCAAATGATGTGGTTATTCCAAGACACATGCAACGAACAGTTCCCGCTGCAAGCATAGAAACTTTTTCTATCTTGCTGCTATACTATACTCGGCGGGATCAAGAAAATATGGCGAACTACCTGATTGACTGCCTCGACACTGCGCAAATCAAACCGAATGCCTTCTTCATGAACCATCTTCTGTATATGGAGCTTCGAAAGCAAAATATTCTCGGTGTATGGACAAAATACAAAGATATGACGGCTATCATTAAGCCTGACTTGGAAACATTTGCTTGTCTCTACGATTGCGGAAAGATTCAGTACGATCGCACCCGTTATCTTTTCGACGCGAAATTCCCACCTATCCGCTCTCTATACAAGGAAACTATGCAATGGTTCAGGAGCCTCACTCCACACCAGCAAAAGACCACAAAAGAGGAGTTCTCGAAAGCGCTATATGATCAGATTACGCGATGCTTCTGTTTATCCCTTGACCCGCAAGGGGCCCTGGTGGCTATTCGATCCATGAAACAAATTTTTGGCTTCTTCCCGGACGTCGATACAACCCGCATCCTTACGTTCCTTCTCGTGCGCCTGGCACCTACTCCTCCGGGCATTCCTAAACCCCGCCGCAGGCGTATTGCATCAACACCTCGTTCGAAGGAGAACTTCGAGAATATTTCGAATCTTTTAGCTGCAATGAAAGATTGGAAGGTGGCGCAGCTATCTCGACAGGGAATCAACCCCGATGAGTTAGACGAGGAAGAGCAGAAGGCGTTCCAAGTTGACTTGATGTGCGATCTGTTACGCCTGGTCATGCGTCGAATACAGGGAGACTCTGGAAAGGTGGAAAAGAGTATTCGTGCAGCAGCAGATGAGATGGCGGTGGGGGAGCTCGATCTAGGTGTGGATCCGGACCTAGAGCTGTGATCTCCCACGCCATTTGATTCATGAGTTTTTCGTATTGACTTGTTTTGCGGGACCGGGCGTTTTACAATGGCATGGGGGAAAAAAAAGGATTTACAATGTATCATAGCGGGCATTTTCACTTTGGTAGTCCTCTCTTGGGGAAGCCGGGGCCTATTGGAAGGTAGGGCACGGCGATGTATATTATAGAAAATAATTTTGAATCAGGCAAGCATTTACTCTCTTCATCTCAAGCACTCAAGTTCCAGCTAATGCGCCGAACTTTTACACAAAGGGCCAATACACGTCTACCCAAGGCGACTTCTGCTATTTTAGCACATAGAAAGACAAGGGCCTCTTCGAGGATGAATAGTACAGAAACAGATGTATTTATTTCTTTCCTTTCTTCTTCTTCTTTCCACCGCCACCGCCAGGATTCATAGCTGGACCACCGCCCTCTACCAACACTGTATCATCATCACTAATAAGTTTATCGCCCACCACTGAGCCAGAAGCGGAACTAGCCGGTTTATTATCCTTCCCAGCTGATCCAGCTGTAGACTGTTGCTCTTCCTGCTCTAACTCTTTCATGAAGCCTTGCTGTATGCTCGCTCTTTTGCGCTCCCACCATTCGCATTCTTGTTTTGCCGTAGCTTGAATTTCGTCAACTCTTTGTCGGAATATTGTGTTCAAGGTCATCTCGTTGGCAGACTGGAAAATTGTCTGACCCCAGCCTGGTACGAAGGCGTTGGCCTACGAGTTTTGAGAAGATTTGAGTTAGCTATTCATGACTTGATCACACCATTTTCACTTGCAGGAGCAATGGAAAAAGCGTATCTACCTCGGCGACAACATCTCTAAACTCCTCCTCGAGCTCCTTTTCAGCCCTCAAAAATTGTTGCCACAAATCATCGCCGACACTGCCCTTCTGGAGGAGCGCGCCGAGTGCAGGTTTCTGATTTCTAAGCTGCAAGAGGCGTTTAAGGTCTTCTGCAGCACGACGAAGGAGAGCGGCTTTTAATACTGTTTCGGGAACAGCGGGCTTCTTCTTCTCTTTCGCATCGGAGGGAGAGTCCATGTGTAGGAGTGAGAGGTAGACATCTCGCTGGACATGCGAAGGGAACCACGGTTTGAGGGATGCAGACTTGGCTATATATCACGCATCGCGCTCGTGTTAGCCGCTGCAAGTCGCAAAAAAATATGCTCTTGCCAAAAGGCAACGTGTTGCTTACCGGCCTTTCTCTTGCGGTATAGGGATGAAAAGGTCGCTAATGAACCGATAAGGACGCCAAGGTAGGCAAAGGGAATGATCAAGCTTAGCCAGTCTACCATTGCGACTGACTCAATGAAGGATATGGAGTATTAGAGGGGAGTGCGAGGAGTAAAGAAGAAATATGAGCGGAAGCCGACGTCGCACGAAGACGAAGCCGCTCAGGCTGCAAGAGCCAAGATACTTTCAGAAGAATATATAGTTACAAACAATTCTAAAAATTGGCTCATTGCAAAGAATGGTCGAAAAAGAAAAGAAAACAGCAGAATTGTCGTTGCTTGATAGTTGCTTGTGCAATGCGGACTGCGGCCAAAGCTGATGCCACCTGGACAAAATTAGTGACATTTGGGAACAGAACACAATGTCACATGTTTTGAGTTTCTGCAGATCAAGTCCGCTCGCTCCCTTGTTACAACACACATGGACCAGAGTTGTCAGTCAATAATACACTGTAAAGAATGCAATCATTTCCAAGGACAGTCCTGTGGATTTCAATGTCCAGGTACTGATCATTTCATGTCTGCCTTGCTAGTTACCACTGTTACTCCAGGCTCAAATAACATTATGAACAGCCTAAAGATCACACAATATTGACAACATCCATCAAAGCACCAAACCTTTATTCAAAGAAAATGTGTATCAACAGAAAGGAAAAGGTATTCTTTTGCAAGTCATTGACATAGGAGACCACCTGACGCCAAAGCAACTAGATATGTTCCGCCGAAAGAAAAATACACAAGCTGGAGAAGAGAATATCACATTTGATGCCACATAATAGAATCCCATTCCACCTGTGACTCTGGGCTAAAACAGCAAATTAATCAAAAATGTTGCATGGATTCAATATCCTGGAGAACTTCTTCAAATTCTCTCTTGACTGCTTCCGCAACACGCCTCCTGTTCCATTCACCACGCATGCTCCAAATACAGTCCATCAGACTGGTGTTGATCTGCTCCAAGTGCTCCACGGAGAATCCATCCGTTTTGGCGGTGAGTTCTAAGTGCAGTTGCTTTATAAACGCATGATCAATAAAAAGTTCTGGGTTGCGCGGTTTCTCTTCTGGATTGAGGAGGCCTTGAAGCTGGTTGCTCGCTCGAGGAGTATGGAACAGGGGCACGGGAGGTTGAGACCCCGGTTGCGAATATCTCGGTTGCGATTGACTTCCATTAAGCAAACTAATCTGAGAGAATTCTCCGCCACTTGTTAATGGTGTTTGCTGCGACCCCCAGGCACTTTCTCCCTGTTGAGTATCAGGCAGATGTTCATCGCCTGAAACACGGGATGGGTAGAGGTTAAGATCGGGGCCTTCGTGTCTCATAGAAAAATTAAGGGAGGTCTGTGGATGGAGCTGCACCTCAGAGTGACCCGAATTCTTCTTATCCGAAGTAGTCTGGGTGGTTGACGCATCATTGGCATAATCACCTGGCTGAGAACCTGGTGCCATTGGGGTCATTGTACCCTTTTGCGACAAGTTAGAAAGGCCAGATTGCTGTAGAAGTTGCTGGGATGGCGCTGTATAGGAATGTGGCGGTCTCGGCTGGGCGGACTGTCCAAACGAGCTGTTCTGGGTTTCTCGGCTGAAGCCAGACGTATCTTCGGAGTTGGACATTTGAATGTCCGCATCGCCATTCCCACTCCGATTGAATATCGAAGTAGATCCCTCGCTGTTCGGATAGCACGCACTTTGGTGGACATCTGAACCAGGCTGTGGGGGAACTCCATTCGTCAAAGAAGTATTTCCTGTTTGAGGAGTAAGCGGCCGAGCACCCAAGCCGTGACGCGTGTCTCCAAAACTTTCGCCCAAGACAACAGGCCCAGTGGACTGGTTTGACGATTCGACACCATGAGCAACATTCAGTGGTGGAGGAGGACCCATTGCATTAGTGGGATTTTCGGATTGCTTCGCTTTTTCAATAGCCTGGCGTTCTCGTTCCAGCTCCCGAAGGTATACATTTTCGCACTCCGCAACTAAAGCAGGTTCGGTTTGCTCAATAAGGCCGATATCAACTTCGACATTAGACAAAAGTTCATTGGCTTTCAACAGGCGGTCAGGGTCGTCAAGTGTCTTTGCATCCTTTGCCAGACGTTTGATATCCGCAAGGAAGTCCTTTGGTCGTTTGTAATAGCCGTTTGACAAACGTTTTTCGATAATCACAATGTCGATATTATAATAGAATTTACCTGACACAACCTCTCGGAGCCCAGGGACGCCAGCTTTGTCTTCATCCGTTTCAAAAGGCCGGAAGGTAGTCCTTTGTTCCAATGGAAGATCAGATGTGACGATGTTTGGGTCATTATCATCGAACAAATATCGAATTTGAGCCTCGTCAACCGGGCCAGCACGGAATCTTTTGTAACTTCTCTTGATTTGGTCCATTATGGGTTGAATTCGAATCTTTAGCAAGTTCAAAGTTTGACGGTCCTTCTTCTTCTGTGCCTTCAGCTCTTCCTTGGTGGGCGGAAGGGGAGCCTGGGGAGGGGCTGGAGGTGCCTTTTCTAAGGTCTCAAGGACTCGCTTCTTTCGATTTTCCGGATCAGGAAAATCAGTCGGAGCTGTCATGATATATCTCATCGCCGCCTCGAAAAATTCGTGCCGCCATGCGTCCATGGGTGCAAGGAGATCATATCGATTTTTCTTTGAGAAACCAAACAAAGACTTCATGATTTCCTGATCGGCTTCCTCCCCATCGCCCTCTAACACCCCCAGCAGCAAAACCGGATCCGTTGGGGGAAGAGATCGCAGCAATCCAAGAAACGCCGAGATGACCGTCTTTTCCACCGTATGATACCAAGTTTCAATATTGGGAATGTAGATAACACTTGGTTTATGACGCTTGACTTCTGCGAAAAGATGAACAATCGCTGTTTCCGGAGACTTGATGGGATCACTGAGGAGTGTAGGAAGATCAAAAGACTGAACATGGACTCCCTCAAGATGCTGCAGCACCGCAGCTGCCAAGTATTGCTGACCCATGCCCGGTCGTCCACGGATCAAAAGCCTTGGTCTAAAAACACGGGATTTTTCGAATGCTTGATGTATACGTTCATGTCTGAACCCAGCATCGTCATCCGGCTGCTCGTATTGCGCCTCCTCCAAGGCGGTCAGTGCCTTCTTCTGCGGCAAAATCCGGCGAACTATCTCCTTAATTTCTTGGAGGGCATGCCGCAGCAGAGGCTCAACGACAGGCGGGAGGGGAGAGGCACCTGATGAGGTTGACCGCTCAGAGGAAGGAACCATCTTTTTCAAAGATATCATGAAATCCTTCGGGGTAACATGGATCTTTGCAGGATCAATCAACAGTCGTTCCTTTGATTGATATATCTGAGGATATATCCGTTGGACCGCATTCAATGCCGCTTCCGTACAAAGAGCACGGAGATCGGCACCACCATATCCCTTTGTCAATTCTGCCAGTTCATTCTTTATTTCATTTGATAACGGTGGATCCCAACTCTTCGTATGGATATTTATAATAGCCCTGCGGGCGTCTGTATCAGGAAGAGGGAAATAGAATTCGCGATCAAACCGCCCAGGACGCCTTAGAGCCGGATCTATAGAGTCGGGTCGATTCGTTGCGCCAATAACAATCACTTGGCCTCTACCGTCCATGCCATCCATTAACGCCAACAGAGTTGAAACAATAGATGCATGGATTTGCTCTTGCTTACTCGATCTGACGGGGGCAAGACCTATTCAACATCAGAATCGATTTGATCCGTGAAATTGACCATGCTGCACTCACCGTCAATCTCGTCAAAGAAAATGATGCTGGGCTGGTTCTTCCGGGCCTCTTCAAAAAGGAGACGCAGCTGCCTTTCCGCCTCGCCCACCCATTTACTAAGGGCATCCGCTCCCTTTCTCATGTAGAAGGTTACCTTCTTGCCCTCGGTACTAACGCTTGTTGCTAAAGCTCTGGCTAACAGAGTCTTTCCTGTACCCGGGGGCCCATGGAACAGAACACCACGAGGAGGAACAATACGAAGTTTTTGAAAGACCTCTGGATAGAGCAACGGCAGAGAAACCATCTCTTTCAGTTGATCAATATGCCCTTGCAGTCCACCAACGCTGTCAAAATTGACGTTAGGGTCAACTCCTAAGGGATCAGAGTCTGCTAAAGCTTGTCGGTCTTTGATTTTGCCCATGTTCGCCGGTGTTCCGGATGGTCCTTGTGCGGCATCATTGCTATGCAATTGTGCCGAGAGATTCCCAGTGTTCGCGAGTCCGGATGCCGGCTGCACTCCTGGCAATCCTCCAGGTTTAGGTCGTTGAATAGCATCATCATCACTGCTATCGCTCTCCACACCTCCGATAGCGCCTAATGGATGTGGGCCGCCTAAAAGAGGTGGAGGCCCACCACCTCCAAAGGGACCATATGTAGAAAGCAAGCTCCTTTGCCAACCGCCCCCTCCACCGCGAGGCCGACGGGAAGGAGATTCAGCAACCTCGTTTTCAGCTTCTTCTAACGGCAAGGCTAGCTCTGGCCTAATGATTCTGTAGTCGACAGATTTTCTGGCTCGACGGGGTTTTTCATAAACAATTTCGGGCTCCACGCGTCGACGAGGGCGGCTGCGTTTCAACTCTGCCAATTCAACGGCGAGTTCATCAGCTTCAGACTCCGCACAACCTTGCGAATTGCCACCGCGCTTGCGTAAACGTGATCGACGACCATTGCTACTATCTTCCCCTTCGTCATTATTTTGACTTTGTTTACGGGGGGAAGCTTGGGAAACTTCTGAATCGGAGAGATCATCGTCCATAGCTTCATCCTCGCCAGGATCAAAGTCGCTTCCATCATCTTGTTGTTTTCGCGAAAGCTTCCCCGCAGTTTTTCGGCTAGAACGGCGAAGCGGCTGAATCTCCTTTTCCTCTGCTTCCTCATCTCCTTCTACTTCTTCTTCAACATTATCCTCTCTTTTTCGTTGTGGTCGAGTCCTCGTGCCCGATCTTGGCGCTTCATCCTCCTCATCGTCTTCTTCGCCATGTTCGGACTCGGGTACAAATCCTTCGTCAGCCATCTCCTGGTCTTCAGCTGGTTTCTGTGTCCCTGCCGCTGGATGCATCTCATCTGTTGCAACAATCGCAAACAGCTCCTCCTCGAAACCGCTCTCCATAACCTCCCGCGGCGAACCTTCAACAGCGTCTGGGAGTTGTTCGTGCTCGGCTAGGCTCTGCTCAACCTTGGAATCTTCTTCTTGCTCTTCCACGATGGCATCAGCTGTCACGGCTTCTGGTACAGCCTTGCGACTGCGTGTCGTAACTTCAGGGCTACGTGTCCCCTGGCGCACCGTTTCCACGTGGCGTCCGGAGCCAGACAGGGCGACAATATCCTCTGATTCATCGCGGTTCTGGCGTGTAACCCGTCTATTTCCGAAGCGAGCAGCAAATTTACTCTCCGTTTCCTTAATGCTGGCGCTTCTGCCTCGCGTAGACCTAGTAGTACGGGAAGCTGCTGGTGTTTCTTGATGCCGTGGCACAGAAAACTTCAGCAATAAACGGGGCTGGTTGGCACTCGGCTCCGCTTGTCGGGAGGTCTGCTCTTCCTCTTCCTCCTCCTCCTCCTCTTCAGAGAGATCATCCTCCGAACTCGAGTCTATATGAAGCTTTACGTTCTTTGCTGCTTGTCTCTTTATTGAACCCCTTGCGGTCCGCTCCACGTGTGGATTATCTTCCTCATCATCATCCTCCTCGATTTCGTCCTCGATCGACGGCTCGTCGGATATTTCAGATATTTCATCATCGGAGAGTTCTCTTCGTTTCTGCTTTTTAACAGGACGCTTCTTGGACTTCGATTTGGATGCGGGGGCTTTTCGCGATCGCGGCGCTCGGTCATTGTAATCTTCGTCACTCGAGTCCGACCGATTCGCATAGTCCTCTATGGTCCGTTTTGAGGCGCGCGGCATGGTTAGAGAGATATTAAAGACAGTTCAGAGGACTCTTTTTCACAATGGCCCTGTAAGCAGCATGCGCAACAATGAATGCAAACATCAATTTGAAAAATTGAAGTTCGAAGATCTGCTCACAGCGAGATATCAGAGATACCGATGAAAAGTATGTCTAAGTAGCAATGTCATGAGACAGACATCCAACTGGCTGGCAACGCTTCTGTTAAAAGAATAACTTGCGTTAGCAAGGATGAATGAGGAGGCTGGTTTCGTCTGGTATATTGTGAATGGGTTGATCATGAAAAGCGGAGGGCTTGAGTTGCTACCGTGAATGAATATGCTATGGATAAAGGGTGGGAGCAGAACGAAAGAATGTAATGTAGCAACAGTCAAGCAGAGACGGGTCGGGGTGTGAGGTCTCAGCAGTGGGTGCCTGGATGGACGGAGAGATCAACGGCCACAGGTATCCTCGCGGGCGTTCGGCTGGGGAGGAGGTCTTTCTTCTTGGTGTTGCTTCCTAGCCTAGCTGGGAGCGGCTGGGTTTTGCTGCAGCCACAGCCTCTAGGCCCAAGGAGGACTAGCGCCACGGTTACCGCTGCCACTTTCTGCCCGATCCGGTTTAGCGCTGCCAGCGCTGCCTCGCAACTCCACGCGCCGTCCACCACTGCAGCGTCGCAAACCTTGAAAAGTTGTTTTGTTGCTCCCAAATCAACGCCAACATCCCAAGTCTTTCCATTTCAACTCGCCCACAAAGCGCATCACGACAATGCAAGTAAAACCTCCTAAAAGTGAACAGCATACCTAAATTGCAAAAAATAGCTCATTTAACACAAAAAAAAAAAAAAAAAAACTCAACGGCCCGTCCAATATGCTCCCATGAAAACACCTAAATGTGCCTACTCTCCCTCAAGGTAGCTCGATGATCCATGCCAGGGGCACGGAGGCTCAAAAACAAGCTTATCGCCATTAGGGTTGCCGGCCGCCTTGTCGGCACCCGCAGCTTGTTCCATTTTTATGTTCTGGTTGCCTCGAGCCCGCGTCGAGGAATTGCGGATTTTCCCCGCCATCCATATAGTCATGTGATCTGCTTAGTCATGTGTTAATTGATTATCACGTGATATCAAAGTTTGGGCGGCCAACCCTTTTCCAATAAACCTCCCTCGGCGAACGGTGCTGGGAGAGAGCAATCTTTTGACGGGAGGTCACTTTCTCCCCCAGTCGAACAGCTCTGCTAGTTACGGTCATTGCCATGTAAAGAAGCAGGTTCTACGAACATAATGGCTTTTCTAAGATCCTTTGCGCGTTCTGCTTCTGTCAGATTTCATCACCCCGTTTCCTGCAGGTCTTTCGCCACAACTCCCTCAAGATGGAATGCTTCCCAACCAGCTAGCAGCGGTAGCGAGGCCCGTAAAGTAAGCTCCAACATACTCTGGCTCGGTATATATGTACATCGACACTTACCTAAATATGAATAATTTATAGCCGGTCTCGCTCGCCTCGTTTAAGAGGCCCTTGGCAAAGGTTTTTCTTGCCTCGTTTTTAACATATCAAGTCCTTTATTTGATATGGCTTCAGCTCGAAACTCAAGAGTTCGAAGCCGAGATGCAGAGTGTGTCAATTCCCCGTCGGAGTTGGCGGAATTTAGGGGTCTTACTAATTCAATACCTTATAGGGGAGTTGACGACCTTAGAAAAGCGGGCTCGGGGATTAATTGCCTCGAAAGACTCGAGCAGTTCTAAGTGATCTTGCATACTTGACGCTGAACTTCTGAACAGTTGCCTTCGGGGGAATAGGAATTTTGAGCCGCCAGAGCATGAACTGGCTATTCCTAACATATATTGGCAAGGACCCGTGTTTTAAATAAAGTCATGTACCAGTACTGTATTTAAATTATATCCAAAAGGATTGATACCCCTTACTAGCATACCATCATTAGACCATCTCTACGCCATAAACGACCAATCAATTCCGGTATTCCGACAAAACATCTTGACCTGCCTCACAATCTACCATCACAGCCATTCCCCGCATTCACAGGAAATCCAATCCGCCACTAATTTTCTCAAGATCTACCCGGATGCTCTCTATATCAGCACCGACTCGACCCGCTATCTCCGCCTTCCGCTGCACGCCCATGTCAAGCCATCTCAACAAGAGGTTCCCATCAACAATTCCTCTTCCGCCGAACCCGTCACTCTCAACCGCCCGATATGCTTTCGGGTTCAATCCACAAGGGTGCTCCATGCTTGTTACCAATTGAGATTGTAACGCCGAAAGGCGGCGGTACGAATCTTCGGTCAAAGGAGTTACGACACCTATCGAGCCTTCCTGGGATGTCACAAGGACTTGATAAGATTTAGGCACATAGTCAACATCCATGTCATCTTCTCCGGGATCATCAGCAGAAGGTGAACTGGAGTGCTGAGGTAGCAACGTCATTGTTGAAGTGAAGTGGCCCATGTGGAAACTACTGCGATGTAGAAGTCGATCACCTTTCGACGACGTAGGGTCTAGCAGTTATTAGGCTAAGGCTGCATATCAAAAATGAGGAGATATAATTTACCTTCTGGGTCGTATTCAAGGACATGAATGGTGCAATCATCATCAGCTACTAAGATATATAGCCTTTTCCCGTCCGGCAAAAAGTCAGCGGCGATGACCTGGAGGTACTCGTTGTCCTTGCCGAAAAGGGTCAACCTGTATGGCTCTTCCTGCAGAGGACATCTAGGTTAGCAAGTAGTCCCGAATTTTAGAGGTTAATGCGATGAAAAAGCTTACAGAATATCCTGCAAACCAAATTCCCTTAAGGGCATCGCCCATGATGCATAATCCGGTTCCCTGGAGCTCTTTCAAGACTTTGACATAACATTGCATATCCATGAATGCTACTGGAAGGAGACTGCCATCCTCCTTGAGGCCACGGACCATACACTTCTGGCCTTGAGCCATGATCAGAAAGCCTTGTCCACCGATGCCAGACACAGCAGTTACTGCGCCTTTAACGTCGTCCTTGGCAAAAATTTTGAGCTTCCGGTTTGTCTCTGGACGATCCGGATCGGGAGCTACTTCAATAATTTCGAAAACGTAAATGGAACCACGGGGAGTAATATCCTCGCCTCGCACTGTGGCAGTTCCTACAACCAGCATATCTTTCATTTCATGTGTGATTTCGGAAATTTCCATATTGATTGTCTTCATACACATGACACGCTCAGCATCGCCAAGCTCGTAACTGTTATCAGGTAAGCATAAGACCAAGATCATTACAAGTTACACTCACCTATCAACGACAGACCACGTCCTAGGACTAAGCAGCTTTATACACCCTCTTTCTAACTGTGGCATAAATGAAATAACTAGAGATGATGTCAGCTAATGATTAACGAATCAAAATTGTTGTCATACCTTCACTTCGCCATTCGGGATGTATTTCGTCATCTTCTGGAAGTTTGAAGTCCACTTTATGGCTGCTCCCTAATGCGTAGATCTCTGAATGCGCAAAATATTCCACACAATCTATTTGGTCTCCAACATGCACTTTTCGTGTGACCCACGAATTGTCAAAACGAGTATTGCCCGGTAATCGACACATTCGAACCATGTTCTGTATCACCAAAATCAGCTTATTCCAAGGAACGAAATATTGTTTTGGCACACATACGCTTGCATCGACGTAAGCAAACCCTTTCTCGCAAGCCGGGATGTGGAAGCTGCTAAGAGAGGAGACGGCCTCCCCCCTTAGTCTCAAAACGTGAGGAGAGCTCGTAGAGGATTTCATAACAAAACATGGATTTGAGCCAGACATAAAAACGGTTTTATAACCACAAATATCAGAGTATGCACGCAAAAATTTAGAACGAGGCATATATGCCTTCGGCGAAGGGTCAAATCTGGGCAAGAAATGGTCAATTATCTTCACAAATCGAAGTTCCTGTTTGTCCAAAGAGGTTTTCGGATGGTATGGCTGATATAGTATAAGGTCATTGTTTGCTGTTCGTAACTGTATGTACACTATTAACCTTGCGGCCGGGTGAAATAATAGAGGATCACATACTATTATGTAGGGCTGCCTGCTGATAGAGTCGCCAAGGTCCGCGATCAATACTTCCGATAATGTTTCACGATATGTCACTCGTTTAGGAGGTGGCTCGCATGAAAGAATAAGCGGCAAAAGGTCCACGCCGTCGACGGAGCAGAGTGGCTCCGTAAGTGTAGGGAGAGAGAATATCTAGACCAGGTCAGCAACCACATTATCGGCGCGATATCTGGTCGCTTACGAATAAAGTATGGTCTGCTCGTAGAAGAACTAAAAGAATGTTATCGGATAACGGTTGATCTTGGCCTTTGGTCGGGACAAAGGTATGATATTTATCAAGGTAGAGACAGCCAGACAGCCACCTATGGGAGCTCAAAATTCCGTCGATGTTGACTTCGTCCAGATCCCCACTCTTGTCCGCTTGAAGTAAGAGGAGTGACTGATCGTCTCGGACAATCAGGACATATGGTTCAGCAAAACTAGCGCTTACGACAGAGAGCTCGTCGCTGGTATCTTCGTCCCAAATGGGGTAAATTTGGGCCAACTCAAGATCTAAACCGGCGATTAGCAATAGAGAAAGGTAGCGTCCGCACGAGAGAATCTATTGATGCACTTACTAGTATCATAACTCCGGACCTCGGATTTAAGCACTTGAACTACTCTAGTTCCGCCAGCGAGCGTGCCGATATCCACAGTCGAATCCTCATTGGGATTAAATTCCGGAGCTTTCATTTCCTCAATTCCGCTGCCACCAACCGAGTATACAACCGATTGCTCCTTCCCGGGCTCTGTTGATTTCGAGAAAACCAGATACTTATCGTAATTGCGTGAAGAAGTTCGTGTATTTGTGGAGTCAGGGGCCCCGACTTGAATCGACCAAACTCCGTCGACGTTATCCATTTTCATGGAGTCGATAACATACGGATCCAGCTCCCGTTGTAGAACCGCAAGACCGCCCGCATTACCTTTCCCTTGAGTGACAACAAGTTCTAAATCAGCGGATGTTCTGGACGATGACTGCTTTCTGTTTTTATCATGCGAGCCAGGAGGCCTTCCCAGGGTTACATCGCTCATTGGGCCCAGGTTCCATAATCGATCGTGCGAACGGAAAACAAAATCGTCCTTGTTCAGGCCGTTTGTCTGCGAGGTGGTTTTGGAGAGCGTAGTTTGGTTGACCGGAGTGGAGTACAAATCATCTTCATAAATGTCATCCTCATCATCCTCTGTTTCAGAATGATCTCCAAATACATCGTCGGCCGACTCTACTTTCGGTTTTCTCATCAATTGCGAGGGACGACTCCATCCTATCAGAAGAGAATCGGTCTCCTCGCTTCCAAAAAATACTTTTCCCCTGCCCAAACTAGCCGAACAGGAAGGTCTCGCTTTCAGAATGGAACCTCCAGCTTTTTCAGAGACCAATTGTGCTGAGATCCCAGACACAGAACGCCCATCGACTTTGAGTCGTAATATAGCCATCTTGCCATCTGCTAAAACCAGCAATATGTCACCGCTGTCAGTTCCCAGCTGTTCAACCACACAGCCCTCAAGACGTAGTCCTAGATCTGATTGATCCACCATTGAGAACGCAGATGCCTGTCGAGCAAACTCATTTATGCCAACGGCATTGGTTTTACCCGCTTGGTCGACATGGATTAGCTCATTGGACCCAATCAACAGGGCGCCTCCGATGGGAGGCGGGAGGGGAACGACCTTCCATAGGTCACTTGGTAATCGCGAGACTGTAATGAGGGTTGTTGATGCCCGTTGTTGTATATCTAGAGTAAACACAGAATATGAAACTATGTCTTTTCTGTCACGGAGAAGAGCGGATGAGGTCGTAAGATGAGAATAGAGGATGCCAAACGTAGGTTCTCTATACTCATATAAAAATGCGAGGTGTATCGGATGGACAAGAGCAGGGTCCAAGGCGGTCAACGGAAGCACAAAGGAGGATGCATAGGGTGTTTTGTACATTGTCGTATCATTTTCAACGGCGATTTGTGCAGGGATATTGCTTGCTCCTTCCGGCTTCTCGTCTAAGTCTCCGTCGAACTCATCCATGACGAGGTCATCGCCTGTTTGGTGAAAGGGAAGAATGGCGACGCTATGAATGCCGAAATTCAAAATGGCGCACCTGCTGCTTGGATCCACTGCCAGAAGGCTCGGGCAAAGTTTTAGATCTGGCGTCCAGGGGCTGCTGTGCACATCTTCTCTTTCATAATAGTGAATGGATATGGTCGATATTCCATGTCTTTCATGGTCCCACTCGACGAGACTTAACTTCGCATTTCGGGTTGCAACTAGCAGCGCCTCTCCACCGCTTCTTGAATCGAGAATTTTCACTCTCCCCAAGCCGGTTATTGTCCCGGAGAGGTCATATTCGGCAACCAAGATTAGTTTGGTATATTGCTGCCTCTCAACTCGGCCTTTGTCATCCGCATTTGGAAGTGCGCTTGTCCCATAGGCGACATTCACCAACGAGAAGACTTGAAGTATTGACGTCTTTGCGACTATCAAATTGTTGGATGTCGCTGACAAGAAAGGCAGAGAAATGGCATGGGTTACCCCCGAAGGAGGAAGCAATTCCGTATAGCACTGCATGCTTAAGTCCGAAGCTCAAAGCAAATCCGTAAGACCACACATCCAGCTCATGAACTCCAAACCATCATCCCGTCTCAATGCCTCATCTCCAGGACCCAGCGTGAGTGAGACTGTCAAGGAAGCTTTGTCATTGGATGCTTTTTACTCTGCAAGCCCAGCTAACGGACAGTTTTGGCCTAGCGTAAGGCTGCTATAAGTTAGTTAATCAATGTGACATTATATAACTAAGCGAAAAAATCCTTAGTCATCAACTCTGGATCGCGTGACGCCTTTCTGTTTGCGCAACCGGAAGATGACGTCGAAATCAGGAACGCTTCTTGTCCCCGGCTACGGTTCTCGCTGCCCATCGGGCCATCCTCTCTTCTTAACACGCCTTCTCACGCCATGCGCAATTGAGTAGCGGCATCGCCAACTTCAATCTGGAGGAAGATCAATTGCTGCCAGACCATTTAGTTGATACCCAAAATGGCACTCCTCCACTCCACTCTGATTTGGATTGTATATGCAGTCGTTGTCGGCATTCTTAGTATCGTTGCGTCAACTTTTGTTTACGTCTATCAGACTCCTCGCGATCGCTCGGCGGCTGTTACCACTGTTTGCATATTTACACTTACAGCTTTGTTGGCGACTGTGCTTCTACTACCTGTGGATGTTGCCTTGGTGTCTTCAACGACATCGGAGTTCGGTCGAAGAAAAGACTGGGCAACAGACCATGAGGTTGAGAAAATCACGTACTCATTAACTGTGGTATACTACTTCCTATATTCGCTCGACGCGGTTCTTTGCCTCCTGATAGTACCATTCACATATTTTTGGTATGAAGAATATGATGAGGTGGCATACGAGGATGATGGACGATTCACTAGAAAGCCATTCTGGGGTGCCTTCAAATATACCCTCGTATTTATTTTGTTGACGATAATCTTGTTCTTGGTTGGCTTTTTTGTGCCGGTGGCGAAGGATCGAAAAGGTGCCCATTTTGATTTAGACTACTTCAAGAGGCTTCTAACAGAGAACCGTGCGTACCCGTTCATGTTGTTTGCACCTAGAGGAAACTGAGACTAACAAAGTAACATGTAGATGGCGAGAGGGCTCTGACATTTGCTCTGGGCCTTCTGATAGTGATGGGCATCATTGTTTATGTTATCTATTCATCTACAGGACTCGCCTTCTTTCCGATATCTTTCATCAAATCTTCCCCGTCGATCTCTAGTCCTATGCTCAGCGCCAACATCGAATCCAGATTAGAGGAAAACATTGAGCGCCAGCGCCAGCTTGAGGGTCGCTGTGGTGGAAACCCGGACCATCTGTCCTCTAAAGACCGGAGGGAGCTTGATTCCTTAGTTCGAGAAGAACGAACATTGCGCCGCCGCAAACGCCTTGCGGAGGCTTCTCGTGGACAAGGGAGAAATTTCGTCATTAAAGTCTGGTACAAGCTTGGTGCGGTATTCCGACCAATAAAGCTCCTCGGAGGACTACTTCTCTTAGCGATCTCCGTCGTGATCTGGATTTCGATGCTCCTTACCTGCATCGATAAAGCGAAAAATTCCGTTTGCAAACAAAAGTGCGGCTACATTCTAGGAAAAATCAACATTATTAATCCAGTTAACTGGGTGCTGGTGGAAGCTGCGAGTGTCTTCCCTGCGGATTATGTTATATTTATTGTCCTGGTCCTCCATTTATTTACCAGCTCTGTTGTTGGCATTGCAACAATCGGAATCCGATTCTTGTGGATCAGGCTTCTTCAAATTAGAAAAGGCCACACATCACCCCAGGCGCTTCTTCTCGCAACAGTGATTCTCACGCTTATCACGCTTGCTCTCAACTACTCGATCTCTATGATTGTCGTTCCACAATACGCAACGTACGGCCCACAGACGTTTTGTGATTACCCATCCATTCCTGCCTCGGCACCTTTGGACTGCTCAAAAAATAAGGAGTACCTAAAGCCGTGCTCTGAACTCGCGAACAATCCCGCGGCCAAAGCTGTCTGCACTCCAAGTGTCGCTAGCACGTTCCTCAATCGAATCACTCTCAACTTTCCTTTCTTTGGGATTGTCGATTTCTGGGCTCAGTTTGTTTTTCTAGGTGAGTGCGCGTACCAATGCACAAGATACCCCGTTTAACCGCTTTAATATTAATATATTATCGATAGGATTCTCCCTCATCGTTCTTTTGATTTCGCTATTCCGTGCACCTAGGTTTGATGAGCAGCAAATGGATGAAGACGCAGAGGAAGCCGAGGAAGAAGGTCTCCTTGCTGCTAGCGGAAGTCGATTTATTGCTGCCTGGCAGGACACCACTGGGCGAACACGCGATCAACGGGTGAGATTTCGTGATGACGAATGAAATGTATCTTGGTGTGTTGCATTTTGCACTCCCAAGATATTCGCGTCAGCCTGGTTTGCTTTATGGGGTCTTAATTCGGAAGACGGAGCATGTGCATTGGCGAGGGATACGGTATGACACGGTTATTGGTGGATTATGGATTAAGTAAATAAATGACCTAAGATTAGGAAGGGTGGGAAATTGCAGCCTGCTTCACTACGGGAGGGATGAGCATGAGGTTATGCATGTCGACATATACGGTTCACGGGGACCGTAATGGCTCTTATGACGGACTCTGACTTGGGATAATTGAGCGCTAATTAGTACAATCCCGGAATATAATATAAAGAGTTCCTTTTTACCGCCTCTTCATGCTTCCATAGCCGTTCTCCTAAACTCAACTGCCCGATGGCCCCTCTCATCTGCATTCCCTTCGACAAGGTGCATTTCCTTCCAGCACCTAGGGCAAAAAAGCGGCAAGTCGTAACAGTCAAGGCATTTTAATTTCGCGTCATCACTGCAAATGCAACACCAGGTTGGCTCTGACTCGTCCGGTTCAGTAAAGATGTTCCTTCGGTTTCCCAGTGCCTTTGGGGAATATGTTGTTGGATTTGATATAGGCACACAGGGAAGATCAAGAGTGTCGCTTAGTTCTCGTCCATTTTTCTCTTCATTATCAGTTCTTGCTCGGCTTTCAGCCAGTGGGTCCGCCCCTGGGCTTTCCTTCGGATGATCATCTGGAGCAAAGTCCGGAGTTCGTAGCTCATCAAGAACATTTTGAATGTAGTCTTCGGCCTCCTTCTCTTCAGAAATGTGGTTGGAGCACCGGCTAGGACTCTCCAGTCGTCTGGCTATCGCTTCATCGCCACCCCTCAAGAGCTGGTAGTGTCGGTCAGATATTGCAGATTTGAAGGGGGATCATGATAGTAAGTACAAATTTTTTAGCCTCATCAACCAGGCTTTTGATTTCATTTTCAGCTTGAAGTTCATGTTCTAGTTTCCATGTCTCCCTTGATCTTAGATCCGCGAGAAGGTCTTCGACGTCCTCCTCCGGCTGGCCTGGAACTGCATGAGACACTATGCCTCCAAGATTCTTGAATCTCGCAGACAAGAGGTCGACTTCGTCGGCGTCAGGCTTATCGTCCTCACAACGGTCATCATCATCATCGTCATCATCACTTGGACCGCCCAAATCCCAAGATAACCTGCTATGGTAATTAGTGTCCAAAAAGTACTTAATAAGTATAGCATGACTAACTTGTTAGGCTCGAGTTGGATAGTGGAAGGCTTCAGAGCATTTAACCGTTGCAGGAGGTCTTTATCGGCGTCAGACGGCTTTTCGTCCATGACTGCTACATTATATAGAGTATGTATATAGAACTCATACCCGGCGCCTACCGACAAATAATAGCCCACGAGCCTGTAACGGGGTGGGAAGCTTCAACGTTTCAATCATCCCACCAACCATGACAATGCCATGCTTGGCGGCTGAAGATGACGTAAGGAAGTATGCCATGCATCCAAATTGTACCACCATGCGCCTGAAAGGATGAAAAAGGCATTTACATTTTTCAATCATCCCGCAAAAGGGCTAACGCGTTCTCAAATGCCCTGACAACATTCGCGTCTGTGGATGCATTGTTAGTATCTCAAATACTGTCAGAGCGCAGCACCATCTCATACAATGTTGCTTTTTATCCTCTAACCGCTCCTCTGAGTTTTGTACGTAGTCCATCCTAGTTTTGAATCTGTGTCTTGGTTAGTGAATTAATCTCATTTCCATTCACTCCTCAATAACGGGAACAATGGCACCTTTTATAAGCTCGATCCTCATCGGAAAAGACTGTAGTTTGCGACCATGCAATGAATACCTGATTTCAATGTCAACGATAGGTTGAGTTGATGTAGTTATATCCACAAACCTCAAGTAAATCCGCGGTGTCCTTCTGGAGCGCATTCTCCATATCAGATCGCTCATCCATTGCCTCTATAAATCGCTCCTGAAGCTGTTCCCAAGTGCAGTTGCGAAGGGACTGGGCCAAACCGTCCCATTTGCCGGGCTTGATATTTGCTGACGCAGCGATTTGGTCTTCTGAATTTTCCAAGTTCAATTCTCCGTCATTCTTGTTCGCTTTGGTGGTGTTGTTGCTGTTGCTGTTGTTGTTATTGTGGTCCGTAGAAGGGGGACTGTTGCTTTTGGAGGCTGATTTCGAACGGGAATGTAGGGTTGGAGGCATATTGGATAATTATAATAGTTATATGATGACAGAGAAGCTCAAAAGCTTGATGTAGTTACCTTGATGAGGTGAACTCCCAACAATTAGCATTTAATGGGAGGTTCTCCGTTGATAGGGAGCGTGCATCTATCACTTCCACTCCAAATGGAAGACAGCCTTGATTATCAAGTTGGTCAGCATCGCTGGGGGGCTACCTGGGGCGCCATGGGGTTTGAGGTAGCACTCTGCCTTGTCTTGACAAACAAAGCAAACAATCGCGAGGAAAGTAGGTCAGGTGACATCATCTCTGGGCCCCGTCCAATTCTACCGTGTGACTTTAGCACCATAGCCATTTCTATCATAAATTTCAGCCTAACTGAGAAAAGGGAGAGATATTGAACGTACCTCTTTTTACAGTAACTAGCTGACGACTATAATGACATTGGAGTGGTGGGCTTGGGCAACAAAGACACGCATTAGTTGTTCCTCTTGCTCCTCCGTCTCTGCCTACAATATCCCTCCTCAGCTCGAGTGAGAACAGGAAAAGAGCATGGAATCCAATTCTACTTCATGACCACTCTCAAACAGTCATATTTAACCTATTATTTGCTATGATTTGCCAAGTGTGCCATCGTCCACCCGACTCTTCACTTCCATTTTACTGTCCGAACTGCGCTCGCAACCGGCTGTACCCGCTCCGTTTTGACCTCGCAAAGACGTTGCTGGAGAAAGAAGCAGCAGGCCAGAAGATTGAGAAGGCAGTTAAAAATGCGGCCGGCTTCAAAGGGATCGCGCCCGCGGGGTCCGGTCAGCCGAAATCGACTCTGGACGAGCCCTCCAAGATAGCCATCGAAACGATGCGCACCCTTAAGACGCAGTCGGAGATTAGAACAGAGGCCATACAAGTCCAGATTGCCAAACTTAGACGAGAGATAGAGGAAGGAAAGCAAGAAATTGCGAAACGGCGGGCCGCACTCGCAAAGCGACGCTCTGACGCCGAGGCGGTGAACTATCAACTCTCACAGCGACGAGCTGCTATCTTGAATAATGTGCAGAAGGAAATCAAGAAGACAGAAAATGCGTGGAATACCCTTCATTCGAAGACTGCTGAGTCTAGGATGTTTCTATGTCGTGAGGTAGCCAGCCTCTATAATCTCCGACAGAAGACTAGGAGGAGAAACGGGGAGATCATAAGCACATATTCTATTGGTGGTGTGAATATGGTTGATCCTAGGGATATGAACAGTAAGTCCATGGATATTGTAATAATATATTCTTCTCTGAGAAGGCCCGGCGTTTTGACCAGGAACCAGGCGCGAGTCCGGCTCAGATTACCACGTCGCTTTCGCATATCGCGCACCTGCTGGTGCTTGTTTCGCATTATCTTGCTCTACGTTTGCCAGCCGAAGTTATTCTTCCACACCGCGGATATCCTCTACCTACAGTATTTCCTCCGGGGTCATCTTACATCGCAAAGGACATCCCGTTTCCTGGCCTGTCTCCTTCGAATTCTTTCGGCCCAACCGCATCAAAAGCGCCCGATCGTCGGCCCCTCCCGCGGCCCCGGCCGCTTTTCCTCGACCGCAGCCTTCCTAAACTTTCCAAGGAAGATCCTGGTGGCTATGCTCTTTTCGTCGAAGGGGTTGCTCTTCTGGCATGGAACGTATCATGGGTTTGCCGATCACAAGGTCTACATATTGGACAAGATTCTTGGGAGGATGTCTGCGAGATGGGGCGAAATCTCTGGCAGCTACTAGTTGCACCGCCAGCGCTAACAAAAGCCCTGGCCGGTCGAGACTTGCAAGCAAAGCCTCCAAGCAATAAGGACGCGCCTACAAGAGGAGGCGCGCTTCATCGGACGAGATCGCTTCCCTTGCTAGGGCACTATTCTCACGGCACAGCGCATTCCTTCCTTGGAAGCGCTGAGGGACTTGAGTTTATGAAAACTTGGAAACTACCATCTCCCCTCAAGGTTGCCGACAAGTTAAAGTCCACTCTGCTGAGCGACATGGCCACGACGGAGTGGGAACTCCTCGAGGAGGATGAATGGGACGAGGGTGGCACGCCGCAACCAGAAACCGAACAAAATGACGGGCACGTTCTCGTCGCAACCAGGCAGGCGCGCGACAACGACCCTGGTAACGAGGATACGAGGAGTATCCTCACGGCCAGAACGGTAGTGGATGAAGAATACAATGAAAGAGCGCGTGGGGAGCGGGGGGAAGCAACCGCTTCCAGTGCCAGGCCAAAAGGGACGAAAGGGTGGACCAAGGTGAAGAGCAGATAACAGCGTCTCCTTTTTTATGGCGTATCGAACCGAGTTTCTTGGGGCTTTGGACGATCATCTATCCTTCGATATCGGCACTGATTAGTGTGATGCGTCCATCGCGAATCTTTTGGCAGAGAAGTCGGTCAACCGTCATCAGGATGTCGAGAGCGAAAAAGGTAATAAATCCTCCAGTGCGGGGGGAGTGTGGGTATCCGTCTTAATGGCGCAACCGGGATCAACGGAGGAATCATCTAGACCTTCAAGAAAGAAATGTATACGTATTTTCGGAGACGGCTTCTTTTGTCCTGTGCCCTATGGATATTTGCGATGATCCACACAGGCGCCACTCCCGGGAAAATTGGGATATCCGAAGCCTTTGCCGCGTCTACATATCCGTAGACTTTTTTTCTTTTTTTTTTTTTTTTCAACTTTCATCGCGTGGACTAATCGTGGGGCGGGTGTGATCAGAGATTTTCCATCGTGGGGTCCGATGCCGGATCCGGCGGGGCAGTATTTTACTTGCGGTCTGGAATTTTGAGGACGTTTGAGGTGTTCATTCCATGGACAGTGAGAGAATTTTAGCAGAAACCATAGAGCAGTGTTGTATTCCGCAATTTTTAGGAAAGGTATGGAGTAGTGTGAGCTGGATCAAGGGGTGTTTACAGCGCTGAAAAGGACCATGTGTGCTCTGCAGGGTGATTGTATGCAGTGTTGGTGACACAACGGCGAAGGCATCACGCGAACCTGATAATATTACGTAGGTAGCTAATTTAGGTACTTTTTAATTTTGGGATGAAGCACTTCTATCTCATGCATAGTTGAACAACTTGGATGGTCTCGGATGATCGATTACCGTTCGCACTGAAATATACATCTCCGACGTCCACTCCGACCCTCAAGTCTACAAATTTCCCCTTGGCTCGCTTATTCGGGGCTGCTTTTACGTGATTTGGCCGAGGACCGTTTCGACGAGCGGTGAAAGGAGAGGAAAATGATGGGACGGAAATAAGAGGAACCCGGAACTAAAAGAGCAGAAGAGGAGAGGCATCTTTCTTTGGATGAGCGGTGTCCAGAGTAGAACTGAGCATTTTCTCTCAAGGGAGAAAGTTGGGTTTGGATTGTGCTGCGTTAGTGACAGGGAAGAGTGTGGCAAAATGGCCATGGAGAATACTCTTTCCCTATACCTTCCGCTTTCGACGTCCCTTGGGACTGGTTCCGCGGGAACTGGTCTTGGCTTGTGAGACAGAGAACATGAACCCCATCGCAGATGTACTTCGGCATCGTGAATTAGATATAGGTTACCATGCGAATGAGGTGTGGAAAATGGCCAATCCATACTGTTCTGTATATATCAAGAAAGAGGGGTTGGGGGCCTCTGCGTAGAAGGGTGGCGAGGGCTGATTGACAGGGCTCTGGGGTCGACTGAATGCCTCAAATAAATGAAGAGAACCACCAGGCTTCATCTTGGCTGCTCACTTCGTCTGACAAGAACGCACAGTCAACTGTGTTTCAACGTGGACAAAAATTCTGGGGGCTGAGGAGCCGAGGGGCTGATCCGCCCCTGACCTTCCGCCAACAAAGACGACGATTGTCGAGAGACTGCAGAGGGGCGATACGGGTCAGCAACGGGGCAATGTGAATCAGATCGGCTGATGGAGAAATGCTCCAGTGGAGTCGTGCCTCGTGCTGTCAAGTCTAGCATCCGGAGTCTTTGAGTGCGTCGTCAGTTACCCCAGCGGAAAGATGGATGGAACGGAAGCAAAATTATTCCTCCATCCGCCGTGGTCCGTTATCCTCTTGTATGAAAATAGTGCTCCGTTTGCCTGACCGCCGCCTGGTGCCAGTCGGGCGTTTCTCTCCCTCACCGTGGCAGCACCCTAGCTGTCAGCGTTTCAGAGTTTGCACATGTCAGCCCACAGAGCAGCCTACCAGCGGATGGCTTGGCGCAGGTTGCGCCTTGGCCGGTCGGCGCTAAGCACGCGAGGGGGCTCGAACTTTGGACTACATCGATCCCAGTGCGCAGCCGGAGCTCTTTTGGGCGGTTCTGCGGTGGGGCAAGGGCCAGGCACAAACATGTCGCAGCCACTCGTTTCTCCCCAAGGCTCGAAGGTTTGCGAGGTGTTCCCTGGTTGGTCTCAACGTGCCTGGAAGCAAAACCATGGGTGGGTGTGCATCGTCGTGGAAAGGGGGGCAAAACAAAAAAAGCGATTGCTTTTTTCACGGGTGGCCATGCGATGAGCTGCGAGTCTCCATAGTCCTTCTCTCACGAAGAATTTGTCAAATACGGAGCAGTGGACTTGGCGCCGAAACTCCCTGAGCCGCTGGGCAGTTGAAATGATGATCATCCAGGGCTATTGAATCATCGACTGCCACCTTTCTCGATCCAGCAGAATAAATTACAGGCCGTTCAGCGTCACGTTTCGTTTCACCAGAATTACACTGACCAGTAGGAGTTGATGGGATCACGTGAGTAATTTAATAAACTTGCGCTGATAGGCTGGACTAGGTTTGGGTAAATTGAGAGTTACAAGGTCAGTACGGTTTGTTACCCGCCCAGCAGCGCTTTTATCCAACCATCGGTTCCCCGTACGCCTCATGGCAACCAACATCCAACAGACAGGAATCCGCTGCTGTTGACATTTGGTAGTAGATACCATGGATTGCAGTAGAGTGAACATACAGCACAAAACTAGTGAATATCGCGAGTAAGAGAAGAGGATAAATTCTGCTGTGGCCTGTGATGATGTGTGCATGTGTGTGTGTGTGTGTGTGTGTGTGTGTGTGGAAATTAAAGGCAAACCTCACTCTCCGTTCTGTTCCTTGGGTGAAGTTATGGTGGGGAGACGGCGGCCACACGGGGCCTCTCCCGTAACCTGATGACTGGCGCGCTCCATACTGCGGTAACTTCGAGTATGTAGGGTGAATGTCGAGGCTCGCTGGATTGGGTCGACATGGAAGCCAAGGCCCCTGCTGTGTGCCTGGTTGCTGGCGGTTCTCCACGTCCAACCCAGGCCCGGCCCTTGCCCAGCCCAGTCCAATCCAGGAACCGCCTCCCCCCCCTTTAAAATTAATCCCATCCCTCCTCGCGCCGCCCATCTCCTCTCCCCTCCTCTCCTCTCCTCTCCTCCCTCCCCTTCTCTTCTTCCTTTGCATTTCCGTCTACTTCTCAATCACCCTGCGCAAGAGGTTCCTTGCTCTGTCACTCTCTTCAAGGCTGTCTTCAACGCCTGTCCACTCCTTTCTGGGCCTCTTATACTCCAACACTGGTCACTCATTCACTGGGATCCTCCTCGCAGTCGGAATCCTCCACGAGAACCAACACAACCACACCCATATCACTCACAGTATCAAAAGGCATTCAGTCTCTGTAAGTTAGCACCTTCTGCACTCCCTTCTGCACTTCAATTGCTGCTTCGCTCCGATCTTTCATGTCCCTGTACTCACTGCCATGTGATTCTCTCTACATTATCAACCTCACTTCGCTCCAATCCTTCACTTTTGTATTTTTACTTTGTTCCAATCTTTTTCCTTTGTATTCTCACTTCTCTCGCATCCCTCTTTCACTCTAGTCCACTTTGTTTGCAAATTGTCCTCCTTGCACAATCGCACTTACAGCTAGGCCCTGGCTGCGCGGCGACCATTTAAACTTAATCCTTCTTATTCAGCTCAGAGTTCCAGATCTGTTCTAACCTGGGAATCGCGTAACAGACGTCTTGCGGACTGGTCATTTTCTGCCATGCATCTTAAGCTCGCTGTTGGAGCTGCTCTTGCAGCATCCATCACCACCGTCTCTGCTCAGGCTTGCTCTGACGGCAGTGCTCAACAGTTGGGAGGCAACTGGTATTGCTCCGCTGTTGATTCGATCGCTTACACCAATTTTGGCTCCTCCGGCAGCTATGACGAAGTCACCCAGATGGGCGGAGGAACCTGTGCCTCCAAGAAGAAGGAATTCAGTGGGCCACTTGCTCCTTTGAATGGCGAGGTATGGTTGGCCCATGATCCATCTCTAACATCGAATCTTACCGTGGCTTCCGATATAGGTGTCCTGGCATTTCCGTGGCCCTCTTCACTTAAAGAAATTCGCTTATTATACCCTTGGCTCCGGACTCAAGCCTGACACAAAACCCAGCTTCCATGCACGCCGCCACGGACACGGCCACATGCATCGCAGAGCCGAAGAGAAACGTGCAGTTGGTGACATTGTTACTGCCACTATCAACGGCGAAGTTGTCACCTGGGCCAACGAGTATGACGGCGGTGCTGCCCCTACTCCTGCCCCGGGCTCTTACAAGGGCTCCGACAAGGATTCTAAGGGCTCCGGTAAGAAGGGTGGAGATACTCGCAAGAAGACTCCTGAATTCAACGCTGGTATCGGCAAATGGGGTCGCCAAGGTTATTATGACGCTGAGAAGGGTGTCGCCGATGGCCTTACTTTCCTCAACCACAACGGTGGTCAGGGATCTGGTGTCTTTGACTAGTAAGTTGCATACCCCAAAGTCGCTTCGAACCTCGTGGATCTGACTCGCTCATCCAGTGACTTTGGAAACTCCCTCTCCTATGCTTCTGAGGATGGTCTGAGCGGTGCTGCTTCTCCCTGCGTTTTGAAGGATAATTTGATCCCCGATAACAAGGAAATTATCATCATGAGCGACAAGGAATGCAAGGGTGACTCTTGTGGAACTGTCCGTCCTGGAACTGTTGCCTACCGTATGTCTTCTGTGTCACCAAAACGACTGAGGGAGCCCCGCTAACCTGCTACTTAGATGGCTTCGATGGCGCAAGCAAGCTCTTCCTCCTCGAGCTTTCCATGCCCCTGAGTGGCAAGACCGGCTTTAACATGGATATGCCCGCTGCTTGGATCCTTAATGCTGCCATTCCTCGTACCCTTCAATATGGCAAGGCCGAATGCTCCTGCTGGAAATCTGGCTGCGGAGAGTTCGACGTTCTCGAGATCCTCGATTCTGGAAACACCAGAGCCAAGTCCACCATCCACGCAAACATCTCTGGCGGTGACAGCCACTTCTTCAATCGTCCCACTGATAAGCCAATCAAGGTCGCAGTCGTCTTCAACGCTCTTACCAGCAGTGCTCACATCAAAATCTTGGACGATGACGTCGAATTCGCTCCCGTTATCGACTCCACCGAGGTTACCAAGTTCTGCATTGAGGCAACTCTCAACTCTATCTTCCACCTCGGCTCCTAGATGGATCGCCACCACAGCTGGACTTAACCAGCATCGTGCGAATAAACAATGTTAAGTGCTCCAGGTGTGCACGCACACTTGACAATAGACCACATCGTTCTCGCTTTGAACATTCTCGTGATGAGGTTCCGCGACTGGTGCTGCCGTGCGTCGCTAGTATTGATATCCATACCCTTTTTTTTTTTTTTATCTACCCGTTTATTTACCCCAATAAGTATTTTATTGTATATGAAAATGCGCTCTTCTGGATCGCCTGAACTTGCAAATGAGGGTCTCCCGTGATTTTCCATGCGGCTGATTCGGCTATGTCCAGATTTGCGTTTCCCCGTTTATAAAGACTCTACAGTCAACTGGAGTTGCATGCTTTGTCTGTACTTTACACTCGATTTTATTTTCACGGACATGCTTCTGGGCTGGAGGGGGCGCGGGCGGCTTTAGCTATTAACTGGGATTCCTTTTTTTTCAATCTCCTATTGCCTTTTTCTTTTTTTTTAAAGAAAAACATCAGAGGAATAACGAATAGCATGTGATACACTCTTACAGTATCTTGTCACTCTGAGAAAGTCAAATGGTGCTTTTTCTCTTACTGTGCTAAAGCTCTTGTTCTCGCAAAAGAGGGTCCCAAAGCCCTACATCGCCCCTCGCGTATGTATGTACGTTAACTGATCGGGTTGGCTACATGCTAGCCTCTCCGCATAATGCTTGTTATTTTAGTACCTATGTAATTGATTGTGGGTGGTTGAATTCGTCGTCCAGGGATCAAATATCCTAGTTGATTAATTATGTGCTAGGAGGTTAGAGTTTGATGTGAATTTTGGACAGTCAGGGGTGATTGTCACTGTTTCACAGCATATTGGCTTTTCTTCTTTTTTCTGATCACAGCTGCAGTTCTGACGCTCATGCTTTGTCTCAGCCAATTCCGGTTGACTGATCAACTGCAACATTACTGCCATTACTGCCTTATGTGCGGAGTACATTCTTGACTTCATCCAGCTTCTCATAAGCTGGACACTCTCATACCTAAATGGTTTGCCCTGCGTACATGTCCCTATTGTCCAAGATTCCACCATGATTCGAATACACGCTTCAATCCGAAGCGCTCGTTCGAAATTCCCAAGGCATCTGATAACAGCCCCAGCTCCTACTCTCTCACCGACACTCCCACACAGCATGTTCCCCAGACCCCCATGAAGATTTCTTCCGCTACACCACGGGCCGCTGGCTCTGGAATGAGGAAGAGCAGCTCCGCAAGCGCTATCGACGCTTTAATGTCGAAGAACTTCAGAATGCCGCTGCCAGGGCGCTGGGAGGCACATCCAGATGCATCTAATAAGAACCTCGAGACCAATTTGCACAAAACGTTTCAATTGCAAATGGATGATGGGAGGGTCGTTATGGCGAGAATTCCTCATCCCAATGCGGGTCCTGCTACGTACGCGACAGCGTCAGACGTGGCGGTGATGGAGTTTGTAAGAGGTCCTATGCTTAAAAATAACGGGATCATACTCAAATGATGCTTAATTCTAGACGAGGACCGTGCTGGATATGCCTGTTCCGAAGGTTTTGGATTGGAACGCGTCGGTGGCCGAGAACCCCGTGGAAGCGGAGTATGTTCTCACCGAGGCGCCGTCGGAAACCCCTCTGGGAGACTTATGGTCCAGGATGAAGCCGTCAGAGAAGAAGAGCATTATCGAAGAGGTTGTGGAGTTGGAGCAGAAGCTGCTTTCCGCCGAGCTTAACCTGTATGGAAGCTCCGCTGTGGGAAAGTTTGAAGGGCAAATGAGGATGGTAACTGTGAATGCTAAGCTCAGGATCTATCTACTTTGCGGACAACGGCTTTGCGGGCTGTAAGCCTGCGGAAATTATCAGAAATGCGCCGTCGAGCATCAGAGACTTGGCCAAAAACCGCTTCGTGATTGGGCCAAGCGTCCACTGCGAATTTTGGGAGAGACAGGATGATGAAATGAATATAGATCGTGGACCCTGTGAGAAAAAGGTTCCAGGAGTATACAATTTTAATGCTGGAGAGTGCATGAGCTGACTATTACTTGAACAACCTCGACACGGCAATCGGCCGAAGAATACGTCAAGGCCATCGCTCATCGCGAGATGGCATGGATACCCAAATATGGGGAGAAGTATCCCCATGACAACCGATACACATATGCACCAAGTCAATCGTCTCCACAGGAACACATCGAACTGCTGAAGCGATATATCTCTGTGGTCCCTATGCTTCTTCCTAAGAGCCCTGAATTGCTTAGGCGAACTTTGTGGAATTTTAATCTCAGCGGGCACAGTTTGTTCGTACGGAATGGGAAAATCTCGGGGTTAGTTGACTGGACCTGTAACCCTGTTGTGCCGCTGATTCTCCAAGCACGCAAGCCGTCGTTAGTGTCATATAGAGGGGAAGGCATCAGGGAGCGCCCCGATAACTTCAAGGAGCTCGACGGGCACGAACAAGAGAGGATAACGGACAAAATAAAGCGGACTGCTACACAGGATTAGTATATGATGCAGACTAGTTTGGAGAACCCTCTTCTATCCCGAGCCCTAGATGTACCTCAGCGTGAAGTGCTGGGTCACCTAGTCGCCTTTGCCGGTGATTCTTGGAACGCCGCTCACGGCTTTATGAAACTTCGAGAATCTTTGCTGAAAGTTCTAAGGCAAACAACACCTGTCCCATATTTACCGCTACTCCCGGATGGCGGAGGTTTTGCTAACTTAAAATCACGAATGACAGACGCTGGGATCTCTTCCGCATGGAGGGACCAAAGCCATATCGTTTCACGGACGAGGAAATCGAGCAACACAACAAAGGTGGCGAAGGATTCAACGAGCTCCAGGATTTCTGGGATCTACTGGATGGAGCCGTTGACCGGGAAGGATTCACGTTCCATGAAAATTTCGACGGCGCAATCGATTTTTTCTCCGAAATGCGTGGAGCGTGTGATGCCGGAAGGCGAGGGAGAGGATCGCGAAGAATGGGAGCGCTGGACTCAATGAGTCGTCGAGCGTAAGAAGGAGAGGGAGGAGAGGAATAAGTCAGAGTGATCTCTCTCGCTTCGGCGGCTCTTTTGTTGGCGCCTTACTCCCACCAGGCAATAGGGACAACGTTCGGTATGTGTGTAGGTACTCCGTACGTCGTGATTTTAAAATAGTCTCGACGCAATTTCAGCCCAATCTCAGCTCGATATATTGATCTTCTTAATTGGTTTGGTGTTTCCTCTATTCCTAGAACTACTCCGCATAGTAAGGAGGATAACCCTTACTCTGTCCTCTCCATCTTCTTTCTTGGCACAGCGAAATTGAAGCGGAGCGGAAGTGAAGGCTTGGCATCGGAGGGCTAGACTGATGATGTAATCCGAAGCTTAGCTCGCAAACTAAATTTGTGCTGTCGTGGAATTTCGAGAGTAGAAACCTCAAAAGTACGATAACACTGGCGAGGCCGTTTTGGCAGCAAATTCGCGGATGGACAATTTTTTCCTCGTTACATTCGTTGAACCCACCCAGATCTGGTTATGCTAGTTACGGTTATTTTTTTGGGATTTTTTTGATTGGTCTCTGCGTTCAGCACCGTTTAGCGGTCGTTTCACGAAAATTTCCGCCCTTCTGCGCGATTTTTCCCGCTACCTGAGTTGGTACGAACCCTGGCTGTGACGATTCAATTTTCGCAGAGTATTAACCTTGATAGCATTGGGAGGGAATTACCACAGTCCGGCTCTGCGTGCCATTTCTGCGCAGATCTCAGCCCGCTAAATGTTTGTCATGGGCGCATTCACCAGCCGGCGATTGATTTCATAAGATGTCACGCCGCAGACTGGGGGGGAGAATACCCGGTTGCAAAATGCTTCAAGGTACGCCCACCACCCCTCCCCAGGGATTTGTTCAATTGTCGGCCCTCGAACATGGGCGTTTTGATGCCGTTTCTGTCGTTATCCCGCTACTGAGACCGCTGTAGCGCAGAAGTGCTGAAAACCATCTCCAGAAACAGGACCTCGCATTTCCTCCTTAGCCGATGTGCCTATTTCTCTTCTAAAAGCAGAGTTGGAGAGACGGAGCTTAGATATACGAGCGCAGGGAGTTTCTCCGGGTCCAGCGCAGCCGAGCACACGACCAGCTTGCGGTAGTACGACGAAGGCAGGATCTTATAACACGCCAATCCATGTTTTTGCGCTATTCCTTATACTTATCCTCAGCACGTTAGGTATGGTGGATGGAGACCTTTTTATTTTATCCTTGAGCTTTTTTTGTGAGCCGTGGCTGATCGATCTTGAATTTAGCATGTTCATTTCCAATAATTGCTCGCCGCTTTCCCCGTCTCCCTATTCCCCGTCGCTTTCTCTTTTTATCTCGACACTTCGGCACGGGAGTCCTCATCGCAACGGCGTTTGTTCATCTACTTCCGACGGCATTCATTTCTTTGACGAACCCATGTCTCCCGCATTTTTGGAATAGGGGCTACCCAGAAACAGCTGGATTAGTTGCGATGATTGCGGTGATGATTGTGGTTACTATTGAAATGTTTTTTGCGATGAGAGGCGCAGGACATGTCCATGGAAGTGAATATGATACATTGATGGATGAGGTATCACACCATAACCATTATGAGGGTCTTGGTGTGGGACGCGACGATACTTGTGGTTCTGGAACACAACACGGAACGCGCCAAATGTCTCTTGGATTTCGTCCAGTTCCAACCGCATCTCGAGACAGCCTTATCGACGGCGCCAGTCCGACGTTGGCAAAAGATCCCGAAAATCAGCGGCAGGGGGACGACGAGAACCTCCAACTTGAAGAGCTAGATCCCTTCCCCGACGACTCTTCGGAGTTCAACGACTCCCCTACCAGTGAAGCTCATCCATCGCACCCCCGACCGCCCCCTCACCATAGTCATGGCCACGTCCATTTCAGTGGTTCTCGCTCACAAAAGGCTCAAAAGCAGCTTATACAATGTCTTCTCCTTGAGGCCGGTATTCTATTCCATAGCATTTTCATCGGCATGGCTCTCAGCGTCGCCACTGGCGCGAATTTTATCGTCCTCCTTGTCGCAATATCCTTTCATCAGACATTTGAAGGCTTTGCGCTCGGCGCTCGAATTGCCTCTTTGATACCCGATTTATTCCCGGCTTCATCGCCGAAACCGTGGCTTATGGCTCTTGCATACGGGACGACCACACCCATCGGACAGGCGATAGGGCTGGGATTGCATACGCTGTATGATCCCGCAAGTGAAATAGGATTGATTACGGTGGGAATGACAAACGCTTTCAGTAGTGGGTTGTTACTGTTTGCGGGGCTTGTGGAGCTTCTGGCAGAGGACTTCCTGAGTGATAGGAGCTTCGAGACATTGAGGGGGAGAAACAGAATTGAAGCATGCTTTGCAGTTGCTGGTGGTGCAGCACTTATGGCGTTGGTGGGAGCCTTTGCATGATGCTTCTGCGAATCCGTCTTCGACCTGTAATTATCATATGTGCATACGTTATGACTATACATTTGTCTTCCTATTTAGAGTTCTTGAATAGAGAATCCCAGTTAAAGCTCTTAATATTTAAAATACCCTGGGATATCAAACTATGTGTCTTCGAGTAGAAACAACGAAATTGTTCTATCGGGCATTCTAGGCGCTTGCTTCATGCACATAGCATAAAAATCCACTCTCAAAAAGGATTGAAGGAAAGACATGAAAAGTCACACAGAAGACAAAGCCTTACTGCAAGTATTCAATAACCATGGCACTAGCTCCGCCGCCACCGTTGCAAATGCCGACGCAGCCCAGCTTGCCTTTCTTTTCTCTCAACACACCCAACAAGGTGGTCAAGATGCGAGCACCGCTAGCTCCAAGTGGATGGCCCAGGGCAACAGCGCCGCCGTGGAGGTTGACCTTGTCCTCGGAGAGGCCGAGAAGTTTCATATTTGCGAGTGCGACAACACTAAAAGCTTCGTTGACCTCGAAGGCATCGATAGCAGATTGCTCGACGCCAGCGTGCTTCAGAGCCTTGGGGATGGCGAGAGATGGGGCGGTAGTGAATTTGCTGGGTGCCTTGGCTGCATCACCCCAGCCGAGGATTTTGGCAAGGGGCTTGATATTAAGCTCTTTGAGCTTGGATTCGGAGACGAGAACGACGGCAGCGGCGCCGTCATTGAGGGGAGAGGAGTTTGGAGCAGTGACGGTGCCGCCGTTGGGAATGAACGCGGGCTTAATGGCACGGAGTTTTTCAGGGTGAAGCTGGTGGCTGTTAGGTGGAGAAACGAAGAATAAATTTGGATGAAGGGTTATATTGACTAACGTTCTTTGGTTCCTCATCCTTATCAACGATAGTAGAGGGTTTGCCCCTGACACCGGGAATCTCAATGGGAGCAATCTCAAAATCGAAGCCACCGGATTTTTGGGCTGCCTGCGCACGTTCATATGTCCGGATGGCATAGTCATCCTGCTGCTGCCGGGTGAAACCGTGGTCCTCAGCACACTCTTCAGCCTGGAGACCCATAAGCTCTTTCTTTCCGTAGGCATCGGAGAGACCATCCTTCATAATTCCATCAACAAATGTCTGGTGGCCGTATTTGGCACCCGTTCTCATGTTTGGGAGGTAATGAGGGGTATTCGACATCGATTCAGTGCCGCCAGCAACGATGATATCGGCGTTGCCGGTCATGATAGTCTGAGCGCCGAGGATGATGGCCTTCAGGCCAGAGGCGCAGACCTTGTTGACGGTAGTGCAGACAGTCGACTCACGGAGGCCAGCACCGAGAGCGCATTGTCTGGAGGGGTTCTGTCCGACACTGCAAGCCGTTAATCGTCGGGCACTCGAGTTCGCAGGAAGGCAGCAACTTACTTTGCAGATAGAACGTTACCGAAGAATACTTCTTCTACATCTTCTGCTTTGATTTCAGGGACTCTTTCGAGGGCAGCTGTTGGGTTGACCTGTTAGCCGGACATGGCATCTCTCACCCTTGGGGAACTGCAGGGATCTTACCCTTGATGGCATGCGATCCCAACTGAGGGGCAGTCAGGCTGGACAGAGCTCTGGAAGTATCCCAATTAGCATGGTAAGTTCGGACAAAGCAGGCGACGGACTTGAGATGCCAATAATAGCTATCTGGAACAGATTTGGTCGCCTAGGCGTTGGGATTCAGGGAGCTACTCACCCGAGAAAGGAGCCTAGTGGGGTTCGCGCGGCGGAGACGATGTAGACTGGCGGACGGGAAGACATCTTTGTTCCTGTGCTCAACAAGTGAAAAAGAACGTAGCAAAAGGTTGTTATGTTCTTAAGGGAGAGGAGGAGAGAGAAGGAGAGAGGGATAAAATACTGCGCACAAGAAGAAGACTGGCGAATATGGTTCAGTGGAAGGTTATCTCTGTGAAGTAAATAACAGAGGGTTGTTTCTGGCTTGTTGGGAAGTCTGAGACTAGGTGGAGCAGTGGGCTTATATAGTTTGGTTCTAGGATGCAGAGATGCGATACACGCCTCCTCTCGATGACAATGCAACCAATCGCTGATATCGATAGTAATTGGTGATGCCGAGTATACGATCACAAATCAATTATTATTCTGCGCTTCGAGATGATGCCGCCGAGCGAGCAAGAAAATGTCGAGGCAGAACGGAGCATTACAAGAACTGCAAGCTTCGTAATTACACTATCTGCGGCAAACTTTGTATGGTACTGTATCGAGAGCTTCTCGCCGCTTTTGGTTTAGTGCAACAATAAGGTTTGGCTAATGTTGACTAGCACTGGTATTATGTAATCAGTTGATGAATTCAGGCTCCAGGAAGACAGACGGCCAGACGAACTTGCGCTGCTGCAACACAAGATTCCTGGAGGTGCCCGTGTCCGGGATTGGTCAAGCTGGGTCCCGCGTTTTGGACTGTGTTCTACGGAGTTTTACGGCCAGAGATTCAGCAGTCCGCCCTGAAAACCGTTTTGTGAAGGAGAGTCGGTTGATCGTGCGCTTTCAAAATGGATGACCTTTATGACGAGTAAGAAGGCCTTGCGCTGTGTTGAAATATGGTCGCGAGACATTTTTGCTCAGCGATTGTGTTAAGATATATACTGATATTAGCTACGCAGGTTTGGAAACTACATTGGAGGTGCTGAGGAGTCTGATGAGGAAGAGCATCATGGCGAGATGCCGGCCCAGAGCTATGCCTACGATCTGGAGTCAGAGGAAGAGGAAGAAGCGGCCGCTCCAGATCAGCAATTGATGGAAATAGACGGTGAGGCCTGAGTGACTGTATTAATCTCCCGATGCTGCTTTGGCTAACCTTGAATTGTCAATTCAGAGCAGGGCCCCTCCAATGCCGTCATCCTCCATGAAGACAAACAGTACTATCCGACCGCGCAGCAGGTCTACGGCGCAGAAGTGGAGACGTTGGTAGAAGAAGAAGATGCACAGCCGTTGACCCAGCCGATTATTGCTCCGATACAACAGAAGAAATTTGCCGTCCAGGAAGCGGATTTGCCCCCGGTGTTTTATTCGCGCGAGTTCATGACAGACATGCTGAATTTCCCGGGACAAATACGAAATATCGCTCTCGTGGGGCATATCCATCATGGGAAAACCGCGTTCATGGACACCCTCGTGATGGAAACACACGACCTTGCTGTGAAACTAGACCGAAGAACGGGGAAAGCAAAAGATGAACAGCTACGATATACAGATGTGCACCTTCTTGAACGAGAGAGAGGTTTGTCCATAAAATCTGCACCAATGAGTTTAGTATTGCAGGGTACAAAAGGAAAATCCTACTTGTTTAACGTCCTCGATACTCCCGGCCACGTCAATTTCGTGGACGAAGTGGCGGCTTCGCTTAGATTGGTTGACGGTGTGGTCCTTGTTGTGGATGTGGTGGAAGGTGTTCAGATCAACACAGAACAGATCATTAAATACGCCGTCCTTGAAGATCTCCCCCTCACGCTGGTCGTGAATAAGATGGATCGCCTAATCCTCGAGCTTAAACTAAATCCGACTGACGCTTATTTCAAGCTCAAACATGTGATTGAAGAAGTCAACACTGTCATTGAAAAGACATTGCCTGGGCAGGGAGAAAAACGAAGGTTGAGCCCTGAGAAGGGTAATGTTGCATTCGCATGTACGGCCATGAACTGGTGCTTTACCCTTCAGTCATTCGCGAAGATGTATGCCGATACATTCTCCAAAGTTGACATCTCAGAGTTTGCCGTTCGCCTATGGGGAGACATTTTCTTCAGCCCTAAAAGCAGAAAATTCACAAGAAAGGGGGTAGAGGAAACCTCCGAACGCTCCTTCGTACATTTTGTCTTAGAGCCTATTTACAAAATTTTTTCCCATACGATCAGTGAGAGTCCAGAAGATCTGAAGGATACCCTTGCTACGCTTGGGATTAGCTTAAAGCCCTCGCAGCTGAAGTCGGATGCAAGAGTCCTCCTGAAGCTGGTGTGCGAGCAATTCTTTGGGCCCGTGGGAGGATTTGTGGACATGATCGTGGATCACATCCCGTCTCCAGTAGAAGGGGCACCCAAGCTTCTTGAGAAGTATTACACAGGCCCTCTTGACACAAAGATTGCCGCCGGGATGTTATCTTGTGATCAGGACGGCCAGCTTGTTGTTCATATCACGAAGTTATTTAATACCCCCGATGCAGCTGGGTTCTATGCTTTTGGGAGAATTATGAGCGGCACGGCCCGTCCAGGCCAGCAAGTCAGGGTGCTAGGACAAGGATATACTGTCGATGATGAAGAAGATATGGTCGTGTCTACGATTGCAGACACATTTATTGCTGAATCTCGCTACAATATATACACGAGCGGCGTTCCCGCCGGAAATTGGGTGCTCTTAAGTGGCATAGACAATTCAATTGTCAAAACAGCTACGCTCGTTCCCCTACGCCTTGAAGATGATGAAGATGCTTACATCTTCAAACCTATCCGGCATATGACCGAATCTGTGTTTAAGGTGGCCGTTGAGCCTATTAACCCTTCTGAGCTCCCCAAGATGTTGGAAGGACTACGAAAAATAAACAAAAGCTACCCCCTCATCTCTACAAAAGTTGAAGAATCTGGTGAACATATTGTTCTTGGGACAGGTGAGCTCTATATGGATTGTGTGCTCCATGACCTCCGTCGACTATACGCCGAAATGGAGCTCAAGGTTTCAGATCCGGTAACACGATTTTGTGAAACTGTCGTTGAGACATCTGCCATTATGTGCTATGCAATGACACCGAATAAGAAGAATAAAATCACCATGGTTGCTGAACCCTTGGACGATGGCATCGCTGAAGATATAGAAGCCGGACACGTTCGCATTCGGGACCCTACAAGGAAGGTTGCTAGATTTTTCGAGGAAAAATATGACTGGGACAAGTTGGCCGCTCGGAGTATCTGGGCATTTGGACCAGATGAAATGGGACCAAATATACTCCAGGACGATACTCTACCATCTCAAGTCGACAAAAAGCTGCTTGGTACGGTAAGAGATTCTATCCGTCAAGGGTTTAGCTGGGGCACCCGTGAAGGCCCTCTATGTGAAGAACGTACGTCCGTAATATGTGTTTTATCTCCCCATCCCTTCTCCCTCTCTTCCTTTTTTTTTTTTTTTTTTTTTTTTTTTTGTTTTTGGTTGGAAAGCTATGTGACTAACTCTACACAGCCATTCGAAACACCAAATTCCGCCTCACAGATATCACACTTGCCGATCAAGCCATCTTCCGTGGCGGTGGCCAGATCATTCCCACAACGCGAAGAGCCATTTACTCCTCCTTCCTCTTGGCCTCTCCACGCCTCATGGAACCGATCTATACATGCTCCATGATAGGCCCGGCTGACTCGGTTGCATCTATATACACTGTACTCTCCCGGCGTCGGGGGCATGTTCTCACTGATGGTCCTATTGCAGGCACTCCCCTCTATTCTGTTCGTGGATTAATACCAGTGATTGATTCCTTTGGCTTTGAAACGGATCTTAGGATCCATACACAGGGCCAGGCGACGGTATCTCTAGTATTTGACAAGTGGAGCGTGGTTCCTGGTGACCCGTTGGATAGAGAGGTGAAACTGCGGCCTCTAGAGATGGCTAGTGCGATGGCGACGGCGAGAGATTTTGTGCTAAAAACAAGACGGCGGAAAGGTTTGGCAGAGGACGTTACTGTTAGTAAATTCTTAGAGCCGGAGTTGTGGAAGGGCTTGAAGGAGAGTGGAGTTCTTGGTGAAGGGTGAACCTGGGTCTAAACACGGCATATATGTGCATGTATTATAATATGAGCAACTGGTGATTTGAAATCAAGCCATTGAATAAATAGCTATTTACAGATCCTGTCCCATTGTGCCGTGGCGCCAAAAATACTAAAAAGATTCCTACTTCAATGTCCATTTCTTGAAGATTAACTCCATATAAGGTTGCTAAAAACATCCAAACGCATCTTATTTGCAAGTCTCCAACATTTTTTCGATTACGCTCATTAGCGTTGAATTCTCCGCAGCGGCTGCAACTCTCTCCTTATCCGCTAGCTGCTTATTCACTTCCTCGGCGGTGCTATGCGTGCCCTCTTTGATCCGCACATCAACTCTAAACCGTGATGGCAAGCTCTGTTCAAGTCTCACACGCACCCCAAGCCCAATCACAGTGGCCAGACTGCAATGTGTGATGGTGGGCGTAACTAGTACGGTAACTTTCTTAAGGGGTGACGAAGGGTCACTGGGAAGTGCTGGGGTAATGGAAATGTCTGGAAGTGATACTACAGCAAGTTCGCCGAGAGATATTGGGTGTTCAGGATCAGATATGGTAGATATTAGGTCTATCGATGTCCATGCTAAAATGAGTATTTGTCCGTGGATGTGAAACGGCGAAACGGGGGTACCAGGACGCACCATAGATTTCCTGCTCATCAATCGGCTCTTCCGAATCATCTTCAAGTTCCCCTACGCTCTCTGTTTCACTGTTTGACTTATCGAGATATGTAGAAAACGGGTCGTCCTCCCAAGGTCGCGTCGCAAGATTGCTACTCGCGAAGATTGTGCCATCAAACACATCTGCTTTGCGAGATGGAGCCGTCGTCTTTGTAACAGACTCACGCCTTGGTAGATCTGCGGCGTTGATAATCGTAGGATTGACGTTCTGCATATTGGACCCGACAGCTTGGATTCGTCCTTGCGTGACTTCGTTTCAACAAGGATTGTTTCGCCTTTGCACGATCAACTCTGTACCCGTGCCAACTTCGCTTACGTAGGTGCTCTTGCAGTGGGAAGAGGCTCTCTGGGAGGGGAAGCTAGCTGCTGACTGGCTTAACCCTGGACAACAGAGGAAAACTTTTTGGCGCCTCTAATATGAATGTACTATGTTGAGCAACGTGCATGCGGATTGTTTCAGGTGACTCTTCCGCGACGTCAGGGACGATGCAGGCAACGGAAGCAAGACGCAGGTCAATAGAAACGCAGGTCCCAGCCACATGAGATCAAATGCGGTTTCATCTAAAGAAAGCCGACAGGCACTGCGAGCATTGGGGTCGCTTGTCGATGGCGTGGGGGCGTGATGGAGCTGATAAGAGAATGACATAAGCGGGAGTGGCGCTGGGGCTGTATTGTAACTCTGTAACCGAACGATCGCGTGTGCGAGTGTTTCAATCATTACGTTACCGGAAGTTAGTTCAAATAAGGTTAGAGCCGAGTGCCGGGGCGATCGCCGCATCAGTTCCGCTTGACAAGGGAGTATGACTTCGTGGCATCAACAATGCTGCCGGCCTGCATGCTCCTGTCTAGTTTTAATGCCCATAGCCGGGTCAATATATTGGACCAAAGCTCTGAGCTCTGAGATTGGACATACCTTTCACCGCCTTGCTCCCACAATACAATAATATCTTTTCAAATGAGGAGAAGAGCATTGCAAACGGCTTATATTGACGACGGTGTTTAAACGAGATACCCTTTGCCATATTTGGGATCAAGACTCGATATTGGGTATTGCGAAGACTCTCCTTGTCTTCCATATGGGACAATGGTATCAGGTATCAAGCACAAGGTTTCAGACTACTCCGTACTGGTGGAATGAATCTCCTTGCTACCCCTGTGCTTCTTGTCAGTTGCGGTACAAGTTCCTTTCCTTGCAACAAAAACTAGAGTGATGGAGGCGGGCAACTTAAACTGGTTTTATTTGGGCCTCTCTGCACAGGAGTATTCTCTGTTTGATTCATACAATGGTTTAGCTTCTGGTGAATAGGAAGCACAAGCTTACCAAGAGTCCATCGATGCTTTTGGCTTCCGGCATGGGACAGCCACAATTTGCTATAGCCATGTTTCCTCAAAATCTGCTACTAGTGTGGGCAGCGATGACACCAATAAGGCCTCATTGCGCTCCTGCTATTCAGCAGCCTCCCATATTTATTTATTTTTTTTATAGAGCCTGTGCCTCTGCCTTGCACCTGTGCAACATCTGCACAAAGGATAATTAACATTAGAGAGTTTGCTGTCTCTTGAGTCCTGAAGATATTCTTCAATCTCTCTCCTTTCGCCTTGTTCTCATTACAGAGTAGTGTAGAACTACACATGCCAATGAAGGAATATTTGATTTTATGCTCGCGACACTTGGGTTAGCTACCTTGTGATCCATAATCACCCCAAATTTGAGTGGACTCTGCGGGTATAAAGCATGCTCTGGATTTCTTGCAGGCCATACAGCTTAAGCAATCTCAACTGATTGAATTCGAAAATATTGTCGGTGGAAATGGAAAGAAGCTGACGTGGTTAGATGATCATCATTTTACGTCACCGCATTTTTTTTTTAATTCCATCTGCATGCCCAACAGGCAGCAGGCGGGATGGAAATGGAGCCCGTTAAAGAGAAATAATTTTTCTTTCCCTCAATATCCAGATACAACCCAACCTGGCCTCCACAAGCCGCAGCACCAAATCCTATCAGCTTGGAAAATTAAGCTGCAATCTGAAAGCCTGTTTTAACCTGTCTGCCTGAAATTGTTATCTACCAGACGTGGATGGAGCGTGTTGGCGAAATACGGAAGAATCCGGATGAAAATTATTGCTCCTCACGAGGAATTCGGGACTTGCAAAGAGGAGGCACAATGAGCGCTGTTATTTCTTCTGTTGTTTTATCACAAAGATATGTGTGACGTTTCACGAGGCTACCACAGGGAAAGGGTCGCGGCCTGAAGAGGACTCGGCAAAGTTGGAATGATGTTACATCTCAAACTTGCCCATACGGACCGAAGGTCAACGACAATAGGAACTGAGGGATCTCTCAAAAAAGCTGGAATTCCTTCAAAGTCAAGAAGTACAGTCGCAGCGTGCTCCAGCTGGTGGATGTTTCAAAACGAACCGCGCCCAATGCCGAACACTACGTTTATGGAGGCTCAGCAAATACTACTGGGGGGCCAAGGGAAGAATGTCTTGGACGAGATTGAGATAGGGCTGAAATCCATCCTTACCATTCCAGAGAGTAAACCTCGCGGTGTGGCTAATAGGGAACGGCGTCCTGATTTGTATTTAACGGGGTTGTATTTGAAATAATACGGTTAACGAGATCTTGGCTGGGGATATTTTTGCGGTTGACAAGCGATCCCACTCGAGTACTCCCGGAGGTACGGAGAAGTGAGCTGTGCCGGGGCTAAACATAACGCCCAACGGCCTTTGGTACACAATCTCATGTCGATTCCCCAGGGATACTAGTTACCCACGTAGAGAAGGTTTCCCTGGTGTGTTTTAAAGCAACGAACAGGAGACGCGCCGCGAACGAGAGTTGTTACCACTTGTATCCTTCTTAAGGACCAAAAATCAGGCTACACAATCGCAAAGCGTCAACCAGCAAATCATGAGCCATGTCATAGACCAAAACTTGCTAAGCGCCGGCTTTCCTCACGGGCCGACGCATGCGGGGTTGTGGATGCAAGGGATCTGGCGTGGGCCAGAAAAGGAACAAATCATAGTAGATAGATTTGGCTTGGTTGATGTTACATGGCCGACGGGGTACACACATGCATAGTTACATGGTACGTGCATATAGCATGATCTTCAACTTGGACTGCGTTGCTGGACGGGGAAGTGACACGGAATTAAGCCCGTCTGAAGGCCAAAATCGGCCACTCTTATGAAACCCCCCCGGCTCATAAAGGAGCCCTTTGACGTTTTCGAAGCCGATACAAGATTCAAGGTTTTGAATCGCACTTCGCAGGTGCAGATCCGTAGTTTAATGAAGAGTGTCTCGACTTGCGGCCCAGCGGCGGAGAAGTATCGGACCATTTGTGACGATTTCTATCTGATCACCCGTGGTTTCTGGAGATGCTTCACTGTGTCTCCGGAAGAATTCAACGGCGCAGCAGCTTGAACTCGGCGAAGGTTGCATGGGGCGTCGTAGAAATTATATGGAACAACCGGGGTGCACAATGCTCTCGCTCCAAACACTCATCAGCACTTCCGAGATCGTCATGGCATGGGGAACGGTTCCGATAATTCGAGCGAACCCCTTCTTCCTATAATTCATATATGCCACACTTGATTATTTTAACGAACCAATCATTCTAGTGTGCGCAGCGGGCGATCTGCGCCGTTTCCCGTTCCCCAGGCATGTTAGGGAAATTTGGAGATGGGAAAGAGTGTACTTTCGCTTGTAACTAGATGCATTTTGCTGAACCCCAAGTTTTCGCCCTTGAAGCACCACCCCTGCCTTTTCAGAGCATATGTACGGAGGAGACTGTACTGTAGACATGGACAAGCATGGATTCCCGCTCCGCGGCGAGACCATAAATAGAACACGCGCTATTCCGCTTTGGGAAATATTGATGTCGTCCGAATCACTACCCTCTACTTCGCCTCTTCCAGAGTGCGGCGCCATGGCTTTTCACCCTTCATCCCTCCCATTAGAGCATAAGCGGCCGGGAGGGCAGAAGAAGAGACGTCAAAATGGCGAAGGGTGTTCTTACTGCCTTGGGACCTGTGCGTCAAAACTGAATTTTTAACTCTTCCCGACTCTGTGTTTGATCTTCCGACGCTCCGAGCCAATGTATACCCATGTTTGACCGTTGGACACAGCGGATCAGACTGGTTACCGGGCAGCACACAGGACACAGGTTTTAAAACATCGATCTATATCTTCCCCTGCGCCTTTTGTTGTATCATCAGGTGACAAGCATGCATTAGTCCATGCTGTGCTCTCGCGTCTCCAACCCGACATTTCCAGAGTTGAGCTCTTCGCTCCAACTTTGGTGGACCTTGCCCTCCCTTCAGCCCCCAATTTCCCTTCCACGGCTACCCTCAGCACTACATAATCCCCTAATTGCAATCATGGCTATGTTGGTCAATGCTGTCCCCACTCGTGTAGGCAGGTACCTGCACGGTGGCTCCGTTCGTTTCCTTTTTTTTTTTTTTTTTTTTTTTTTTTCTTTTTTTTTTTCCTTTTTTCCCCCCCCCAAACCCAGGCCCGTTCCTGATCCCTCCAGGCACATGCACTTAAACTTTCTGGTTTGATATATATTACTTCCTGTCTATAACCTTTCCTTTATATTCAGCTATCTTGATTACCCTAGCAGGATTTACGGTCTGGACATCGCACTAGGAGAAGGCCCTTACTACCCCCAAGCATGATATATGCCGATATCCCCGAATTCAGCAACCCCTACCTCTCTACATCTATGGGAGCGTCATAAGCTATTCTATACGTTTCGTACCTTTCTGGTGGATGTATTTATATAGCTTTGTTTGCTTCCTCCCCTATTGCTCCACCATTCGGTCTACGTGGGCAACCAACACTGTTGTTTTGACCTAAATTTTCACTTTCAGAAATCTTTTGCTATCTATATTTACACACACTCGTTTTTTGAAATTAAAATTGAACACGAACCTCCTTTCCACAAATTTCGCTGCTTATCCACAGGAGCATTCAAATTTGAAGGAATGGAATGTTGAGAAAAGGCGAAAATTGTTTTGGTGTATCTCACATTCCTTCCCCAAGCTTCGCTCGTTTATTTGTCAATCGCTTGGAGGCACTTTGTAGCCTGAGTAATATTTCGTCGAGGGTTTGCGGGACATCCTTGAATCATATTTTCGAACCGGACAACATTCACAGCTTCGTTACGGTTTGAAAAATATAGCTGCTTCGAGATTGCGGGACACTCTCGCTGGGAAATAAAATGCAACAGTTCGGTTTCGCCACTGGGGATACCTCATCCCGAGAAGGGCATAAAAGTATTTCCAATGTGCCTCTTTATCGACGGGCTGTATTTATGCTAACTATCGTTCCTAGGTTTCGTTTTCGTTGATGAACATAATAGGCATAAACGTCTTAAGGGTTAGTTCTTGCTCCGTACCTATAGCTACAACCTAAGCTAACCAGTTCTAGTGACAAGAGCCTGCAGTGGTTGTCGTAAACGAAAAATCAAGTGTGATTCGGCAACAAGCAATATATGGCCCTGTGCTGCATGTACTAGATTGAAGCTCGTCTGCATTCCGCCAAATTGGAATGCTCAGCATGAAAATTCTTTACATGGACAGGACTTTGATCCGCTGCGATCATTAATTCAACCGAGCAATTTTGACAACTTACCGCAGCCGACTTCCACCACCCAAAATATCTACAATTTAGGCCAATTCCAGTTCGAATTCTGTTGTCAGAATTTGGATGAAGTGCAGTCCGTTAGCAACAGCACCACTCGGATAGCACAACCGCAGCCACAGCCGTACTTGGGCCATTCCGAGAATCAAATTCAATTTCTAACAGACGATGGCTCGGCTAAAAACAGCCCATTGCAGCAACCGTTCAGTTACACCCAACCATCTACTTACACTAATGACTACCCTCCACTTAATACTGAGATTGTTCAACCTGCTACTACTTCTGTTACTGCTACCATATCTACCCCATCACCGTCCGTTTGCTCCGTATACTCGAGCCCTATATCCTCACGGAAATTTGAACCTCCACCATTGAAGAAGTGCGAAGAGCTTACAGTTAAATGTTTGCCGAGTATATTTGGGCCGTTGAAAATAGACGAGAATGGAATTGGTGAGTCTCGCGACCATTTTTCCCGTACACTGGTAGAACATTCAGTTAACCTATTCCATTTAGCACCGTATATCAGCCAACAAACAAGAGTTGAGAGCCTACCTACGCCTACATCTCCATGCAAAGAAGACGATGCTTTTCTGTCAACTTATGCTGAGCCAAGTGGCTCCATTGCTATACCACCGGAGCTGATGCCCTGTGAAGAGGAAGCCAATAGCTATTTTGAGCTATTTTTTGATAAAATCCATCCTTATATTCCTGTGATTCACCGGAGTGATTTCTATCGGCAATGGCGATCCGATAAGACCGCTATATCCCCATTGCTTCTTGAGGCAATATTTGCCTGTGCCGCAATGGTATCCGAAAATCACACAAAGGGCGTTCGGTGGCTCAATTTGGCAAACAGTAAGTCGCTACGACCCACTTCCTGCACGCCTGCTGACTTTTTAAGAACATAAGCCGGCCTTTTTGGAGGCGCCTCGGCTTAGCACAATTCAGGCGCTTCTGCTGCTTCTAAAAGCCCGTGAATTTGCACCCAAAAACGGATTTTATTACCGATCATGGCAATTAGTGAAAACAATGGTCTCAATGGCTAAGGACCTTGGGCTTCATGAGCATTATAGTAATCACACTGGCGACAAATCCTGTGGTATCAATTCAGCGGAATGCCTTATCAAGACAAGAGTTTGGCAGACGCTGCTCATTGCGGAAGTTTTGATTGGTGCACCCCAGGGTGAGCGAAACAACGGTTACCAAATATAAAGTTATTGGGATCTAGTTTTCTAACATTTGGCCGCATGTATAGGATTGAACGATTTCGGTGTAGACACCGAAACAGTGGAAACCCGCACCGCCTGGAATGTTTCCGGCTTGGATGCTTACGAAACGGAAAGGTCGCGACTATATGCTTATTTTGTACGAGTTGCATTGAGCATAAGGTGTTTCATTGATACCTATAAACAAACGAGCAAGCAAGATGATCGGATTACAGATCCTCGCTTCACCGTAAACAATGGTTTGCTTGATGACTGGGCTACCGACTTGCCTGAAGATCTGCAGATTGTTTTCCCGTCAGGCAGTACTTCCCCTTGGCTTTCATCCCATTACATGGGCAACTTGAACCTACACTTTCATCTTTCGGTTATATTACAGTACCGTCCGCAACTTGCAGCATCGGTGCGCGATACGTCTAACATGTGGAAAGCGCACATGTCTAGGTGCTATTCTTCAGCGAAAGCTATTTACCATATCCAAGACGCAATTATATCGTCCTGTGGGCTGAGCGGCCTGGGATACATGCAAAGAGGTATCCATTTAACAGTGTACTGCATTTTGACATGCCTCACGGTACACTTGGTAAGTTCGCAAGATACAACAGTGTCACCAACAATGTGCTGATTACAAGTGTCTCCTGTTATAGACAGCTCTCGCCTCTTCGGATGTAGACTTTGCTTCCGAGGCAAGTTTGTATTTCTCGCGCCATATGCGTCTCCTTGAGCGGTGTAGCCAGAAGTGGTCTCTGCCAGATATCCACGCGCAACTTGACTCTATCAGAGCTACGCTATCTGCGGATCCAACCAAGCCATTTGAGCTTGCATCGTCGTTCGTGCTTCCAGCGGCCACCAAGCAACCGGATCCAACGCAAAAGGCCGAGTCTTTACATAGGGATGGAGGGGGAATCGCCCATAGGCAAGATAGAAAACACACGGGGAATGTTACTCTTGCGATGCCTTCCCCGATCCAAGTCCCGGACAAAATAGAACAGGTACCGACTACGCCACCTCCAATGATGTTTGAAGTGTTGTCGAGTGACACGGCCATGGATTCGTCGCTCAACGTTTACATGGACGGTATCGGTAGCTGGGACCCAACCCGTCTTGTCACGTAAGTTCACAGATTCTTCCAAAATCTCAATGGATCTAGAAGCGGTATGACTAACCTGCCTTTGTTTCTCAGGCAATGGGACTTAGAACTTTCTCCTAACGAAAGTTTGAGCCCAACATCATCTCTGGCATCAATAGTAATACCTAATCGCCACAATATTGACTACTGCTTCCCTACCCAGTTTGTTTCGTCCTCCCCTGCTTCTCCTTTTCAAAAGGAGTTACCATATTACACATATGATTTCGACCACCCTTTTATGTCCATGTCTGCTCAAGAGTGGAACAAGGAATTTGCTCATGTTTACACTCCGCAGGGACTAAAACGAAAATGGGAGGGAACAGATACTTTTTTGGAAGAGTCATACGCGGCAAGAAACATGTGAAGTGGATGCGCAGGTCGCCCTTCTCTCACCTGTCACTTGATGAATGACTTCGTTACATTTATATGGATTAATGATGGGTGAATATCCATATCCAGGATTAATGTGTTATGGGTAAACTCTAATTTCCTATCTCTATTCATTTTCCTTGATTGTTTTCCCTAGTTTTCGGTGTTGAGCATCCTAGTTTATAGCTGTACTCTGTTCGGTGCAGCCTCTTTTCATCTCCTTGACCAAATTTTCTGGTTTTGAGGTATGAATTAGAATCTAAGAAGCCATTGTTGGGTGGCATCCGCTATATCCAAACGTGTACAATAATAGTCGACGTCTGAGATTTGGGGTACGGGATACCATTGGCTTAGCTGGTCTAGCATATACCATCGTAAAGGAATAGTCTTGACGTACATAAGCTGTGATCGAATGGAAAACAGCTGACGAGCAAGCAACAAAATCTCAACTTCGACCTCAGCGCTTATAAGAGGTCCAAAGCGTCCTGCCGATTTCCAGACCAAAAGCCGATGCACGATAAAATTGGGCTGGTTTGTATCATAACCCCCCACTCTTACCACTCGCCATATGTTTCGTGGCTGGCGTAAAGGGTGGCCGATTTCCCTATAACAACCAATTTGCTTGCGGTGCGGTTCCGTGGAAGTTCAAGGGCACATAGAACTTATACTATGAGACTCGGCCCAAAATATCGTCCCTAGCGCTTGGTTCCAGATGACTGAACATCAGGTATCGCTTTATGGGACAGGTAGCTTGAATTCAACGCATAACTCCGTGTGGGTAATCGAAACACTTTATTTTCCCCATCCCAATAACTCTCTAAGTCTTCCGGAATGATGTTTCAGATCCGTTCACCCTCTCCGGCTAACACCAATTCTCTCATCTCTGCTTCTGATAATCCTTGCCTTATCACCCGGTAGAGGTTTCAATTCATCATTCGGATCAACAGCTCCGGATTTATTCTCGCTGTTCTTGGCCACGTTCTGCTGCTCTTGTTGCTGCTCCTGTTGGCGAAGACGGGCTTCTTCAAAGGCCAAGATATCTTCGGACGTGACAGTTATAACGGTTGGCTTGCGGCGAATCATCTTGTAGTTCTCTGCTTTTTCTTGCTTGCAGAGTTTTCGAGGTGTGGGCTTTGATTTCCTCTCACAGTGGAGCTGTTGATTGCAAGGCAGGCCAAATCTTTGGCCAAGGGGTTTCAAAGAGGCTACAAAATGCGCAGCGATTATGGCCTCTATCCGAAAGGTATATCTAGCAGAGATGTTTGTTTCCTGATGGATAGAGAGAGGAGCTGTCTTGCGTGTTGGCGATGCCTGGGAAATGCCAAGCCCAAGCAGCCAAATCACGTGGTTTTGACGTCGGGGAAAGATTTCAATCCGGCGAATCCACGACCTGATTGTCTCCAGCCTGTCGCGGTCTGACTCCTGGAGTCGAGCAAGTGGAACGCAACAATGGCAACCAATATGGCGCCAAGGAATTGTGCCGTGTCAGCGCTGCAATTCAGAAACAGAACAATTGCTGGTCTGAGAGCTGCCCGGGGATTCTCCTCAACATCCACAAGGTACAACGAGCCCGGCGATGGTACGTGACCTCTTTTTCCCTACCTGTGAGACATTGGGAAGACGGAATCGGAGTCGTATTTCTAGAGTAAAACCTCTAAGGAACAAATCGAACTAATAATCTTGGTCTTCTTTTCTATAGAATCCCCCAGACCCCCCTCGAATGCGACCTTCGACCAGACCGCCCGTCGCCAAAACACCAAGTCACTCCTCCGGGAGGTTTTCACGAAATCATCCTCTCCCGCCTCTGATCGTCCATTATTTCGGTCGTTTAAACCCCAATCACCATCCGGGCCTGTAGATGCCCGGAACCTGGGCGCAAATTCGCCTCATTCTGGCAGGGCCGAAGGGGCGGTGCGTCTTGCACCTCTCTCGTTCAGAAATCTTCCCCGAGGAGGTCGACCACGGGGTGGCGGCCGCAATCCAAACCAAAGTCTCTTGATGGCGGCCAATGCCATGTCTCGCAGACAGCGTGGACGACCAGGCCTGAGGCCCAAAGTTGCTCGCCGCCGAAGAAACGCTTCATGGCAAGCTGAGTCCGAAGACGTCGACGAGTCGGTAAAGTTATACGATAAAGAGAAGGAGGAAAAGGCTCGTCGGAAACCCGAGAGGTACGATCCAGATCCGTACAATGTGGACAAACTGAAATCTACCTGGCCGACGTTACCGATGGGTGAGGGCGGTAGCATCGTCGCCAACGCTGGAAGTGTGATGGAGAAATTAAATTGGATGGGCGAACGGTACGTTGGCTCATTTGAGCCACCGCAAGAGCTTGCCAAACGGATGTATGAGGGAAAGAGAGTTCTATTCAAGAGTGAGGAAGAGAAGGCAGAAGTCCTAGAACTTGTTCAAAATATGGTTACCGAGAAAGCAGAAAGGTTAACAGAGCGCAAGGGACAAGTAGTAGAACCAGAAGACGCCAGCTTCGAGGTTGCTAGCGATTCAGAGCGAAAGGGTCTCGTTGTTACATTGGTTCAAGGAAAATACGATAAACCGCTCGTGGATCGCCAGTCCGTCGGTAACTCTCCTGTCGTCCAGAATGTCTTAAGAAATTTGACCAACAACGGGACGTACCAATCTGCGCAGGCGGAGAAGTTCCTGGAGAAATTTATGAAAGGCTTGCCTGCTCGTTTGAGGAATCCACAGCCAAAAAATGCATAGAAAGGATTCTTTTGAGGTTGTATGCATGTAACATTAGACTTTAAATGTGTATTGTCTTTCCATCTTCTTTTCATATTGATTATGCTGGGAAAATCTACGGCATGGCTAGAATGGAGTAACTTTTTTTTTTTTTTTTTTTTTTTTTTGAATAGGCTCTGTAAATAACACAATTATTCGAATAATATTTCACGAGCCCACATTGGGGCCGGCATGGTCTTTCGCTGCTACGGCATCACTCTCTTTCAAGGGCCTTCTTTGCCGACTCGAAAGAATCCTTGACATCTTTTTGACCCTTCTCCGCAAGTTTCTCCATCTGTTCCAATGCCTTGCGTAAGTCATCAGGCCTCACTGCTTTCTTATTCCCCAGCGCCTTTAATTTCTTATTCATATTCGCTCGAGCATTTTTCACTGAGGCAGACGCCCTTTCCATGGCTGCTTTCGCATCTTTCACGGCTTGGTCGCGCGATTCGCGAGTTGGCGGCGGAATAGGGAGATTAAGCTGGAGTTTGTTATGCGGATCAGGCTGAGGGTTAAGAGAGAGCGACGGCACAGCCTGAAGAGCGGAAGTGATTGGCTTGATGAACTAGAATGCCGCATCAATTAGCCTCTGGAAGTTTGGAAAAGGAAAACAGAAAGCAATAAAGAGAGCATACCTCCTCCTCTCCCACCAATATCGTAACCATTCGGCCGCCTTTTGGAATAACCTGCGCCAACTCACTCAATCGCACCGTCTCCTTCTCTTTCCCAGAGCCCGCGCTCGTCTTGAGGGTCACCCGTACATTTTCGATGAGTTCTGGATTCAATCGTCCACCGACCCGGAGCTTAGAAACATCTTCTTTTAGACGTGACAAAGCATCTTGGATCCCATTGGATAATGACGAGAAATCGAACGGGTCCTCGCCGTTACCACCTGCGGAGGGTTCTTCCGAGGCATGGGAGGATTTATCTTTCTTCTTTTTGGAGAGTGCAAAGCTAGTGGAAAACGGACGGGCGCTGTGGAGTGTGTGAACGGTAGCTCGGGTGTCCAATGGGCCTGCTCTTATGTTGAAACAAGCTCGAGACCGGGTGGCATGGTGACGGAGAAGCTGGGCGACAACGGGGCGCGCGCTGATGCCATGATTGCATCTGCAAAGTGCGCGTGCAGCTCCGTTAAGCCCTATTCTGAATGGAGGAGACATGGTGGATGTGTAGTGGATTTGGATCTTCACTTATATTGTGTTAACGGGGATGGAGCCAAAAACATTGATAGCTAAGCGCCAAGAAAACGCCCAGCCGCGGCGGAGTGGAGGAGCGGAGGGAGGAAGCGAGCGGAGAGCATGGCACCAACATATCTAAGCCTCAGAATCTCCGTCGTTTGTTAAGGCGAAGCATCTCTACGAATTCTATCCACTGCATTTCGAAAGGGAGATGGAATGAGAAAATTCAGACACAGTCTATCCATTTGCAAGTCGTGAAAGAAAGCTCCAGAGGCGCTACCTACAACAATGGATCGGGCATCTCAAATAAATGTAAAAGAAAACAAAATAGCAAGAAAAGTACCTAATCAAAAGCATAAAAGAACGCGCATATCCCTTTTTAGAACCCCGTAAAACAGTCATGCAAGAAACATTAGAAAAGTAGTTACCATCCCATTCATGCACTGGGGTCTCGTATCAGGTAAAAAAGCGTAAGTCTGTCATCAGCATTTGCATGTCTTGCTGGGAATGGCGAGACATTCTTCTTTTTCCCCTTTTGGTTAATTATGCAAGGCATTTATCGTGTGGCCATAGCCTTGGTAATGAGTCTCTTGAGAGCAAGCTCCTTCTTCTTGAGATCCTCAGGAGAGGAGTCCTCAATCTCAAGCTGTGCCATGGCGTCGCTGAGAGCGGATTCAATCTTGTCCTTGGTGCCCCGCTTGATCTTGAGGGACATGGATGGGTCGGAGACGATCTCTTCAACGCGAGTGATGTAAGATTCAAGTTGCTGGCGGGCCTCAAATCTCTTGGTGAAAGCCTCGTCGGAGGACTTGAACTTGGCAGCCTCTGTAAATGAAGTTAGTGCCTATTTTTACAGTTAAAACTCGACTTGATTGAGGAAAGCTTACCGTTGATCATGTTCTCGATCTCAGTGGTGGACAGCTTGCCGACAGCATTGGAGATAGTGATGTTGGCGCTGCGGCCAGAGGACTTCTCAGTAGCAGTAACCTTCAAGATACCGTTGACATCGACCTCGAAGACAACCTCCAAAGCAGCATCACCGGCCTTCATTGGCGGGATAGGGGACAGGGTGAATTCACCCAAGGAGGTGTTGTCATCACAGTTGGTACGTTCACCCTGGAAAACAGGAAATTGCACGGTTGTCTGGTTGTCAACGACGGTGGTGAAGGTGCGCTTCTTGATGGTTGGCACGGTCTGGCCACGGGGAACAACGGGAGCGAAAATGTTACCCTCCATGGCAACACCAAGAGAGAGAGGAACAACGTCCAAAAGGAGGAGGTCTTGGGTATCAGCAGAGGTGGCCTGGCCAGACAAGATACCAGCCTGGACAGCAGCACCATAGGCGACGGCCTCATCGGGGTTGATGCTCTACATAAACCGTTAATACTGTCTTACTGATAGATGAGGATTGGATAGAGTAGTCAATTCTTACCTTCTCGAGCTTCTTGCCATCGAAGAAATCGCTCAAGAGTTTCTGGATGCGAGGGATACGGGTGGAACCGCCCACGAGGACGATCTCATGAACTTCGCTCTTGTCCAAAGCAGCATCCTTAAGCACCTGCTGAACAGGGTCCAGTGTGCCAGCGAAGGCCTTGGCGTTGAGATCCTCGAAACGGGCACGAGTGATCTGAGCGTTGAAGTCTTCACCGTCGAACAGCGAATCAATCTCGACAGTGGTCTGGGTAGCGTTGGAAAGGGTACGCTTGGCACGCTCGCAAGCAGTTCGGAGGCGGCGAAGGGCTCTGGCGTCACCAGAGAGATCCTTCTTGGTCTTTCGCTGGAACTCTTTCTTGAAGTGATCGAGGAGGTTGGTATCAAAGTCCTGGCCACCAAGATGGGTATCACCAGCTGTAGCCTTGACGGTGAACACACCACCCTGGATGTTAAGAAGAGAAACATCGAAAGTCCCACCACCCAAATCGTAGATGAGGACATTGCGCTCCTTGTCAGACTTTCCGGATCCCAAGCCATACGCAATAGCAGCAGCAGTGGGCTCGTTAATGATACGGAGAACATTCAATCCAGCAATGGCACCAGCATCCTTAGTGGCCTGACGCTGGTTGTCGTTGAAGTAAGCTGGGACGGTAATGACAGCTTTGGAGACCTTCTTACCAAGCTTGGTCTCCGCAACCTCTTTCATCTATACAACGCAATGAGTTAGATCCAATGTCCAATCGTCAAGTGTACGTGGGGGCCCATATCCGGCGCATACCTTCATAAGAACCATGGAGGAGATCTCCTGAGGAGAGAAGGTCTTCTCCTCACCAAGATAGCTAACCTGAACCATGGGGTTGCCACCCTGGTCGACAACTTTGAATGGCCAGGACTCAACATCCTTCTTGACAACGGGATCCTCGAATCTTCGTCCAATAAGACGCCTGCCCAAGCTGTCAGCATCACCCCCCCGCTATGTGGGAAAAAGAATAAACTCACTTGATATCGAAGATAGTGTTCTCGGGATTCATAGCAGCCTGGTTCTTTGCGGCCTCACCGATTAAACGCTCCTCGGCGCTGAAGGAGACGAAAGAGGGGGTTGTGAAGTTACCCTGCTCGTTGGCAATGATTTCTACGTTTGTGCCCTCATAATTGGCAACGCAAGAGTAGGTTGTGCCTAGGGTCGGAAGCCAGTCAGTTTTCCTCATTCCACTCCATTTCCGCAGCGATTCAGATAGCTCTGCGACTCACCAAGATCGATGCCGATGGCACCCTCGTAAACCTCAGTAGACATTTTGGACTGGGAAGGTATGAAAAGACACTGGCAGCTTGCCTTGCGAAAAACACACGAAAAAAATTAACTCTTGAAAAGAATCAAAAGTGAGAGGACGAAACACCAGATCCCAGAGACTGAGAGGGGATGAGAGTAATGAATACTCTACACGAAGGAGAAGAGTGAGCGTGATGTTTTGGAGGAGAAAGTGAAGCGACTCTGAGAACTCGGCTCGTAATTTAAAAAAAAAATTCAGCGACAAAAAGTTTAAAAACTCTAAATCTTGCAAAAACCTTGCCGTAACTTTGCCATTTTGTCGGTATTGTTACCGTGGGTTTCTCGGGTTGCGCTAAACTGCATTCGGCCTAGTACATGTCTCTTTAAACATCAGGAGAAAAGGGGATATTATATGAAAGGTAAAGCCGAGCGCATAGAATATCGCCATGTAAATGGCGAGTTGCTCCTCTTGACCATAATTCCAAGCCCATCCGATCCATGCCGCTGAAAAGATTCTTCAATGATACACCACTGGAACACCCCCCCGAACTTTCACGCCAATCCCACAGAAGCTCAACCAAAGGCAAAGCAATCTTTGTAAATCCCTAAGTGTGACCAACGAGCCAAGTACTTTTGCGCTGCAATCCTTCCTTGCAACGGTGAATCCGAGGCTGACCACCATCTTGTTGCCGTCGAGCATAGCCACAGACGGATACATCACCTGTGCATAACATGAACATACAAGGTAAAAGCCTCGTATTCCACCCCGGGTCCATTAGGCGTGGATAGATTCACAAGCCCTCTCCCAGGCGCAGCGTGCATCTCAATATCAACTTTAGTAACTCCTGGTCCTAACCTAAGCTCATACTTAGGTATTGTGAAATCCGTAGACCGTACTGGTGGCCCAATCGAAGGTATTTTCTGGCTTCCAACGGTCACAGTGAGCTGAGTCTGGCGCTCAAGATTGCTTGATATAACAGTAGGTCGGAGATACAAGAGGTTGTGAGAGAAGGGAACACTCAGGGTCACAGATTGTCTAGGCGTAATACAGGAGGAAGGAATCTCCAGATTGAACTTCGGTCCGTTTTCCGTGCGGAGATTTACATGAGTGATTAAGCGTGAGCGAGGCACTACTAATTATAAATTAGCTAACAGTGTGGACTCGTGGCGAACAACGGCTAGTAGACTGTGAAAACGTACCATATCTCCGTGGTGGCCAACCTGTGGCTGGCCCAGCAGAAGGCTGGCTCGGGGTGACAGACTTATGGGAATTCATTTGAGCGGCAGCTCCGGCTGAGCGCAAGTAAGGGCCATTCGGTGTTGGAGTAGCGGCAGCGAGAGCCGGTGAAAGACCATTTGATTGATTGTTGACTTCGTTGTGTGGAGCAACATTGGGTGCCACTCCTCGGGGAGATTGGCTCGGATGACCTTCGACCTTGGGCTTAGGTGTTGGAGGACCGGATGCCGGTTGCTGTAGAGGGGTTTGGCTTTTCGCGGCAAATGGCGCCCGGTCACGCAAAACCCTAGTGGAGGTAGGTGGCTGAGAAGGCGTTTCTGTACGGCCAGAACCGGCTCTAACAAGCTCTTGCTGTCTTCTAAGGGATTCACTGTCGACACTGACACCAAGATGTTGCTTATCGCCAGTGGCTTCTGCAGATTTACCGGGGAATTTCAACGTAAGTTTCTGGGAACTTGGTTCAGGGGTCTTGGTGGTTCCCACTCTGAGTTTGATGCGAGTTGGGCCGCCCTCGCTGGCTGGAGCTGGCTCAGGTACGGCTCTCCGCGCTGCCTCGAGGCGCCGGAGGAAGTGTTGCTACGTTGGGGTTAGCCGAATGGGCAATGTTTTTACAGGAGTTCTAGCATATGGTACCTCAAGTTCGCCAGCCAGTTCAACAATAGCACTTCCATCCTCGTTAAATTCTCGAGCATTTCGCCAGATATAACTGACTTCATCGGCAAAGGCATCCCAGGTCCTAAATGGCGAGATCCTGGGAGCATTTTTCTTTCGGGCAGTGCCACGAACATTTTTCAAGATGGTCCTCAAAGAGGTTGGGTGCTGGATAAAGTCGTAGTATTCCTTGTATAACGTGCGGTCGGGCTTGGACAGAAAAGGAAAGAATACTTCTTCGCCACTTGGACATGGTCAGTATGGTATCTAACAGATAAGAGTGCGACATGGGTGGCGAGGTATACTCTTCATCTTTCAGGCGAATCATCTCAGATATGATTCTTTCTTGGGCTTGATCGAAAGTGTCTCCTTCAAAGGCATGGTTAGAAGACTCGCTTGGCTCAACCTCACGATCTGTCGTTGGAGTGCGATGTGTATGAGCCTGTCCATTTCTCCGAGAGGTCGCTTCACTCTGGTCGGTCCGAGAACTTGATCGTTTGGGGGGAGGCTCTGTAGACACGTCCTCCTCTTCCTCCCCCTCCCCATCGTCCTCATCCTCGTCATCGTCCGGCACCGGTGCAGAAAACGGAACATATTTCTCATCCTTATAAGCCGGGTTGCTCTCGCTCATAAATGCAACAACAATTTTGCGAATCCGTTCAGCATTAGAGAATAGGGTCGAACCCTTCTCATTGTAGGATTTCGCATTGCTGACCATCCTGCGAAGGTCGGCTTCGAGAAGGGTGAGGCAGGGATATTCATGATTTCGGAGCTTCTTCTATATATTGGAAATGAGGAATGCGTCAGCCAAAATCCCTTACTGGGCGGATATCCGCTAGGCTTGCCAGGGGTAATGGCGGACAGCGGATAACGTACGTACCTCAATTATATCCAAGGCAAGAGGAAGCCGGATAGCCGCGAAATACTCCGGAAATTTATTCTATGGAGAGCCACCTGGTTAGCATGAACGAACTCATGGCGGGAGAAAGGAGGACTTCATGGTGGGGGGGAAACGCACTCGATCAGGAAGATGTAGGAATTCCGGCGAGATAGGATTGTGACTAGATGATAGAGCAGCCGAAAGTTAGCCCTTCGCGCAAGACCGGGAAGAGGCAAGCGACCACATTCGAGGAAGGGACTCACTATTTGTCCTTCGCCGCCTTTATTCTTTCGAGTAATTCCAACCCGCCCTTGGTGGTTTGCTCGGGAGTCTCGTCTGTTTCTGGAACATAGGTCTATGGATGAGAGCAACAGAGATCATTAGTTAAACAACATGTACCAGAAAAGGGAAAACCGCTGCTTCGGATCTGAAGCTGGGAGGGACTGTGAAGCCTGGTTATGTCATACAAGCAGAGGTACAGCAGGAGTTGAGAGCTGGGGAAACAGATTGGATCCAGCCGCGAAACATAGTTGCTGACCGCGCCGCTTGACGAAAGCATGATTCCACCCCATAGTTAATTGACAGGACCAAAACCACTCCTTGTTAATGAAGCTGGGGCCATTGTTGTTGTGCTCCAGCCACAGACAATGTCTCAGGGCGCACTTGTGAGGAAGTGTTGGAACTTACAGTGTATCTTCGCCGCTTCGGAAATCTAACTGGAGCCTCTTGAGGCCCTGCGGTGCTGGCTCGCCGTTTCGGCGGCATGGCTCTTATCACTGGTTGGCGTCGGCGAGGATCAGGGCTGGAGCTTTCAAACTCAGGAAATCAAACCAGAGCAGACTGGCAAACAACCAAAGGACATGGAGTGCACAGGCTTTTGAGTAAGAGTCTAGGAGCCCAAAAAAAAAAAAAATGCAGGACCAGAAGCTAAATTTACCGAAAACGATTGAGTTGCGACTGCAGCTCGGTTTGCGAACGCGACTTGGGACTTCAAGCAATCGCTCTGGGTGGACGTTTCGGGGGCGTCGGCGCTTGTGAGGCTAGTGACTGTGGCTTGTGAGAGTAGTCACGTGGTTGAATGACTTGTCCATGGATGTACTCCGTACAGAGTCCAGAGCATTGCTTCCAGTGCGTTCAACCATCTAGCACAATCAAAACACAAAGTGATGATGGAATGACCTTTCCCTGTGTTTCTGTTCAGGGCCATGTCAAAGCCATGGAGACACTCCTTTTCCCCCCTTGTTGAGCATGATTGTCTTGTTCCTCTTATGAACAATAAGGTTTGGAGTGCGTAACTTTTTCTCACAAAGCTGTTGGCTGTTTTGTTTTGTTCGGGTGCCAGATTTATCATTTTCACCCAATCAGAAGCCAGTTCAAGCTTGCTTTTCCACTCCCACTAGCGCTAGTTCGCTGTAACTTGGTATTGTCGCTTCTGTTTGGTTTCCGCGTCAATAATACCATTGATGCCGCCCTCATTCATCCCGCTCTGCTGTGTCGGCTTTTATCAGGACACTATCACCCCTCCATTCCTGACACTCTTCTTCAATCCCTCCCTGCTCAAGACTCATACCAGCTGGAACTTAAGTCCTGCAAAATCCACCTTCTTTTAAACCGGCCCCAGTAAGCCAATTTTCTATTTTTCGCGCCCCATTTGAGTACCCTTATGCCCTTTACCTCCTCCCATCTCCTTCCGGGGGGGCGCTTGATTGAGCTTGCATGCTGAAACCCCCCCATATCTTTCTGTGTCATCCAGCTGCTTCGGTCCGAAATATCTGGAGAATTTCAACTAACACCGGCTCCGATCATAAATTACAGCGCAATTCAGCACGACACCAGCCAAACTCTCTCTGTATACCCCGCTCCAGTTCTCGCGCCGATGCCCCGCGCCATGGATATTGACCTCTCCCGTCGCAACAAGAAACCGCGGCTTCTCCTGGAAGCGGAAAGAGAAGAATTGGAAGAATTCATCGATTCAATTCACTACTCGTCCAGGTACGGGATTTTTTTTTCTAGGGTCGATCCACAATAAGCCCTCGGCTCTAACTATTACACAAAAGGTACTCCGATAGTGAATTCGAGTATCGTCATGTCCAGTTACCGAAGAATATGTTGAAGAAGATCCCACCAGAGTACTTCGACCAGTCCAAAGGAACACTCAAGCTTTTGTGGGAGGAAGAATGGAGAGGTCTGGGTATTACACAGGTAACACCGCACATATAAAGTTCACCGCTTCAAGAGCCAATCTGACCTTTCATTTCAAGAGTCTGGGCTGGGAACACTACGAGGTCCACGAACCAGAGCCACATATTCTCCTATTCAAGTGAGTCTGGCTTTTACCCCCGGCTATCATGGGGGGGTTATCACTAACAGCACCCACGGCAGGCGCCCGATTAACTACCAGCCCCCAGCTCAGTAATGATAGCAATACCTCCTCCGTAATGATTCATTCCAGGCGTTCTTGACTTTTTTCACGGGATCCCAGTTGGTTTGGTAACGAATACCATTTTTGTTCAGTAGCATGGGTTAGCGCGCGCAATTGATCGATTTGATACGGAAGAAAAAGCATGTACATGATCTGGGCTTTGTTTGTATTTTTGCACTCGAATTCCTTTCTGTGAGAGTCATCCCAGAGGCAACACCCTCAGCAAACCCTTCCCCCCGCGGCGCAGTGACTGCCTCTTCTCTATCATTCCACCTTAAAACAAGATACTCCTGGTTGGGTTGGAAAAGACCTGCTCTCGGCACGGGTCCTATCTTACACAACGCTCTTCTCAAGCCATTCTTCCCATTGTTGGGGGGTGAACTTGCTGTCAATAGACCTTTCTTCGATGCCCTTCGCCCAAATGCTTTTGTTAGACCTTGGATCAATGTTGCTCCGTGTTCAGGGAGGAAAGGCTCACATCAAAGAAAACAGTTGGAGTCACATGAGCTCCTACGACTCTGTTTGACTACTTCTTCCTTAGCCTTTTGCCAAATGTTCCCTGGTCAAACAAAAGAGACACACCTTTGTCAAAAACTTGATGTCGTTAGTCACCTCGTTTCCAGTGTTAAGCGACCCGTCTGGCCCCGGCCTATCACTAATTTTGAGCAACCAATACACCTCTCCTTCGTCCAGACCCGTAACTTTGGAGGCTAGCGCTGCCAATCTCTTGTACGTATGGTTTCTCGTCTCGTTCACGACATTCGCGTCAAAATATTCTTTCTGGGCCTTGAAAAGGGCCTCGCTGAAGTCCCAGAACTTCGAAGGCTCCAGCTTCAAAACCACAAGCGCGGCTTCTTGGGTCAGAGTTGACGAGGGATGCCAGGGTTGGACTTGCGGACGGAAAATAACTTGTAGATATGACCGGTATTTCTTCCGGATGATAGGGATGACGGAATTGTAGAATGTGTCGAAGAATTTGGCGGAGTACTACCCTCGAAATGAGTTAGAAAGTATATGTACTGTACATATGTATTCAAAATGACCTTTTAAGGATATCCATGGCTCTCGACATACCGGACAGACATAGTCAAGATCTGAACGAGCCCAATTTGGCCCCGGTTAGCTTCAGTGCACTCTGGCCCACGTGAAATCACTTACAGATCTCGAGGGTATGCCGTTGCTCAGTGATCCCCGAAGAAAAGAGCTTCAGCCCTGCATACTTTGGTGGAAACGACATGGTGACGGCGGAAGCGTTTTCAATGACTTAGTTCCAGTGGGATACCATACGGTAAGGGTTTCCTTAGATACTATAATTAGGAAGTCGATGCAATCGATGTAGTCGTACAGTTGAGACCCCGCGTCAAGCAAGATGGTCGGCGAGCGTGGGTCAGGATCCTGGAAGATTCTATCAGCTACGTCACTGCCCGTGCACCAAGTTCCCTCCACACTGTAGAGCATCAAAAGCAGAGGCTCGTTCAAGAGAATCTAGTGATATTTGGATTTCGATTCTAAAGATTATAACCGATAAAACAACATGCTTTTACCGAGTAACGCCTGGTCCTTGAGTAAAGGTATCTCGTGTATATGTAAAGCCCGCCCGTTGAGGGTTCCGGATTCCCCCAAGAGAAGGAGAGAAAAGAAAAGAATTATGCAAAGACGATATGGGAACGCCGACTCCTGCCTCCACCCTATTTATAGTCTGAAGAACTGAGTTACGGGCTGGAAAGAATGAATCGAGGAGCTTGTCGAATAAATTATTCGCAAGAGGTCTTTCGGGTATTAGGTGGAAGAGCCTAAGTTAAGTAGTTTATATCAATATCGCATCCAATCCAAACCGCTTCCGAAGGGTCATATAGTGCATTAACATGGACAATACAATCCCCTTTTTGGCCTCGTATAGAGACCATGCCCCACACGAAAAAGCAGCCTCGTGGTATAGAGTGGTTTGGCGGCCTGTTTCGCAACAGCTGTTTAAAAGTATCCGCAGCCGCCATGAAATCAGGGTCTGGTTCGGGAACGGTAGAAAGAATGGATTTAAAGCTCGATTTCTCATCAGAACGGAGCTGAGGTGAGCTTTCAATTTTGGGAATAGCCCCTTTCAAAGAGTCATTGGCAGCATAATTCGATTGTTTCTGTGACAAAGCTGTTGACCCGGGACCTCTAGCGCTTGAAGGAGATGATGCGCGCTGTGAAGATCCACTTTCTTGACGTTGCTCCTGAGCTGGGTTTGAATTATCCGCAAGGAACGATCTAAGTTTCGCTATTTTCAATTTGAAAAATGTCTGTCCTGCCCCAACCAAAGAGAGGACAAAGGCTGAAGGGACTATGATATCCCGAAACCTGGCCCCTTCATCCATTGGAATTTGGCGTGTCACTGTATCGACAGTGCCGTCGTCGTGAATTTCAAATCTTGCAAGTGGACGGCAACAATCAGTACAGAAGTGGGCGCATATGACGAGAGGCGGTATATACATACCCAAGATGGCGGTACTCTGGGGGTGCTGTGGTCGGAAATATTGGGTTAAGCATGGCTTGGTTGATCCAAGAAGGCTGGCCTAGCCGGTCGGAGACCAGCGGATGCCTCGTCAGAATCGTATGCACAATATCCGCCAGCTCAGCTACTCGACCGTTAGCCAATCGAGACAATGCGATCCCACCTGACCTCCTTTCACGTACCCTGCAATTCTGACAACCACTGCTCATCCTCTGCAATCTTGACAAAGGCCGTCCACTCCGGGCCGTCTCGGGTGTAGCGTGGGCCGTCCACAAGGCTCGGCATAGCCAACGGAATAAATAACGGATCTCGGTCATGTTCTGCGCGATCTTCCCTATCGGGTACTCTTTGCTCCGTCTCCCATTCGATTTGTGACTCCTCATCCTCATCGCCATCGCTGTCCTCAAGAAAGTTGAGAAAAGGCCTCCAGACAAGCTTGTTCCATGCGGCGATGGCGAACCCGTAGGCTAGACATTTGAAGAGAAACCGCCTTCAATACCAGTAAGCTAAAGTCATGTAAGGAGTAGGGAAGCATGATATCAACCTTCGCGCCGGAGCCTGCTTAAACCTGACCCTTTTGACCTTTACCAAGCCATCCTGACGGTGTAACAGTCGGCGAAACGGCGGAGAAATCAAAGGGCGACTACGAATGAGTTGTTGGCGAATGGGGAAGAATCGTCTAGGAACCGGAATCATCTGGATGAAGTTCGGGATGGAAATCGCATATTGAGGGGAGTTGACCGCGGAGAGATCGGGGGGTAATATGTCCTCTCTATTATGCGCAGTAGAACTGAACGAACAAATGTTGAAAACTTCGGGTCTAATAAATGAAGATAGAAATACTTAATTTTCCAACACTTTAAATAAGAAAAGAATGGCTGCAGAATTTCAGCGATAGAAGGTCGGCAGATCGCTCAAAGAGTGAACAAAGTCGGCGGCCGATCAACCCCGTCACTCATCTCCTTACAGCGGCCTTGCGCGCCAAGCCCAATCATCGTCGCTGATCAGATGCCCAACGACAACCCGTCCTCGCCCACCCATACCAAGCTCTGTTTGAGCAGAACGGCCACAAAGCAGGTCTTAGGCTATCATCTTCGAGCTCGTTTCTAAGATTTAAGATTTAACGTACCCTCCTGTGTGACATATTTCTAATTCTTCCGCGACGACACACCGGGGCGCGGTTGAAAGCCCCGGGCCCATGCCAGGATGAAAAAGCTCCTCCCCTACCTCATAGTAGGCTTCGCCGCAGCAGCTACAGCATTTGCCGAAGATGTGACGATTTTTATGCCAGATACTACACCGACCCCGGGCTCTCCAAATGACCGGCAAATCCGCCCGGATGTCGCTAGGCTGGTGCTCGCGAGACGGCTGGGATGGCCCGGAAGCTCGTTGGCTGGACACGTTGACGAGAGTATATTGCAGGATTTAAATGAATTTGGAGGGCAACAACCTACATTATTTGGAGATTCAGATCAAAGGGAGAACCATCACAAGCTGCTTGTTGTAGTACAAGGGTTTGACCCAGTTGAGGGTATGCGATCTGTGCCAGACATTCCTCAACCACTACGACGATCTATTCTAACTGATTGCTTGATGTCCCAGATGCGCACACGCAAACAAAGCTTGATCGTGTCAGAGTAGCTGGGGCTGAACGTGACTTTATGGAGACTACGTTTCTCAGCGGTCTTCTCTCAGAACCCTCTCCGCGGAGACCTACGTCTCGAGTATGCTCATATCAATGGGAAGTGGACCAATTGACAGCGGCCGATTTGGTGTTTAGAAATAAGGTATGATGAATGTGGTAATTTCTTTTGCCTGTTGGCTGACGAATATCGTAGGAAGGATTAGACTGTCCTTCAAAAACGCCGTTTGTTGAGCAATTCATGAACACGCTTTTCGAAGACGGTGATATGGAAAACTTCCGGAGCGTTGTGCGTACTTATTTCGGAGATGCATCCCCCGAGCCTGGAGAGCAAGTCTCCGCCATTCTCAGGCTCAGCCCTCTGCCCAAGGTAAGCAGTCACGCCAGCATCGCGTTCGGTAACAAGAACAGCTACTGAACGCTTCTCTCAGCACCCGAACTCCCTCTCCACCTATAAACATATCTTCCCGGTTCTGGCTCTCGCAGAGACGTCTATAATGGAAACCACCGTCGTTGCGTTACCCGGCAACACCTGGAAAACGTCTGCATTCACGAATCTAGATTCCGCCGTCCAGCCACTCGCGGACTCACACAAGCGCCAGCCCAGTCAACTTTACTCGGCCCTTCCCCGCGATTCAAATTCCACGAAACCCGATGACAAGCTCTCCACCCTCCTCCCTATCTGCTACGCGACCAACGAAACCTGCAACGCCCGCACCAACTCCTGCTCCGGCCATGGCTACTGCTATCTCAAGCGCCAGGGCGCCGCCAAAGGAAGCGAATGCTACGCATGCAGATGCCTCCGCACCGTCGATCACACCAATTCCAAAGACGGATCCAAGGAAACAACCCAATGGGGTGGACCGGCTTGCCAGAAGAAAGATGTGAGCATGCCATTTTGGCTATTGGGTGGATTCACGCTGCTATTGGTTGTCAGCATCTGGTTGGGCGTGGGACTGCTATGGCAGATGGGACAGGAAGAATTGCCGAGCGTGCTGAGTGCTGGAGTTGCGGCTCCAAGGACGCAGAAGTGATGGATTGCTTATGGATGTCTGCATTCTTTCTTTGAACCATATACGGAGTACACGTACTCCTACTTACTCTCCACGGTATGACGCTTTTTACTGTGATAGGGGTACGTATTTAAATTGCGAGTCCGATTCCCTGAAAACTCCCCCCCGCGGGGGCCCATTTTTTTTTACTTTTTTTTTCCCTTAGATTCTGCCGGCATCTGGTTGTACATGAAGTAATATGGTTATCCCCGGGCTTCCTTTCTTTTTGGTCTCCTGTATAATAAGTGCATGATATTTGTTGGGCCATGTACGTGGTTTGTGTTACAAAATAGCGGTTACATGCTAGCTGCTATTTCCATATTCCGATACACCGGGTGTGCTACGAGAGAACACTGTAGCTTTGGCATAAATGTGAAGAGTGCTTGATTGCCTTTGCGCAATATTACCATATAAATCCTATATCAAAGCCAAATTAGACAATCATATGTCGAATTACTCGGATATAAATCATACGGAGAGCGGATCATAGGGATTACCCACGCCCCATACTCTCCCAATCGAACGCCAATCAACAAAAGAGGAAATCGTATGGACACTGGAAGATATTAATCTACGGAAGGTGAATATGGTACGGGGGGTATCATGGATGGGGATTAATAGAACCAGCAAACGATGCACAACTTGTGTACACGTCAGGATGTGATGACTGAAAAGCTATAGATGCTCGGAGCGGGGGAGGATGGGAGAGACCGTGGATCACGGAGGTCCAACGGAGTGAACGGTCTCGCATTGATAGATGAACGAGAAATTCCACGATATGCCAGGGCCCAATGGGCCTCCTATCAGTCGCAAGCCCAATAAATGTACCGGAAAAAAAAATAAAACTCCAAGCAAATAGGTGAAAAAGAGCATACGCAAGAAACAACGCTAAGGACAATAGTAGAAAATGCAATATCCTAAATCATAAGACCCAACCTGCCCAGTCGAGGAAAATAATATGAACTAGTCAATCGTAAATGTGTTTCGTGAAGAGGCATGTAACGGTAGAAAGGAAAGCGGGGAAGAGAAAATTCGGCCGCTGGCGTGCGGTATGGTACAACAGAAACGAGGAGACATGGCGGTCGACGCGTGGAGCAACCTCGAAACTCTGCGACGATGAGGGCAAGTAGCCCATCAGTTATATTTTGATTATAGAGGAGATTTCCTGGAACCGAGCAAGGGTCCGATTTGGAAGGATTATCGTCGTGTGCCAGATTCAAGTTGACCAGGAGTGGTTTCGGTGTCCTGGCGATTGTGATCCGGACCCGGCCGTGATCTGTTCAACGACGGTAGGTTAATGCGAGGCATAGCCAAGGACGGTAGTCTCGGTCTCCACGCTGTTCTCGGAGAGTCCTGATTCGTAGCAACACTCGGAGAATCCCTACGAGCCGTTTGCTCTCGGTTAGCTCTGGAATCTCGCGGCCCACGAGAATATCCGTTCCGACTGTCCGATGGAGCAATAGTGATGAATCGCCCTGGAAGCACCATTCGGGTTGAAAATGGGTGTAGACGGCCGGCAACATATACCGGCTCCGGCTCTGTCGGGCCGTTAGCCCGATCGGCGTTCCTCCGGCCACTTTCCTGGTTGCCATCGGAGCCATCAGGACGAGGTTTAGGAACATAGTAATCCGCCTTGCAGAGCGGGCAGCATGCTCGACGGCTAGTCAACCAAGGGTCAAGGCAAGAAGCGTGGAAAGCGTGGCCACATGTTAAACCACGAACATCGTCATCATCCTCGATGCCATCCAGGCAGATGGCGCAGGAATCTCCAGGATTTGCAAGTAGCTCCGCGGGCACAGCTGCATGGATTGGATCGTCGTGATCGTCATCCCCATCCAGATGGTTCTTGTCCACGTCTGAAGCGGGTGCTGGTGAATATTCCTTTTGCTGGACCCCGGACGGATGACTTTCCGAAATCATTTGCGTCTCCTTTTCTGACTGATCACTGTTCGGCAGGGTTTTACGTTCATCGTGGATAGCACCTGAGGGTTCAGCGTGGCCGTCAATTGTCTGGCCATCAGCTATATCGGGGAGAGCCCCAGAAGCATGTTTCAAGCTCGCAGGCCTGCTTCCAGGTGGTGGTTCTATTCCTCCAGCGGTGGGGAGTCCCTCGTCAGCCCGAGAAGCACGCCAGGATTTGTATTTTGTAAGCGGGAACCGGTTGTTGACCTCATCCATGGTCATGAGTTTCTTTTCTCTCCTTCGTCTGTGGGTCCTTGGGACAGCAATGAGGTCAATTGGATCGCCTGTTTCTTCTGTTCGTAGTTGTCTGTGGCGCTGATTGTAGCGGAAACAATATTTCACACCAACGATGATCCTAAGCGACAATTTCCGGGTGTCAGCGGGACATGATCTATACTTGTACCCGGACAGGCAAAGGAGCACATAAAATTTAGACACGATAGCTAAAAGGGCGCATTAGGCATACCAAAGATTAGTGAAGACAACGCCAAATCCCAACGCGACGAAGAATAGAAGTGGCTGGCTGTTACCCCCGGAGCCCGAGCTGGGGGTACTGGTAGGTGTTTCGGTAGGCACCGACATGGTGAATTGTGCATTCAGCGATCAGGATGAGCTGCTATTCACGCTATATACAGCGAAGGCAGACAACTGACGGCTCTCGGCTCCTGGCTCTCACTCGCGAACGAAGCAAATACAGCGGAATCCAAGAATCCAACCAGCCCGGCATGGAAATACGTCGTGTGAGCAGATACAGGGATTTAGCTGCAGAAAAGAAAGAAAAAGAGAAAAGAGGGATTTGAGGGCACAGCGACGGGAGTGGATATCGGGGAGGGTATGTGGTGGAAATTAATCTTGTTGAAACGCGAAAGAAGCTACGATAGGACGAAAGTCGGGAAATCGGAGTCGTTCGGACACTTTCAATGGTGAACAACACTTTTAGCCATAGGACACGGACGAGCCAGGGTGAACAGGAACATTATCGAGCCATAGCCAGCTCGCAGTAGCGGCGTTTGTTGTTCCTTTGAAATGGCCAACGATGTCGAGAGGTTGGGGAATAGAAGAAACAAAGTTTTGAAATGAGCGGGAGCGCCGGAGGTTGTATGTATATACTCTGTACAGGGAGTTTGAACGAGTGGGATGCGAAAGCGGTGGAACTGGCGATTGCAGAGAGCGGGCGCACAGAGAGGAGAGACAGGCGTTGCGATGGAGAGGATGGAAGAGGATGGCTGATGTTGGCGGTTGTCGTGTGATGGGGGGGGAAGAAGTAGAAGAGATGGAAGAGCGAGCAGCGAGAGGCGACGCAAGGCAGTCCGTGGAGGGCGCTGGCAAGTGGGCCGTGTTTCCAGTCGTTACGGCGTTTGTTACGTGGTTGCATTACACGCTTAGCCCTGTTGGGACGGGAGGAGTTCCCCGATCCGGCTTAGCCCGAACCAGAATGGGCGCGAGATGTCATGTCGGACGGTAACTTTACCGTGGCGGGCCTAGCGCGGTTTCGTCGTTTCCTCGGCGTATGTATGTAAATTCCGTTTCTTTCAGAACCGCCCCGTCGCCGTCGTTCGCTTTCACCACCATCATCGCGAGGATGGAGGGCATCGACAATAGCGCCGTTGTGCTGAAACTGTCCCTTGGGCAAGGAGTACACACACAGAGGAAGTTGCAGGACGTGAGTTACGCGGCGGGGACCTGGTCAGAGAGAGTTTTCGGGAATCATCCTCCCGTAGCATGCCTTTTCGCCTCCTCGAGGAGAGCCAAGCATCAAGGATTCCAGAGAACAGCCACAATCAACCCAGGGAATCAGATTTGTTTCGCCCAAAGTACGGAGTATATTACGGCGGATACGGAGCATGTTTCCCGACCAGCCGACCCTGACAAGGCATGATCCTCTGAAAAACAATGCTATGCCTACAGAGCGCACAAAGCTTCGTAGAAACAACCATCAATTGTGTGAGAGTGTCAATAAGACAGCCGCAATAAAGCGCTCTGGCCTGTTGAAAGCACGGCTGTGGCGGGCGATTCGAGATGCTCTTTTGGAGTGATCACCTGCACATTATTGTAGTGGTTTGTTTCCAATCTCCCCTTGGCAAAAACGCTTGTTGGTCGTTGGTTGATCCGCAGCAGCCCGATCGACACCCAAAAAGAAACTATCTTGGCGACTCGACAAATCTCCCTGTCCGGCTGTGTCAGCTTTGAAACAACGCAGTTTGGGTCTTTTGTTCACTCCTCTGCTTCAATGGTTCTTCAACTACCGATCTTGTCTTGATGTCCAGATGATTCCTCTACAGGTACTCTGTACGTGATGGCACAATGGTTTTCTCACTGTTTCTTAACACATTGACTAAGAATTACACTACAAAAATGATTACTTGATGGGGCTGTCAATCAAGGGAATGATTTGAACCAACAGGCGAAAGGAAAAGGAAGAGGGAAAAAAAAAAAAAGAAAAAGAAAAAGAAAAAGAAAAAGAAAAAGAAAAAAAGAAAACAAAAAAGAAAAGAAAAGAAGCAAAGGGCAAAGGACAAAAAGCATTGTTTGTCTTCAAGTCATTTGATGGCTGCGAATACTATTCCTCCATACGGAGTCCGGAGTAACTTTACATCCTGCATGTCGAAACTCCCAACAGAGACGCTCCCGACACATTATTGCGGGGACCCGTAAGGAGCTACAAAAGCGGGGAATGGACCCTGTGCATCATCTTTCGAAGTGGGACACGTCAAAGGTAACAGTGATCGAAGTCTTAAAATAACGGGATAGGGGACATATATTCTAGATCACGATTCACAGGGTCTCCGTCTTACGCATTCGGCGGACTAGTCAATTCCATCAGAGCATGAAACATTGTCTCACAGAAAAAAGAAGGCCTTTGAAAGACCTAACAGTATTGTTATAGGGAGCGTGCAGTCGCCTTCTCCTTGTCCTCCTCGATCCATTGCTGCTGGAGCACGTGGTATCGTGAGGAATCATTCCGGTCTGGTGCTCTCCAGAACCACGTTTTGTCTGACGGGAACGAGTGAGATTAACCTTCATACAATTTGTGTTTAACTCGCTCAACGCAACTCTTTCTTTCAGACTTACATAATACAATCCATTCCGCTGAAGAAGTTCTATTTATATCAGAGTGCGAAGCCATGGAATATTCCATTCCTATTTGGTGGCTCCGTATACCTACATCCAGGGGTGCTGCTCAAACCTTCGATTCGCCACCCATCGATGCTGGGTGTTGTAAGGTGTTGATTCTCGCCTTGGTTAGTTAATAATTCTGCCGGCCGCATCAGCCCCAATGACACAATCTGCCTCCTCTGCGGGAAGCTTTCCAGGCGGGCCGTTCTCTTCTGGAGAGTTGCAGGTTGCCCCATCCTCCTGCGCCCCTTCCAGGATAGCCCGGTGAGCCGAAGCTTTGTGAGTCCGCACAGCCGCAAAAGATTCGAGACGGTCAAGAGGAACCCTCCGTCCACCGACAATTTGTCAATGAGCCTACGGGTTATAGCTCCGCAAACGGGGAGAGTTATTTTAAATTTCAACGTCCATTCTAGTTCCTAAGGTTGGGAGAACAAGGGTATCACAGAACAACAATTTTGTCTTAATGATACGCTGGCTAACATCTTCAACTATTTCGAAAATGGTTGGTAATGCTGTGGGATCTGTGCTTCGCCTAAGTACGTTGATCCACCGCCAAGGGTTGAGGCCTGGAAATTTTGGTGAAGCTTTCGAGCGACATCTGAGGGCGATGGGAGCCGCTGTTTCTCCGTAATTGCGAGAGAGAAAGGAAAAAGATTGAACTTTCGCAGCCAGCTAAAGCAAAGGAGGCCACGGGTCTACAGGCTAATATTGAGGCCGGGCCCTCCGTGCTATTGCCCTGCTCATATCCATGGATTCCAAAGCCCGGTGTCACTAGATCCGGTTTATTCACTGATTTTCGAGCATTCACTTGACTCGGAAGTGTGGTTGCTATACAGTCACAAGAGCTCTTCCCTCTAGATACACGGTACCACTCTTCTCCTACTGGGCAATAATATCTACTTGAAACCGCCATGATGCTGAATTGCCTGTTGCTTTGACTATTTTGAACTTGCCTGAGCTCTAGAATGGTATGTATATTTCAAGATTGAGTGGTGATTTATATCAATCTTGGGCAACCCAGCTCATTCGTTGCAGGCAATGCCTCTACTGGTAATTTTCACATTCATATCATGCTGGATCGTGAGCCCATAATTCTTCCACTTAAATGGCTCAACAGGATCCAACATTACAAAATCAAAGCGGCGGAAAAGCTACGGCAGAAATTCCCTGAATCAGTCCTTGTTTACAGGCCGACACATGGTAATTGACGAAAACTCTTACCTCAAATATTGTTTTCTCCATCTCCATATAGGCGAGCCTTTTGCCGAGACACTCCCATCTTGTCCCAACCGCGAACACCAAGCCGTGTGTTGCCTCCATTCGCTTCAGCTGTTCGGGATCCGCGTCAATCCAGCGCTGCGGCTCAAACGTCCTCGCATCCTCGCCAAAGACGACCCGGTCCTTCATTAGCGCTAGCGGCGCCCACGCGACTTGCGTCTTTGCGGGCACCCGGATCCCGCAAATTATGTCGTCTTCGTCAGATATCTTCCCCATCATCCCCATGATTGGCGGCCAGAGACGCAGTGTTTCTTTAATGCACGCCTGCAAATATGGGAGTTGCTTCGCTTCCTGATCTGCGATGACTGGACGAGTGACCGCCTGCGCGGCGGCATCGATTTCTTCCTGTAATAAGCGGTAGGCACGCGGATGAGTGGCGATGTAGAATATTATATTCCGCAGAGCTGTTGCCGTCGTATCCGTGCCGCTTAATAGCTGGACGAGCGCTTCGACTTCCACCTCGGATTGGCTCAGGCCTGAGTCGACGAATGATTGGAGGACATCATTGTTGCGGACCTTCTCTGGTCCGTACCGTTTGTCAACGTGCGTCTTGACGATGCCCATAAGCCAGCCTGCGCCGCGCTTGTCAGTGGCTTTAGGTACAAATGGCTTCATTATAAAAATTTGGAGGATGTCTACTACTGTGGGTAAAAGTGCGAGGCAGTGAAACGGTAGGATTGCGGATCGGAATGTCTTGAAGAAGCCGAAGATATCTGTGTCAGCGTCCAGATAGCCAACCGCCTTCCCGAACCCAATGGCTGTGATCACGTCTTGGGTAAGATACTGCATGGACTGGCCCATGTTCCATGGTCTCAGCGCATTGCGCGTTGAGATGTACCTGCTCCTGATTAGCGCGATAAGCTTCCCGACCTGCTCGTCTATGACCTGCTCCTGGTTCTCAATGCCCTTTGCAGCATATCCTGGCAGTAAGTAAGATCGTGTTCGATGATGTGTCTTATTCTCACAAAAGGTAAGAATACTGTCCCTTGTTGGGTCTATTCGAATTGCCTTATACCACGGCGAGCGGTAATACCCAGAGCGTACACCCCAGATGCGTCGGATCTCGCTTGCATCACTGCATACCACCCAGTCAGGGCCGATTCGGACAAGAGGACCTCAACATTTATCAGTACCAGAAGTTCCAGTAAAGTGGAAATACACCGCTTCCTACCGTATTCATCACAGACATCCTTTAACTTGTTGCATAACCTGCCAGAAAAAAGATGACGGAGAAGCCACAGTCTACTCCATCCTACTCCTGGAGGTCCCGGTATATGGCGAAGACGGTACCAACTGACAAACCGTGTGATGACGGAGTATATAAATAGGCCCACACCTCCAATAACCAATATTGTGCTGCTTAGCAGAACCATGGTTCCTTGAGAAAACGGCCAACTACGTTGACCTTGGTCGTTGTGTCGCTGCGCTCCTGGGAGATCTGAACAGGACAGTATTTAAATGTCGTGCGTTTCTCACAGGCAAATCTGTGGTCTGGCTCTATATGGCGCGCGACGGCAGGGCATTCGATTATCACCATGTGAAATGTTCCGTAACCCCTTCCTGTCCTCTGTACAATTCCAGCAGCCTTTCTGTGGCCCGTTACTCCGCTTCTGGGTAAATATATATGTGAGAGACCAAAGGGGATGCTGGACTCCCGGGCCAATGCACTAACGTGTTGAGGTGCTAGGTCCCCGGAGGGATGGGTATCGATACAGCCGATTTGTGCAACTGAGTATTTCTGCTCCGGGCGGAGCACATTCGGAAGACGTGCGACTCAGCTGCGAATTCTCACCAATATAAGTAGTTCTTTTAAATCATAATTAACTGCATCACTCCATACTCCAGACTTGGTCATTCACTAGTTATGCCACCGGTGAATCTTGGCAAAAGGGGCATGGAGCGATACACCGGAATTGATGTGAAGTAGCTTATGATCCTTGCGCTGGGAGAAAATAAATGGGGCGTTCATCCAAGTCACTTCAACAAAGCCGGACGTCTGAAGTCTAGAGCGTGATGCCAATAATTAAACTTTCGGGTAGAGCCTTAAGTTCCTCAGGGACCGTGCGCTGACAGGGGGTGACTGCTGGCTTTGTTAGCCCTCCAGAACAGCTCGTTGCCGGTTGACCAGACACTGCTCTCGCTTCTGCAGGAGCCTCGAGCGCGCAGTCAGAAGTATTCAATGGAAAAAAAAAAAAAAAAAAAAAAAAAAAAAAAGGAAACAAAAGAAAAGAAAAGAAAAGAAAAAAGAAAAGAATTGAAATTTGAGGACATGAGACTCATTCCAATCCCGCGGGATATGGTATTTTCGGCGCCGGAAGTGGACTGGCTTGCTTTGTGCTCAGTTAGCCTTAACTCAAAATGCTCTTCTCCAACAACAGAATCAAAGGCTCTGTCTGCCCTTGGACTCGATTGTTGGGTTAACTATTCTCTACTCCGTACTTAGAGTTGATGGTCTGGTTTAACTATACGCCTACGTGGACTTCAGTTTATCATGCACTCACTGAAAGACCTCTTCTCTGGAGCATTGATTATTGCTAGCGCCGAACGAGCACTGTGGCGAAAATACCACCCGCCGATCCATATCCACCCTGCTGGTGGGAGATAGGGGCACCATCCGGAATGATGTCACACGAGAAACTTATCTGAAAGAAACAACAATGCAGAATAGCGTCGGGTATTACTCCGTACAAACGCCGTTTTCTTCGAGTTATTACTAACCATAACCTTGTGTCTAACTATTCGCAGCCAGGAAACCAACAACTGGGGCACTCCGCAGAGCCTTCAATAGCCTCACACCTTGCTAAGCACCTTCGAATTTTGGCGCAGGCGTGCCCAGAGGATCAGGGCGGAACCTGCAAGCAGAAACGCGCCTGCATACATGGAGAGTGCGAGATAGCCTTTGGGAACTAAGCGCCCACTAATTGGAGTGCCGACAAGCCCGCTACAGATTGGATTTGGTTAGCCGACTGTTTATCGTTGACAACGCTAGCCGGACTTACGGAAGAGCAGGGGCGATCATGAGAAGTCCGATCGCGGTGCCACGAGACTCCGGCGTGGCTAGCTGCACCGCACAAGGTGTTTGCAAAATGAACATAGCCTAGGAGTTGACGTTATTAGGTACCTTTCGCACTTCGCAGGGAGATATGCTGTGGGGAGGATAGGCATACACCAGAAGTATAGCCACAAGCCAAAGCGAAGATTATAATTGCCGCCTTGCTGGTGGCCTTGTTCCAACACATAGCAATTACACCCGTGAGTGCAGTTGTAGCGAAGCACAGGTTGAGATTCCCGTACTTGTCGGCGAGATACCCCATCGACACTCTTCCCACTAGGGAGGCGCCGTTGAGCATTGAGATGAGGTAAAAGGCTAGACTGGCCGAAAGACCATTCGCCACTGCATACGTCGGGATAAAGAACAGAGGTGCGAAGAGACCAAATGTTGCGACAGACAATCCGATGCAGAGCAGGATGAAAGTGGGATTTTTCACGGTGGAGATATCGGCCTTTTTTTCCTTGCTGGGCCCGTTATTTGCTCCCCTGTTGGCATTATCTGCTTGCCTCGCATCGTTCCTCTTTGAAGGCACTCGAATTGCCAGTGTGATGAGAAGGCAGACAGGTATCATCACAAATCCCGCGATTCGGAGTGACCAGCCAAAGCTCCTCTGACGCTTATTCAAGAGCTGATCTAGCATGATTGGCCAGATAATACCACCAATCGACGACCCAGCGATCATGATGCCTGTCGCAGTACCCCGATATTTGTCAAAAAGATGCGACACCGTCGTCATCGCCGGCGTAAGCAGGAAGGCATTAGAGACTCCTAAGGTGAGTCCTTGAGCGAGGATGAATTGATAATACTGATCGCATAGGGAGGTCATGAAAGTTGCGAATATGGTACCCAGACTGCCGAAGGCCAAGAGGGGCTTCATCTCCGGTCAGCACTTTAACGAAGCCAAGAGGGAGATTTGCCAATAGCCTTACCGTCGGCCCAACACGGTCAACGAGAATACCAGCGGGAGCGGCGCAAAACAAGAACATGAATGTCAGAAGGGCGCCGATCCATGCAATATCGAAATCGGAGTAACCCTTTAATTCTGCGCGTCCGTAATATTCGTGGAAGACGCCGAAGGCATTTTGGAATCCCAAGGTGCAAAAGAGGGCGAGAAAAGCGCCTGTTAGAGCGAGAACGGACCTAACACTAATGTCCCATTCTACTCAGGTAAAGGGCATCAACAGGCAACGGTTGGAATGGGACTCACGTGAACTCGCTTTTACGGCTGTTGTGGCACTCTCAATCGCCGCCATAGGCAGCGAGGAATGATCTGGAGTAGTTGGAAGGGACGCCAGCTCTCTCTCTACCATGTTGACTTGAAGATCGCTGCCACGGCAAATACAGCAAAAATAAGATATACTTCCGGATGATGTCTTGAGCACAATGGTCGATGCTCTATGGAATGAGATGAGCATTTCACGATTGTTGCTCCTTTATACAAACTGGTGGGCCAATCTAGGGTGAATATAATGAGTGCTACGGCCATCGCACCGGAATCCTCGGGCGGTCCTCGGATCGGGCTGTACCTGCTATGAGTGCGTATTGCAGTTGGCCGATGCCTCATCCTGTCCTTCTGGATTCCGCTGAGTGGAATCCCGCCCCGGGCTCCTGGACCTTGGGCCAAGACCCCTTTTTCCTTCCTTCCGCGGAGAGTCCGCGGAAGGGACCCACAGGAATCCAGCGCACCAATCAGGAGGCCGGAAAAAGATCCAGTTTATTCAGACGGAATATACTGTGCAAGGCATAACTTCCATCCTCAACTTGAATTGGGGAAGAGTGAAGCTAGCATTGGTCAGATCTATTGTCGAGTTGAATAGAGATGTCTGAAGGCGGATGGGTACTCCCGGACCCTAGCCGGTTTTCATCAGGCTCTCCGATAACAGGAATAAGACGGTCAAAAGATCCACAATAATGATGCCGGACGTGCCAGGACCGGGTCAAGATCTCTCAAGGATATACGGAAATTGTGCTTACCTCGTTTGACTTGAAATCGTAAAAGTTTCTGTTGAAATACGGAGTACATAGACACCAAGCAACCGTCTATTCATAACGGTGTAGGAGATACGCAAATTAAACGAGAGATGAATCACCGCTAGTATATATGCAATATCCAAAAGTACCCTGGATGGTAACCTGGTTCTCAGGTAATCGCTTGCCGACGGTGCTGAGATCTCTTGAGCTGGTGGCCGCCTATGCTCTTGGTTGACCTGAGAACACAATGTAATCTTCCGGCTAAAACTGAAGACAACGCGTAATTAGCAGCGTGATTGCAACTCATGGCTAGGAGTGTACTCCGTACAGTATGACTCCAAGGGCGAGGAATCTCGAGTGCGGTGAGAAGAACTTCCGACGTGCCCCACGCTTCTATGTTATGTAAAGTTTGTGTAGAATGTGCATAGAGTTAGGCGTCCATGCTCCCCGCGCTCGTCCCGGGTCGTCCCACTGGACGGATTGACTGCGCCTGCGCAGTCAGGGGGTTCTTGTGCTTATTGCGCTGTTTTAAACGGTTCGTCGTTTGGGCCTGTTTGACAAAGCGTTTAGAACTTCGCTTGGAGAGTAAACGAAGGCTATTGGTCTTTTTGTGTATCATATGGTGGCTAAGAGTAAAAAGTGCGACCGGTGTGTCCGCGCGAGATCAGGAAACGCTCGGTGTTTAAGCGGACGAACTTGGATGGATTGATGAATAGTGCGCCAACATGAAAGATTACTCTGAAGATTTGAAGAATCCTGAAGGACAACGCTGAATGGCTCGTTGGCTTGTCGGTGACGATTCACTGGAACCATGTCGCCTTGTCGGTATTAATTGATGGAATATGTGGGTAAGAGATGAATTGGAATTGTGTAGACAGTTGGTGTCCGCGAAACATCAAGAACGGCTCCCCTTTCTATTCTCAGCTTTGTTCGCAAGGAGCTCAGTGCACCTTGTGTGGTGCTGAGACGCGAGCTGTGACAGATGAGGTTGTCGTCAAACTCGAGAGCAAACGAAGCTAGTCCACGGTTAACTTTGTTGGCACGACCGAGCGAATGAGTTAGTGCCACCCTCAGACAAACTCACGACTGCCATGCGGACTTCTCGATCTCAAGGGGAAGATCTGAGTCGCAGAAGGATGAGTTTGATGGCTGTCACTATGCTTGGCGAAGCTTGACGGTTTCAATTCTGCCCGGTGAACTACTTCGCCTTTTCCTGTCCCTATCTTCAAAAAGGAACTCCTAGCATGATAAGAGTGCTTTTGGGGCCTCCTGTGTCAGCAATATGGGCAGTTTCATACTTTTGCCATCCGCGACCTATCTTTTCGGATTTACTAGGTACGCCCCGTTGAGCGCTAGGGGATTCATATTTGCATCATGGTGGGAGTTCTTTCAGTGTTTTCCGGCTTATTCCGCAGCCTTTTTTTTTTTTTTTTTTTTTGGCTGCGTTCTACCCCCGAGACACCGTCATCTGGCAAGGCTGGATACTTGTACTAGGCTTCTTTGGGTTTGGGCCTCGCGATATCTTGCTATTTCACAGTGGTAGAGAAAGTGGCCCCCCGGTGCGACATGCCTCGGGGTTTACGATGTCCACCAACCTCGCGATGATGAAGAAAGATGAGACGTGTAGAGTTGGAGCCCTTGGTTAAGTGGGCTCAAAAACAGTGGATGATATGGGGGCGCACCTCGGAGAATCTCTACTCACATGCTTGTATTTTCCATATGCCTCTGTTATAAGAATGGTGGTGAGCCTCGTTCAGAGGAAGGACTCTTATGAAAGGATCTGCCGCAAACATTGAATTTGGTGTCCCGTTACGCATATCTTTTCCTTCCTTCGATTTGCTTTTTTAATTCTATTCTTAGCTTTGACAGCCCGGCAGTGGGAGGCAGGTCTTTCCACGCCTTATAAAATATGAAGTTCAGAAATTCATCCCTTCTTTTTGCGCTCATCGCGGCTGCAGACTTAGCGGCAGGTCACGGTGCCATCGTCAGCGCCTCCGGAGACCAAGGCGGACAAGGGAATGCTATCGGAAGTGAGAGAATCACTTGTCCTATATGCTCTCACGATGAATGCTGACATTCTGATGTAGTCGACCAAAACACACCCCGAGATGGAACAAGGCGAAGGCCTTTCCAACAGGATACTACCCGCTTCCGCGGAAGTCAGAGGAACACATGCGGAGAAACATTGCTGGTAGGCCCAAGTCATGTTCGTCTTTATAGAGGGTACTGACCTTGTTTTAAAGAATGGTGACAATGATATTGAAGCCGGGACCCAAAAGGTTATGGACGACAACGGAGGGACCCTTCCTCAGGTTTCTCCCGGTGGCGAGCTTCAAATGACCCTACATCAAGTCAATGCCGATGGTGGTGGGCCGTACAAGTGTATGATCGACTCTACTGGAACTGGAACTCAGTGGCAAGACATTCAAGTCACTCAGAATGTTCCCGGTCGGCTGGGTATCAATCTTCGCGGTCGTAAAACCGACTTTGTAAGTTGAAACATTTGTCTTGTTGTTAGTACCGGCTATTTAAAAGAAAGATGGCTAACTCCGCCAATAGCCTTTAACTGCCCAAATTCCAAACAATCAGGAATGTACAGGCACAGTTGCAGGTCAGGAAAATGTTTGCATGGTCCGCTGCCAAAATCCCGCGCTCGCGGGGCCATTCGGGGGCTGTGTTCCTGTTCAAATGCAAGGCGCAGCAACTGGTGGCAATCAGGGCAATAATGGTAATGGGACTAATGGGAACAACGGCGGGAATAACGGCGGGAATAACGGCGGGAACAATGGCGGGAACAATGGCGGGAACAATGGCGGGAACAATGGCGGGAACAATGGCGGGAACAATGGCGGGAACAATGGCGGGAACAATGGCGGGAACAATGGCGGGAACAATGGCGGGAACAATGGCGGGAACAATGGCGGGAACAATGGCGGGAACAATGGCGGGAACAATGGCGGGAACAATGGCGGAGACAACGGCGGGAATAACGGCGGGAACAATGGCGGAGACAACGGCGGAGACAACGGAGGAGATAATGGGGGGAAGAACGGTGGGTTTCTCGGTGGCTTCCTTGATGGCGTTCTCGGTGGTGGTGGTGGCGGCGGTGCTGGAGGTTTCCTCGATGGCATCCTTGGAGGGGGAAATAATAAGGGTCAGAACCGAGGCGATCAAGACCAAGATCAAGGAGGACAACAAGATGACCCGTCTTTTGATGCAGAAGCCGATAGGCAAGCGGCGGATGCTGCCGAAGTCGAGTGAGGGACGCTTTCACCCAGCCGGCAACCCATCTCAGCAACGGACGATTTACCCCTATCAGCTGTCCGCTTTCAACTCTTGCGATCGATGTTTCGATTTTATTCTTCTCATTTCAGCATTCAGATATCTACAAACCGCATAATTCTAGCTATGTCTCGAGAGTAAATAGTAATTCGAACGTCTTCCTCTACTCCGTACTACTGTGCTGGAGATGAAGCCAGCCATGTTTGCCTTGTTTGCAGTAACTAGTTAACTAGTTACGCGGATTATTACTTTCCCCGATCGCCCGTTGAAACCTTATGGATCTTATCGATCCATCTGTGATAGCACCTTGGCGGTCTGCAGTATATTATCGGCACTTCCTCTGGGGCGAGTAAATAAACTCTCTGGTATCGTTCTCTTTTGCAATTCTCGCCCAGTATGGCGCAAAGAGCTACAGCTACCCCTCCTCAGAATGGCCCTAACCCGATTGTATTTTTTGACCTATCCCTAGGAGGTAAGCCATTCCGAACGAGTTTCCCCGTCGGGAGGTGCTATTAGTCCGAATACGGAGTCCCGAACATTTGGTCCAAATGCCTGAAAATGAGTGGTCAGAAGAACTGTTGAAATGGCCATATTTTATACCCCAATTATGCTAATCAATGCATCTTTGAGTGTTGCCCCTTAACCACAGGTGAACCCCTGGGGCGTATCAAAATGGAACTGTTCGCAAATGTCACCCCACGAACGGCGGAAAATTTCCGCCAGTTTTGCACGGGCGAAAGCAAAGACGCCCGCGGAAGACCTCAGGGCTACAAAGGGAGCAAATTCCACCGCGTGGTGGGTATTTTCAGATTATGCTCTTCCGATGATTTTCGGTGGCTGCGGTCGAACGCTGATCGACTGAAATAGATTAAAGACTTTATGATTCAAGGCGGAGACTTTTTGAACGGCGACGGGACGGGCAGAATATGCATTTACGGCACTGCTACGTTTCCGGATGAAAATTTCAATTTAACCCATGATAGGCCGGGATTACTTAGCATGGCGGTATGCTTCTTCTTCTTCCCTCTCATCCCTATAAACTTGGAACTTCTGACATTGGTGCTGTCATCCGGAAGAACTCTGGGCCAAATACGAATGGCTGCCAATTTTTTATCACTACAGTTGCAACTCCGTTCTTGAATAACAAGCACGTTGTGTTTGGTCGGGTTATTGAGGGAATGGAGATTGTGAAAATGGTAGAAAACACTAGAACGACACGAGACAAGCCAAATCAGGATGTTGTCATTGCGCAGTGTGGGGAAATGTGAACCAGATCTTTATGAACGCAAGATCATTTCGAATTCAAGAGAAGCACGCCCTTACGAGAGGCCATCCGGTGACTGGTTCCGCATTATCTGAAATGTATTCGGCCCTAATCGGCCAAAATGGTCCGCGACAAAGTCCTGTTGCTGCATGGACGGCTCGATATTACAAGGTCTTCTATGTAATTAGAACATGAAAGCAGAATACAAGCGTAGATTGAGAGACTTGATGTACTTTATAGGAAGATTCTCTTCCAGTTATTTGACCAAAAAAATCCCTTACTCTATTGATCCTCCAACAACGCACTCGCAGAGGAAACCGCCCAAACAACACCATCCAGATTAGCTAAAAAGGGAATGTATATCCGATGCTGACTCGGAAACGGAAGACTGAATGAAGGCGTAAAACCAAGGCAAACATTTAAAAGAACATAAATCACAGTTGAAACTGTTCCAGGTACTTAGTAGCAGCTTCGATTGCTTCGTCGACCCTATCAACCTCTGTGCCATTGCCGATAGATGTGGGCGCTTTGCCACCAGCCTTTCCACCGACGATGCCAGAGACAACGCCGGACCAATTGCTCGCGGAAGCACCTTGGGCACTTAGGGACTAAATACATAGTCAGTCAGATAGTTATAATCACACGCATAGATGGGAACCTGTCGCTAAGTTAATCTTACCGATGAAACGTAGCATCCATGAGCAACGCGTCCCTGCTCGGCATCCGCGGCAAAGACATAGATCGATTTGTCCTTCAGCTTTGACTTGGCATGGTTGATAGACTCGCTGATAGCCTTCGCGTTGGCAGAGGTGGGCAAGCGGACAATGAGGTGGGAGCTATCTTTATTCTCAGGTTTTTCAAAGTGTGAATTGATAGCGTCCAGCGCTGCTTTAATCTCTTGCTTTTGCAGAGCCTTTTGTGCTTCGAGGACTTGCTTGTGGATCCGGGCGAACTGTTCACGGAACCTGGCTTTCTCGACCGCCGAAATGGAGAGTTGATTCAAATCAGCCTGGATAAGTTTGGCTTCTTGTTCCTTTTTGGGTCCAATTTCCATCTTCTCGAATCTATTAAGGCGATCACCAAATTCCTTTGCGATGCGTTGCACTTCATGGGCATCTTCACCCGTAACTGCGATGATTCTCCGAATACCTTTAGCGATACCACCTTCCTCGAGGATTACGAGGTCCTTGATGTCACCAGTTTTTTGAACATGCGTCCCACCGCAGAATTCAATACTGACTCCTTTCCATCGGGGATCTTTAACGTCCTTGAGAATTTCCTCCAGTTCCACTCCAACGGACACAACACGAACAGGATCCGGATAAGTTTCACCGAAGACGGCACGTACTCCAGTAATCTCACGAGCGACAGAGAGAGGAACGTCTTTGGAATATACCGCACAATTTTGCCGAATGTATTCCGTGCACTTCTCTTCAATCTTTTCAAGATCGCTGTCAGATACGCCAGATTTGTGAGAGAAGTCAAAGCGCAGCTTTTCCGCGGCAACAAGGGAACCTTTCTGGTCAATTCCATTTCCAAGAACCTCCCGAAGGGCAAAGTTAAGAATGTGAGTGCCAGTGTGGTTGTTGCGGATAGGCCACCGCCGGAGCTCATCGTATTCGGAAATAACGGAGTCGCCCACAGACAAATTGCCGTACTTAATGAAACCTGTGTGAAAGACATAACCACCGTACATTTGAACGTTTCTGACATCCAACTCTGCCTTTCCGTCAATGATAATTTTCCCAGTATCATACTCTTGACCACCTTGCTCGGCATAGAAGTTGGTCTTATCAAGTATTATACCAATTTGATCACCTTCTGGGATGCCGCTCGTGGAATCGACAAACTCCTTGTCATGGTAGACGGCAACAATCTGCGATAATATGTTTCCTCTGCCGAATTTTGCGTCGTCATTTGTTTTTGGAACCTTATCCTTTTCAAGTTTACTGAGATCGTGCACAGAGAGTTTCAGTAAATCAGACGCCGCTTTAGCCTGGCCCTTGCTGGCCTCCTTCGCTTTCAATCTCGCCTCTTCAAATTCAACGTTATCAATGCTGAGTCCTCGTTCTTCGGCCATCAACTGAGTGAGATCCACGGGGAACCCAAAGGTGTCATAAAGTCGCCACACATCCGCTCCGTGTAGTTTATTAGAGCCGGAATCTTTGGCCTGTTGGGCATAAATTTCGAACTGACGTTCTCCACGGTCGAGCGTTTTGGCAAAAGATATTTCTTCTTCGTCCAAAATTTCCATCACATCAGTCTGCTTCTTCTTGATTTCTGGGAACATGCCGCCCATCTGATCCACCAGGGTTGGGACAATCTTGGAGAAGAAATTTCCGATTTCGACTTTCAAATATTTTCTGGCGTAACGAGCGCCTCGTCGCAACACACGCCGAACAACATAGCCACGACCTTCGTTATTCGGGGGGGCTCCGTCCGAAATCGCAAAAGTCAGGGTCCTGACATGATCAGCGACTACTCGGTAAGCCGTATCAATCCCATCGAGGTCCTCTTCGCCAAATTTCCCAGAGTATGGGCGAACTCCAGTAATTTCGCGAATAGCATCGAAAAGCGGCGTGAAAACATCTGTATCGTAGTTTGAATACTTCTTTTGTAGGACAGACACTAATCGCTCGTATCCCATACCAGTATCAACGTGCTTATTGGGAAGAGGGCGAAGGATCGATTCAGACTCGCGGTTATATTGTATGAAAACGTTATTCCAAATTTCCAGAACATTAGGATCATCCATGTTGACGAGATGGGCAGCGTTACGACCACCAATTCTGTCGTAATGGACTTCGCTGCACGGTCCGCATGGTCCCTGGTCTCCCATCTCCCAGAAGTTATCCTTCATATTTCCGGAAAGGATGTGATCTTCTTTCACGCCGACCGATAGCCACAAATCTTTCGTTTCCAAGTCGGGTTCGATACCGGCATCCTTGTTACCTTCAAAATACGTCACGTATAGACGGTCTGGCTCCAGGCCATAAACTTTGGTGAGAAGCTCCCATGAGTATTCGATGGCTTCTTTCTTGAAGTAGTCGCCAAAACTCCAGTTGCCTAACATCTCGAAGAAAGTCTAACCGAAAGAAATATCAGTATAACGGACAGGTCTCAGCATGAAAGGTGGTGTAGAGGGGTCGCCTACGTGGTGATAGCTGTCCTTCCCAACGTCATCAAGGTCCTAAGGGGGTTAGCCAAAAGTCTTGATATTGGTGTGTTTGATGTGATAACATACATTGTGCTTTCCGCCAGCGCGTATACACTATTTCCATGAGTTAGCATTAGTGTCAACACAACATCGTGCGCGGATGATGGACCTTCTGAGAGTTATGTGCACGTTTCAACTGCGCGAAATCCGAATTTGGATCAACCGTGCCCAGGAATATGGATTTATATTGATTCATTCCCGCATTCGCAAAGAGCAAGGTAGGATCCGATAGTGGAACGACCGATGACGACGGCACTGGACGTAGGAACAAAAGTTAGCAGGCGTTTGGAAAAGGTGACTGAGCGGGCGCGGGGAAAGCGGGCGGGACTCACCAAATGTATGGCCATTTTTCTTGAAGAAATCGAGAAATGTATCACGAACTTTGATGGCAGGCCATTCTACTTCATTTTGCGAGGGATTGGAGGTAGAGGACGCCATTTTGAGCAGCGTGAAGGGGTATGGGCGGAGAGGGACGAATTTGTTGCGAGAAAAGAGAGGGATGGCGATGGCGGCGGCGGCGGGGTGGAAAGTCGTCGATGGCGAGAAGAACTTTCGAGTCGAACCGGCGGCGCGCCGATTCGCCAACACACCCAAAGAACTCCTCCCACTCAACATTCAAACCGACATAGAAAGCAATGAATTTGGTGTGGTGCTATTCTTGCACTTTGCATCCGATCAGAACAAGGGAGAAAGAGACCCTAGAGAAGATTAAAAATTTTTGATTGGGAGGCGATCCATTAGCGAATTGATGGCGCACGGATGGCGGCTGTGGGGAGAGCTGAGCTTCATGGACAGAAACGTCGAGCTGACGATGAGCTCGAAGGAGAACAACCGCTGACCAAGAGGTTTGGGCGCCTTCGCATTGGTACGTATTTCCTCTGCTCCGCGGGTTATTCGTAGAAGATTCGCAAAGCCGACTCATTCGCCTCTTCTAGGACGAGTCCTCGGAGCTCCAGACGCCGCCGGGCATGTCGCCACCCCGGCCGCTCATCCCGCTGCTCTTCCCACGGCCCGACGTGCTTGCAAGTTCAACGAAGATGGGATGCAAATCGATGATACGAAAACAAGAGTGTACATTAATGATCTAGAAAGCGAAATAGCGGAGATAGAGGCCGAGGAAAAGGACCACGCTATCGAATTCCTCCCCGAGATCGAGAAGAAACTCATGGCGATCCCGAAGTCGGTTCTCAACCCCAAACCTGACAATGAGCTTGTACTTTATCGCATACCTCGTTCGCTAAGCATACCTGAAGAGGAAGATAGGGTCCGATCAGTGATCGCAGATGCGAGAGGGCGGGCAAGGGAGAAGAGTCTCGCAGATGCGAAAGAAGCCGAAGAGGAGGAAGAGACGAATTCATCGGGCCTCGACGATACATGCATACATGCCACACCGTGGAGGAACATCCATACCAACGAGCCTGATGATCCACTATATGATGCCATGGAGATCGACTGACAGTTGGATCGTTTCCATGACCAGCGTCAGATAAACTTTTCCACTACATGCCGAAAGTTGGCGTTCATTTACTGATCTATGATGCAGCTTTAGTTTACATAGACGTGACAGCGTTTCAATAGACATCGTTTTGCAAACCCCTGATTAGATCCTCTCAAGTTGGTGTAGCACGAGGGAGCTTTCATTCTCGATAATGCCACAATTGTGCTGTACATACACCGACTCAACTCCGCGGTCCGAGATAAGTCATTTCTGGTAGCAGTCGATGGTGTAGTTATGACTTCTTGCTGGGCAACGGAGTTGGCATAGCGTAGATGCGTTGGCCGACATGAAGAACGCCTAGATGGCCGGTTAAAGTTCGTCCTGGGCGTGTCGAAATAAGCGCTCGTGCCTGCTCCAGACGTACCTCTCACTACATAACTGACCCAAATGCGCCTATTGTAGGGGACTTGTTTCCACCCGCGCCCTGACTGAAGGGGTACTCGAGCACTTGAGCTCGGATATAAAGCCAGGAGCCTAGAACAAATAGTCGATGGCCTGTCCCGCCTTTTGTCCATCGGGGATCATGGACAACCTGATATGATTTTTTTTCAAAATCACCCTAAAAGGCTTTCTCTCAGAGAAACTTTCCTCCGGAAAAGCGAGAGGAGATATTCGAAGAAGACTTGTTGAGCAATTCTCGGCGTTGCGCATGATTGATTCTGGTCGGGCCACGAATGTCCTTTTCCTTGTCAAACGGTCGTGCACTCGGATCGTCTTTCTCAATGTCAGACGCCTTTGTCTGGTGCTTTGAGTAGAGCGATTTGTTTCGAATTTTTTCCTGTATATTTGTCAATATGCCTGACACAAGGAAAAGAGCCCCTGAAACCAAACGGGGAGGAACAAGCATACATTATATTCTTTCACCTGCTCTGAAATCTTCCTCGATGGATCTTCGGCTTGCGGTTTGGATTCGCCAGAGGGCGCGGGAGCCTGTATCCCCATCACCTCGTTTTCCAAGCGCTTTCTCTTCTCCTCAGCCGTCTCCGTCCACGTCGACGCGACCGCCTTGCCAGTCGGGGCGTTGGCGGCTCTTCCAGTATTAAACTTCCGACTGCGCAATTTTGTAGGGTCAACCCTGGACGAGAAATCCAGCTGGTCCGGCGGGCGCAGCATCCAGTCGTCACGCTTGGTCGGCTCCGAGGCTGGAGGTGCCGATGGGCCTACTGAGTCACTTTCATCCGACATATCATTCTCTCCTTGCGCCACAGAATCCCCTTTGGCCGGCGGTAGAGTAGGCCCATAGCCATCATCGTCATCATCGCTGCTACTGCTGCTGCTGCTGCTGTTGTTTTCGTCCTCCGAATCAGCTTGAGGCACCATATGCGCCGGCGGCATAATCGGGCCTATGACACGAGGCTTCTTACTTTGGGCATCTGTGGCGCCGCTCGAGGGTTCGACATCTGCATTGAGTTTCCGCTTTCCGCGAGGAGACGACGGATTCGAAGCTGAGTCGGCCATTTTGTCCGGTTCACGTACACGCATCTGTCTTTCACCGTCGCAAATTCGCCAGGAAAATGACCCGGAACCCTTATGTAAGCCAAGGTGGACCTCGTAAAAGTCACGTGACGCTTATTAAGCACAGCGCACCTCTAGAAAAACAGTCACGTAAGAATTTTTTTCTTACCTTTACCAAGCATTTCCCAAGCAGCGCCCCCCCCCCCCCCCCCGGCCCCCGGGGAAAGACGACTCATTTATGCGATAATGTGTTGATGGAATCTGATAAAAATTGATTAAAAAATGATTGAATTGATAGGCCTACTACCAACAGTATCTTGAGAGTGTTGCCAGTGAAGAGATTGTCCTGCCTGAGTACACAACAGTGAGTAACACAATCATTTGCTAATTAGTTACCAATCAGTTAATAACTGATTATACAGATGCTGGGGTCTGTTATTCTACACTATAAGAAGGTCTTCTGCTGGGTAAAGGACTGCATAATGGTTTCTATACCATAATGGTTTCCCTCCACATTTATAAACCTGAAAAGATATCCCAAATCTTCCTAGATATATAATATATTTGTTGATCAGGGGTTTCAACTATTCCGCTCTAAACATTTTTTGCTTGGCATTTGCCCATGTCGTGGCCCTTTGACCTCAACTCAAAGGCACCAAGACATCACATCGGATGGCACAGTAAAGCCATGACTACTCGTGGGCCATTGCTGCACACACGCCGGCTTAGATTCGTGAACAGAAATTTTCACCGCCTGTTCTCACTGAGGTGTGCCGGCGAAACACGCCCATCGCAAGTTGCGGCTGAAGAAGGCATGGGAAACAAGGATGATCTGTTCGAGTACACTTCAGGGAGGTGGATGTATGTTCAGGTGTACTACCGGAGACTCCTGTTTGAAATTGCACATGTTGATCTAGACCATGCAGATACAATGAACGTCGTCGCCTTGCCGAACGCCACCTAGTGTTCAATGTTGATGAATTGAAGAAAGCTGCCGCAACTGCTGTCGGTAGGCCAGTTTCAGAGATAAGAAGCATCCGAAAACTGGCTGAAGGGGGTTTCAACCGTGTCTTTGACATCTCAATGAAAGATGGCTTATCTCTACTTGCCCGACTTCCATATCCATCGACGATGCCCCGACGCCTTGCAGTAGCTAGTGAGGTCGCAACATTAGCCTTTGTTCGTGCTTGTGGCATTCCTGCCCCTCGTGTCCTAGGGTATTCGGCACATGATAACCCTGTCGGCGTCGAGTACATCTTGATGGAAAAGCTCCCCGGAAGACCTATCGGCGACGCCTGGTTTAGCCTGCCCGAAAAAGATAGGCTCAAAGTCCTACACGAAATTGTAACACTGGAAGCCAAGCTCTTTGCCAACAGCCTACCTGCTAGCGGCAGTATATACTTCGCCCACGACCTGCCTCCTGGCACTCCTAATGTACCTTTATCGGACTCGGAAGGACTGTGTATTGGTCCCTACGCGAATCTTAGATGGTGGTTTAATGAGCGCGCAAGTCTTGACATAGACCGCGGCCCCCGTGAGTAAGAAGCCCATGGAAAAAAAAAAGGTTTGTTTGCTGATTCTCACAATTATAGATAATGATCCGTGCCTTGTCCTTCAAGCTCCAGCTGAAAAAGAATTGGCCTGGATTCGGACATATGGAAAGCCTCGTTTTCCCTTCCAACGTGCCTACGGGGAAACATTAGGTTACAAAAAACAAGACCCGGATGAACATTCCAATTCACTATTGGAATATCTCCAGCTTGCACCGTACCTTGCTCCTACATGCCCGAAGCTCAACCTTCCTATTCTCCGCCATCCCGATCTTCAGCCCAACAACATTTTCATCTCTGAAGATTTCAAGATCACGGGTCTTATCGACTGGCAGCACTCTTTGGTTCTTCCAATGTTTCTTGCTGCTGGTATACCGCGATCATTTCAGAATTATGGTGATGAGCAGTCTATGTACTTCATTCCACCGCAACTCCCCAAAGATCTTGGTTCCATGGATGCAGATGAGCATGCTATAGCATGCGAGCAGTTCCGCCGCCGTCATGTGCACTTTTTTTATCTGGGGTTCACGCAGAAACTGAATGAGCCTCATTCGGAGGCCCTTGAACAGGAATTTGGTCTCCTAAGACGCCGGATATTTGACAATGCAGGCAGTCCGTGGGAAGGCCTCAACACCCCATTGCAAGTGGATATCGCGCAGGTATCGCAGAATTGGTCAAAGATTGCCGCTGTCCGTTCAGATGGAAGCCTTCCTGCATGTCCTGTTGTAATTAGCGAGCAGGATGCGCAGAAGAGGGCAGCACTGGATGATTCATTGCGGGATGTGGACACTGAACTGGAACAGATCCATGGATTCCTTGGTGTTGGGTCTGATAGATGGACATCACATGAATTGTTTGAACAAGCGAAAGAGAGAGCACGGTCCATCAAGGCGGAGGGGCTTGCCGCAGTCGATGATGACCCATGGCTAAGGCGGATGACTGAGCAGCATTGGCCCTTTGATGACTACAACGAAGACGAGTAAATGATTCAAATGGTTCGGTTGATATAAATCAGAGGAGGATATTTCTATCGCTGAAGAGGTATCTGTTATAAATTTTCCTTCCATTGTGTGCTATTTGTTTATCTTCGCTTGCGAAACCCAGGACAAGACATATTATTTGATGCTCACTGTGGACATTGTAGACTGATGGTAATTATGGCGCGTGGATGGCCGTAGTGACACTCGTCGCCACTTTGCATGTGGTGCTGACAGCTCATGCTCTGCGGCATCAAGGATCGGCGGATCGCGAGCATGGCGGCTGGTGGGAATCACCACTTCAACCCTGGGGTACCTTGGTATAGTTGGTGGTTGCTTCTGGGAGAAATGGGCAGTGCCTGTAGCAGCAGCCTCAGTATCTTCAGTGTCTGGCCGCGGTGAGGTGGCATCATCACAGACAAAGGATACTGTATAAAATGGTCTCGATGGGCAAGCGTGGAACATGAGCAGGCCATGGATGGGTATAGCCTCATTGTTGTCCCCCACACCCCCCCTACTCTCCTCCCCGGCGCCGGGAGCAACAGTGACCCCTGTCGCCTTTGAGGATCTGCCGGCACTTGCGGTGTTTGCAGCGGCGCGCTTGTGTTGCGGTTGGGGTCGGGCAGGGTGACAGGCATCGGAGTCGCTCTTCTGACCATCATCCGCGTCGTCCCGAATCCGCGACGGAGCAGGCTTTAGGGGGGAGAGGTGGTGGCTGGTGGCTGCAGGATGAAGCAGGTTGGATGGAGTGCTTGAGCCTAGTTGACTGTTGTGGCCCTGCAGGGCAGGGCATGTCAGCATTGCTCTCCTGTTGCTCATTGTCATCCAGGTTGTTGCTGTTGTCACTCATCCCCTGATCACCCATGTTCTCCAGATCCACAATGGAACAGGTTTCAGTGGGAGAAGACACTGAGCGTTGGCTAGAGTGCCTGTGTCTCTTTGATAGTGGTGGTCCTGCAGAGCCAGGTTCTTTGCTGCTGCCTGTGTGGCCAACTGACTCCCTGTGCTGGTGCTTACACACACACACACCATGATGTTTCTGGACTGGAGGGACCCCTGACTGTCAGGGACATTGGTCACTGGACATGCATTGCTTTGGTGGATACCTTCAGAGTTATCACTCCTGTGGCTCTTGCTGTGACTTGATTTCTCTTCAGCCCTGATACCTGTCAGACAATCCAGAGTGTCAAGACTGCACTGGTGTTGTGGTATCACAACATGAGCAAATCCTGATCAGGCCCCCCACACCCCACAAATTTTAATCTAATTTTTTTTGCACAGAAATAATATCAACAGCAGTTTTAACATAGCTGTTTATCACCAGCTCAGACACGCATCATTTTCATTCACTTTGGAAAATCTTTTTACTTCAACTGTTGTGAAGCATAAAGGTGACCTTTCTCAAGACATCAATCAAAAGCACCACTCATTCTAGAGAATTGTATAGCTTATAAGCAGAATGATCATCAGTGTCAACATTTCCCATATTCCTGTCAACCATATATAAATTACAGAATTCTTATGCTCAATAACATCAAAATATCTGACATTTCTTAAGCTATTCAAAAGCTATAAATATTAAGAAGCTGTTAGGGAACCTGGTATAGGTTTCGTGGGTCTTCCCAGGATTTGGGATATGAAAGAGCTAAGTAGGTCTGATGCCCACAACTGATGGGAGGGAGTCATGCGTAGAACATCAGGGTCCTCTAACTAGAAGACTGAACACTGAGGTTCCCAAAATCCATGCAAATCATGTGATCCTTATACATTCCCATAGCAGAAATGGGGAGGATTTGTAAATGTAGATCCACCAGTCCTGATATGTTTATGTTGGAATATATGTTTATCTGAATCCATGATTGTCTGGGGGTTTAAAAATATATACATTCTGAATTCAGAAATGTAGCTCCCAATTCCAACATGGGGTGTTGTTGCAGTTCATCTTGTGGATCTTGTTAGCATCATACCAACCTAGGCAATCATATGTTAGAGTGTTCAGAACGTTAGGGAACCTGGTATAGTCAGTCATCGACTTTGCCAGGGTTTTTCATTATCGATCGTATTCCTTATCGCCTATTCCATATGCAGAGAATCAGTTCAAGGAGAGTTGACTCAAATGGCGGCGGGGACCCGGAAAGAGCGTGTTCGAATTGGGCTTGCTTGCTTCGACGGCCTTGAAAGCGCTTGAATTACGCGGTTGAACGTGCAACGAACGTTCGCGATCCGGGGAGCATATGTGGTTAAGTACCTTGTCGCTGCATGGCTCTCCGTTGGCAACTCTCAGTACGATGACGAGTTCGTTCCATTGCCGGAGAGCATCCCACTGCCAGGCATCTACACAGCTGCATCCACAGATCCATGCATAACTATGTTTCCGGCAGTGGGTTTCTCGGCGAACGAAAGAGAGACAAAAGGAATTAAAGGGTCGACGTTGCAGCCGAATAACACCACTAGCCCTGAACAGGAAATTCGGAGGAGGGACTGTCTGGGGGTCAGCGGCGATCATCCGGAACAACGAGAAAAGCCCTTCCACGAGGGCCACTGCAAGGAGCTACTGAGCTGCTGGCGAGCGAGGGATGCATCAGTACGAAATATCCGACCCAAAATCAAGCACAGAGCCCGAGAGAGGTACAGATCCAGCCCGTGCCGCCCGACTGCAGTGACAGCTTGATGAGCATCCACTGCAGAGTTATCCCGGGATACCTCAAGAGTTGCACATGATTTTCTGCGTCACCGGGCCTTTTAATAAATTTTAAAGATGAAGCTCCTTCGAAAGTATTTGAGCTTATTGGATTTAAAGCTCTTCATTCCGTGGAATTCTTCCGTGGATTGGTCGGAACCTGGGTCGCATTTTGGAAGAGTTGGAGGCAAGACGTGGGATGACGAACCTAATTTTAAGCACACATTCTTGCCAGGGACTGTACGACCAGGGAAACGCCGGCAATCCAGCTCGGGCAGGAAGGGATATTCCCCGCATTGCGAGCGCGCCCTAATATATATGGCGGAGCGATGACCCCCCTGGACTGATGCCCACGCTTACAGACTTCTGCTACCTTTCGTCTAAAGGGGGAGATTTTCCCGTTCAAAAGAAGCCACAAGCCTTCGAATATGCATGATTTAAAATTATCTCTCCTTTTTCTCTTCCTCTCCGCCCTCTACGTTGCGGAAGCCCGGAGGCTTGTCGGGATAAATGGAGCGGCAGCCAAGTTTGCAGGGCCTGAAGCCCTCATCGGGCATGCGATTGCGGGCCGGGAGATAGCAAACGGCAAGCCCCGTCATAGGTTTTTGAACCAGAATACTCAGCGTACGATGTAGCACGCTACGATTTTCCTTTTTGACTTGGAGCGCTCCCTCACTTCGTCCAGGTTTTGCTGTCGACGGGACAGGAATCCCTGAAGTCACATTTGACGTCGGCGAATCCTATGCAGGACTCCTCCCAATTACCAAAGACCCAGACGAGGACCAAAAGCTCTACTTTTGGTTCTTTCCCACAGACAATGCCCAGGGACAAGAGGAGATTACCATCTGGCTGAACGGCGGCCCTGGATGCAGTTCCCTTGAAGGATTCCTTCAGGAGAATGGCCCATTCCACTGGCAGTACGGAACATTCCGCCCAGTGAGAAATCCATGGAGCTGGCACAACTTGACGAATATGATTTGGGTCGAACAGTGAGCAACATTATCAAATTTGACTGTCTATGACAGCTTAAGCTCTGACCTAATCTGGCTTAGACCCGTTGGCACCGGCTTCTCTGAAGGCGAGCCCACCGTTACGTCTGAGGAGGATGTTGCGGAGCAATTCCTTGGATTCTTCCGCAACTTCATTGACCTCTTCGATCTTCACGGGAAGAAAATCTACATTGCTGGCGAGAGTTATGCAGGATTGTACGTCCCATATATCGCTGACGCAATGCACGCAAAGAATGATACGAGATATTACAACATCCAGGATATTCTCATTTTTGACCCGACGATCAACGAACATGCTATTCTTCGACAAGGTAACGGAGACCTCTGTTCTTTCTCCTGGACTTTTTATTAGCTTACGCTCAAGTCAGTGCCTGCCGTGCCATTCGTTGAACATTGGTCCCATCTCTTCCCTCTCAATGACACCACTGTCAAGAGAATTCACGATATCGCCGATTCTTGTGGTTACACCGATTACATGAATGAGTGGCTTACTTACCCACCCAAGGGGAAGATGCCTCAATTCCCCGAGTCTATCACTGAGAACAAAACCTGCGACGTCTGGGAGGCCATTTACGACGCTGTGTCTCTCGTGAACCCATGCTTCAACATCTACCACGCCACAGATACCTGCCCACTGTTGTACGACGTGCTAGGATTTCCAGGAAGCTTCGAGTACACCCCGGAGGGCGCAACCATCTACTTTAACCGTACCGACGTCCAGCGCGCGATCAACGCACCCTCCAAACCCTGGAGTGAATGCTCACCCCGTGAAGTCTTTGTCGGTGGACAAGACAATTCCCAACCAAGTTCCTTTACCGTCATCCCTTCCGTCATCGAAAAGTCGCGCAATGGCCGGACAATCATCGCTCACGGGGACTTGGACTACATTCTCATCACCAACGGGACCTTGCTCAGTATTCAAAATATGACCTGGAACGGTGACCAAGGTTTCTCCAGCCCACCCTCAGAACCGTTGGTAGTTCCGTACTCTCAAGTCGGGAACCTGGCCGCGATGGGTGGCGCGGGTATCCTGGGGAAAACGAGAGCGGAACGAGGTTTGACGTATGTGGAGATGCACTTGACCGGGCATATGGGTCCGCAGTACAGCCCTGCTGCGTCCTATAGAGTTTTGGAATACTTGCTAGGGCGCATTGATAGCTTATCACAGGCTTGAAGCAGTATCATGGGGTAGTAGAGGCGTATTTCGAGATGCATGTATCTACAAATAGCATATGCGTTTTGGAAACACGCGATATATATCGGAACCAGAATTGTTAAAAGGACTGACACTTTTATATTAATTCCCACCTGCCAAATGTACGACATCTAATGGATATCAGTCAAACATCTTAAATTATTACGGCCGAAAGCCGGCATTAATGCATAACCCGTGCCTTTACAGGCAAATAGTGGAGAGAAACTACCATTCAAAAAGGGCAGAGTAACGATGAGTTCATATTACGATCCTCTAAGAATATGATAATACCAAGCGCGATCCACCTCTGCGTACCGTTGCTGACCCTTTCACGTCTGACGCAAGGGTGTACAAAATCAATACGCGTAATCCTGGGGAGACCTATACTCTGGGCGGTGATACGCGCCCCAGACTGGCGGTGCCGTATAATGTGATGTCATTGGGTGAAGCCCAGGATAAAATGACGGGCTGGCCGGACGGTACCTGTAAGTGGCCTTCGGGCCGCGATATGAAAGACCATATGGATGGATTTCATACACTACATCACCCATAAAAGGCACTCCTGAGCTTTCTAGATAATGCGTATCATGTGTCCACGGCTCGTTAGGGGCTACGCGAGATCTCGTCATTGGCGGAATCGGCATTGTTCCTAGGGAGTCGAAACATCAATATAATTTGATGATGCGAAATCAAATCAGAGCCTTAATTACCTTGAGTGACACGGATTGAATTGTCTCTTGGATGTCGAGGATATGGCCGTCCAGAAAACACTCGCCATCCGCGACGCCGATTATAAGAGCGAGATCTATACCTGTGACAATCTTGTTAAGCACTCGAACCGATGCAAGGGCGAGGGGAACCATGGCAGAATAGATTTCCATGATTCCCGTCGTGTTCAATTTCATACCCTGAATCAGACCCCTCATTATCTGTAAACTGGACCTGCTGTCCACTGTCACGTCTAGGCGGCTCCCTATCACGACGACATCGGTCTCCACTAGCAGAAGAACGCCGTCGACGTTCTCGGCCTCTATAATGCCCGTCATCCACCCTAGCGGGAATTTGGGGTTCACCTTGCCTAAGGACCATCTGTCAGTTAGCAGAACGGGATCGCTTTCAGAGTCCCAACACGCACCGATCTCGCGGCGGGTAGAATTGCGACGGATATAAGTCGACATCGGCCGGTAAGGACTCATTTGCTACGCGCGCTGGAGGCGATTGATATGAATAGACATGACTATTGCCGTAATTCGTACGCCGTGGGGGTGTCTCAGTGTATACAGCATGATGAATATGGCGTTCTTTAGTACAGGGGCGAATATCAAAACAACACTTGGGAATATCACAAGGCTTCTTAGGATCGTGGCAAGAATGTGCATTATGCAGGCAGTTCATATCCCGATGAACATCGGATGATACAGGGCACGATTCCCTCTTTCCGTGGCGCAATATCTCCTGATCGTGATAATGAAGGCATCCACTGTTCTTGTCGGCGTTGCAACCATTCTTATTCCTTCGGTTGCGTTTACCCCGCCACTTTCGCTTGCGGGCAATACTTTCGCTAGAACTCTCATCACTGGATGTCTGCAAGTCCCGACACTTGTGACAAACGCCAATGGCCAGGGCTTGTCCAGATGGGATTGGGTGGCGATGATGGTACGCTGGCGATCTGTATCGTCCACAAACACCGCATGGATGCTTTGTTTCGAACTGTTGGTTGACAAACATGCCTTGGTTCCTGCCTGCAGGATTCAACGGGCCAGAGATCTCCGGCCGTGCGGGCCCCGGCAGTGGATATGGCGGGGGAACAATATCATATCTAGGCCTTGGCTCCGTTTGATGGTCTATGCTGGGAAACAGGGGCCTATCAGTTGGAAAAGGGAAAGGCGTCTCTGCTTGTACGGGATTGTACGCCATGGATTTTGGATTAATCAATGTATTGAAAACTGAGCGGCCGGCAGGTTTAATTTTGATTGGTTTGCGAACAAATGCAGGACGGCCAGAAGGCAGTTTTTGCACATACATAGCACCAGGCTCTAAGCTAGACACGGAAGTAAAGGGTGAACTGCTATAATGCCATGGAGAATAGATCAGTGGCCATTCCCGGAAAACTCGGTGTGGTGTCGAACCTAGTCAACATCACTGCATGCGTTCATCCCCGCTCACGTCGAATGGAAATCAATATCTAGGATCTGCTAAAAGTTGACACCATTAAAAAAAATCCAAGAGAAAGTAGAGTGCCCAGATTGAATGTATCAACAGGCGAGAAGTGCCCGGACACAATTTCGAGGGAATATTCAGCCTTGAAAAGGATTTCCAGCTTCATACTGGGTACCCTCTGGTTTACAAGGTGAGAGCAACCAAATACCCAGGAAGGTTCCATCAGTGGGGCAGCCATTTCTGCTGCTCTTCAGTTTCTTCAATCTCCTGTTGGAGGAGAAAAATGGCACTGAAAAGCCCACGCTCGTGCGAAGAACAAGATAATCGAGAATTCAACCGCTCTCCGGCCCTGGGGGATACCGTTCAGAAGGCAGCGAAGTGAAGGATATCCCGGCGATCGTCAGGGAGAAGCTGAGCTCACGTCGCAATTGAGTTTCGGGTAATTATTGATCCGTCCCGAGCCCCTAACCGCCGCCAGCCCAGCCACCGCACTGCCCGGTCAGTGTCTGTCTGGACAACTACATACGAAGAACGGAGTACTCTGGTTCTTTTACAATCTTTGTGAATTCAACTCGGTCAATATGCACTCCCATGATTCCCATCTACTCTGCTCCGCGACGCTCTACCAGTCAACTCCGCTTGCCTCATCCTGCTTCCAGTCATGACTGCTTTGCTTGCCCTGATACCTAGTGGCATTCCACGCCGAATACCCTCCTAAACTGTTCCTCTGCCTATCTGAGTATGAGCTGCTGCGATCCCTCGGATTATTTCCATTTTGAAATCTATCTCCCTCGTTTCTTGCGCCAGAGCTGTTGCTCTGGGTATGTATGCTCCGGAATGGATCTCCACCCTTATGGGGATTGCCGTTTTCCCTAGTATGGCGGCTTTGAAATGGATCTGCGCCTCTTGAAGACAATCCGCTGCCACCCCGATTGGTACCTTGACTGTGCTTGCTTTGGAATGGATCTCCAGACCTAGCTTTGTCAGCCGTATTGCTGTTGCCGTTTCCATTTGCGTGACGGCTTTGAAACGGATCTCCGCTACCAGTTGAGGAACCGCTGACGACCCTACCGCTCTGGGAGGAATCTCCGGTATTTGAGGCGCCCCCTGCGGTATTACTGTTGCAACCAGAATGACGACTTTGAAACGGATCCCCATTACCGTGACCCCTCGTTTGGTCGGAGTCCTCCCTATTCCTCGTGGCGTTTCCGGAGCTTGTAAGCCGGCTACTGCTCTTTCCGCTATTGATGCTGTTCTTGGTGCTTCCTGAACGTACGGAAGGCTTTCGACTATGGCCTCGGCTGTCCGTGCTAGTTTTTTCATCCTGTGATTGGAATCTCATGACCGGCTCGCAACGATATCCATATGACGGATGACGCCACATGAAAATACCTTGTAATGGAAGTGGAACACCATTGCTGTTAGTCCCGTCAATGCTGAAGTTGTTCAAATCGGGTAAATTAGCTGGAGGCGATAATACGCTGGGGCCCGGAGCTCCAGGTATCGGAGCTGGTGGAGGCATAAAATTGCTATCCAAAGGCCAATCTCCCCGGGAGTTTTGGCTCCCTAGGTTTCCGACATTGGTACCATACTGTACGAACTCTGCACTTGACTGTTCTGGTTGATCGGGAGCAACCGGGTTTAAAGTGGGCTGATTACTTATGAGTCCCTGTTTCAAAGTTAACCCGTCATATCACCCTATTCTTCAGATCTTGTCTGCCATACCTGTGCTTGAAGAAGCTGGGTGACAATGTCAGATTTAGGCAACATTTCTAATTTCTTTCGTTCCACCTCTGGATCGCGTTCGACTTTCACATTGAACTTTTGTTCAATAGTCTCTGAATACCATAATTAGCTTTGCGTTGATGGATGGCGGCTTGAATTTTCAACTCACCTTGCATCCGATACTTAAACACAAATTTGGCATACGGTTCGTCCATCGTATCCAAATATTCGGGGACCCGCAGTTTGTGCCTGTAATCCTGCGCTCGCCCTAGCTGTACCTGGTGTGACAACGATTTGGCTTGGGCAATTGCTTCTGGAACGGTATATAGCGGTGGCTCGTCATCTTGCTGGTTATAGTACACTTGGGATGCGCAAAGGGACTGCCGATTCGGTGCCACGAAACGATAAGGCTGTATTGGTATCCAGGGGCCTTGCTGAGCCGCTTGCTGGGACCCTTGCTGTGGAACAGGCTGAGGGTCCACTTGATCATTATTTGAAGCAGCCTGGATTTCAGGAGGATTCCTGCTGTTATTATTTTTATCTTCCCAGCTTCCTCCTGGGTGCCACTCGTGATTCGCGCCGCTCTCGTGTCCACCATTCCCATTATCGTTGCTATCGCTGTTCCCCCAATTATTATGGTCTTGGGCTTGTCCATTGTATTGGTTGTCGTTGTCCCAATTAACTTGCTGGTGAGATTCATTGTTCGGATTCTCGACATTTCCAGAGTCCCACCGGCTTTCATTCGTACTACCGTTGTTATCGCCACCCCAACTTTTCTGGCTTTCGTTGTTATTCCAATCTGGCTGTTCATGGGTGTTTCTGTTGCCGACATTGGCCCAGTCGTCTCCCATGTCATTATTGGATCGGTTATCGCTATTGTTGTTGCAATCCTGCGGGCCCAAGCTACTCTTGTCCCAGTTCCCCGATCCGTTGTTACCAGGCCCTTCATTTCTCGATCCATTCGAGTCATTGTCCCATCCCGGTTCACCAGTCGTTCGTTTTCGACCATCCTGATCACCTCCTTGACCTCCATTATGTATTCCATGATTGGGCCAGCTGGACTGATTGCCATTTAACCTGACCGAGCTATGGTCCTGCACTCCAGTTGGAGGGGATTCTCCTGGGACATGGTTACAATTGCCGCTGCAATTACGGCTCTCCTCCCAAGTGCGAACATTAGGCGCTCGAGTTCGAGGTCCTCTACAATAATGTGGGACTTTTTGACCGTCTGAGATCACGTAACAACCGTTATTAGCGACGTCGAGTTGATTATCGCAGGATTTGCAGGTCGAATGCTCGTTACCCCATGACGGTGGGTTCACATTCAATACGATTGACGGCACGCCCTGGGAAGTCGATTGTATGGTAGTCCCGTATGCAACTTTTTCTTCTCGGTTCGTTCCATTGCGTGAATATGTATCGTGTTCATTTCGTGGATTGCCAGGGTGACTGCAATTATACGTCTGATCGTGCCTAACATCCCGTTCTTCATACTTTTCATTCTCGTCACATTCAGGGCAGTAGTCGTGGGTGGTCAACACCCTTCCCCGGTACCTGGAAAGTTCCCTGGGTACTTCGGGGCCGGTTTCTAGCATCAAATTGCATTCTTCACAGGATCTATGATCGCGTGCATCCTGAGCGTTTGGACGGGTGGGTTGGCTCCAACGACTACACTTGGGGCAATGACAATTGGTTCCTGTTAACTCGGAATTTAGCGAAAGATTGCGGTCGTGTTTTCGGTGGTTTTGTCGGTGGCGGCATCGAGGCCACCCTGAAGGATTGGCTCGCAGTTCTCTGGGATTGTAAGGGTGATAATCCGAAGAATGACTTCTTGATCTACTGCGTTCTGAGCGAGAATGTCGTCTGACCGGGTGTCGGCCATAACGATCATGGTAGCTATGGGGGCGATCTTGCTGGCTTGATGAGTATCGTGCGGTCCTAGATATATGCCTGGCGCAAAATGAAGAATTATCGCCAGATTCTGATGGCTCTGGATCATATGATGCCTGTTTCCCACGAATATCCGAGCTGCTGTGCGAGGGCAGAGGTGTGAAATTTTCTGCGTTCCGTGGGCGATGGTGCGCGGAGTCACAACCTGGACAGTAGTCTTCATCCCGCTCGTGGGTCCGTCTTGATCGCTGACTTGCATGTCTATGATGATGACGTTGGTGTTGATACCGATGAGATGGATAATATCCATCGTTCGCGCCATCAAAAAGCATGCTAAAGTCTCCCAGTGCACATTCTAGCTGGGGCTTGACTCCAGGAGCTGGCTCCAGTTCTGGACTCTTATTATACTTTGCTTTGGCGATTTCAAACTCCTCATCGCTCAACGCAGCGTCGATATCTGGATTTAGGTTAGCCGCTGATGCTTTGGCCTATTAGCCGGCTACCTTACCGTTGGGATCAAGGCTCGGCGCCATGGCTGAATCTGGTGTTCGGGACCCATCAGACAGCCCATCGGCACCGCCATTTCTTGGTACGCAGCGGAGGACAATCACCATTATTTCTCCAAGGTGATCAAAATGACTCTTAGGGCCAATATCTGGCATTCCTGGCACTTCTGGAACTATCATGGCGAACCCCGCAATATCAACACCATTATTCGTCAAAATCCGTCCAGTTTTGTACTTACTTATCTGCAGCGGTTCAAATCTCCATGGTCTCCCAATCCACTTTCCATCACCTCGCATCTCTTCTTTTTGTCTCACGCGAAAATTCACTCCTTTACGCGCTCCTTTTCCTCTATCTCCTTTGGCTTTTTCTCTGGGTTTGCCTTCCGTAGCAATCAGGTCATCTCTGTTCCTGTTACACTGATAAACACCATCCATGAAAACGAACATGGCCAGACCCGGGGCGATGTAGCCGCTGGACTTGAGACTGACGGAGAATGGTGATGACGTTGAGGGGATGGCAATATAGCTTTCCACGGTGCCATCGCCGTAAGCTATCCCATATTCCTTGAAGGGAATATCAGTTGGAGCCCATTCGACATGGCAGGTTAGCTGTTTAAGGGTTGGCATTGTTGCTAGTGTATCAAAGGTTCAATGGTTTGTAAGTGGGATTGGGACAGGTGAAACCATGCTTTTTTTTAAACAAAAGCAAAAGGTTGAGGATGGTATGGGTTGATGGAGTGAATGGCTGACAAAGTGAAAAGCCAAGTAGAAGAATATCGATGTTGATGATCACTGTGTGAAGAGGCTGTTGTTGGCGAGCAATCCAGTTCACTCAGCAACGGACGGAACTACCCCATTCGCTATTCTCCCACACCAACCGATGGGAGTCAGTAGTTCTCCGAATTTCATTATCAAGCTCCCCAGGCTGGCTTCTACATTGGTAAGGATATGAACCTGTTATAGCGACATGTTTACAAATAATACTTCTCTCTTGTGTTACTCTAATATCTAAGAAAGGCCCGTGGGTTCATCATAAGGAAGAAGTCTCAATATCAGATTCAGAACTCCACCTATGTCTAGGGATGAAGGGCGAGTATTCAAAACCAAAAATTAGCATGACTTTGTCCAAACACAGAGCACGAAAACTGGGAGCCAAGACATGGACAATACACAATATAAAAGCCGTGGTGTCATCTTTAGATGCCCAGCTGGGAATGCACCCCTGAGACAGGATCTCTATAACCAAACATTCGAACCAATCTGACCAAAGTTATACACCAAGCACCGCGCTGAAGATCTCACTGGCCACAATCCTGAAACAAATTCCGTACAGAAAGGACCTGGATAGTGGATCGTATTCCAAATACACCAAACACACCGACGTGGTAACGCCAGGAATTCGCCGGGCTCGCTCCGTTAATGCGTCAACATAAACGTTTCGTTTAATTACGGGCCATTGGAGTCCCGTCTTGGTGTAAGCTCCAGGAAGCTTGCTCCGACATGCATTGTAAGGTTACTTAGACTTCCACTCCAAGCGGGGATGGATGACGCTACAGACGATATGATCGACTCGTCGTCGCTATCCCAATTATTTAACATTGAGTCCACAGGGCTGTCAACTCTCTCTAGCTGGTGGTCCTCGAAGAATGTAAGGAAATGGCGGTGGTAGTCGTCATAAATTTCGTTGTGGGCATCGGCAAGCTGGAGAGGACACTGGAAGCTCAGCCATTCATCAAGCCTATACGGTAGCGGGTTTGTTTCGTCGGTTTGGAATCCGTGGCGAGGTGGTATAAAGGTTGAGTCCGGTTCCGGATCTCGATACAAGACGCACCGTAAAAAAGAAGCATCGTTCTCATCGTCGCTTTCACTCGCGGGAGATTCTATTGGTGGTGTGCTTCTCCAAGAGGGGGAGGTATCTTGATCCAACATTTTCAGGTCTGCTAAATAATTGTGAGTAGCTTCATGGACGCTACTTTTCCTCGAAGGGGGTAATCTGGGCGGCACTGATGGATGGTGACGCTCGTCATAACCACCAGGGGGGACTGAATATTCATCCGGGGGTCTAGGCGGCTCAACCGAATGCAACATCCTATTCATAGGGGTGAGGGCGAGATAAGTCGGCTCACTCATGCTGATCAAGTTGAAAAGCCCCAAATAATGTTAGAACACTGGTAACAGGAGGGGATCGGTTTCACTCAAAGGGAGTAGGAAGCAGATGGGATGGATTCTTCTGTGAGGCACTTGAGGTAGACTGGCCTAGGGTGTTAGAGGAACAAGACAGATAACAAATCTGTGAGCCTGAAATAAGGGTATTAGTAGAGCTTGAAATTTGCAATCTAGCAGACAGAAGTGCAGAAAATGTTGAAAATATTCGTTGGCAAACTAAACTGAGAGATCGTGAGGTATCTTGGAATTCGCTACTCTCCACAGGCCACGAACGTCACAAACGGGTAGACAAAGCCTCCAATTTGTATGCACACCAGTCATCAGACAAGGGAGATGCAATTTAACCAGAGGCCAAAAAGTGTGTCAGGCCATTTACACCCAGTTTCTGCAGCCTTGTGCGGCCTTGACCAGACCAAAGTATTGTGATCACAAATGAAACAAACGAGTAAACCATATTGAAAATAAGTGTGTCTGAGCAAAAAGTTAACCTCGCTGGAAAAGAGCAAAAGTGACAGGGATAGAAGGGAGCATAGCTTGAGGGCAGGCTGCGATAGCACCAGCATCGGAGCTGGCCGTCAGAGCGCAAAAGGAAAGAAAAAAAAAAAAAGGACACATTTTCTGGCGGCCAATGGAATCCAAGTGGACGCAACTAGATTTCTTGGTATTACCCGACACGTCATAAAAGCCGGAGCAGGATGAGGTACATCCTGTGCAAGCTCTGTTCGCATGTTGCATGATTGAAATCGGCAGCCGAAGCCGCTCACATCCGTTTGATGCGCAGACAAGGGAGGGAGGAATGTACTCGGCAAGATGGCTCACGCTGTTTGGGCAGTGTAGAGCTTCGAGTCCCCGGAGCAGTTGACATCTAGAGATCAATCGTTCATCTTGGTTACCAGGTCGTGGAGGTGGTATGAATTTGCAGGCTTGGAGGGGAGGCCAATCCTGTACTAGTCGCCCACAGGATGATAGATAGCACCTGTCTGGAAGAAAAAAGAAAAAAAGGGTATTAATGGTAAAAAATGATAGGGGATCGAGCAACGACAGAGTACGGAGTTCAGGCCTCTCCTAATTTCATCGATGATTGATACGGTAAACAGAGCTCTCTGCTAATCAACCACTCCCATATCATAGACTAACTAATGCCAGTCCATGACACAGATCGATTGCATACTCAAGCAATTGGTGCTTGTGGCACAAGCTTGCCGCTGCTGAGGCTACCGTTTAGGAATAGGAAGACATAAGAATGGCTTGCTCTTCTTTGGTTGCCTCACTGACTTTCCTACAAACACACGATTCCTCTCATTCGTCAATCCCTAGCTCCGGGGACTGTTGGCGATTGCCGCCTCACTCTTGGGGGGAGGGGTAAGGATACCTGCGTTGCGAGGTGGTCTGTGCTTGTGGCTGACTGTTATGTGGATAGACAATGGAATAAGCATTAAGCCTTCCAAAATACCTCTACAAGGCACCAGTGGCCATGAAGAAGTCACTGGATTGCACATTTCCAGTCTGTATGACTGTTGTGATCGAACCTAGGATGTTTTGGTTAGCTCTATGAGATTCGGTACCTCCAATCTAACTCCCTCCAACCCGTTCGCGATAGCTAGCACCGTTCCCAAAGCCCAAAAATGTAACCTGAGTTCCCACATGCAAAAGAAGAGGCCCTGATTTGCCTTCCCTATTTTAAGTTGCATTTAGTGTCACATCGGGAACGTTGTACTGGCATGACCTCAGACCGACCAACGGCCTTTTGTAGTCTATTGTTCTTAATGTACGGAGTACTAAAACTTGCATATCATTAAAAGGAGTTAAAACAAGAACCGTGAGCTCATTGTCCAATAAGCGTATCCGCAAATAACTAGCCTGGAGCCCTGGTGTGAGAAGGTCAGTTGAAAAAGCTGACAATTTGTATGAAGGTAAAACGAGTACCCTTCTCTTACTTTTTTGGCTTGGTAATCTGAACATCTTCTTGGAGCTCATCCACAGCGCAGTCTCTATAAAACCAGTGAAGCCATAGTCACTGGGGAGCCTCCAATAGGTCCCTGGGGAAGAAATTTTCTGGCAGTTGTGGATAGCCCTTAGTAGAGCAGGCGACATTGGGAAATCCACCTTTTCTCCTATGGCATCATTGCAACAACCTTCGAGGTTGATTGTATTTTGCAGCCATTCAAAAGTTGGAGTCCGGCTCGTAGGACCAGTACAGATCAAAAAGAACCGCCATATCAGTGTGATGGACGGATGAAACTAGGAATGTACAGGCGATGGCTGAATGGAAAGGCAAAGTCAACCAAGACATAAGGTCTTGTGGCTGAATAAAGAGTATGGGTTGAATGTGCTTTTGGCAGTACGGAGTACGGAGTAAGTCGGCCCAAATTCCTTTTTTTAAACTTAACTAATCCCCCCTGATTTTGTTCGCCCATCTGGTTGAGGACAGTGGTTGATAAGTAGCTGGCTCACCTTGCGATATCTTTCTGATGTTTGGCTTTGCTTTACACCCAGTCTTTCTGGCGCCCGACTTCCTTCAACGCGCAGCCATGGTGATTTTGGAAGAGAGGGTTAGATAGCAGTTTCGTGTTGTCACACAGCGGAATAATTGACTTATTTTTGATGATGGGACAAGGTCGACAAAGGCAACATTCCCTCTTGTCAATACAAATAACGTCTTCTTTCTGCCCTTTTCCTCGAAATATATTATTCTGATAATAATGATAATAGCAATGGACAAGAATAATGATAATAATCACCAACGAGAGATTTGGCTGACGGAGTTTTCAAGCTTGACTTGGTCAAAATCGCCTCTGGGTCGGCGGTCCTGGCTAGCTCGAGAGAAGAGCAGAGGAACCGCACGAAGGCCCCTAAGCAATATTGAGCAATATCCAAAATAGGAAGACATTCCCTGTCTCTCTAGCGAGTGTTACACGAGGTTCCATTCCCAAGGTCCCAAGTAGGAATTTATCTGGGTTGCGCTTGTATTCGAGTCGCTTCAATTGATGAAGCATCCCTTCATAAAAACTGAAAAGTACAATGCCAGTCTAGAAGTGAAAACAAAAACACACCAGATCCCATACGCCGCGCGATCAGGACAGAATGGACAAGGCACCAACACCTTTGCTATCAAGGGGAATCGCCAAAACCGATAAAGATCTTTTGCCACAAACACTGGGAGGATATAAAACTGCAGATCGAGAATCGTAAAACCCACTTAGTCAAGAAAATTCGTGTCGCTGTAAGGAAATTTATCGAACAGCAAGCCGAAAACCCTTTAATAGAACTTGTCGCCAAACACCGTGGCCAAATAAAATTTTGCAACCTAGCCCAACCCAGGAGCCCAAATGAAAAAAAAAAAAAGGAAAAAAAATACTCCGTAGAAATGAGGCGTGCCAAGGACTGGGATTATACCGCCCAGCTCCCTCTTGCTCTGACACCCCAGCCCTCAAGACCAGATCCCGGACTGGTCGCCCTAGGCTGCTGGCGTGCCCATTCGTGAATATACAACTTTAGGGCTGTCCACCGCATGCACTTGCCGTCGGTCTCTGAAGGTCCCTCGGGAGCACCCAGATAACCTTTCGCATTGGCATGCTGGTCATCTTTCCGGAGTTCTTCAACGGATATTCCAGTAACAGAGCTGAATTCTTCGTCATAATCGCGTGCGAGACAAGGATAGCCAAGCGAGAGATAGTTGTATATCTGTGTGACAAAAGAATCGTTAAACTCCTGATTTATTTCCTCTTCCAAAGCTTGCTTGTCTTCGTACTTCTTTTTTTCCTGGGGACGAGGCGACTTTGTAGGTGGAATAGCAAGATTGTTCGTACAGAGTCCAGTAACGGTAACAGACTTTTCACAGTCTGTATCCTCAGGGCCAGTTTCAGGGACGGCTTTATTTGCGGAGGAAAGGGCCGATAAATTTGTCCCGCTAGGCCTCTTGCATGTCCCATTCCATAGACCGGGTTCGTCACAAAGATCGCAGTGAACTTCGGGAATCCAGAGGGAATTAACCTGCTGCTCAGGTGCACCGCCATTGTCGTCTTTGTGGGAAGTCGGTGTCTGGTCAGTCTCGCACCGCGTAGTCTGCGGTGACTGGCACTGGGGAAAAATAATATCACCGCCCAACATCGGAGGGCGTACAGCGCGCCTCTTGTTCGTCGCATCAGCACCTTTCTGCCATCCACCAGTGATGCCATCCATAGCACTGGCCTCCTCCATCATTCTCTTGGCTGCCAATGCGGCAGCAGAGAACGGGGAGTGGCCGGAGGCGAAGCGTTTCTCTCTAGCCCGCATTTCTGACTCTTCTTTATGTCGTCTCATCTCCTCCAGCTCCCATGTTAAATCCACACTAGACTCCCGTCGGAATCTTGCCAGATCAAGAGTCATGCTCCTAAACGTAGTCTCCACACTGCTATCATCGTCGACCGTGTCATCATCGTCCTCCTTGTCGATCGCAAAATGCGCGACCGGCTGGTACACCTGCTCATTGGGGAAAGCCGCAAGGGCTCGCTCTTTCAACAGCCTTTCCCGTGTTCGAGCGGGTAAAGAATAAAAATCAACATCCATAAAAGGCCCACCGGTGTTATCGGGAGATGGAACTTGCGCGTTGCATGGCTGCGAGGTTTTATCCGTAGTGAATGTGGGAGTGGTAGAAAACGAAGTCACCGGGGAAGGGAGAGAGTCATCGCTGCTGCTTGACGGTATCGCAGGAAGATCGGGAACTCGAAACGAATGTCTCCTGCTGTCCCGACGACGGACAAGATTTGCGTAGGAAAACCGAGAATCCTCCTCGTGCTCCGGACGAGGGTTCAACGGGATGCTCCATCCTGCAATTCGGATCCGATTTCGGCTTTGGGGTAATGTGGAGGGGCTGTCTGGACCAGCCTGTCTGTAGGAACGTTTTGCAGTTTCGATGAGCTGAGGTGTAAACTTCTTGGGAGAAGATTTCGGGTCAGGCACGGTGGCATTGCCTGCCTTGCCCTCCTGTTGCTTCAGGGATAGGTTTCCGCTATGGGATTTGCCCGGCTTTCCGCCGCGATGATCCTTGGTCGTTTCGATGAGCTGTGGTTTTATCCGGCTTCGAGGTTGTGACTGTTCGGGGGCACCGGAACGGTGGTTTTCCGGTTTTCTCGACGATCGACTGCTTGACTCGACAAGCTGCGGCGCAAACTTCCTCTTTGGCAAGCTCCCGGACGACCCCGACTCGATGGTTTTACTGGTGCTATGTCCCTCCTTCGTGGTCTCTTCCATTATATTAAGATTTTCCGTCTCCTCTGGTGTGTGTGGTGATCCTCTAGTCCTCGGATCGGCGACTCGTGGTGAGCGAAATCGACAGGGCAAACGTGGCAGTGGTGATCGTTGTGAGGTCGCCTGCGAACATCGTTGAATCCCATCAGTTCTCCGAAAGCGGCCCGGAGGGAGTAACTATCTTGATTCTGTTGTCGCTGTTGAAACAACAGGATTAGGTGCTGGCAGCCGACCCACTCAGGCCCTGGGAAGACGGTGAGTAATGACGACCACGAAGTCACGAAAAAGAAATTAAAATCTGCAGCTCTTCGAAAACGAGTGACGGCTTCGTCCTTCACAGAACAAACAGGCCGTGCAACAGTAACTATCTCGTCAAAGAAAGGCAAAGGGAAGAGCAGAAGCAAAGACAAATAGCGCAACAACTTGACCCCCTTTTCCTCGCCTGGCGATGGCAGTAACTAATGAAGCTCGGTCGGCCAGCTGAAGCTGAAGGGGGAAAAAAAACAAGGCCCAGACTCGCTCGCAGCTCCTTTGCTGGCAATCCTTGACCCAGACCGCACCGAAAAAGACACGCTTGCTAAGAATAAATCACTCACCGTCCAAGTATCCCCACAGCACTGCCAAGGGGGGTGGGATGACCCGCTGACTAACGAGCCTTATTAGCCACCACTAGTCTCAGTGCGGGTTAGCCTCGTCACGGTTCAGGGTCCCGAAAACGTCATCGCCTTGCGCTGGAAATTGGCGCATCGCCGAAAGCGGCTGCACGACATCGCAGTTGACGGCGTCAATCAATGCGCCCGGCCGTTCGATCGCACCTCGCGCTGCATGGCATTGTGCTGTGGTTATTTGTGTATGGTACGTGGTGTGCATCCTCTCTGGAGATCGGGTCCATGGCCCGATCGCCCCTTACTGGTTTTAGATCTCTGCCGATGTCCGGTGTCTTTTCGCCCGGGAACATTGCCACGAAAAATCTCAGACAATCCACCGAAATCTTATTGTTCGTTAGTACAAATCTACGCGCTGCACGGCTGATCAATCGAATTTCCAAGGTAACTGTGTAGTATGGAATAACCAGTGGACTTCTGCTGAGGGTCTTCGAAACCTACCCTCTCCCTCTCAAAGCCAGGGGCGAGGGGCTTTCAGTTTTTGGCTGCTGCGGGAGAACTATGGATTGAATCAATAAAAATAAAAATAATATTAATAATAATAAAAAAAAAAAAAAAAAAAAAAAGCCAGCCAAACTCCATACAATTGTTTATCTACTGTGGCAAGTAGTAATAGTAGTAGTTCCATAACTCTACTCTCGCTGCAGAATAATCATTGCAAAACCACACACTCATAGAATCACGCGTGGAAACATAGTCTAGGAGAATTAAAACTGAAACATAACAAGAGCCAACCGAAATTAAGGTCAAATGAGGTGTCATAATCCCCCCTTAAGCAAAAATTTATTCATCGTCATCGTGATCCTCCACCCTCAGCCACGCTGGTTGCTGCTCTTCAAACTGAGGACTGTCATCCTCGTCGACATCGTCCCCGTTACTCTGATCTTCGTTCGATTTCTCCTCCTCTATAGTCGTTTCCTGACTGATGCCCGCAGCTTCGTCGACATCATGCAAGCTGCTGTTGCGTCTCACCCGCGCATGCACTATCCCAGGGAAGATTCTCTGCTCCATCAATGGTCCTGTTAGGCCGGATGGTGAAACCACCTCCTGTGGAACAGATGTGACCTGCGCAGGCGCGGAGGTCACTAAAGAGGGCCACGTCTGCTTCATGTCCCAGCTTTGTTGCTGTTGGATACCCTGGGTATTGACGTTGTTATGATTGGCAGCGGCCGCATTGGTCTGTGTGTATGAATCCGTATGTGGCGCCCCGGGAGGCAACCGTGCAGAGTTCGTTGGAAAATTGGGGGACGATGCATTACCTACAGACTCATATCCGCCTTGGTTCGAGGACGGTTGGGGGAGTGAAGTTGCTGGAACGCTGGCAGAGCTGGTCTTGCTAGACAAGCTTGGCGACGGAGCCTGCGTGGCTTGCCGCTGTTTATTAAGCGCCACGATCTTCGGCGTTTGCGGCTGGGTTGCCGGCCTGGAAGCATATCTCTCCATCCTAATGAGCGGGCTAATTAGTAATCTCACCAACTCTCGTCCAGGTGGATGTCTGGGGTCTTACAAGCCAAGTTCTCCGAGTAGAGTCTCGTGTCTAAACGCCTCCCTGATATTAGGGACATTGCTTTTGGCCATATTGTTACCAGCCACACCTGGTAAATGGCAGTTCTGCCCTAACCATCTCTGCTTCAGGCTTAATTCAAACCCACTGTGGTCAACAGAATGCTTTGCCAGCTCACACATGTCCACGGCGCTAAATTTATATATTTGCGCTGCAACGGCATATTCCTCAATCAGTGGCTCCTTGGTAAAAGCAAACTGTAACGGGTCGTCCGTGGAGAGTGACACGTTTAAACCCCTTCTAAAAAATGTAGCGAAGGGGTTCCTCTCATAGGTAAGGAAGAGTGCATTGTTGCTCAATGGAGACATGGCAATCCCGATCTGGTCAAGGTAGAATAAATACTGCAGCAATGGCACTTTGCGAAGCAGAATGCCATGGCTGATTCCGAAGCAGCAAAGGAACGCGGATGCAAGGTGGTCAGGATCACCCGCCTCTCCGCAGTGCGGTCTCAGTACAAAGGTATTGAAACCACGTCGTTTCCTCCAGGTATTCAACGACGCCATATTTGCAAACATGAAGTAGATCCAGTAGCTATATGGCGGATTCTGCTTAGTGTTCCATTGCTTGGGAATTGGAAACTTGCGGTAGAGTCGCCGCTCAGCCTTGCTTTCGTCGTCGACACTATCGAATCCGACAACCCTCTGCAAAAAGACATGCAACTTCGGGTGGCTGTTCGGGTCTTGTGTCGCCTCGAACAACGGCTGGAAGACATTCTGGATGATAGCGTCAAAGTCATCAACAATACCGTTCGACTTGTAAACATCATACAATCGTGGAACCTGGATTAGCCATCGGATATTGGGAGAAAACAGCTTATTGTCTACAACCCAAGCGGCAAGCTTGTCCCATTCATCCATGGAGCGACCGTAGATAGAAATGCGCCATTCGGCCATCTGGTACTTGCTCGATTCAAGGTCGGAAATTACTTCTTTAGTAATTTCCGCCAGGTATCGGCCTTTGATATAATTGTCGGTCTTGAGGAATATTTCTCGCAGTCGAGACTCCCCGATAGGGTTATATTTCAGGTTAAACTTATCGAAGCGATGGAAGGAGTCGGTGTGTGCCTATGTTTCTTCTCTATCAGCTATGGCCCGCGAAGATGTGTGCTTGCGAATTGGAGAGACGTACGTGCATGTCAAGGGTATCGATGCTCAAATCATAGGCTGTGAGGTTAATACTCTCGAAGACTTCTCGGAGTGTCAAATGCTTTCCATCTCTAAACAAGACGACTTCATCGGGCGATTTCTTCATTTTACTCTTGATGAACCGCAAAAGATGCTTCTGATTCATGCATGCTGAATGATGAACGTGAGTGTCCACCTTTCGGACGTTATAAAAGTCCCTGTGAGGGACCTTCTTGCTGTCCGCGATCTCCTGGTACTCATTCAACAGCGCATGTAGCTGAAATTTCCCTTCCAGATATGAGAGTCGTTTAAATGCAAACGACTTGATAGGGCCATCGGTTGAAACGTCAATGATTGTGTCCAGATCCATGTAGAAGTCCCTCAACGACGGGACTTGAACTATTGGCTGGCTCAGTTCACAGGCCTCTTTGGTATCATAGACCTGATAAACGCTGCTCTCATCCAATTTAAAAACCATAGATGACGCTTCCGGTAAAGGTAGAAGGTCATCCATGTCAAAATCCTCGCCAATATTCTGTCCCGGCTTTCTTCTCTTGCGTGCTGGCGAAGGAGGTATGCCATCATTCTCAACTCCATCATTCTCGGTAGGAATCACCATGCTGTTCGCCATACTATTTGCGCCCGTTGGCTCGCCATAGTCTCCCCAAGCGGGCTCTGGTGGTGGAGGGTAGATAATCCAACTCGGGTCGTCTCGCGGGTTATCCTCGGACCGTTGCATCGACAGCTTGATATACTTACGGCGGGTATCTAGCAAAGACTGAATCTTGTGGCATATCACGCCCAATTCAGCCGTGATTGCATCATCATTGGCGACGAAGCCACCGGCTCCTTGTCCAACCCCAAATCCTGCCCCAGCACCATGTATTCCTTGCGACGCAAGCAAACGCGATTCGTTTTCATGGAGAGGTGCATGGTGTAGCGAGTACCCTCGGGCAGATTGATTTGCAGCAGCTAGGCTATTTCTGCGAAGGGTAGTCGTTGCAAGCGGGGTGGACGTTATGTGCTGAGAAGGTGGTGGGAGGAACTCGCCTTGGTTGCTCAGGCGGGACGCGGCACTTGCAGTTCGGGTAGGAGAATCAAGCTCGAAGGAGTTCGACGGGGGAGCTCCTGACGCCCTTGATGGTAAAGAAGGGCTTTGAGGTGTGTCTCCTTCAGCTGGTCGGTATGCCAACTGGTGACGCTGGTAGAACAGCTTGGCTTCTGCATGGCTCACGGACTTCTCGTACGCATAATCGTAGGTAGCTGTTCGTCGTTGTCGATCGCGGGGAAGGATGGGTGAGCCTCCGCTGTTAGTGGGGTCGATGTCGTCTGGAGTGCCGTCCATGTTTTCGTGGGACTGTTTGCCGTCGCTGTTGGCAGAACCTGAGGATAAATCCTGGGTTGCAATGCCATTCTTATCGTCAGACTCATAAGTCGTCGCGTCTTCGTGTGGGTCGGGCATTTTCCAGTGGGACGGTTCGAATGCTTGGTCTCGACATGGTTCAGCCATCGAATGCAACAAAACGAGCGAATGGCCTTTCAGATAGAGAGCAATTGCCCAGGAGAAAGGCGTCACGCTGCTATGGAAATGAGAAGCGGTGCTGCACCAGATCCAGCAGCCGATGCCAGGCGACTGCTTCTACTCGCCAACGGCCAGCTGGCTACGCAGCTTTTGGTGGCGTTTGCCGCAGTCAGCTTGCAAGGTTTGGCACTAAAACTAACTTATTTCCCCCACAACAAGCCAGGCGCTCACCGCTTGGAGCTTCTTGGGGCTGACGGGTCTCGCCGAGAACCAGGGGAGAAATCGTTGCTACATTCGACAACAACGGCAAGCTGCGTGGCGAACTTGAAGAAACTCCTTGTCAACGGTGACTCACGGCTCACTTGGCGAATGGAGCCGTTGTCGTTGTATCACGCAGACATCAGTATGACCCCGAGTTCCCCTGCCATATTCCTTCGTATATGACCCACTGCTGCAAGAGAGAAAGGATCCATGTGTGTTGGAAGAGACAGCAATCCAGCGGGGATCTACTCTCATCCTACGAGGAATAGTAACAAGAACCATTGCAACCAGAGCGAACCCAGAGGCGGTGCATCTCTATTCGTCCTTGTCGCTGATGGCCTCCGCTCCATCAACAATCCAAGCATGCACATGACGTCAAAGGGCGTATCTGGGATCCACGATTGACTGCTGAGTAACGGCTTGACGAAGAGAAGATATTGTAGGATCGACTTACGACCATATAAAGAAATGGCAGCTTTTGTTATTACATGGCAAAGGGCAAAACCTACCCCGAAGAACGTAAATACACAGCAGGAAGTGGTTTAAAAAAATAAGATTCCCACACAATTATGATGATGATAATAATAATAGTAATAATACACAATTTGAGATCAGTACTTATTGATACGAGAACAGAGCAATTCCGGGCAACAAGGCCAAGGAACAAGAAAACGAGGACTCGATTCAAAGAAAAGCCGAGAAAATAAGAAAGGAACAAGCACACAGCTTCACCTCACATGCATTATACCCCCTTTGCACGCTCCATCGGCCACAGCTAAAAACTACAAATCTTCCGATTTGTTCTGTGCCTTCATGAAAACGTTAAAAGGAGCGTCAGCGCTGATATAGTATGACATCGAGAAGAAGTAAAAGCGGCCCATACATCACGGCGTCAGCAGACCAACTCCGTGGAAAGTAAGGCGCCTCTGGAAGGTTGTAGAAAAAGCCCACCTTCCATATTTTTGGCAAGGGACAAGCCAGAAAAAAAGTTCAGGCATCGGCGAAAGATCACAGTCGAACAATAAGAACAGAGAAGGGAGAGATGGTGACATCTTTTCTCCTGGTACTTAGAGAAGATGGGAAGAACCTTTTACCACAGAACTAATTCTGCTGTATCCAGTCATTACACATATACAAATTGTCGAGAGAAATAGGTCGGTGGAGGGAAAAGAAAAAAGAAAAAAGAAAAGAGCCCCAGCGGAGCCAAACAGCTGGAGCCCAAAACGTAAATTGAAAATGGTATTCTTGATCACGCGTAATGGAGCAAGAACCGTTTCTTTAACGATACCGGGCGCGGCGCGGCATAGGCCCAGGTGCAGGAATAGTTTCTGGAGAGTAATATTGCCCCTGGTCTTCGTAAACAGGCTGTCGTCGATACTCCATCTCATAGTCAAGATACTCTTTTGGAGCGTCACGATGTACAGGGCGCTCAATGTAATAGGTGGGAGGGTTTTGCGATTCGCGACCACTGACGCGAACAGGAATGTATTCCACCGTACCGTCGTACGGCCGATCTGCATACCTGGGGTCGTCCAGATATTGGTATTGCGGATGAGGAGGTGCCCGGGTATACGGGGCAGGCTGTTCAAGAGGGACACGATCATAGTATGCCTCGGTGGGAGGATAATCCGGATACACTGGTCGCCTGGACCGGTTTCTTGGGCTTCGATCACGATAATACGCTGGTTCAAGCGGAAGAGTATCATGGACTGCTGGAGATCGAGATCGAGGTCGAAGCGATCCTTGCCGTTGGGCTTCATACCTGTCGAATCTGCTTTGAGGACGACGTGCATGGTGGTCGGGCTGGTGACGTGATTCCGAATAAGCAACGCCTCGCCTTCCGTGTCGCGGTTCTCCAGTGTCTGGGGACATCGCTCCCGCACGTCTACCGGTATTATCCTGCGGATCTAAGCGCTGGTCAAACTCGCGATATCCTCGCGCTGTAGCAGGACTATTTGTTCGAGCACCCCAACTATGTCTCGCACTTCGAGAGATATCGCCAACTACACTGCCTTCTCCTGCTCCACCAGCATCAGCACGCCAGCGACGCTCATCCATGTCCTCAGGGTCCAGCCACTTGGCCCTAGACGGGTCGTTCGATCGATCAGCGTCCCCGGTGCCAGACTTGTATTCTTCCGGATCTTGGCCAGGCACAAAACTGCTGAGAAAGCGTTCTGCTGCGCTCAATTCTTCAACCGGAGAGCCAGTTTTGCCATTTCCTCCTTGGGGATGAAGGGGCTCAGGGACTTCCCCATCCTCTGACACATTTCTGGTATGTGTAGCAGGGTGCTCCATGTCTGCACGAGCATCAACAATAATACCAGTCGCTGCCTCAGTTCCACCCAATTCAGGCTTGGATAGCCTCTCTTTATACGGGCGTTTGTCAGATTCCATCATCGCTGCGGGTCGGTGGGCAAGCCTGGCAGTGTCGGGATGAATTTCAGAGCTCGGTCGTTCGGGCGGCGGAACTACGCCACTTTGGTCGTCTAGACGTCCATCTTGAATCGGAGCTGTTGCTAGGTTTTTGGCTCGCGGGCGACGACTGTCTAGCCGACCGAATTGATCACGCACTGGTTCGATGTATGCAGGTCGATGAGGATCATATTCATTGTCCTTTGGAGGTTCAACAGGTTTGATACCATCACCCAATGGGGATTCCATAAACTTGGGGAAATCGTCAACAGCTACCTCGAGGCGCGCGCGATGAGGTTCTGGTGCCACAGGCTTGGTCTCAGCAACTCGCGCTTCAGGATATTTGGTATGCTCCTCAGTTGGGTGAGCACGACCAGCTCCTGTTTGACCTTTCTTCAGCGCTGGTCTATTATCCTTGGTTGTTGCACCGTTGAACGAAGCTTTGGAGGCGTTAGAACCGAATACCCAAGGAAAGGCAGCTGTGACTAATTGGAACTTTGCTTGATCCATGCCTGGGGTTTGATTTAGGGAAGATATAGTGGCGTCATCGGGTAAAGCTATCATTTTCGTTTTCCAGTCGGGTGGCGGATCATCTCTAGTTAGGTGCACCGAGAGAAAATGGCTGATAATGGCAGGTAAATTAAAAGGCTTCCGATCATGCCCACGACCGCGACGTCCATGGGACGCGTGGGCGCTTGAACATGATTTGCAAACCAGGCCACATAGGTTCTTGATAGGCTTCATTTGTGGGTGGGTACTGAGGGCGTCCGAAAAGAGAGCTAGAGGTGGTTCGTGGCCAAAACGTTCTGAAAATCGACTGACGACATGGTGCAGCAACACGAAAGCCCGGACGTTATGGGGGAGATCTTTAATACCAGACGTGCCGTTCCAAATAGCCCGAGCGTTCTTCGCTAGCTCATCAACTTGGGATTGATAGAACCCATAAGCTTGGCTGTTGGGGTTGGATTTGTGGGAATTAGAAGGAGGGGCCCCGGGTCGCTGCGCATGGGAACTGGAAGAATAGGGGACTCCATATGGAGGAATATGTGGCTGGGAGCCATAGTGAGGGGGATACGCGGGTGGTGGTGGCACCGGAGCCCTTGCATCAGGACCATGATACGGTGGGGGATAACCTGGGCCAGGGTATGGGGATCCATAGACAGGATTTGGCGGTGGAGGTTGAGTATGTGGATCATAGGGTCCATTAGGAGGATAGCCAGCCTGCGGTGGAGGATATGCATAGCTTCCCTGCGGAGGGGGATAGTACTGTGAACCTGCAGGAGAAGGGGGGCGATATGGTCCAGATCCATATGCGTAGGGGGTATATGGAGTTCTTCGGTAAGGCGCGGGAGACATATGCGGGTAAGCATCCGGCCCAATTGGATTGCTTTGGTAGCCTAGATTAGGCTGGCCCATAGTCGGTCGAGGCATCGCAAACATCAAAGCCCGAGCTGCGTTTGGGTTTGGGTGAAAGGGAGGCTGCTCCGGCCACTCTGCACGCCAATGTACAACAACACTACCAAGGCTGAGGACACTGGTATGCTTTGCGGCGTAGTGCTGGACCACTCCCTCGAAGCCGTAGTACTTGGAATTATTCTCACAGCCGTTGCAAAGGAATAGCTCCTTTTGGTGTGGGTCTGTAAGAGGTTTGATCTTCTGGTCGAAGATCCATTTCATGTTTTCCAAGATAAGCTTCCGTTTCGGCGGCGCGCCAGGACGGTCTTCCTCAATTGGCTTGCCGAGACTACGAGCCATGGCATCTTCTTTCACCAAGTCACTGTAGAATTTGTTGCGAACGTACATCAGAACATCTGCCGCGAATTTAGGACACTTGTCCTTAGTCACTCCATCGCCATCACGCCAACCTTCGCGAATGATTTCATCAGCGTATGTTGCCATGCGTTCGCGAATAGGCCTCTGAATTTCATCCCATTCTTTGTCGAGTAAGTCCTTAGCTTCCTTCAGCTGAGCTTCTTGTTGTCGCCGTTCTTCTGATTTGGCTTGAAGAATTTTATCTTGTTTAATGCGTTCTTGTTCGCGACGCTCAGCGACTTCTCTCTGGGATAGTAAACGTGGCCTCAGGATGTCCCAGGCATGATCAGTAAAGGGGTTAGGAATCTGAATAGCTGCTTGAAAAGAGTCCATATGGCTTAAGACAGCTGCACTCAGGGGTGGGTCGAGTTCAGCACACCTCCGCTCAATTTCGGCCTTCCTGCTGGCTTTTGCTTCGTTTATTTCGCGAATGCTGCGCTCAGATCGATGATGGGATGCTTGTTGCATTGGAACATTTCCTGACTTTGCTACACAAGAAGTTAGTGAACGAGAAGGAAAAGAAGAGGCGACACAAGACTTTGGTGTCATGTTGTTACATGTAGCCCAACCGTCCCGCAGAGCCCTCGAAAAAATCTGCAAAACTCCAACAGCTCCGTGATAAGGACAGAAATGCAGCTATTTGCCGGGCTGCCGCAAACAGCCATCAATGGGAATTCACTTGAGGTGGCTTACCATGCGTATTTGAAGACCGTCTAGGGCGGCTAGGAAAGTTCCCCCCAGGAGGGCTTGAAAGAGAAGAATTGGATCCAATGGTGTGGGAACCGGGACCACCAGACTCCATGTAATCCATATTAGGCCGACCAGAGTGGGAGGTAACGGCTGTGATGAGAGAACGAAAACCGCCTGTAAGTTCCCATTGCTCCCATCTAGCTGAATCAGCAATCTTCTCCTTTCCATTCCCCTCTAAGCCCTTAACCCATTCCTCGGCTGTTGCGGCTCCTAGGGCTTTGACTTCCTCGAATTTGCTTCTCATCGCCTCGATATGAGATTTCAAGTAGAACTTAGTTAGATTAAGACCCGATGGAGGCTGGTTTGACCGAAGGACGACGGAAGACACAAAATGCATTGATTGGGTAAAAAATGCAAACGGAATAGCAGGAATAAGAAGAGTGGGCACAGTGGAAGAGAAAAGAAGGTCCATTTCCTACGTTCCGGTTAGAAAGAGTGACAGCAAAGGAGTCGGTCCTGGGTCAGCGCTAACCTTTTCGCAATTATTATGAATACACTCGCTGCAGGCTCGGACAGCAAACGGCCAGATGATCCGTACCCCATTAATACCGGGGCCGTTTTCCCATACGGAATTGTCGGACGAAGAGATAAAACCAGACTTATTGCAAAACTGACAGGCAGTTCCGCGAACAAGACGCCACATGTCCAGCTCAGACAGATGCGAGAGCGGACGGGGCATGCCAGGATGAAAGGTCTTTCGAGAAGAAGACCAAATAGAGTTTGGATGAACATACTTTAATGAACGAGGAGTTGCGCCCTTAGCAGACAACTCTGTCACGTCTGCAGTTAGCAGGTCCTTGAAGACATGGTTCACTTGAAGAACACGGCCCAGGGATGTGGGTGGAAGAAAACTAAAAACATGTTGCCAAATTTCCCCTGGAAGCTTTGATTTGTCCAGAGCATTTTCCGGCATTTCGGAAGAAGGCCCATTGAACTTGAGGCGTTTGTTCCCTTCCGGCGGAGAAGAACCGGCGGGGTACTGGGGGTCATTCTCAGTAAAACTATATCCGTCGCCGTTTTCCCAATGAGAATCTTTCTCTTGTGCGGGTTGATTGGCCGTGGCAACGCGCTTCCTTTTTCGAAGTTGTCGATCCGTCAAGACGTCCTGGTCTGGGAATTCCGGAGAAACGTTACTTCGATTCGAAGGCTCATCAGGTTCTCTCGAATTGGGAGTAAAATTTTCCTTATCATCAGGAATCTGTTCTTGATGGCCAAACGATTCTGGAACTTGGCCCAAGCTCCTTGCCAGGCTTTCCATCGGGCCTTCCGGGGAATCCGCCGAGTACGGATCGAAAGAAGAAGAGCCCGAGCTATGAGGAGATCCGGTTTGATCTGCCATCGTTCGCAATACGCCTGCGCTGAGTGGCAGGCGCACTCGATAAATATTGAGATCTTGGCGGAAGTTGGAATTCACAACCCCCTTCACAAAAAAAAAAAAAAAAAAAAAAAAAAAAAAAAAAGAAAAAGAAAAAGAGATTCTCTCAAGGGATGATTAAAAGGAAGAACAGACTGTGAAATCAAGTTCAGAGAGTGAAAACGAGTCCTTGGACGGTTAAAAGCCCCGGAACATGACAACAATAAGGTCCGCGCAAGGCAGAATACAGGGAAATGGGCGACTTTAGAAGATCTAAAAGCCTTCGAGCATTATACGAATAGCTCCAGATGCTGTCAACCAGAGAAAACAGGCGGTGGTATTCAGTGTTGCTGCCAGTGACTTGACAAAAAATCAAGGCAAGGCTGCAACAGGATCAGGATATGCTGCTGACAAAAGTTTTGTAGAGCAAGACAAGAGGACGAATAAGTTTGGCTTGAGAAATGGAAGGATGACACAGAACGGAAACCAACAGCTGTACAAAAGTCAGGTAAAGACTCTACCTTGGTTGGGATACACCGATGAACATGAACCTGATAGCCAAGGAAAGGAAATGGAGATCCCAAGAAGGTTGGTGAAGATGGGTGTGAAGGAGGAAGAAACAGCTGCAGATGTGGAGGGAGGGAGGAAGATGTGAATGTGCGGGAGAGGGGTTTGCTGAGACGAAAAAGCTGGTGTTTTGCGACTGATGGGAGAGATTGGGGCGGGAGGTGAGTCGTGGCACAACCCGCGTTTTTCCAGCCACCAGCCAATGGGAGACGTCGCTGTGGAGCAAAAATACATTTATCACGTGATACTCGCATGAAAGGTTCCTACAGCCGACCAATCGGAGAAGAGTATTTCCAGCGGACGCCTCAGCCCGAAAAGTGATTGCTTAGTCATAGAAGGGTGGCTGAGCTCCAATTTATGTGGCTGAGCAACCAGGGCGGCACTGTATCCATCCTAATCAGGCCTAGCGGGCGAACGGCGACCCGGTTACGTATTGTTGACTGCGCCGGCTGTTGGATTGCGAGCGACGATCAGTCAACCTATTATTATTTCCCTGCTGGCTTCGTACCAATTCATCTCCAGACCTTGAAACCGTTTGAACAAACCTCCCTGGGAACGATTGTGTACTACTTGACTAACAGCATCTGACTTGCTGGCACTTCGGCTCCGACTAAGCCATCCTACACTTAAAACAGTTTGTTGACTTGAGCGAGGTGACCTCACACGCCAGTTTTAACTTCCCTCCTTGGGCCTGCGAGGCATCCCCCGAATCTCTCCTCGACCGTTCTTCCGGAATCGTCTTCCCCTCCACTCTCTCCGTTTGCAGCTCATTCCATTTCCTTTCGATAGTCGATCATGGCCACTCTCAATCTTTCGACTAATGGTCATTCGATATCCAAAAGCTACCAATCCGTCGTCAACGCCCCCGCACCCTCAGGTCCCGCTGCGGAATCAGGGACATACGGACAATGGGCAGTTTTCACAGTTTCTGCGCCCCTTGTCAGTGCATTTCAAGACACCTCTACGAAGGAAAGTGTGTTGAAGGTCCAGTCTACTGGCGGTTCGTTATGATATCCCCGTTTGACCATGCGTGATGTAGGTTGTTCGCTCCTAACGGTTTACAAATAATAGAAGGAGAGTTGATAGACCTGATCGAAGAGTTCTCTGAAGGCAGAATTCAGTTTGCTTATGTGAAAGTGAAGGACCTAAATACCGGTCTCCCGAAAAATGTTCTTATTGCGTGGTGTGGAGAAGGAGTGCCGGAACGGACGAAGGGCTACTTTACAAGCCATCTCGCAGCCGTTTCCAAACTTTTGCATGTATGGAACCTCAATCATCTATAGGACCGGGAATCCTACTCACGAATTATAGGGCTATCATGTCCAAATAACTGCTCGCTCGGATCGCGATCTCACCCCTGAAAGCATCGTTCAGAAAGTTTCTGATTCGTCCGGTGCGAAATACTCAGCTGCTACGACCCCCCCGCCCGTTGCTGCTGGGCCAAAGCCCCCGGTGGCTTCAAAACCGGCATTCACTCCTACCCGTGTGGGCGGCTCTTTCAGACCCCTAGCCGGAACCCATAGGGCCGCAGGCGCAAAGAATGAACCCGTGGATGAAGATGGTTGGGGAGCCGATGCCCCTCAAGTGACCAGGACCCAACTCGAAAAGGTGCAGCCTGCATACCAGCCGACAAAGGTCAATATTAAAGAGCTTATGTCCCAAAAGTCATCGACGACATCATCCTATGGCCAAGAGTCGTCTAATAAATCCTTTCCCAGCAACGTCGTCAAGGGAGGGTATCAGCCTATTGGAAAAGTGGATATTGCTGAAATCAGGAGACAAGCACGAGAGGCTGGGGAGATAAGGGATGACCGGCCGGAACCGGTAAAGGGGTCTTACCAACCTGTTGGGAAGGTTGATATTGCGGCCATTCGCGCCAAAGCGCGGGGCGGTGAACCTCTCAGTTCATCCTCAGGCGCAATGTCTCCAGCACGAACGGGAGATTCCGTTGGTAATGATGAACCAAAGACACTCGCGGACCGTTCTGCTGCTTTCACTCCCTCCGAAAGGCTTACAACCCTCCCAAAACCAAAAGTGGCAAAGAAATTTGGTGGAGGTTCAACGTTCACCGGCACCAAAGCCCCTCTTCCAGGAGGATTGGATACGCCGGCCGCCCCTGCCGCTCCAGTTGTGGGAAGCGCAAGCCGGACCTTTGCTGACGTGGGCGGTAAAACTCCGTCCCAGCTGTGGGCTGAGAAGAAAGCGAAGCAAGGGGGTGTCTCTCCCACCCCGGCCGGAATCACAAGTCCTCCACCCATCCAAAACCAAACCAGTGGAGAAAGTGGCTGGAAGAGCTCATATACTGGCAAAACTTGGGCCCCAGTTCAAACTACTCATACCGGAAGATCATCTGGCGCCGCCGTTTCTGAACAAAGAACTGGGGGATCTGAGCCAACGGCTGAAGCCCCGGAAACTGGAACGGTTGGTTCAATCCGGGATAAGTTCGCAAACACCCAGCCTATGGGGGCCCCAGCGTCAACTTACGAAAGAGCCGCTCCATCTCCACCACCACTGGCGACTGAGACAAAGCCAGTTCCACCCCGTGCAGTTCCTCTCCCTGGCCTTCCAACCGATACCCGTGAAAATCTCGAAGATATTCACCAGGATGTACCGCCACCCCCTCAGCAACCACGCTCTCCCTCTCCTGAAACAGCGGCCGATGTTGAGCCCAGCTCCCCGATTCGCGTGGCCATGCCAATAGCTCGTGGGTCAGCGGATGAACATGTCGCCGATGCCCATGAAGAGCAATATTCTCCTCCTGCCCCCCTTCCGACTAGATCTATTGTTGAACATGCTCCAAGCGAAGAGCAATTAGAAACTCAACCTTCTCATGACCCCGCCAGGGCTGTTGCAGAAGCTACAGCTCCCAGCCATGCTATGACTGACCAGGGTATCCGTGCTCTTGTCCAATATGATTATGAAAGGGCGGAAGATAACGAGATTGAACTCCGAGAAGGAGAGTATGTTACTAATATTGATATGGTTGACGAGGATTGGTGGCTTGGTGTGAATGCCCGAGGAGAACACGGCCTCTTCCCCAGAAGCTACGTTGAAGTGGTCCAGGAAGGCGATCCTCTGTATCAACCGGCATCAAGCAGTACCCAGATTCCCCCTGCCCAGCCTGCGCCTGCTCAGCACACCGCGGCGCAGCCCGCTGAAAGCCATGGGCGTACTGCAACTGCATTGTACGACTATGAAGCCGCCGAGGACAATGAGATAGCATTTCCCGAAGGTGCTAGAATAACCAACATTGTAAGTCAATGGCTTCTGTACCCAGCTTACACCTTATCCTTGTAATTATTAACGGGACATTTTACAGGAATTCCCCGATGAAGATTGGTGGGTGGGCGACTTCGGTGGTCAACGGGGCCTCTTTCCAGCCAACTACGTCCAACTCGACCAGTAGCAACACTGAAGTCTCTAGCCGAACATGTCACCCGCGCCGTGAGTTCATTCCCCATTCCAATTCGCAGCTTGGTTACTTTGGCTTCAGTAGCAGTGAAACAAAGCGGTCATCAAAATCCCGTTTCCACCCAAAATGTATGTTAGCACGCATTCGCTTTTGGAAGCTTGGTTCTCTTGAGATTGTTGCTGCGAGGCGGATGGTAGAGAGTTGTTATTTCCAGTTCAATATACAACTTTTGGAGACTTTGGTTTTTTCTTGTACGGAAATGTTGAAACTATTAAAGATTACACATAGAACGTGAGGATGGTAGGACCTGTGAAATTGACGCCAAAAATGATGCTGTTAGTGAAATGGAGACTGTACCTTCTTCCAACCTATGTCATGAGTAGTATGAAGTGCTTGTTAAAGAAGTCAATGCGCGTTCACAATCTAGTTCTGTCAAGTACTGACCGCCCCCAAGCCCTATCACAAAGTCATACCACCAGAAATCTTCCTGAGTGAATCTTAGTGCTGTGGTGAAGTTCCAATACTCAGGGTACCAGCCTGCCAAACCCCAGTCCAAAAAATCCATGATTCGCCCCTTGTGTATGAGAATAAGCTGAGCAAGCTGATTATTATAGGTAACCCCAACCCAGCTACAATAAGACCAAGAGAACTGTCTAAGATATCTGTGGAAGACACCCCATAATCAGCATAGCCATGGATGCGTTGGGCAGGGAGTTTCCGATATTTGGTCAGTCCTGGTATGTGAGATGTGGTATGGCCAGGGTAAGATCCGGTATGAAGCAACAGGGCATTAACGAAATTCCCATCATCGGCCGGACGTGAATTGGAATGTATAACAAAAGTGCAATAAACATAGACAAGCATTGAAACTAAGTAGAGAAGAGCCTCAGAAGAAAGGCAAAGGCAAGTTTGTTCCCGGGGCCAGATGCTTGTATTTATTTTCTCTGACGTGTGGAATCTTATTCCCAGACTTATTGGGGTTGTGCCTATATTTTTGATGTAGGGGCGAGTTCTCACATATAAGTAACTACATACTGTAGGTGGATCGGGGAGGCTATTTCAAAAGGAGTATTAAAACTAACCACAGGAGGAGATCCACAGCTCCTCGCAATCAGAGACATTCAAGACCATTCACTGCCTATTTTCCATCCTTACACTCATTTTTTTTTTCTTATTATTTATTTATTTATTTTTCTTTTAGTCCCCCTTCCAGAAGGCTGCCAAATGGGAACATTATATGCGCCAGCGAGACAAACCTACTCATGCTGGGCAAAGAAGAAGTTTGCTCCAACCACCTCGAGCCCGTGTTCGGAGGCCCATTGCCGCACCCCGTGCCTTTGCTTACCGTATCCCCACTGCTTCCGCTCCTTGGGTGCCTTCAACTTTCCAACATTACTAGCATCACCTTTGAGCAATACAAACACGTACCGATGATCTCCAGTTCCCGGCGGTGGGCTCGGAGGCATATACTTCTCTAGGGAAGTCCCGCCCGACTTCCCGCCGCTGGTTCTCGGGTTAGAGGCATTGCCGACCACCCAGTGGCAGAATTCGCTCCAGATGGGTTCCTGGCGACTTTTTGCGTCTGGGTCGGTAAGGACGAGGCTGTACGCTTTGTTGGGCTCGGTGCCTTCGGTGGGTGAGACGGGATGGAATTCGTAGACCGGCGGGTCGTGCGCCTGCTTGGTGGAGATGCGGTCGCCGAGATTTATTTCGGTCTTGGTAGAAGGATAGGTGACTTTGAGGGTATATTTGGGTTCAAAATCGTCCAGGACTGCGAGGAAGACCTTGAGGTTAGCAACAGGAGAAGAAAGTCTGGAACGCAGGTGACGGGGAGCAGGGGGGCCAACTGACCATCCGGGATGATGGCGTTGGACCGCAAGCTGGTGTAGATGTTATGAAGACACGGTTAGCCTTTCAGTTCGATCATCTGCCACATGCCACGTGGATTATGGTGCCTTACGCTTCACGGGTTGAAGCAGCCATTTTGGACTCGAAAACCTTGGTAGAATGTGATCGCTGTTGACAGAGAAGTTGAGGCACGACGGTCGAGTGTGCTGACAGGGCCGAGCAGACAACACTCCTAGGTTTCGCAGCGTAGTTAACAACCGAGAGAACCACCCAACGTCTCAGAGAGGGCCTCATGTTGCATCTCGCAGCCTCCCAGCCTGTCCTTATCCAAGTCCTGTCTCGCCCGCCTCCTCGTTGCCGGCAGGCTGCTTGTCGCCGCCGCAATCGCTGACATCATAGTTTGCGGTGTTTGCACTACGCACAGACCACCTCACGCAGATCGCTTATGTAATAATCAAACTCGCCGGCCTTCACGTGGGCGCTAGTATCTTGGCGTTAATTTGCTCGGTTTGATTGGCAGAAGTCACGTGAAAATCCGCCTGCCGCTCTTCGAGGTCGGCAAAGAACAAAATCGGCTGCATATAAACACCAAACTGACGGGGACCGTGTTTTGTCTTCTGTTCACAGGCTTTTTCCCCAGTTTTACTTGCTCTTGACTGTTTCTCTTGTCGCCTTATCTGCGCCGCCATTACCCTGGTTCAGCAGGTTCATGTAGCAGCTTACCTTGCCGCAAAGTCTGCTCCTGGCGTTCTCTAGCTTCTCGCCCGTCCCAGCCCCAATTCTTCCGGCTTCTCAGCGGAAATCTCCTTGCTAGCAAGGATAATCGCTACCGCATATTGACAATAGTGCTTTCTTGAAAAATGGCATCATTAGGGGAAGATTTGCTCTCTACCGTCAATAAATTACAGGACTTGGTTTTTAATACCATTGGAAGCGACTCCCTTGACTTGCCTCAGATTGTAAGCTAGCGATCGATTGCAGTCTATTGAGCGAACCTCCCACCAACCCCCCTTCCCACTTCTCTCATGCTTACAGGCTGTTTTATATAGGTGGTCGTCGGTTCACAGTCGTCAGGGAAGTCGTCAGTCCTTGAAAATATTGTCGGAAGGGATTTTCTGCCTCGTGGTAGCGGGATCGTAACCAGACGCCCCCTGATCCTTCAACTTATAAACGTCCCAAGTGATCGCACTGATGTACCCGAACATGACGAAGTCAATGTCCCTCACACCGCCGCTTCCGTTGCTGAACAGGGCGAGTGGGCCGAGTTTCACCACCAGCCAGGCAGAAAATATGAGGACTTTGCGCAAGTAAAGCAGGAAATCGAGAATGAGACGGCCAGGATTGCGGGGAATAATAAAGGAATAAACCGACAGCCGATAAACTTGAAAATTTTCTCCCCACACGTGCTCAATCTTACATTGGTCGACCTCCCCGGTTTAACGAAAGTTCCAATTGGAGACCAGCCTTCGGATATCGAGAAGCAGACGCGGAATCTAATATCCGAATACATCGCGAAGCCTAACAGCATTATCCTAGCGGTGTCCCCTGCCAATGTGGATCTTGTCAACTCAGAAGCGTTGAAACTGGCACGCCATGTTGATCCTGTCGGCAAAAGGACAATAGGTGTCTTGACAAAACTTGATTTGATGGACCACGGCACGAATGCCATGGATATTCTTACGGGACGTGTCTATCCCTTGAAATTGGGCTTTATCGGAGTGGTCAATCGATCACAACAAGATATCCAAGGCGGAAAGCCACTTGCGGACGCTCTGAAAGCCGAAGCTGAATTTTTTAGGCACCATCCGGCGTACAGGAATATGGCTATCCGATGTGGAACTCAGTACCTCGCAAAGACGCTGAATACAACATTGATGGCCCATATTCGAGAGAGACTTCCGGATATCAAAGCCCGCTTGAATACGCTCATGGGTCAAACCCAACAGGAGCTCGCTAGCTATGGTAACAAACAATTTAGCGGAAAGGAGCATCGAGGCTCTTTGATTTTACAACTGATGACTCGTTTTGCTTCCTCGTTTATCTCGTCTATCGACGGTACTTCCTCCGAAATATCAACGAAGGAACTCTGTGGCGGCGCAAGAATCTATTACATTTTTAATTCTGTGTTTGGAAACTCCCTCGAAACGATAGATCCGACCCAGAATCTCTCAGTGCTTGACATTAGAACAGCAATTCGAAACTCGACTGGCCCAAGACCCAGCCTTTTCGTTCCGGAACTCGCTTTTGATTTACTCGTGAAGCCTCAGATTAAATTGCTTGAGATTCCCAGTCAGAGATGCGTTGAGCTTGTCTATGAGGAATTAATTAAGATTTGCCACACATGTGGCTCGACCGAACTATCCCGATTCCCGCGCTTGCAAGCCAAGCTAATCGAAGTGGTCTCGGATTTACTGCGTGAGCGGCTTGGTCCGTGTTCAAATTACGTCGAGTCCCTGATTTCGATACAGCGCGCTTATATCAATACGAATCATCCCAATTTCCTTGGAGCAGCCGCTGCCATGTCGTCGGTTATCCAAAGCAAGCAAGAGCAGGAGAGGAAAGCTGCTCTGGCTGAGGATAAACGTAAACGTGAGCGCAGACGGCTCAAGGAGCTCGGCGGTGTAAATGGCACGGCTACACCGGAAGAAAATGAGGATCATCACGAAGATGAGAGACACCAAACTCTTCCTATCCGCGCAAACAAGGTCGGCAGGAGCCAGTCGCCTCATATCGGGAATCTCGAGAACAGCCGGATTTCATCGTCGCTTAACGGTTTCCAAGCAGTTTCTCAGCCAACAGGAGGTCGAGATTCCTTCCTGAACTACTTCTTCGGCAAAGAAGGAGCCCTTCCTGCACCAGGCCCGGCACAAGGAGCTGCACGCCATGTCAGCCATTCGACCGAGCCTAGCTTTAGCCAGAGCTTCCGTCGCAGTGAATTAAGGTCTCCTTCGATTTCACACAACTTTCCCGACGACGTGACTGCTCCATCGGAGTATGGAGATACATCCTTAGTTGTAAGTGCTCGATTCCATCGCCATCGTTCCTTTTTTTAATACATGCTAACAAAGCGCAGAAGGATGACACCGAGCCCGCGCTTACAGATCGCGAAGCCCTCGAGACAGAGCTCATCCGCCGTCTTATTTCGTCTTACTTTAACATCGTTCGGGAAACCATTGCCGACCAGGTTCCCAAAGCCATCATGCATCTGCTTGTTAACCACAGCAAAGAGGTTGTGCAGAACAGGCTAGTTAGTGAGTTGTACAAGGAAGAACTCTTTCCTGAGCTTCTGTACGAGGATGATGGGATCAAAGCTGAACGAGAAAAATGCGAGAAATTACTCGAAACGTACAAGAAAGCGGCGAAGATCGTGGGAGAGGTGCTGTAAAGGATCTAGCTGCATTTCTTCAAACGACATCCGTGTGCTTTTTTAACCTGTAACATGCATCTTTTCTTTTCCCTAATTTCTTCACTTCGTTACCTCAAAAATCATCGTGCATGCTTGGGAAAGCTCTTTCTCTTTGGCTATACCTCTTAGTGGCAGGTTCCTATACTCTCTTCATTTTCGCATCTCTACGCGCTCCCCTTTCTCCCCTTTCCGGTTTAAGCATCTTTCGTTTCTTGCTGCTATTTCTTGCATCGTTTGGATAACATGAAGAGCCAAGAATCGGACAAGAACTACTTTTAGAGTGAGTATAAAACAGGGTCTTCTATACTCGAAGCCTGAGAAGACTACGCTACGATGCTGAGGCGACACTTTGAATGATGTATGTATATTCTACGGGCATGTATTTCCATTCCACCTTTTTTTTAGCTTTTATTTTTTATCTTTTTTTGTACACGATGAATGCCGGGGATGGTGGCTGGCCCTTTTTTTATCCTTGTTTCGTCCCTTCATTGTTAAGCACCTGACGTTCGCATGTCTCTTTACCTAGTCAGGGCGCTTTGGGCACCGTTTCTGGGCGACGGGATGTGAAACTTTAATGCAGCTACACGACTTGATATTTCGTTACAAGGCCCGTGTAGATGTGAACTTGTCATACTATGTATTCAAACCAGGCCTTGGGGGTCTGCAAATCTAGATATCTGTTCTAACATTGGGTATAATGCTATGTATGTATATGCTGTACACAGCATGTACTCAGAATGCAGCCTGAGTCTGGTCTATCTATCATGCATCTAATGCACCCAAGTCCAACCACAAAAAAAGAGAATCAGCATCCAATCAACTCCAACCCTGTGACAAGCCGGGAAATACCGGTCTCGGAACCTCATCTATACACTTTTTTCTTTTATCTTCGCCTGCATCTTCCTTAGCCTAGCCCCCTCCCATGCATAGATACCACCTGCGAGGAAAACTATTCCAGCACCCGCCATAACACCAGCAGACAGGTGATTACCAAACAAATACACGCTCAGGATTAAACTCACCAGCTTCCTAATGTTCAAGACAATAGTCACTGTGAGGGAAGAAGACTTCGCGCTAAGCAAATACACGCCACGAATGCAAAGATATTGTGTCAGTGCGTTCAAGAGAAGATAGATCATTTTCAGCGGCACACGTGAAAGAAGTGAGTGCAAAGGAGGGCTATCGACAAGTGAGGTCAGGAGGAGATAGGGCTGGAACAGGCTGTGGTCAGAGAGAAAAGAAGGAAGTAGTGTTGACGCAGAGGCGGGGATTGTGGAGGAATTCGGCATGACACTATTAATAGACGAATGTGCAGACAAGGTAGAAGCAAGAACGGGGAAAGATGCGAGGACTGACGGCGAGGACAGGAGTGATTTTATCTGCGGGATGAATTTTGGATATGTTGGGATTAGTATAAGTAACGACAGTGCATGCGAATAGAATAGACCTTCGCGCCAATTATCCCGGCCGTATTTCTGATAAAGTCTGTCAGCATAGACACCTTGGAACGCTGCAAGAATCATGGCGAGACCCAAAATCGCAAATCCGAGTAATGTTCTCGTTGGGGAGACCTCATTATCACTGGAATTCAAGCCAAGATCTAGCGATTTGCCTTTTGCACTGGCGTCAGCGAGCGCAGAGGTGACCACTCCAATCGAAAGCATAGATACGGCGAAAATCTGAACTCGTGTGTATCTCTTTGAATTGTACAGGTATCCAATAATCATGGATGTCACCGGTCCACCACTTCGTATGATGATGTGCAATGGCACAGAAATCTTGAACAGAAAGGCAGAATTATTCATCAAGTTAACAGTCATAAAGAATGCCGTAAATATGATCCAGTCTTTCAATGGAATGCCACGAGCCTTCAGAAATAAAAACTTAGGGCCAGCAGAGAAAGAGAGGATATTTGGAAGAGTAAGGAGCGAGGTCATAGCAAACTGAGTAAATGTGATAAGCGCACCTGGGTTATATTAGCTCAGTGAACCTATGTTAAGCCCAGAATATGATTTTGTGCTCACCAGCATGGGGCATGTCCCTATAAAGAATGGGAAATCAGCCAGGAGTGATAAGAAAAGCAGGATATTGTTTCTGGTCTAAACTCACGTAACAATTGCTTCCAGAGTAAAAACCTGCAAGGTGCACAACCGGTTAGCTGCAAGTCCATGTTGATATGCACAAATGGTATTAAATCATCCAAGCTCACTCACATTGGCACAGCAGCCACCAAATATCAGGGCCAACATAAACCCCACATTCGCCCATGCAGGAACAGTGGCATGTGCAACTGCCGTTGCGATATCCCCCACCCTCTCTGGGCCATCTGGTATTGGTGTATTATTAGGCTTGACAGTTGATATAAAGCCATTGGGATTGGCTGGTTTGTGTGACGAAGGGTCCAAACGAGAATTATCCAACTCGCGTAATCGCGGTGTCCTGCGTAGTATTGTGCGATCGGCATCGTGCGTTGGTGTTGCGCCCGACATTTCGGAAAAAATTTCAGCGCCACTGGCCTCCGGATGCACTTTGAGGCCTTGTGGTTATTGTCCACCAGCCCGTTTTGAACGTGCGCTAGTTGATGAGGAAAAGCAGACGTGGACGCGACTGGCCTCTAGAGAGTGGCAGAAAGCAAATCAACGACAGCTGAAGAGAGGGGAGGGAAAAAAGGAAATATTGGCGGATTAGACGCGCCCAACATCAGCTTGTATCCAAAAACGTTGTCCTCTACTATCTAATAATCGATAACGCCGTGCAGAGTACCTGCTCCGTCGTCTCCGGTTGCCGGTGTGCATCCGTCGCGGCGTGGTTGAGGAGCCGGCTGAGTCAGCCATGGTTGGCCCCTGTCGCGTAAAGAGTATAAAACAAGCCCAATCAACATTCAACAACGGGGACCACATGTTTCTTTCGCGGCGGTTTCAAGGGGATTGATTTGAAATATCGGATTACATTCTGGCAGAAAAATAAATCCAACAGCTAAGTGGAAGCAGTAATTCTTATTCTCATTGCACAACCTACCGCCAGAAGGAGTAAGATGATAAGCCTTTTGCGACTGCAAGCCGCAAGCCTATGAAAAAGATTCATTGAGAGCTTCCATCCAAACTATTAAGTAGTTATCCAATGAAATGAGGTCAATATACGGAGTATACACCGACGAATAAGGATCCTCTTCAGTCTTCGATATCGTCGTCGCTCAGCACCAGCTTCTCCACCGCATCTTCTTCCACCTTCGACGCCATAGTATGGAAGGGCCGTGGTCTGGGTGGCGGCAGCATTTTTCGTGATATCCTTCGCTTCTGTGGAGATTTTGGCACAGGATCCGTTGCCCAATGTTCGGACCCAAGATCTTCGAGAATACCAAAGTCTTCATCCGTGATATCGTTTGTTCGTCCAATCATACCACGGAACCGGATTAATCTATCAAGGTCGCCCATTTCAGATGGATCTTTGGTAATCATCCTTTGGTAAGGTAAATAATCCAATAGCACTTCTTGCGAAGACATCATTGTTCTGGTGGGCATAGAAGATGTCTGCGCATCCTCTGTAGGTCCGGAATTGGTAAAATCACGATAACTCCCCCATGATTCGATTCCCTCCGTTCGAGGACCGGAGCAAGGATTGTGCGTGGAAGAAACTGGGTATATTAAACGGCGAGACCACATATCTAGCAAACCCGACAACTCCTCGGTCTCACGCCAGAGACGCATCGAGGTTGGGAAAAACATCTTATAAACGTCAACCCCTTGTCCGTCAGGCATAGCACGTCTCCTCACGGGATAAGGAAGGGAAAACAACAATCCTCGCACAGCTACCTGAAAGCTCATTTCATCTTGTCGTAATAAATCGACGCTCTTTCCAGGACCCCTGGAGGAAAATCGGGCTGATCCCACACTGCTTCGAGTGGGTCGTGCCCCTCTGCGACTGTCGACGGCAAGGATGTCCGCATTGGACAATTCCGAAATGCAGTCAGCAAAAAAATCAGTAAAATCTTCGCTCTCACATGAAAGGATGTAATTCTCGTGAAGAGCTGCAATGAATGTCTGGGTATCCGTCCCAGTTTCGTCAATCAAGTCGTCAATCAAAACCTGAGAAACTTTTTGTCGAGCAAAATGAGAAAGATGCTGCCGAGGCTGGGGAGCCTGTACATTGGATCCCACAGTAATTGAGGGATCTTCGCGTTTGTTGTATACAACTTTTCCGACAGCATGAAAGAGCCCTAGACTCGATTCTCGGTGTGTAATTGCGACCAACGATTCTTTCTCCATATTGGTCAGCGCAGCCACCGTATTACCGCCTCTTTTCAATCTGCTTGCCACGGTTCCACTCCAGTCTCCATCTTTATCGCCCCGTATGCATAGAAACTCTAGCGACGCGATAGCACTCCTGATGTCACCCATTTCTGCAAAACCTTTGAGAGCCGCGGGACCGGGAACACGTCTTCGTTTAGATATACGAGCCTCTTTTTTCAGAACGAGATCCAGAGCCTTCGTTATGAAAGTCGGTGCAACGGGATTGAACTCAATAATACTCACGCCAGGATGATTGGATATCTCGGGACCAAGAAGCCTGAATACTGTGAAATTATCCGAGAGCGCCGCTCCCGTTCCTAGCAAGGTTTCAGAGACAATAATGACGATAGGGGTATCCGATTCGTTGTCAGGTCTTGGGGGTCGACTATGAAACCCCATAGACGGGACGGTTGTTGCAAGGTATCGCTCAAGGCTCGATCTAAAAGCCATGAGGCTTGAAGAGCCGTGGCTCAAAGAAGTTGGAAACTCTTCAATGAGAATGATTCGCCTTCGATTACTTGAGGGAGTCGATTTGTCTTTAATAATAGATTTGGCGGACAGCGAATCTTGCGACATAGAAAGACTCCTAAATTTATCAGTCCGTGACAAGAAATCGTCAAACTGAGCGCTCGTCGACACGTATCCCGCCGAAGAATATTCCGACCCAGAAGAATTCTTCCACTCGATAATTTCATATCCAAGTGTCTTCGATAGCAGCGAGACAGTTGTCGTTTTTCCACTGCCTGCGGGACCTTTGAGTACAAGTATTCTCTATGTCAATCAGCATCAGCCAATACCGCGGGGCACAATCAATAAATTGAAAGATGTGAAGAAATTGCAAACTACCCACGCGTTTACTCCGCCCCATAAAGACGTCTACCAGCCATCTCTGCACATCGGCTACTTTCTTCTTATGGACGGCCAGTTCGTCAAGATCCGCAGGTCCGAATCGTTCAGCCCACGGTTTCAAATGATCACACAAGTCTGCCAAATCAGATTTTCCCGTTTTAAGATCTGGAGGCAGGACGAATTTCTTGATGGGTTTCGGCCTTATTGCTGCTTTGGCCGTGGCATTCTGCTTCCGCTCCTCGTTTGAGCCGTTTGTGTGTCGGCTAATTGCAAAACTTCCATTCCCTTGCCTCTGTCTTGCACCCTGGGAGGACGTTACCATGTTAAACGACCGGCTTCCATTCCAATTGAGTAGCTCTTCTTCAATGTCTTCATCCTCAATTTCCTCCAAAATGTCCGGCTTGTAATCATCAACAACTTTGCTCCACCGCTGTTCCTCCGTTGCAGGAGCGAAGAAAGAATGAAGAGACTTCGAGGATGCAGATTTATCGGGCTCAGGCTGCTTTCTTGTCCTGCGTTTCTCAGGAGAGATCGCTGGAGAGGTTTGGGTGGAGGTAGCCCGGCTACTCGAGGGCCGAGGAGCTTCTTTCTTCGATTGAGACCTTGAATGACGCGTATTCTTCGCGCTTGTATCTATAGAACATGTAGCTGAAGTTCCTTTGGGCTCTGAAGCAATCAATCGCGTGTTGAGCCGCCGGTGGCTCGCTGGTGCTGCGAGTGAAGAAGCGAACGGCACGTAGGATTCATCCTCATCCGACGAATGCACTACCAGCCTCCTCTGCCGCTTTCTGGGAGGTTGAGCGGCCATAATGCCAGGAAAGGACAGGCATATCTCTTAAGCAGTCAAAGTGCCTTGGGAAACGAGCAAAAGTGTGTCAAACTGCGCCGATGGCCACTCTGAACCATCGAAGGGGCCGATAGTGCGGTCTCGATGCCAAGCCTAGCTGCTTACCAGCTAAGCTTGGCGCCCCCCGAGCTCCCCAGCATCCATCGAACTTCCATGTCAACAAACCAATCTCTCGGACGGAGTACAGACGCGATCTTCAACGGTTGAATTTCGAAACGTAAGGAGGCCTCGAATTACGCCGAGGCACCTCCGACTTTTTGATTGCTTTGATTTCGGAATTTCACATGACTCCATACTGGTGATAGCTGGTGAGAGCGGCGCTGGTAGTAAACCCAACCAAGGAGGCCGCCGCTTTCAAACGATCATCTACCCTGCCACTATGTTCCCATCTCCCAGTGGTAAACTAGCACGGCTAATCCAGGTGCTCCTTTTCAAAGGTCGTCTCGGCTGGCTGTCAGATCCTATTCCGCACACCATAGCTGCTCACCCGCGATGCTGACTGGAATACCGGCAATATATTCTCCCGTTGGATGCGCTACAGGGCCATATCACATACAAACAATATATTATCCTCATTGCCTTCAACAGCCAAAAGAGCGGTAACTTTATACGAATTTTTTCTCCATGCGCTCTATCATTAGACAAGTGTAATTCAACGGCAATATCATGATGGCAGGCCATCATACCCCAACCCGGAACATGCATACAAATCCTGGGAGCAAAAATATCAAACCACTAAACCGACAATATTAGAGTGAAGGATACACTGGATTATGAGGCTCCGGCAATTCTCCACTTGCATCTCAATTTCCACCCAGAGTATGCTGACTAAACCCGAGAAGTGCCCAAGGCTTTGCGATATGGGCATCGTAGATAGCCGGGTGCACTGGGGATAAGAAATTCAAGCCCGCCTCTGGTGTTGTTACGGAGTAGGATACCGTTCTCTCACCGAGACGTCCCCAAAGCTTTGGACGGGAGTGTGGGAGGGAAAGGGAGCCCTAGTTGCCTTCTCCTCTTTTTTTTTGGTTGGAGGCGTGACGCTCATGGATTGACGAGAAATGCACCTATGAAGCGAATATTTGAGTGAAGCGTTTGAGTCTTGAGAATTTGTTGATGGAACAAACAGAAAGACCTGGTAGAAAGTAAAGAAGGAAGAGTTGAAGAAAGGCCAGCTATGATTTAGAAAGGGAGGAAGAAACTAGAAAGAGCAGCAATTGAAATTTGTCGCGAACCCGGTCCGCATTTTTTTTTGTACATCATTCGCCAACATCACATATATACGCCAGCGCGATCCAAGCTTGGTATCAAAGAGAAATATTAATGATATTAAACCCGCCATCTTTCAAGGGCAAAAAATCAACCAAGAACCAAAAGGAAGGACTAAGCACCACCAAAAATATCATAATAATAGTCTTCATCCAGGCCCTCACGGCTCGGAATATCTGGACACTCTCCAATAAACGTGGCATCATCAAACCGCACATTAAGGAGCCGAATCTTCAGTCCGTAATTGCTCACTAGATTGATCAGCTTATTTGTCTCTGCAGTTATGGGCTGCTGGTTTAGGAGCATAAGGAGGCCATCTAGCCATTCCGATGCGATGCTGTGTGACTGGGGATGGAGAGTCAAGAGGACGATTTCTTTCTGGGTTTGGTTGGTTTTTACGGTATTTGATCGCTGACGATTAGCTTTTTCGTTATGTGGGTCAGACGACGATTTAGGGTTGTTGCTCGAGGACGACGGGCTTTGAACGTAGCCGTGGATTGTGATTTTCGTTGTGGAAGAAGAATGTGCGAGGGTTTTGATTGTTGAGCCAGAGGAGGAGTCGGATGAGGCCGAGACGTTCGATACCACAGAGGAAACGGCATTAAGATCGACTATCGGTGGTTAGCAACTGTTTACCTTTGCTGGGGTGTTTCGTGGGGCTGTACTTTTGTGCGTAAGTGAATCTATATCAGGAATCTCATTATTCACGGAGTCAAAGTCCGCATAGTGAAGGTACCGCCGATTATGTGACAGTTGTGCATATCTGTACGTTGTCGAATTTGTTCGTTTCATGTCTGGTTTAGAAGAAGCTCCATTTTCTCCTTTAGAGCCCGACTCCGTTGGGAACCATGCGCCTTGCAATAGACATCGGATCCGCTGTTCCTTGACAAACTGTAGAGCTTCATGGTGCAGTTCTTCCCTGACCTGATGAAGGTGTTGGCCCCAGACATCTTCGTAAGTTAGCTCCAGCAATTCCATTTGTAATTCCCTAAGTCGCTGATATTCAAAGTCATTCATCTCTTCTTCGATTTCATGCATATCTTTGGTTCGTATAGCTCCGCCAACAACAGATTCGACAAGAATTCGAACTAGTTCGGCGATTTTTGAGAAATCTTCCACCTCAGCCCCAGTTGCTTTCCATAGGCGAAAAAAGGCATTCAGGGCTGCAACATGCAGGCGAGGCCAATGAAGCAGCAACGGTTTAAACACTTTGTCAAGGTTCGACCGTGACTCGAGAATCAGGTAACTCTTCGGATCTTCCAAATCGGCCTTGTCGATCTCGAAATGTTCGTATAAAATGGCAGTAACGGTCAAGGATGCCCTCGCAATTGGACACCTCTGCTCCGCAGGCCTTGTGGATTGCTCTAAAAGCATCTTCTGGAATTGATCCTGATATCTTCTAACGAAATCAGTGAAGTCCATCATGCCTAGGAATCCCATATCATGGAAATCCCATTGCGGGCTTTCAGTCTCAAAACCAAGCCTTCTCCATTTATGTGGATTGTGTTTTCTTGACCCAGTCTTTTCCGTCTCTTGTGCCGGCTTTTCAGGGTTACTTGCAAGGTGTATGCCCTTTAAGGCTCTGCGATGTTCCGTGTTTTCCAACTCCACAGGAAAATCTCTCCATTTCTTCAACAATACTTTTGTAAGGGACTGAAACTCGAGGAGGGGTTGGGCAAGATCTTGGAGTGCAGAACTTTGCATAAGCACATATACAGCCCGAATCACTCCCAAATCTTGTAACCTCTTGATAAACTTCGGCCATTCTGCCTCGCTTTCAGATATTATCGAGTCTCTCATCAGGCTATTTATCAACTGAAGGGAATTCGCACACAGCGCATGGTCGGCAGAGGACAATCTGCTAACGAGCATTTCGAGGAATTGAGAATGAATGGCGATAGCCGGTTTGAGAGCCTGGAACCCGAAAAGACCAACATGACTGTGCACGGAAGCGCGTCCCGAACTATGTGGATGGGAAACAATTGACACCAGAATAGACATCGCACCGCGCAGGATATTAACGAGAGGGTGGGTAACGATAAGCTGGACAATCTGCACCAATTATTAGCAATACTAACACCAACCGAAAGGAAGAAAAAAAGAAGATTCCTGTGGCTTCAATTGAAGTCGCGCACCCTCTCGATAAACTCCTCATCCACAACCTCCCAACCCTTGTCAACCTCCAACAATCTTGCAAATGAAGTAAGACTGTATGCCAGTGTGTTTCCGGTCGCTGTCATAGCCAAGTGCTTCAATTTGACCAATCCTTTCTCCGAAATAAAGACGTCCGCAAAGGAAGGGTCGCCGATATTCGACTGGAGCTTAAACACGGCCATTTTGCGAACGGCATCTTCATCGCTTCCTAGTCGCTCCGCGAGTTCAGATACATTGATGTTCTCCATAGCGAAGCAGGGCTCGGGAACGAAACCGGGGAGGAGAGGGAGCAATTCGAGAGGGGCGGGAATGAGAGCGGGTGATGATTCCAGTGCGCCCTGATTTCCTTCTTTACTCAAGTCAATGCCAGTTCCCGTGGGCTCGACGGCGACGAGGAATCAGGGCGCGAAACGTCCTGTTCTCGATCGAATCGTGAATCGTTGAAGCACGGATACCATCAGCTCATTGTTAGCTAAGTGACTTATTGGCGGGCATAAAAGAATCAGAAAAGAATGAAAATTCGAAGAATTGCAGTGCAATCTGATCGCAAAACTATCAATTGGACACCAGTTGACTTTGTTTACATGGATGTGCCGTTCCTCGAACCTTTCCCCGGAATTTCTCTCAGGCGCTTAAACTCTCAGGGGAACGAACAAGATTGTCAACCCGTTATGTAACTAACGAAGTTAACTAGTTAATTAAGTACCGCCTTAGATGGTTACAGCGCCCCTCCAACTCCGAAGAACCACTTCTCCTCTGTACTCCCTACAGTAGATATGTATACATGACCTAAAGAGGACATAAGGGGGAAAGGCTCAAATCTGCACCGAAGTAATGAATCAAATAGAGCCTATTTGCTAAAATTTCGGGTGGCGATGTCGTGACGTTCTCTTGCAAACCAAATTCGAGCCACACAGGACGCCTCTCTCCGCGACCCGCAGTTCGACCACGATTCTTCACTTGTAATGGCTCTTGGCTTGACGAGGTCACTTAAAACTAACTCAAAGCTTCTTGTCCTTTTGGGCATTGTGCCCATGAAAACCCAGAGATTGCGTCTTTATTGGAACTGAATCAGCCATGATGTTGACGTTATTTCTCACGGCTGGATCGCCTGCGATTACCCTCCCATTTTCCGGGTCTTTTTCCTATGTGCCATTCCAGTTAGACTCATCGAAGTCTCCGCACCTTCAGCCAGAGAGCTGTCACCTGGGTGCTCAGCGAAGTTTGATTTCTCCAGATATGCAGGGCCTTTCTAAATCGTAGGACTGACAATCTCCTTATTCTCTTGTTTACACAGCAGGTTGCTGTATCTTGGAGGCTTCTTTACATCCACAGCTGTTTCAACTTTGAGACGTGGCTTCAGAGTTTTCCAGAGTTGTCGTTTGATAAGATGGTGGAAAAGGCATTCTGGAGTGAATGGTATAGGTTCTTGGATGGCTGACATTCAGACCACAATCTTCCTCAAGAACTGTCAGATAATTATGTGCAGTGCATGTACCCTGAGCGGTTTCAACTTGCTCAAATAAACATTGCATAATGATGGTTCCACAACTAAGGTTGGATAATTTTTCAGATTTTTCAACATCATCACCAAGATGGTCCTATAAGGATAACGTCCAATCATTATGAGGTAGATCAGTGATTCAAGGTTGAATATATCGTCTCCAAGCACCAGTGCAGCGTTCCAGTCATAATCCGGATGTCAGAATATTGTCAACAAGCGGCAGACAGCTCTCTGCCACATATGGAAGCACCTCCAAAGTCGAATATCTTCGATTAATGTCATGAATCCAGTAAAAGATTCCATGGGGAAAGGTCGCAATGCATAACATCAATGGCATGAGTAGTTATAGCTTCAGCAGCCTGTTTAGCCCATTGAATCCAAAGTTATGTGCTTTGGGTATTGTTTTACTTATATTCCCTAGAATATCCATTTTCTACATACTCCATTCCAAAACAGCATGTGTCAGAATCCTAGCTTATCAATCTATAACTTAACACATAGTTAGTTTGTGAATGATCATTTTCTTGAATAGGATAGTATGGGTTCTGGGACAGTGTCGTAATCACTATGCCTGACAGTAACAACTCACCCATGGCGGTTCATCCCTCATCCCCAAGCTGGAGACTCTGTTATGTGTATTGAAGACTAATTGTCTTATCTGTGTTCAGGCAGCATACTGCAAGTCCCATCACCCAGGCCGGTTGATATATACATAGGGAATTGTCCCCTCTGGCCTTTGCTCCTCATCCAGTTATATAAAGTAGGTTCAGAGTGACTATGGAGTATCTAGTTGCTCTTTTTGCGAGGCTCCTTTAACCACTTAACCCATTACTTGCGTCCAGTTGCAGTGGAAATACAACAGTATCAGTCAGGCCTGTTATTGATCTATTATTACAATATTAATATCCTAAAGAAACATGTAGAATACACTTTTTTTCCACATCCAGAAACACAAAGCAAAACTTTCTAAGAAAAAGAAAGAAAGAAAAAGAAAGAAAGAAAAAGAAAAAAAAAACAAATAAAGATTATGGTGCTGCGGGCAGTGCAGAGTGAGCAATACGCGAAACTAGGTACCACCGAGAGAAAGTTCAGATCTTCCACCCATAAATACCTGATCTTGTGATATACAGAAAAGCTTTTTTGATAAATATGCACAAAAGAATTAGAAGAAAGTAGGCAGAGATCAGATCAGGTCAGGTTGAAAAAAAAAAAAAAAAAAAAAGAAAAGAAAAGAAAAGAAAAGAAAAAGAAAAGAAAAGGGTTGAGAGAGAGAAGAAGAAGAAAGAAGAAAGAAGAAGAAGAAGAAGAAGAAGAAGAAGAAGAAGAAGAAGAAGCAGAAGAAGAAGAGGCTTATAAAGCCAGGTTCTGCTCGCGATCAGGGCCTCCAACCGACGTTCCAAAGAACATGAACAACATCTCGGAGGGTGTTAGCTACGTCAACAGCTTTGCCAAGCAGATCATAGGGAGCGCGACGGTCGCCCTCAGCCTCCTCGCTTTTTGCGAGCTCCCCATGTGCACATGGCATGAAAACTCCTGATGACGAAAGATACCACTCTTCGTCCCCATTATCGTCTGTGAGGGCCTCCGAGGCACTGGGTGAGGCTGGGGGACTTGGAGAGGAGGGCAGGACATCCGCTAGCGTGCTTTTAAAAGGCCAGCTGTAAGCGTTATCGGACTCAACGTACTCGAGATGTTCACTCGAGGGGTACGTCTCAACCTCTCCTGTGTCGTGCACCTTGATAGTATCAGTGGAGGCCGATCGATAGAACGATGCACGTTCTCCCGACCAGCGAAAGTATTGAGCCTCGTCCTCGGTTTCGGAATCGCTATCGAACTTTAACGTAGTTGGCGGTAGATGCGCAATGATTGTCCGGGTGTCGCTGCTGAAGCTGCTCCTTGGCGTGCTGCTCAATGAGCGCCGTGGATGTAGTTGCTTCATTGTGACCAAGGTAGCTTCAGAGTCGTCATCGTCCAATAAGCAGTATTCGCCGGAATAGGAATAATTCTCATCGTCGTCTTCATCTTCCTCGTCCTCGCGCCCCACCGCAACCACCTGCGACACCACCCTGTTAAAAGTGATGTGTCGTCGGCTACCGGGAGACGGCATATCGGAAGCTGTAGTCGATAATGTAGATCTGGTAGCTCGTAGTGAGCTTCCCATGTGTGCGGTACGCACAGTCGTATCTGAAACTGTCCTACTAAATCCTAAACGAAAATCTTCGCTCTGGGATTTGATGATAGAGTTGTGTTGGAGGAGGGAACTGGCGGAAAGCGAATGTTGGAGGATGGCTTGAGACACGGATGTCTTCTTGAGGATAGGTTTTCGGCTCAGGTAAGAGTTGGAGGTGGATGTAGTCGTAGAAGCCGGAGGAGGGCTGGACGAATAGGACGTGTGATCCTCCTGTAAAGGTCCAAAAAGCCAAGTAACGTCGGCATCTTTCAGCCTGCCAAAGGTTAAATATTCTGCATCCTAGTAGATGATTTGATGAGGCAACAACTTACCAGTTTAGGGACTCGGGTGTAATAGTTCTGAGGCGGTAGAAGGATTTCGTCCATGATCTCCATGCAGCGTTCTCTAATCTCTGGCCAGTTCGAAAAGAACCTCCGTTGCGTTTCATATATTTCCATGATCCCCAGATTTCTTCATCCTTCCAGTCATGGGTAAGGTAATCGACCTGCCTTGTGGGTCGCCGCTCTACGCAGCTGTCGTCCCCGGCTGTCCTTGGTTCCTCAGATATATCGGAAGACAAATCATCGTCATCTCGGACCGACGTCGGTTTCGAGTCAGACGTTGACTTTCTGGGCTGCGCATCGTCCGTGTTGGTGTCGGGGCTAGGATCATAATCCGGAAACACCAATTCGTTATCCCGAAGCTCAGGTTCATATTCAAGAAGGCTACTCGTTGATGGCGAATACACCCCAGAGATTGAGACCTGTGACGGCACGCTGTACGCATTGGGAATCCAAGCCTTCCGGGTTGGACAATAGGACAGCGAATTCATGCGGCCTACAGGCCGCAGATGAGACTTTTGGGAATGACCTCCTGCATGAGGACAGAGCTGTGAAGTAGAGTGGTGATATGGAGGTGCCAGGACGTCCGCCATTTTCTAAGAACGACACCTAGTTGCAAAGCGTCTTTGCCGAACTTCTTCCTCCTGATACCGCGAACCGTCTGTCCCAAGCGGGAGAGTCTTGGAGACGTATCTTCTCTTACGAGAGGAAAAGAACAAACGAGAGTGAAGACCAAAGCATCAAGCGATGGCACCTATCAACCACAGCGCGAGACTAAAGCATTCAAAGCGCCCCCAGCAATCAAGTAGCCAGTACGGAGCAGAGGCAAAGAAAAAAGAAAAAAAGAAAAAGCAATTTCGGCTATGAGTCCAAAGAGGAAAATATTGCAATGGCGGGGAAATCAAAGAGGAATGGAGGGTAAGATATATCGGCAAAGGCTCCTCTGGCCGCTCTTATCTCGAGATTGTCATAAATTCACCGCCGTGTCTTTGGAAGCTCATCAGTGGCTTCAAGGGAACCGAAAGTTTGGAGCTATGGAGGCGACAAGGATCGACCTCTGTATGTGATTCGGTCAATTGGCGCAATGGTAACGAGAAGGGCGGGTTGAATGGCTAATATGAAGCTTGCGGTCGATTCTAGCTTCTGTGCTTCTTCCCCCCTCCCCGCTCTTGGGGTTTGGGAGAAGGAATTGCTTTTTCTTTTATTATCCGGTTGCTCGATAAGTAGTATATGTCGAAAGTGGCGAGGTGGAGAAGGCGGTCGCGGCCCTTGAGAAACACGCGAGGAGCCAGTCTCTTTGGCCAACGCCACTCCTTGGAAAACGTGCAATGAGGCTAATTCGACCGGGCGATCCCTGCAGCGTGTTGAAGGTCCAATTATCGTCGCCGGCGATAGCTTATCTTGACAGGGTTATCCACGGGAAAATGAAGGTTGTTCGCCGAGCTTCTGTCGCACTTTGAACGGGACGCACCACGGCAAGGAGAAGAAGGAGACGAGAGGGAGGGTGTGAAAGTGGGAGTGGGAGTGGGAGTGGGAGTGAGAATTCAGCAGAGAGAGCAGTGGTGCAGAGAAGTGAGGATTTTCTTCAAGCATTCCACATCGGTTGGAAGTTAGTTATGTCATGGAGTCGAATGAATCACCATTCGGCTGCAAGACATCATCGCACCCAAGGGAACCTTAACGGAACAAAGCCCCACGGAACACTCCGGCAGGGATCGAAAGTTGGCAGACCCTCCACGCTTCCTCCACTCAGGTTCGAAACTCAACCATATTAACCTACCACCCTCCTCCTGGTGTGTTGTCTGGACGGAGTACCCCGGGGATACTGGATGCGGGTGTGCTGGGCGGCCATCATCTTGAATTAGAAGCTCCTGAAACTGGCCATCACCGCCTCGCTGGTAGTTAGTCGGGTATTGCCCACCTCTTGAACCAATGGATAATACCATCTACCTTATTTTCGAGGGCCAGATCTCCTTCCGGAAGCCAGCCACATATCCATAAATACATGATACATATTTAGCGATCCCACACTGCCACCGCATTCCTCTCAGCAACCTACCCAACTCTTATGTACATACATCCGTACATTGATATGCGTTGTTTTATCATCAAGGGAGACTAGCTAGGGAGCTAGTGAATTTAGTCGTGAAACAAGGTTGCGTTTTAAGTGATTTGCACGTCTGCAGCGTGAACAGGGTCACTGGTTGGATCCTCTGTGCCAGTCATAGCGTCAGACACACCAGACCGCTCAGGAAAGACTGTTCGAGACTTTGGGCTTGTCAACTACCCACGAAGCACATATCTACGCACAGTTCTGTGCAGACACACTTCCAAGCAGAACCTGACTGTCAAGCAAACGGTGACAAATCCCGTTCAAGCATGCAAATAGCAAAAATTCGCGGAGCGAATCCTCGACACCTAGACAAAACCAAATTCTCCCGCAACTAGAACGCTGCAATGACTCTAAAACTGTACCAAAAAGTTATGCTCCCTGCCCCTTCGTGAGAATTAACATCACAGTTCCTTGGCACTGTCAAGATTCTTGGTCGAAATCTTGGATACGCTCCTGGCCGGAAGTCCCGCAAACCTTGAGGGTTTCCAGTAAATATTAGGCAATCCAGGGCAGCTCTCAGAAACTAGGACTACGTCCAACTGGCGGGATGGTTGGAGGATCAATTCGGCCCTTCGGGACGATCGGCAAAGGCGCTGGCAGACGTCTGAAACTTTTTCAAGCGCGCGAGACTCATTGAGCCTCAACCGAAAATCAGGACAAATTATGCGGGGTTTCTTGTCAATTGGTTTAATAACATTGGACCTTCTGCCCTGTCTTCCTTGCTTTTCGTGGTTCCAATTGACTTGTCTCATTCGCAGTTTTCCCGGGAAGTTCCATCATGCTGTCCTTCCCAAGGTCCAACGCTCAAGCATCACCTCCTCTAGGCTGGACAGAATATTAGGCTAGAGTAGTACAAATTGGGCTTCTCCAACGCGTTACGCTTTCTCGTTGCACGATGATTCTGGTGATTAATGGAGGAGTGGACCCTTCATAAGCGAAACAAGTTGTATACCCTGTTTGTGCTGTCCCCAGATTTTTATTATACCCAATGCCATTTACCCCGTCGAAGCTACAGCTGGGAATGAAAGAAGCCCGATCTATCAATCATATAACGCCATAGGCAGCTATCGTGGTCCCCCTTCCTTTTCCAAAGAGACGGAATGTCCCAACTAGATTCCAGAACTGGAAAAGGAAAATTTGCGTCAATGCGTCAATCATGAACTGAAAGTTTTGCCCCTGCAGCGAAGATCATAGCTGTGCCGAAGGCCATTGCTGATGTACCAGAGAATTCTTGCCCTGAGCGGAGAAATCTTGCGAACCATGATTTTGACATTACCGACGGGAAAAGATCTTCGGGATTAGACAAAGTTCCGAGAAAAGTTGAGTTAATTTGACCACTTTTGTCTCAAATACTGACGCGATTCGCAAGTTTCTGCGTTGGGCCGATGGATTCGGCAACGGATAATCGAACGCAATAGAAACTTGATAGAACCTGACAATGGCGGAACCTGTCGTTGGAACTGAAACAGAATAACAACGCACATACCAGTCATGCATAGTACTGGGACGAATACGAGCGGGTGGTGCATTGGGCTGATAGCTCTCTCGCGCAAATAATAGTATTTGACGGTCACTATGTCATCAACTAACCCCCATATGTAAAATTGACCTCATACATACGGAGGGAGTACTCCGTACTCGCGGCTTCTTAAGTGGCACCAATATCAAGTCTATGTTGCACAGAGCACAGTGATAGCGCTTCGACACTACCTAATATGAAATGCGCATCGCAAAGAAGGGGAAGAAGAAGATGATGATGAGAGATGAGAGATGAAAGATGAAGGATTACACCTAGAAACAATCAAGTTTATAGTCACTTCATAACTAAACACTTCATGCCGCCCCTCGGTTTGGCACAGACAAGAACCTTGAACAGAGCTTTGATATTTTCCAAGTCTGACGGCAACACTAAACCCGGATATGAAGAAAAGAAACTAGAAATGGTTTTCAAGATCATATCATACAGACACGATACTATATAACTATATCCTACATCCTCAGCGCCAATTGACACCTCCAGGCAAAGCTGACATCATCAAGGAAGTAAGCGAGAGAATGCTGTTTCACCATGCACACTCATCATATCCTAGACCTCGGCTTGTTATTGCTGAGAGTTAACTAGTCAGAACTCGTCGAGTGCAATTCTAGCAAATTTGACGAAGTTTCTAGAAGTTGGCTCGTTAACTAACTTATTTACCCCAAATTCAATGCCCCATAACTCCGCACTCCAGTCAATCAATCCTCTTAGCACGGACTATTGTGCATCGGCGCAGAGACACGGTCAATCCCTTCAAGAACAGGCCAGTCAGGCTGGGGTTCGCCAACGCCATGCGGGAACCTAGCCTATTATGGCTGTAAGCTCCAGACATGCAACCCCAGCATTGTGGAGGTTTGAGTTGCCAAGCCGGGTGAGAGAAAACCCGGACGGAGCGTGATATTTATCACCATGAAGAAACATCTTGTTGATATATGTATATATGAGAGGGCTACGGGGCTATTCAGCGCCTTCGTGAAAGGGGGCATTATTCTCCCTGTCCGGCATCCATTGAGGGATAATTGATTGTCGCGATTAGCCCTCTCGAGAGCCTTCATAGGGCCACTTTGCAAAAAAAATGGCTTCCCTAAATGAAAACTCCGTCCCTGATTTGGTCAAGGTAGATGTTGACCGTTCCGAGAAGCCCGTGAAGAATGATGCTCGCGAAGCTGCAGAACGCGGACAGATTGCGACCGATAAGTACGAGAGTTGAAAAAAAAATTTTTTCTTTTTATCAAGGAACATTTCCCTCTAATGCCTTATGCGTGCCTTCTTAGATACGGGAATCCCCTCGTAGAACTCGACCGAGCTGCTGAGCGCAGGCTGCGCACGAAAATCGATTTCTATATCGTGCCAACAGTGGCATTGCTGTATTTATTTTGCTTTATTGACCGGGCTAATATTGGTAGGAGCATATCCTGGCTCATTTTTACCTATATAGAATTGTGCTAACCCCTTCTCCAGGAAATGCAAGACTTGCCGGGCTTGAAAGCGATCTCCAGCTAAAGGGCTACGATTACAATGCCGTCCTCAGCATCTTTTATGTCTCGTACATTATTTTCGAGATTCCGTCCAACATGCTCTGCAAATGGATTGGCCCAGGATGGTATCTTCCGGCAATCAGCCTTGCCTTTGGGATCTGCTCCATTGCCACGGCATTTGTTGACAGTATGGCCGCTGTCTGCGGAGTCCGCTTCTTGCTTGGTGTTTTTGAAGCAGGTATGCTTCCTGGAGTCGCATACTACATGTCCAGATGGTACAGAAGAAGCGAGCTCGCATTTCGTCTATCGCTTTACATTGTCATGTCGCCATTGGCCGGCTGTTTCGGCGGGCTACTTGCCTCCGGAATCCTGAAACTTGCCAGATTTGGAAGTCTACACGAGTGGCGTATGATTTTCGCCATCGAAGGTATCATCACAATTGGCCTGTCGCTTATCAGCTTCTTCACATTGACCGATCGCCCGGAAACCGCCGCATGGCTTACAAAAGAAGAAAAAGAGCTAGCCATTGCGCGTGTAAAATCTGAGCGGGTGGGCACCACCGAGGTTTTGGACAAAGTTGACCGGACCAGAATGATGAAAGGCTTATTCAGCCCGGTCACAATGGCAACATCTTTTATATTCCTCCTGAACAACATCACAGTTCAGGGGCTGGCATTTTTCCTACCCACCATCATTCGCGCCATCTACCCGAACCATAGCGTTGTGCAACAACAGTTGCAGACTGTCCCCCCCTATGTCGTGGGGGCTTTCTTCACAGTCTTCATCCCGCTCCTTAGCTGGCGCTTTGATAGACGCAATATTTTTATGATCGTTGCAGGCCCTCTGGTCATGGTCGGCTACATAATGTTCCTTGCCTCAAGTAATGCCCGAGTCCGCTATGGGGCCACGTTTCTGATCACCAGCGGAGCTTTCTCTTTCGGCGCGCTCTGCAACGCGCAGGTGTCTGCAAACGTAGTATCAGACACAGCTCGATCGGCGGCGATCGGCATGAACGTGATGTTTGGCAACATCGGCGGCTTGATCTCAACCTGGGCTTTTCTCCCTCACGACCGGCCAGATTACCATATCGGCAATGGGCTCAATTTGGCTACGAACGGAGCAATGCTTATTGTAGCGATCCTGCTGCAGATTTGGGCAAAGATGGATAACAAGAAGAGGAAGGGTAGGGATGTCGATGCCGAGCTGGCCGGCCTGGACCAGAAAGCGGTTCAGAACCTCGACTGGCAGCATCCGGCATTCCGATGGACGCTGTGAAGCTTGGCAGCGCAGAGCCTCCTGCCAAGGCCAGTGGACCAATGACACGTGACGCGGAGCCCGGAAAAACTAGTCTGTAAATAACGCGGTAACATATATACAGTCGTTACGTATTGTTCCCCCCGCCAGGAGGAGGCAGTAAGTAGTAAGCAGGGCGCAGTCGGCTTCATGCTCGAGCTGGAAAAAGAGAATCTCACGCAACCACCGGGACAGTAGATCATCATGGCTGAAGCAGCGGATACAGAGGTCCAAACCACCTCCTTGGAACCTCAGGCCAGGCATATTGTTTACTGTGGAGGTAAGAAAATCAAATTTTCGTGCGCCCTAGCATCCCCGCCATTGGGAGAAGGAACCGTGCTTTAGAGCTGACCTCTCGCAAACACCAGTGTGCTCTCTTCCACCTGAGGTATGCGACAGTTCCTTTGCTATATGAATAAGCAGAGGCCCATATTGCGATCCAGACGAGTTTGCTACAGCGCATTTAACCCGTTGCTAATCACGTTCCCGCACTATTTGCGGGTCGGCATCTTTATATAGTATTGTGAATTCGGCGGAACAGCCAAAAAGTGCGAAGAATGGCTACATGAGAACAATCCTAGTATGCACCAAAAGCTATACTCAGAGGGTAAACAACTCCCCCCCTCCCAAACCATTACTCACTCCTACCCCATCAGTTATCCCCTTGTGGGAGTGCGTAAAGAAGTTTCTGAATGTCTGTTCCTAGAAACCATTGCCGCCAACCTCTCTACGCTTTCCATCCAGGCCCGCGAACGTGCAGCCAAAGATGCCGCCAAGAAAGAAGCAAAAGCTGCTTTGGTAGAAACCCGTAACCAGGAGCGCAAGGCCGCCGCTAAAGTTCAGATCAAGCGTGTTGAACGTAATAAGCGGAAACACGTCACGGTCATTGCAGGTCTAGAAGCACATGGCTTAGATAACAAGAAAGTCGCCAAAGAGCTGGGCAAGAAGTTTGCTACAGGTTCGTCAGTGACAAAGAACCCAGCCGGTGGAGAAGAGATTACTGTGCAGGGCGATGTTTGTGAGGATGTCCTAGAGTGGTTAGTGGAAGTGCATGGGAAGGAGGTACCTGAGGATAATTTAGAGATTGTTGAGGATAAGAAAAAGAAGAAAGCGGCTGCTGAGTAAGGTTAAATTGTCCTCTGAAGTTGTTTTCTCTTTGCTTTATATTTTGGATTGGCGTCTGGGAATTCGCTGCTCTCGCTTGAGCTATGAGGTTTATGTTCCGGCATGCTAGAATGAACCACAATTTGACCATGACTAAAAGCTTGGAGCCTTTGGATAGTTGTCGGTGAATTAATTAACATATTGGGGTATCATCAACTGGTAGGAAATACACACACACAAACGCTTTACATGAAGGTCTCATAATTCATCAAGGACTCTTCGTGTCTTCTCCGGACCCCTTGGCCCAGGTGCTGTTGTTGGCCCTCCAGTTCCACAATTATGGCACCCATTTTCTGTGTTAAGGCCAAAAGGGTTTGCCGAAAGCCCTTTATCATCAGCTTGGACATCTAAGCGTTGTACTTCGTCCAGGCACCTTGTCGTGTTTCCAATGGCTCCAGCAACAACCGCTTTCAGGTTTTCCGTAGTTCCCAATCCCTCCGAAGCCGAACGTAGTTTAAAGTGATCCACCAAGCCGACAGCCGCGAGAAGCAGAACAACAGTCCCCATGACCGCCCACAGAATCCTTAACCTACGGCTAACCCTCTTCTGCCACTCGACCTCCTTACGATCCCATGCGTCAATTCGCTCCCGTACAGCTTCAAGCCGCTTATCTAGCTTCAACGCCTTCTCCCGACAATCGTTCATCCTACGCTCCAGGGCTTCCACCTTATGAATTTGTGGCACAAATCCTTGGAAATCGGTGATCTGCTTGCGGGTTTCTTGGACGAGTTTGGCGGCTTGATTATTAAAATCGGTGTCCAGATTTGTTGTGAGTTCGCAGAGACTCTGAAACGACTGAATTGTGGAACGGATGCTAGACAGTCGGTCAAGAAGGTTATAGTACGCGATATCGAGGCGTTGAGAGAATCTAATGGAATGATCTGCGATAGAGGAGAGAGCGGCGGAGTTGGACCTGAGAATATCAACGCCGTTAGATGCAAAATCACATGTGTGGAGGCCACTGACTCACTTCTCTGCCTCCTTTCTTCTCTCCCTCTCCTTCTCGACGTCCTCCTGACGAATGTACTCCATGCTTTGCACAAAAGGTAGCCGAATCACATTGTCCATTTCATGCGCGTTTGCTATCTCCTCAGATATCTTTCCCGACAATCTAGCATCTTCGGCATTGTCTGGCGAACCGACCGGCATCTCACTGGCCTCCACAGGGATTATATCTCTTCTGGCGGAGCGGCTCCTCAGACGTCGCTCGCGCGATGCATGTCTCCTATGTGGTCGTAACCTTCTATATTTTTCTCGTTGTCCATCAAGACCTGTGCCGAGATCACGTTGCCCTCTAGGTTGGCGCCAGTGATGATCTTCGCCTCCAATCAAGTGATCTTCGACCCATCTTTCATGGGGTAGATAGAGCCCGTTGTGGACATGGGCGTGGAGATATGTACGGTGCGACAGACGACGATGGTGCTTGTGTTTGTTCCTTGTGCCCAAGTCGGCCGGAATGGTCTGGTTTGAAGTTTGTTGAGAACGGGGACTCTGGATGGGGGGGGAAATTGGGGGTCTATGGGTGGTGGCTCGGTGGGAGGGTTCCATGGTACTTATGTAGTTGCCTGGGGACTCTTTAACGTTGGAGTCGGTTTTGAATAAAAATGCATCGTTGAATTAATTAAAAATAGTGAGCGATTTTCCCAAGGTTTGAAGGAGATGTTTACAAGTGCCACTTCATCGACAAGAGAGCTTCCAGGACGAGGTTCGGTCCTTAGTGCTGCAACTACGGAGTACGGAGTGACTAACTAGGGGTCCCTGGTGACCAAGCTTTAGGGCTGGCTTCACCAACTGAAACATCGGGCGTGTTTCGTCCGAGGTTCGTGCTTGCTGCCACCTAAAAATAAACTGTCGATAAAAAACGACTCACTTCTATTCACATGAGCACAAAAAAAAAAGTTAGAGAAAGAAAAAAAGGTAGCCTAGCAACTAGGTTTTATAGAGCAATGGCTGCGGCTGGCCAGCGACTCCAAATCAAGTCGATAATTTATCTGTCTGTTTGGAGAATTTTCTATACATCAAGCTCACCTGCAGGGCAAGGCAATCAACCACTCGAAATGTGACCTGGGATGAATCCCTGATCAACTGGTTCGGGAAGCCGTCCCTTCTGAGATGCGAATCAACCAACCGTACAGCCGCACAATGGATAGGCAGGTGGCTCGGGGAGTCGAATATCTAGATAATTGCTGTGTAACATCTCCCGCTACAATGCGACCATTCCCTCCGTGAAGAATCCAGGGGGGGCTTTTAGTGGAAATATGCGTAATCATTAGCGAATATAGATCATCCAAAGCAGCCCACTTTCATCGTGACAAAGGATTCGACCGCTCCCCTTGTCCGGGATCGATCGGAGCGGCCACCGAGAAAGTTGGTGCAGCATGGAGGACCAAAGACCGAGCTATCCGATCCGAAGAGAGAGCGTTATGACAAACCATAGAGGGCGCTATTATATCCTCCAGAAGCCTATAGCATCATTGACTGAAAGCTGCCGAAGGGAAGGAAAGGAGGCCCATTCACAACGCCAAACGCCACACAGTTCGACGAACGATATCGCTGAGCCTTCGAAGATCATCACGAGTTCAGGAGCTTGTTTCTCTTTTCCCTCCTCTTCCGTCTCTCGACTCTCTTCCGGTGCATTTTCTCTGCCATCTTTTCGTACCTCTCCTTTTCTTCCTTCGCAGCCCGTCTGTCCTTGATGGCTTGGATACGTCGCTAGAGAATGACATACTGTTAGCAGCCCGAGATATCGATAAACCAATAGCCTTGAAAATAACTAGTGGGAGTTCCCATAGAAACACACCTGTCGCTCGGCTTCCTTCTCTTCCTTCATTTCCTTCTCTTTTTCTTTTATAGCAGCCATGGCCTTTCGCTCCTTGAGTCGTCGTGCATAGGAGGTTTGACCCTTTGTGGGACGGAAGGGAGTTTTCACATCGTGCCAATTTTTGCCTAGTGGAGTGTCAGTAAAGATCCTGCCAGCAGCCAAAGATAGATGTGGCCGCCAGGGCAGAAGGTCACCATTTTTCCGCATTCCCTTCGGCGCAGCAGCAGCAGCAGGTGCAGCGGCTGGCGCTGGTGCTGGCTCTGGCGCGGGTGCGGGCGCGGGATCGGTCGAAGACATTGGCGAATAGATCCTGGAAGAGCGAGGGATGCGAGATTACTCGAGCATCGCGTAACAAGCGTCCTCGGGAGTGAAGCAGCCGGAAAGGACGATTTTCTGCACGAGGCCTCGTCTTCGTCGTGCCGCCGATCGCAGCGAAAAAAAAAAAAAGGTGCCAAGACACGCTGGGCGCTGCAGGCCTGATGTCTGCAGCCAATCAGGTCTGTTATCGCGATCTTATATTATCTTATCTCCCGGATCTCGGCGGTTCTTTTCCACCGGCCCCACCATCAAAAAATCTCTCGCGAACTTTAAGGCGCCACACTGGACGCTCTCTCTCTCTCGCGCGACTCACCAGCTTCTGTCATGCGAATTCTACTATATTTTCCCCCTCAGTCCCCTGTCACCGCCAGTCAGTTCTGTCATCTGCCATCCTCGCTGTCCCGTCATTGTCCGGCAGAGTCTCCGCAGACCCGCGTCCTAAACATCCGGGCCCATCTGAAACAAGGCGCATATGCTCACCATGGCTCCCTTCCTCGGATAAGGGGATCAGCCTGACTTAGTGTTACTCCTCCATGTCACCGTTCGCCGCCGTTCACAACGCCCTACCAACGCCCTCCCAAACCCCTCTCTATACAATGCTTTCTCGATAGCGAAAGTCCAACAAACTATCCCTCCTCGTCCTCCTATCCAACAGCAAAACCTGCTTCTGGCGACCGATCGGCAAAGTCTCGATTTACAAATGTCGGCCGCAGGAACCGGCCCGCAGGTCTCTCTAGCCGCAACCGAGATGACCGTAGACATCCCTGATCTCCAGCAGAAAGCCCAAGATCAGGGGAAGGAGGCGTTTAAAGATGTGGTCTTTGGCTCTGTAGGTCCCTGCCACCCCCACATTACTCGCTTCTCTCTTCCTAACTTCACTCCCCAGGTTGCCGGTATCGCAGGTAAATATATCGAATACCCCTTCGATACTGTCAAGGTCCGTCTCCAATCCCAACCGGACGGCCTGCCCCTCCGATACAAAGGACCTATCGATTGTTTTCGTCAATCCCTCCAGGCCGAGGGAGTGCTGGGGCTGTACCGTGGCATAAGTGCCCCTCTGTTCGGGGCGGCTGTTGAAACAAGCAGCTTGTTCTTCAGCTACCGTATCACACAAGAGTTCCTGCAGTCGACTATATACACCTCGTCGGAGAAACTGCCGTTTTCGGCACTGTTGACCTGTGGTGCTATCTCCGGAGCCTTCACATCGCTCCTCCTCACGCCGATCGAACTCATAAAATGCAAGATGCAAGTGCCCGCCGTTAGATATAGCACATTCAAGCCTCCCGGGCCGGTGACTCTGATCTTGTCTGTCTTCAAACACGATGGGTTTCTTGGTTTCTGGCGCGGGCAAATGGGGACGTTAATCCGAGAAACGGGCGGCTCTGCAGCCTGGTTTGGTGGTTACGAAGGCGTATCCGCACTCTTCCGGGCGTACAACAGGCCAGAATCGTCTACATCTCTGAATGACGCGCTACCACCGTTACCGTTATATCAACAGATGCTCGCCGGCGCTGCTGCAGGCATCAGCTATAATTTTATTTTCTACCCTGCGGACACTATTAAATCTCGAATTCAAACCGAAGATATCGCCCTTTCGAGGGGCAATGCCCAGAAACGTACCTTCTGGGAAGTCGGAAAAGTGCTATGGAGACAACACGGTTTAACTGGGCTGTATCGCGGATGCGGGATCACTTGCGCCCGATCGGCACCCAGCTCTGCCTTTATCTTTTCCATTTATGAAGGACTGCGCTACTACTTTGGTTAAGAAGCACAGTTTGACCGGCTTTCCTTCGATCCGGCATACTGTCGTTGATTTTTACCCGTTGTTTTGGATAAACTCAAGGCGTTATGGTCATACAGGGTATCGCGCATGTTTTACGATCTCTTACGGAATGAACTTCCTTTGCTAATGTTTAGGCATGTGGCCTTTTGTTCAAAATACTTCTAAGATTTTGATGTTCTGGAAAAGCCGGGCTTTTGCGAGAGATAAACAGTGATTCCCTTTCTTAGAGGGCCTCAGGGTCCAGGCCCGTCACCTCTGTGGGGGGACTTGAAGAAAATATGTGTGTTTATAGATATTAACATCTTGTTTCAGGGGATATAGTTGTAAGAGGAGCACTCATTTATGAATATATTAAAAGACGAGTAGAATCTTTTTCGGAGCACAGGTACATCAGAGTCATACACACTCTCACAACATCTGCCAACAGTCACCTACTTTTAGTCAAAGCATCAGCTTTGTTTACTTCAGGCATCATAAAACGGCTCAATCAATATTCCGCGTCTCAGTGTGCAGCTCTATGCAGCTCGTCGCAGGTCGCCTTCGCCTGTTCAAGTCTCTCCTCTGCAGGAATCTCCACTTTGTTCACTTTTCTGCAAGAATCCTTTTCGGCCTCTTCTTAATCTAGGTCAAGAACAAAGCTCAATTTCTTGAGCTTCGGTAAAAAGTCAGGAGAACCAAAGGACTCCACCCATCCTTTCCAGTGTTCGGATGTGACCAGAGACCCTGGGCCTCTGAGTCGAAGAGTGGTCAGGTTCGGCGGGAAAGATTTGTACAGCTGCGATGGAAGCACGTCGTAGTCCCCGAAAACTTCGCCGACGCTGAGTACAAGCGTGTCTAAGTTCTCGAGCGTTGGCAGGATGGATTCGAACGTCTGCGGACCGACGAAAGAAAAGTCCAAGGCCTCTGTCGAGCAGATTTTAAGGGTAATCAAATTGTAAACGACATCGCTCAATGACATCACCATGCGACAGAGAGTATTCATGGCGTCGTTTTCCACGATCTCGAGCATTCTTGTGTCGGTCTCCTTTTGTGGGCGAAACAGCTGTTTAGGGCTATCCTCTTGCGCGGCGTCCAACTCTTCCATCCGCTGTCGCATCCATTCTCTGACCAGCTCCGGTATCACGATAAATTCAATCTTCCGCTCTTCGGGGGTATGTTTTTGTAAAGTTAGGCTTCTCTGCTCTGCCTCTTCCCTTGCAATTGCCCCTCTATGTGCCTTGGTTAATTCCTTGCTCGTTGGCCCCTCAAAGCGTAGCTCGAAGGTATAATCAAAAATTAGATGCTTGACCTTTCCCTCCAAGATGAAAGGGGTGCGGAGGAGTTAGCCGCATGCTGAGCCAAGTTTATAGCGCTTCAGGGGCCAATGCAACGGCAGTTTCTCGTCATTTAGTTCTTCGTTAAACCAGCGTCCATATCTAAATCTGTGACGGAGGTGAAATATTCCCCAAGAAGAGCCCATTCCTCATCAGAAGGGGTGTCGTCCTCGATCCGGAGAGTACTGGCATCTTTGGGGATGGTTTCAAGTTGTGAGGGGAGATTTTGCCCATGGTCCTCGGCCTCTGTTTCATGGGGCCGTTACACCTTCACAGTGAAGACTCGAGAAGCGGTTTGGGACATCGTAGACATTGCTGCTGGCAGAAAAATACGAGGCAATTGAGACATACCTGGGAGTATTCGCCTGCGATCTGACAGTGATTGGCTTGAGCACCAAGCTCGTCCAGCAGAGAAATGGTGAGTTCCAGAGACCGCAATACTCTTCAGGGCGGACTCCAGACAGTGAATCCGGCTTAAAGGTCTCATTTCGTCTTGATTCACCCTCCTAGCGAGCAAAATTACCTCCCACCGCAGATGAAGTAAGTCATTTTTGACTGCAGTGGTTGGTGACACTGTGTCAGTCAACGATCGACTCTAGAGTTAGCCAAGAGCTGCAAGCAACCGCCTGACTGCAAGGATACTATAACTTTTTGTCTTTGGCCTCTCTTAATCGGCTAGGTCGCAGCTCCGTTCCCAAAAAGAACCCCGCTGAGCTTCACGTCAGTCTCGCGGCGGGATCCTACAGTGGTTAGTGCGAACTCGTCTTGCTCCGAACACTGGGCGAATTTCGGGCTTGAGGTTGAATTTTTACCAGATTGCTCCGTAGAGGTGATGAAATAACTCTCCCCGAACTTTGTCTCTCTGATGACGGGACGCGCGGGTGACGTCGATGCTTAAAAAGACGCCGGCCCGTCCGCAGCCTGCGAATGAAACTCTTTCCAATCCGCAAAACTTGTAATATACTCTCGACGACGACCCCACCACAAGAGGAAAAGGACAACAAAAGAAAAAGATTGCAAAGATGGCCGCAACCGCTCTTACAGAAGCCGAGTTGGCCACCCTTTCCGCCAAAGCCATCGGCGCAAAGGACGTTGCATATTGTTCGTCTTGTGAAACTTCGTCTTGAAAGTTGGTCAGGGACATGGTGCTAATGATAGTCATGCCTGTAAGGCCCATACTCTAAATTTCGAGTCGGTGCCAGCCTTCTCGCAGAAGATGGGACCTTTTTCGTCGGAGCCAACGTCGAAAACGCCAGCTATCCTGTGGGGATCTGCGCCGAAAAATGTGTTTTTGGCACTGCCGTGGTTAGTCCATTCCAGCGAGACACATTCCCCCGCTTCCCCAGGAGTGTGTATAGTCGGGTTGCCCGTACCAGTTCTGCAGAGCTAGAGTCTGTCTTGCTTCCCTTAGAACTAACATCTCAGGATAGACAGCGGGTCATAGGTCATTCAAAGCCGTCGCTGTGGCTTCCGATATCATCCCTGGAACATCACCATGCGGATCATGTAGACAGTTGTAAGTGTGATCGAACCGGAACTACGCTCCGTGCTATTATCAGAGAGCCACGAATTCATACCCTATTAATCCATCTCGAACAATATAGTATGCGCCAATTTTGCCCCCCGTCGTTCCCAGTCTACATGTACGGCAACGATGGCAAATACGTGATGAAGACTATGGGAGAAGTAGGTTCCGTTCCATTCTGCCCACTCCCATCCATGAGGCTGAGGTCGATGGTTAACCTGAACTGCAGCTTCTTCCAGATTCATTCGGCCCCGAAGATTTGGAGAGATGATACATTCCTCTCCATTCTTTAGGTTTCGCTGACACTCAAATGGGATATCGCGTCGCAACCGGTCACCAATCCACAAATAGTGCACTGGGCACCTCCAAGATATTTCCAGTTTTAAGGAGATAATATCTTCGTTGTACTGTACATACATACATGAAGTTGAAAAACTCTTAATCTAGAAGCTGAAAAGCTGATCATTACAGTGCATATGACCTGCCAGACTCAAAATCCTAACCAAGATTCAGGGGAACAAAACAACAAACAAACCGAAGCCTCGCTAAACACAAACCCAAGAATGTCCGAAATCGGGTGAACTCCTGTTTCCAGAAAAGGAAAAGAAAGACATATCGATACAGAGCACCTTTTTGAACCCCATACCATTTCGTGTCCTATATTTTCCGTGATAAACATTATATCCGTTTCTCGACATTCAAACTTCTTCATCCTCATCACCGTCAAAATCTTCTGCACCTAAGAGTTCATCCTCATCCTCCACAACACCAACATAATCCCCTCTTCTCGCTGCAAAGGCTCCGCGAGAGGAGTATGGCCTTGAGGAGCCACGTCCAACAGGCATCCATCCGCGGAAGCTTCTCCACAAGCTCGCCGCAAGGAGTGGCAAGGCCGACATGACGGCGACGGTGCCCGCAATAATAGCTACCGGTACGACGACAAGAGGCGAGTCCCTCGAGAGCCAACTTCCCGAACGGCTCGTTTCTCCAAGTCGAATCCGCCCGAACTTCCCATCCCATCGATTGTATACCCAATAACCAACGGCGGCCGCAGCAGCGATTGGTATCACAATGGCAAAGAATAACCCTACACCGCGCAATCCAGGATGTTTCTTTTCAAACTCCTTTTCTTTATTTGGACAGGGGAAGGCCTTGAAGCCGTCCAGTTTCACACCGTGTTCGCAAGTTGTCAGCGGAATGCGACGATATCCCGTGGGCTCATAGTATTCTATCGCATTTGGATCCTCTGTGCAGATTCTCTTGGGGTCCAAAGGCTGAAGTCCTTCTACAAGTGCACAGGAGCCGTCTGATTGTCGTTCATAGTTGTAGTCGCTACACACAACACGTCAGTAAAACGCCGTCAAGCATTAGCATAACCAAAGCACTTACCACTCATAATCTTGCCGAGTGCACGGGCAGTTAGTGGAAACATTATGCAGCTTTTCAAATTCTCCGCCGTTGAAACATTGAGAGTCGGGCTTTTTGCGATGGTAGCGTGCAACATGACCAAAGAGACAGTTATCTTCAAGCAAAGGATGCTTTGGCTCCCAAATGTAGTAATCATCGGCTTCGGGTTTCTCCTCCTTGAGCACACATTTCTTTGAGCGCTCTTTCAGACCGGAGAAGTCAAGGTTAACAGTAGCAAATCCTGGTTTCGCGCCCGAACCAACTTCTGTACCCCAAAGGAGGAAATTTCGGGACGTGTCAGATGGCACCGTGGTAATGTCGGAAATTTGCATCTCAACTTTGGTGAATTCGAACTCGATCCACGTTCTACCTTCATCAAGGGTGTAGAAAATTGTTTTCGTAGGCTTGGATTCCGGAACGATCACAATGATAGAGCCCTGGTCGCCATACTCCCAAATGTAGTTCCCTTTCTTAACAGAATGCCATTCGATACCACCATCCCGGGTTATGAAGGTATCACCTTCGCTCTTCAATGTCAGGTGATCTCCCACGTTTCCAACCGCAAGCATTAAGCCGACCGCTGACGGGGATGAAAATGTGTCACGGAAATCACGCCTCTCGGTGTAAGAGTGAAGATGCAGACCGCACTCTGCGGTTCCCTTTTTTCCAGGCGAACAACCGTATTTACGCCCATCGGCATCCATCGCCGGCGGTCGAACATAATCCCATTCCGCGCCATCGTTATGGGTAATCATGGTCCTCAATTTCTTAGCCGCACCCTTGACCACCTCATCAACATTTGCGACAACGTTGACCAAAGCAACTCCTTCCAATCCCTGCATCTTCTCGAAGTCAACGTAGTCTGCATTATTCCGGTTGACGTTACTTAAGCTCAACACATACGATGTGCCATTGCTGTTACTCTTAATGATACTGCCGAATTGATGATCTGGAACGTTGTGGACGGTAACGTGTAGCCACACCGAATGGGTTGAACTATCCAGAACCGTATAGGCTTGTTGTGTTTTCACGTCGAAGTTCGGTGGGAACTCGGCGTCGGCAAATGTGTCGCCATCGATGCTGGCACCGACCTTGAGCGAGTCCTTCCCAGCACGGGCAGCTACGATAATAAACTCAGCCATGGTCCTGAAATCCAGGATGTCCTTATAATGAATCTTCTTGTTGGTGAACCAGTTTTCCGAGGATAGAAGCCGGAAATGTTTGTTCTTTGGATCCTCGTTCTCATGTTGAGCGCAGAATATTAATTCGTCGGTCTTGCGAACGCCTCCTTTACCAACAAACTCACATCTACCAACGTACCGCATCAAAGTATGCCATTCATCACCGCCATCGGTAGAATAGTGGGCCACTGAATGACAGTCTCCCCCACGTTCGCAGTTGTCAGCTCCAGTCCATATCAGCCATTCCGACCGTTCGGGATCAGGGTGAAAGGCAAGGACAGGCAGGCGGTCTCGATTAGGCGGGAGCTTAGTTTCAAATTCACGGAAACTGTCTCCTCGGTTCTTCGTTAGGAAAACCTTTTTCTCCCCGGTGACATAATACATAATGTCATTATTATATGTGTGCGGCCAGAGCTTCGCGATGTTCTTCCCCGCTAGAATCTGCTGCCACGTTTTGCCATGATCCTTTGTCATAAAGACCTCCAGCTTGTCAGTGAGCAACATGACAGTTTCGTCCTTATCCTTACTCAGCGTTGGGCGTTCCATATAGTAGTATTCTGCAGGCTTGTTCGCATCGAAATGTTGTATTGAGACGCCTATCTCTCCGCTGACCGGCTCTTTAGCAGTGTCACTACAAGACCGCTCCTTTGGTTTGTCGAGTTCAAGTCCGCCTTCCTTGATGCAATCGTCTCCTGGTATCAATCTGAATCCAGAGCTGCCAGTGTACTTGTCTTCTGGCTTCTTACATTGTCCTTCGGGGACGGGGAGGGATCTAGCCGGAACACAATCCTTCCGATCCTCGCTTCGAACAAAATTGAAATCACACTCGAAGTCCTCTTCAGTGCACTTGCAACGTTCCAGTTCGGGGACTGGATCCTTGAATTCCTCGCCGATGAAGCACTCGGATTTACCTTTTCTCCGTCTATAAAATTGCTTGTGTCCCATCAAACAATCCGGCTCCTCTTTCTCATTCAATCTTGCAGGCCACCGTTCGAAATCGTCCTTGCTACATTTGCGCTCGTGAACGTCACTGAAGTCGAGGGCGATCACGTAGTGTTTTCGCTCGGAGCTACCTTTTCCTGTGCCAAGGAGCAAGAATTTCAGGCTGGTGGAGTCGGGGGTCGTGGTAAGCGTTCTTGCACGGATTTTAACAGGAAGCTCCGCCGTTTTCCAGTCTTTGCCATGGTTAAGAGAATACGATATCTTGTTTGTCCGGCCTTCGTCATAAACAGCGACAAGAACAGAACCTTGATCTCCAAACTCGTATTTATGTGCATCTTCAAGGGCTCTCCACCATGTAATTCCAGCATTATCGGACACATACAAGTCACCGTCATCGTACTCTTTCAGAGAGTCTCCGACATTGCCGACACCCATAACCAAGCCTGGGGCTGGACTCGAGAAAACACGTCCAGTGTTATGAATGTGTGTCACCGAGTGCAAGTGGAGGTTCTTATCACCAGCCTTTATATCGTGGAAGGTCCTTCCATCATCAAAAGAGATTTTGCTAACGATTTTCTTTTTGCCCCCATGGTGCTCTTCAATTTCTTCCCAATTGGTGACAGTGTTGACTAGAAAGATTCCTTGAATGCCGGCGATTTTCTCAAAATCGACATAACCAAGATTATTGGCGTTTAAGTGCTCGGCATTGCGAGTGAAGGACACTCCGTCAGAGTTGGACGTAAACAAGGCACTCATAGGGTTAAACCCTCCCGAAGTCTTTACACCGACCTGGATACTGTAGTTCGTGGACTCGAGAATGGTGTAGCCGTTGTTTTCGAGTCTATGACCATCGAACAATGCTTGATGCCACCGACTTGCATCGTCGGACACGTAAAGCGCCAATTCGTTGGTTCGGGGCGACCTCGCAGCGGCAACGAGGAATTTCTTCACTCCCACCATACTGACGATATCGCTGACCGGGCGACCATTATTCAAAGGAACCTCGGTTCCTCTATCACCCTCAAAGAAGTCGTCTGAGTAGAGTAGCCGTTTTTGAGTGCCGATCGGGGAATGTAGCCCTGTAAACATGCAAAGGATACGATTGTCAACGTTTTCGGGAAACTCTTCTCTTGCCGCGAATTCCGGGGTGGATATCGCCCAGGAGCAACCATGCTGGGCTTTAGTTAGGATCTTATGGCTTTTAAATCCATCCGTCGTATAGAGAGCCGGCATTTGGCAAATAAATCCAGAACATTCAATCGTATGCAATATCACCTTGTTCGAATCTTTACCGTGGAAGGAGAGAGGGTTTCCGGAACGTGGAAGGGCCTGATCGATCGTGAACTCGCGCCACGACTTTCCCGTGTCATCTGTGGTCCAATGTGTCCGCTCTTGGCCCAGCACATACGCCTTTGTTCGGTCGTAGGGATGATGGTAAATAGCCTTGACCTTGCCCTTCATATGGTCGTCGGGACCTTTAACGGGGGCCCACGATACGCCAGCGTCGGTGGAGATGTAGGCGTCGTATTTGTGCTGAAGCATGACCACATCCGAATCCTCGAAGTAGAACAGATGTTTGGGCTCATGTTCCAGCTCCGTGACTTCGATTTTGGGGCCATCTTTCTTTGCGGTTGCGAACGAGGCCAGCAGTAGGCTGCCGGCCAGCAGAAGCCTTCTGAGGATCATATTCATTCACGGAGGGATCGAGACATCGGTCAGAGGAGAAAGACAAGTCTAGGACCGGCGAGAAAGCGGTCGTGGGAACCAAGAATGCTGCGCCTGCGGACAGGCCACGGGTGGCTAGATTCTCTCCAAAGTTCTAAAAATACAAATGGCAACAAATCCGAGAAGCACACCAAGCCTAACGGTCACGGAAGACCGTGCAGCTATGGAATGAGTGAACAATGGTAAGAAATATGCAGGTGATGTTGGCCACCGTTGTTAACTCCAAAGCAGGCCTCGTTGTCCTCTCCGTCCAGCCGTCTGCCAGCGTGCCTGTTTTGGCCGTTTGTTACGCCCGGCGGCGCAGTGGATGAGGCTGGAATTCACGTGATATGTGCGACAGGCACTTGGTCACGTGGAGTCGAGGCTCGCCGAAACTGCAGGTTCTTAACTTGTTCTTCTTCTCGAGAGCTGTCCGGCCGCTGTCGACATTGGGTTCACGGGGCAAGAAGCGATCCAGGCCGTCTCCTGAAGCTCGACAGCGGTTGGACCTTCGATGGGTAGTGGGTTTGGGGGGAGAAAACGCACCCCCGTCGAAGCCAATTCAACCAGATTTGCTCCCTAAACTGTGTCTGCTCCGTAAACAACAGTATGCACTCCAGCGATGCTTCTCCGCCCCCTAACCCGTGTCTTCTTCCGCTCCTCGTTCCGCTATCGCCGGGCCCACCGTTGTCGCCGGCTGACGATGCTCGCCGTCCTCACCATCTTCATCTTCCTAACCACTCCTTTTTACTTCGTCTACAAACCCCCGCAGTTCATCATCCGCTACCTCCAGCGCCGCGGGCCTGATGTCCTGTGGCATGTCTCCACCTCATCCAAAGTCGTCGCACTCACAATCGACGACACACCATCCCAGTATACATCTGAGATGGTGCAGATTTTGAAGGAAAACGATGCTCGGGCTACATGGTTCGTGATCGGGAACCAAGTCCCCGGCCGCGAGAAGGTGCTAGACGAACTAGTCCAAAACGGAAATGAACTAGCGAACCATGCGATGCGCGACGAGACATCCAAGTCTCTTAGTGATGACGTGCTGCGTGAACAGGTCGTGACGGTGGAGGGCATGATTCGACAGGCATATGCCTCCGTGGACCGCGAGGAGGATTTCCCAAAGTACTTCCGACCCGGCGGCGGATTCTTCAATCGGAGGATGCAGGATCTGCTTGCTCGGCTGGGCTACAGGCTGGTACTGGGCGATATTTATCCCCATGATCCATTTGTGTCCTACTGGAGGGTCAATGCGAGACATATTCTAAGCATGTTGCATCCCGGAGGGATCATTATCTGTCACGATCGCCGGAGCTGGACGCCTCCAATGCTGCGAGAGGTGCTTCCAAAGATTCGTCGACAGGGTTATCGGATTGTTACTGTGACAGAGCTACTGGAGGAGCATAAGCGGGAGATGATAATGACCTCACGCATCACATAGAACACCTCATGCCCTACAGGCTGTTCTCTACGGGCTTAGTGGTTGTTTATGCTTGATATCTATCTTAGACATTATTGGATCTAACGATACCCACTGGAATTTTTATTTTTTATTTTTTATTTTTATTTTTTTTTTTTTTTCATGTTCATATATGGCCACTATCTAAATGAAACAAGAAATTATGGACAGAATGCAGGCTCAAAGGACAAATGCAAGGTGACAGCCGGCTTCAAGAGTGTAGATGTCTCACGATCAATAGGAAAATCATGTCGAGGAGGTAGATCATCGCTAAATGGCGAAAGGAAAAGAAGCGAAAAGAAGGTAATACAATAGGAGTCATGTAGTAAATGATGTAGACCAAAAATCAGTAATAAAAGCATATAGTAGAGGGTAAATCACTGTGCAAAGGGAACACCATGGTAGATACGAGTGAATGGCAATCGTCGTTGCCGGCGTGCTTTTATCCAAATATATTCGAGAAAAGGGGTGATCGCAGAATCGTTCGGCTCATTGCACTTCCACTGAAGAGAATAGAAAGCTGAATGAATATACACACGGGACCACGAAACGCAAAAAGAGAGGGTCAGCGTCGCTTTCTCAACTTCCGTAAAAGCTTTCGCATTACCCCTTTATCCTCAGGTGGGGTGTCCCATATATGGAGCTGTTCATCCGGCGCAGGGAGGTCAGCTAACCGGAGAGGATCATCGTTTTCTGAGGCGGACGGAGAAGTCATGGTCGAGGGGTCAGTTGTTCTCAAATCTGCTCTAGTCAGTGTCATTTTCAGTGTCATCTCCCGGTTTCCAATCATGTTCTGGGCGTTATTGTGCGTTATGGAAACCAAACGAGGTCTTGTGGATTGTTTGGAGGATCTTGATTCATGGGACGCGTTCACAATGGTGGATGCGATAGAGGATGTGTTGGGGGGGCTATTGTGGTCTTGATCGTTTAGTGACGCGTTGTTAGTTTCGTTGAGCGTTTCACCAAGAAACGACTTGCTGTCATTGTCGAAAAACGTTCGCCGATCATCGCAGAGGGCCCATTCGCGATCAATCGACAGTCGCGAATTGAAGCCTTCTTTTAATTCCAAGGATGGGAATCCGAATTCGATCGCTTCATCAAATTTCTGCGGAGAAGCCAGGTAAACCCGCAGTTTCAGCCGTGCCTCGGGGTCTTGATAGTACTGCGCGGGGTGGTCGATCGATGTTACAGATGTTTGCGAGACGTGTCTTGGCGGTGGCTCGGATCGGGATAAAGGCCGATGATGTTTCTTCGGAGGAATGACGGGCGGAGAGAAAGGTGGAACATTGTGAGATTGGCTTGGTTTGGGGAGCATCCCTGATACCGGCGACCGACATTTTTGTGAGGAGCTGAAGGAGCATGTGCGCTTGAAGGAGGGTTTTCGGCCGCCGTGAGGTTGCATTGGCGTCGAGGGGGCAATGTGAGAATGATAGTCAAGTCGAAGATCGAGATCCTCATCTTCGTCAAGCCATCGAAAACTGTCGTACATTGAATCATCCATATCGACCGCTGAGTCGGGGTGGTGAGCAGAGGAGGTGTAGGTGGCAGAAGAGGAGGTCGTCACGCTCGGGACGGATGATAATATAGACTCCGACGAAACTCTTGCTTGACAGCCCAGCTTATATAGGGCCTGATCCGCGGCGTCGAGTATCAGACTTGATCGCCAGCTCCCAAAGCAAGCTCGTTCTTCAATGCTAAAATGTTGCTGTTGCACCTTGGGCGGTAAGGAGCGGAACCATTGGGAGTCAGCCTGAGCAGCCAGATAGGCGGTTTGAAGAGTCTCGGGCTTTTTCAGGATTTGCGGGAAGAGGATCCTTCCTTTGGTTAGAATTGGCCGTCTTGCATACTTTTTGGAACGAAGCCGTCGTTTCGTACCTGCAAGATGGGCGTTATTAGAACAGCTGCCGTGGGAGTGCGGAGAAGAGGATTTTCAGGGCAGTGGAAATCATACCATTGGCTCTAGCGGCACAAGGAGCATTAATTTTTGGCGTTCTGGTTCGTGGGATGGGGTCAGCGGAATGGCCATTTTGGAGCCTTGGGTGAGCGGCGTGGCTCCGGCTATTATTCCCAGGATGCGTCTGAGCTAGTCGCATCTGCTCTAGTCGAAAACGTTCCAGATTGGAAAACAACTGACGAAAAGAACATGGTCAATCCGGAGTGTCCACAGAGCAAAGGACGAGCCAGATCCACGGCTCTTCCTGCGTGCTCAACCGGCATCGCGACCTGCGGACACGCCGATGGAGCGACAGGGGAAAAAAAAAAAAAGCAACATCCTGTGGAGTCGGCAAGGACAGCCAGGCGATCAAAAAATCACCCGGCCTTCAGCAACAGGTCGAGCACAGAAGCTCTCGCGACGCTGGCCAGGAACTCGGCCCACTAGCGCCGCTGCCAACTGCTTGCCAAGCTGCTAGCCAGGTCCCCATCATTGGTCTGTGAGTGCGGAGTCCGTGATAACGCCCGGTCGTGGCGGCTTGGAGGTCGGGGTGTGTGGGATGAGGCGGACTGGCCGATGAGCCCCCCCACCCAAGCAGAAGGGAGGCCCCGACGATCATCGACCAGCGCACCCACGGTTCCCATCTCGCTCCAAAATGTGACCTGACGGTCTGATTGGACTCCGACACACCACGAAACCGGATGATGTGCTCGCTGGCTTCTTGTCACAGAAGAGTGGCAGCAGCATGTAAAGGAAGACTGCCCTTCTTGCAAATGTCAAGGGAGAACCGAAAAGGAAGAAGACCAAAAATGGGAGCTTGATGCAGAGAAAGAGAAAAAAGACACCCCCACGGAGCATATGGCGTTGGCACGGGACACAGAAGCACTTCGTATGTAGAAGAAGCAATGTAATCGAGCTGCTGCGCCAGCGGTGTGACAACTCCGAAGTCACCAACATGAAAAAGAGGCCCAACTTACTTTTCGTCTCAACGCAGGTGGAAGAGCATCCAAATCTTCCGGCCGCTGTTCGAGGATGATGACATTCCGTCGCCCCATGGTTCTTTTAAATAAAGCCAGGTTAGCTACAGGAAGGAAAGAAAAAGACAGTGTGGGACCCAGAGAAAGAGATTGAAAGTATGTGCGGAGCTTCAAATCAGATGCGAAGAGACCTGCGAACAAAGGTCTAGTTATGTTGTGAATGTGGTTCGAAGGGAGGCGGCAGGTTCATAATAATATAACGATTCCAGGATTGAAACCACACGCCAGATAGCTGCCGCTGATATGTTGCATGGAGGCACAGCATACACCCTCCAAAGCCACCGATGAGAATAATATCCTCCTCTGATGGCAAGCTCCAACCAAGCGCCCACCCCCGAAACCACCAATGCAAGGCCCCTAATGCTAATACTGTAAGTCTCGATGTCCGTGCCGTGCAGTTGGTCTCGGCCAATCGCCGGCTGAAGAAATGAGTTGATTCACTTGACCATTCATCAACCAAGAATTGGCAGCAAATGAAATCCCAAGATTGACTCTACCTTCCCTGCACGGGACATCATGGGGCGAGGAAACGTGGCTCAATCCAGCATTTCCGCCGACGGCCATCGCCAGACATGGACAAAATCCCCGATTGATGATGCATACCAGGCCTCTGCGGCCCCAATCAAGACATCCGACATATGTCAAAGGGGAAAAGGGGCTTCCTTTCCTCGACCGCCTGTTACACCGAAACAAGACACTGTTGATTGTTCAGACTCTGCGCCATACTTCGTCCATTCGAAACCATCACCGAGATGCCCATTTCTATCCTCAGTACTAACAGGGCTGAGCGTTGTACAAACCCCTCCTGAAACTGGGTTTTTCCTGACCTCAAAGGGCCTTCGGTACGGCCCATCCCTGTCCTGCCAGGGGTTGGATGCTCCTCTTCACATCGTAACCCCGTAAGCGCCAACCATAACTATTATTAGGTAGTAAGTTGTGTAAAGAGCCCTCTGTCCGGGGTTGCCCACCGGAGACCGAGACAGTCGCCAGATCCACATTAGCGATCAGCCCTCCGCCAAAGATGGGCCATTAAAGGAGGCGTGGCACTGAGACCAACGAGAATAGAATCAAGATTTTTGCCCGCAACCAGCAGCGGGCTTTTCGAAGACCAGTCTGGATAAGAGCTTTTGTGAAATTTCTTTGTTCCGTTCATCAGTTAAAAACCAACCCAGATGCGAGTCAGCCACATCCACCCGTGCGCATCATCATCATATCCGGCGACTCGAACTCAATGCAAGCCCTTCGCTTAGGACACATGGCCGGGTTACGGCCTGATCAGGTGTTTCGCGGCGAAGACAGATATCCTCCATCCATGAGGTCGAAGGCTGGCAAAGTCAGAGCATCGGTCCAGAGACCAAGCAAATTTTTCTATCTCTTTATAATAGCTGCTTGGGACTCTAGTGGAATCGCATACTCCTGAAGACGCCTCTCCCACCTCTACAGCTCCATACACGAAGTATATGAAGAAAAGAGTGTCGGGGTACGGGTAAGGCGGATCATGACCAGAAAACTTCGGCTTTCCCAACCATGGCTGCCAGAATATTACACTTGGATAATTGGCTGGCGAGGCGGCTGGTTTCGCATCCGTCGGGTTGGGTCTGACAATGAGAAAGGAATTACCGTGTTTATCCATGTCAGTCCGTGAACATGTTGCGGGCAGGGATAACCGGCGGCACGGTGACAGCAACCATGATGAGGCTGCAACATCCACCACGCCCGAATTCTTGGAGTTGGAGAATCCAAATTCCGCCCGCAAACGAACCCCGCGTCCCTCGTCACGAGAGACGGGAATCCATGTATACAGTCCTCCCTACAGTTCAGGATTCCTGGTCTAGGCTTGTGCTTTTCGCTAAAGATAGCCCGTTTCGAAACCGAACATTTGGGATCATTGAACACAGGGAAGACAAATGTATTGTTATTGACCTTTCCAGCGTTCCGATGACATAGATAGCATACTCCGTACAGTCCTTGGAAACCTTTTTTTAATGTACGGGGCCCATGGAATTGGCGAGGGCACGCGTCCTGCATGCAATCCCCCCGATAAGCATAAATTTTGGATTTTCCCGACGATCATTCATTATTATGATCGCTCACATCACTCCTGTTCCCTTTGTAGGTGCGAGAGTTTAGCTGGTTAGCTAACTTATCTTCCTATGGTTTAATTGCAGATCATGAATCTTCTCCGTACTCCGTATGGAGTACTCCACACACGATACTTCTCGTCCTCCTGAAAAACTTTAAGCTTCTGGATGTTCGAGCTTCCTTTTCAAATTGAATCGCTAACACGGCTTGTTCCTGTAGCTCGCGTCTCAAAACTTCGAATCAAGACTGATAGTATTCAATTGGTTCCGCATGACCCACCAGTGCCTAACAATGGCCGACGATGGCGTGGATATCTTTGAAAATTTATTGAGTCTTGTGTTGTGTTCCACATGAGTCCACGCAGACGCTCCATTCCAATGCATGAAGGTTGTTTCAGTTGCTCACCGCTGGAATAATTGAGTGGTGTTCGATGATGAAGTTGGGCTTGCGGACGCAAGCGCAAAATAATGACGGTGTAACACCGAGTTCTCTCCACTCAAACTCTAGCACGCCAAGCTGATTCATCACCAAAAGCTCTCAGCAAAGATGCAATATCCGATGTGTTGCCGGCTTGCATCCAAATCGAAAGGGATCTCTCGATGAAAGATTTAATCGTCTTCGGCTAGAAGCCGAAGCTTGTTCTTTGCTATATGCGTCAATTTCCTACAACTAAAAGCCCACGCTGCCGCCGCGTACCAGTTTCCATTGCCCATGCGAGTGAGCACAAGGTGCAGCATACCTGCAGAGCAAATATAATGCATAAATGAACTAGCTGTGTGTAACAATTGCAGAAAGTTCATCCGTGGTTTAGACCATGCAAAATGCTGAACGCAGTACATGTTACCTTGTATGTAGATGGATACTGTCCAATCCGTTTTCGATTCCAAAGACCCGGGGTGTAGCGAACTAAGTACTGGATCATGAGATGCAAGCCAGACTCCGCTTGCTGCGAAATAAACCAGGCCGTGGAAGCGTGTAGGTTTTCAAAGAAAGTAGGTGCCAAGTACATGGTCCCACGGTCGTTTGCTGGTTGAATTTCGCTAGAGAGCAATAGACTACACAGCGTCCTGGCGTCAGGTTGTCTGTATTATGAACTTGCTCACGAAGCACCATAATATATCTTGTTCCACTCAGTGCACGGGATTGTTGCCAATGGAGGTGCACATGCAGCTTTGGAATATCGTTATATAGAGCCGGGTATGATAGACGGGTACTTGATTCTGAACAAATGGCACCCCCTCCATTTTCGGGAGCACCATCCTCTTTCACCCATCAGCGAAGCGAATGCCGAAGACATACTATCAGTATTCTTGACCAAGGAAGCCGCTCCAGGTGTAGACCTGAGCTTGAGAGCAGATCACCAAGATCCTGTTAATATCCCCCGCTCTTTCTCCTGATTCGAAATTTACTCGAGAACTACAAGTTATCCCACCGCAATTGAAGAGGTGCGTACGGAGTGTGGAGTAGTTAGCGCGAACTGCCCTCCATGCATCAAATTGTCGGGTATCCAAATCTATCCGGCCACATCAAGTATGATACTCCCACCTGGGTGCAGGCCTCGGTTCTTCTGTTCGGAGTCCATAGTTACTTGGAAAGGCCCTGATAGAAGCGACGCTGCCACGCCGCGCGATGAAGAGAGATGAACCTGCTTCCCCGCAGCCAAGGGTTGGCGGCGATGTACGGAATATGGAGTAGTTTTTAGACCCATATTCCCAACCCCAGGGTTAAATGGAAACCCACGGCTCCAAAATAAGATGAGCGGAGACGCTTCAGAGCTAAACTCAAATTGAACCATCGAAGCGCCAGCGAAGCTGGGAAAGCAAGGTGTGTGACTGCGATGCGAAATTTGCTCGAGACGCCGATCAGGCCGAAATGGGTCCCACCACAGCGTGGGACCGCAGCCGCTCGTGTTCGAAATTATTTGAAAGGCTCGTCTTCATCACGCAATAATAAGCATATGCAATTGATGCATGCATAAAGCATGGCAATTCTTTGTTAGAGAGAGACATATACCATTTACATATGATTTTACCCTCCGCATCATTTGCATCTTGGCTGCCTGCTTGCCACCAGATATAGATGCCATGAAGTGTGCTCCTTTAGCTCCCTGCTTAGTCAACAGGCGGATTCATCTCTCTGGTCACGTGGCAACGTCCCTTGAGCGGCATCAGCAAGAATGTACTCCTTATACGGAGTACGGAGTGTACTCTTTACGGAGAAGTCCGTCTAGAGCTATCGAGTCTAGTCTCAGCCCAGAAGCGTGCACGAGCGAATTACGTGAATGATGCTTTGGCGATTCGAAACCAAGTTCCGCTAGCTCTAAAGGAAAATTGATAGATTTCGACCTTTTACGAGGTTCCCAAGATACTGTGAATTCTATTCGTGGGCCGGATTTCAAAGCGCCAACACACTGTCTGCTAGCTGTTTCTTGCTGTCCCAAATTCTGTGGAATGTCTCCCCGGGGAATTGCGTTTATCCTTGGGGCTGGCCCTCGCATTGGACGGGGTGTCGCCTCTAACCTTCTAGACAACGGCTACTCTGTTGCCCTGGGAAGCCGGGCACCAGACTCGTCTGCGCAAGTCTCTGGAAATGGGAGGGGAGTCACGATTTCTGTTGATGCATCCAATATTCAATCAGTACAAGATGGCTTCGCCCAAGTGAAACGGGAGCTCGGAACACCAAATGTTGTCATATATAATGGTAGCTCCCTCCACTAATACATGACATATTCGAATGATTCATTGCACGAGAAACAAGCTGACACATCGACTGACTGGAACATCCAAAGTTAGCGCATATACTCCCGCTGATTCAAAAGACCCTTTTGCTTCAATAACACCTGAAGTCCTAGAGCGTGATAATGCTGCCAACATCACGGGAGCCTATACAGCTCTTCGCGAAGCTGTGTTAGGATTCAAGTCCCTCTCGCTAACTGATTCCGACACTGGGGGAGATGGTAAAACCCTGCCAAAGGTTTTCATAGCTACGGGAAACGTGACCCCATTCCGGCCCATTCCCGCATCCTTGCCGGCAGGGATAGGGAAGAGCGCCATCGTCCATATGATCCAGATCGCAGCAAAATCATATAGCGATGATGGTTTCAGGTATGTGCTGCACACACCCTGTACATGATAGATACATATGATAACTGTCATGGTGACAGATTCTACTATGCATCCCAAGTCTCGCCAAAAGGTGGACCGGTCCGCCAAGTAGATGCTGGTGCACATGGGGCGGTCTTCTGGGACTTGATAAATAGACAAACCCAAGGGAACTGGGATGTGAGGTTCCTCGCTGATGGGAGCGAAGTGATATCTAGCGGTTGACACCCACCCTTACTTGATGTAATTATCTCTGCTCTCGTACACCCATCCTGCGTGCTCCGTTAACATGCATGTACGGTAGATAAGGTTTTCCTGATGTGTACGGGGTACTCCAGAGCCATTCCCTCCAGGATCTTGTGCCACCTTACCATATCGGGCTAGCCCCTCCATCCCACCAATTCCCCAAGTGACATGATTATATAATCCTGATGAGCGAAAGATGAGAAGCAAGTCGTGCGCTTCGACATTGCGACGGGAATCCTCGTTGACCAGCTCACTCTCGTCTCCTCGCTCTCCCGTCCGTTCGGGTCATCCGCCTCGTCCACATTGTCCCCAGGCAGTCATCTGCGAAGTGCATTGGTCCATCAGCACTCCACAAGCCCGTAAGTTTTCCTGCTATACCCTCCTCAATCTTCTGCTTTGTGAATTGTTGCCAAATTCGAGATCATTTCAAGGCCCTGGTCGCGTTTTCGAATGAATTTTCCGAAGGAAAATGCTTTGCCGGTGTCTGTGGCAACGGATATGGATGGTCATCCGTGAACGTGCCCGTCGCTGAGCATGGGGATGCACCCGCCACGATGCCAGTCTCCGCAAGCCCATTCTTGTCACCTTCTCTTGAAATTTTGGGAGCACTTTTTGGATATTTGTTTAAAACTGCTTTGTCTGTTGACGAGGGGGGTTTCATTGACATTTGAGTTTGCATCCCATAGGCAGCCTTCCGCTTACTCCACTGAACGCCTCACATATGCTCCCTCCTTCCTTCAAACTTGCTCGCATAATATACTTCGGCAAACGCAAACATTCGCTTTGATTACAGGATCAGTTGTTTGTTTCCGCAATCGGCTAGCTTGCATCTCAGGATGGATGCCAAAGAAATAGAAGTCAGGTCAAAGGCCCTGACCAAGGCCGCGGGCTCCGCCGAACCTTCCTCGACAATCATTTCAATACTTAAAGACCTTCAGAATGGCGTTCGACCTACCGAGGATCTCCTACGTGCTACCAAGATCGGTATCACCGTCAACAGGTTGAAGACACACAAGCATCCTGACGTTGCCCGGTTAGCTAGCGACATCGTTCACAAGTGGCGTCACGAGGTCAACAAGCAGAAGACGGGTGCATCTCCAGTGGGGAGTCAGCGATCAAGCGATTCTCCTAAACAAACCCCTAACGGCATGGCGACGCAAACTTCTGGAGCTGAAGCGTCGGATAAGATGTCGAAATCCACAGTTCCTCCCGATAAGAGAAGCTGGAAGGCAGATCAGGTCAATACGGCTCACACGCAAAATAAAACCCGCGATAGCTGTATCGGCTTGCTATACGATGGCCTGTGCTTGAACTCAACCGAATCACCCCGTACGGTCCTTCAAAAGTCTATTGAGGTTGAAGCGGCCGCATATAGTGTATTTGGCCCTGAAACTAAAGAGCAATATCGTACCAAAATTCGCAGCCTATACCAGAATCTTAGAAACAAATCTAACCCGGCCCTTCGTGTGCGTGTCCTCAGCAACGAAATCGCGCCTGATAAGTTTGTCCGCATGACGCATGATGAGTTGAAATCCGATGAGCGACGGGAAGAAGATCGCAAAATCGAAAAAGAAAACATGGACAAGGCTATGGTTGCCAAGGCCGAGCGAAGCATCAGTAAAAGTTTACAATGCGGAAAATGCGGTCAACGCAAAGTCACGTATACCGAAGCACAGACGAGAAGTGCTGATGAACCGATGACTTTGTTCTGTACATGCCTTGCTTGCGGTAAGTCCTGGCGTCAGTAAGAAAGGAGGAAGAGGGCGCTGTTGCGGACTATTGATAAACTTCTCTTCAACTTTCGAGATTCTTACTGTATCCTGATATGGGTTTTACAAGGTATTACTGGGCGCTGTTGCGATCCTAATTTCTCTAATTTGGACGATTGTTTTACTATCAGGAAGTGACCTTTTTTATCATGGATGGCGTCTTGCGTTTCACTCGGCGGTGCTCTCCTGTATTTTCCTTTTCCTTTTTTCCCTTGTTGTTCTTTGACCCTCAAGCCCAAAACTGTCTCTATGCTGACAGCCCCCTTTTGCCCCTTCTCTTCGACCCAACTTTTCCTGGCAGGGTACTTCCTACAGCTTGTTCTATTAGATTAGATTTACAGGCCATAATTAACTCTATCGGGCGCTGATTAAAATTTGATCTGGTTATCTGGCCATACTCCTGTTCCCGATCACCCTTTCAGCAAATGATTTCGTGTAGGAGGGGGAAAAAAAGGAAGAAGAAAAGAGGAGGAAATAAAGAAAGAGAAGAAAAGAAAATCTACCGAATGCTCGAAATAGTAGATAACTATAGACTACTTTAACCAGTCTAATCAGTCCATTGGAACAATGACAAGGTGGGCTTAGGTCTGTTTATGTGCCTAGGGTTGGAGCTTCAATGGATCGCAAGTTGATCCCAATTGAGACTTGAAATCTATGCTTGCTTAATTTTGGAGAGATGTCATTCTGCTTTTCGTAAATAATCAGACAGATGGAGCGGAATTTGAATCTCAGGAGAGATATTATTATGAGAGCAAACGTAGGCTGATCAAACACATATCCCATGTATGTACAGCTCACATAATCTAGAGAGTGAAGGCGTAACTCATGTCCTCTAAAAAGCCAACGATGCAATCTTCGCAGCGCAAAATAATGGCAATCGCCAAGTTAGGGGGTATACCTGGACCTCTATGCTGGTATAAAGGTCACCAAAAAAGGAGCAAAGAAAAAAGACATCATATTTCGTCACTATGTGATCATGACTCGGAATGGTTGCAGACGATCCTGCGGCGAATAAAGCAAGTTGCAACCGTAGGTCTCATTCGAGGAAGCTAGCCGATGAGAGGTTGAACTTGCGAAGTCGCGTGTGGTCCCGCTAAGTTCTCACGCACATGGACCCCGGGTCTCTGGGGTCTCGGGATTCGTGCTCCGGCAGTACATCCATCCTGCCAGTGCCCTGGTCGGATGGGGGATGGAACGGCAGCCGGACCCATAATCGATCTATAGAGGCATATATAACCCCAAAAATACTTTTATCCTGAAGAGCAGACGGGCTCTTCATTCAACCAACTTTTCTTTCTTTAAAATCAGCATTGCCAGTAGCCTCCTTCTCATCACGGAAAGTATCCGGAAAAAAACCGGGTGGCGGCCAAATATCTGCTATGGACGCCGGGCGAAGTAAGGGATTCGTTGCCGCAACACGATCTGGGTCACGACAAAACGCTTGGAATGCGATCTCATCCGCAAAACCAAAGTCTTTGAGCCCCTGTTCGCGTCGAGTAGTCCACTCATTCGTGTCAAGGTGAGCAAAGTCGTCAAATATCGAGTCTAGGTCATTGATGGGAAGCTGTTGCTTTGGTGGCAGCTGCGAATTGGATTCCGATGTTTTTGAAATGGCTTGCGGTGGAGTTGAAGCTGGAGTCGCCGGTTGTAATTGAGTGGAGAATTGATCGGAGACCGTTGAGAGGTCTGCGGTCTCAGCGCTAGAAAAATGCGATTCATATGGAGTCAGAAGATTATTTCCAAGCAATTCTGCATGGATTGCACCATTCAATTGTGCTTCGGGTCCGTCCATATTAGATTCTCGTGGTGAAAGATCGGTGATAGCAGTAATACCGGCTGCACCGTTGTTGGCACGCTCTGAACCGAGCCCCAACCCAAAGGTAGAGAGAGTGCTGTGATTCAAAGACTGGTTCGAATCATCTTGTGGCGACGAAGCCATGCGAGATAGTGGATCCAGATCATCATTGGCTGAGGTATGGTAGTTGTTAGATATCCCTTTCGAATTCATGAAATCGGCCACTGTCAAGGATTGTGCTGGTTGGTTACCATAAGAAGTCTTGCCGCGGGGTCTTCGGTTACTGATTTCTTCAGCGAAAGATGTCATTACCGGCCAGATACCTCCAACCTTGGAAACTTCGTGGGATGTTGAATCAAGCCACAGTGAAAGCTGGAACTCATCTTGTTCAGCAGCCGCACCACCGAAGCGAATGCAGTCGGTAATTGTGCGCAGAGAACACTCGAAAAGTGGTGGGAAAGTGAACTGGCCAAAGACTTCGCTATGTCCCGAAAGAAGACCAGGGGTCAGCCGGAGTAACCTTTTTATGGGAGAGAATAGAGCTTGCACATGGGATGAAAAGCGAGCGTAAAAAATACTGAGTGTTGCGATATGGGTAAGAGCCAGGTAAATCTGATGTGGAAGCAGCGCCATTGCATTTCCCAGGGCAGCATCGTTGCAGAGAGTAGCAAGTCGACAGGCCGGGGGTAATTTATTCTCCCAAGCCTGCATATCTTTAATGATAGTCTGACAGAACCACTGGGCATCAAAGCTGTAAGGCTCATGTCGTGATATACGATTCAAGAAGCTCGCAAGCTCCACCAGCCGGTTAAAACAGCTTCGGCCAAGGAGTGGTCCGCGGCCAGGAAGAGTAGAGCCCTGGACTGGACCATTCGGGTAGAATACTTCCATCCACGGGTTCCATTCTTCCAGTCCATCCTCTTCAAGGGGGCCGACAGGAATCAAATCTTCGGGGCGCATATGCGGGCAACGTCCAAGGCGAACGGCAAGGATCGCATCGACAACGAAGCATCCAAGGAAGATGGCATTGTTCTGGTTGTTGCCTGGATGTTGTCGGCGATCGGTCTTCCGCCCGAGCCCAAGATGCAACACTAAGCTAGTAGCTTGATTGCTCAAGAGCCAGGCGGCAGTCCAATCTTCCAGTCCAATATTCACCAGAGTCAACAGGAGCAATGCCTGAACGTGGCCGATCTCGAAATTTTCTTTTTCACTCGGTATAAGACTCCTGGCGACTGCGTAGAACTCCTTCGCCGCAGAAAGAGGATCAGCGAATCCCAGCTGTTGTTGTGTATCGGATGAAGGCTTTAGCTGCGCTGTGGTGTAGCTAAGGATTGCCCACAGCGCCGCATGGTCACCGGACTCTGCAGACTTCCTGGCGAGGGAAAGAGGCTCATTTGAATAGGAGTAGGAGGTCCGCAGAATGCTGTGCTTAGCTATGATCGGGAACCAGCTGTGGGTATGGGAAAAGTAAAGGTCAAGAAGGCGTGGTGTCTGGACGGGAAGCCGTAATTGATAGTGACCAGGGTTGGCGGATGGAGCGTGCGAGAGCTTGATCTTTTTCGACCGGGGCCCGATGGACGATTCGGATTCGATGTTGTTTGACTTGGAGAGTGCTGAGTCTCGACTGATGCGATATTCGAAACCGTCGCTGGAACCAGTGTGAGATTCTGTTCGCTCGAGTGACTGACCTCGATTTTCGCTGGCCTCTCGCGACGAAAGCACACTTTCGATATCACCAGCGGACAGCAGCTTCTCGAGTTCCCGGTAAAGGGCGGTGGACTTCCACGAGTCATGCAGCTTTTCAGAGACAGATTCGTTCAGCCACAGAGAGATAAGCTTCCTCCGCTTGGTAGAAGAGGGCTCGTCGTTTGCTCCCAGCAGTCCCAGGACGCTCTCTTCGAAGCCGTCAATGTTAGATATTGAGAGTGCCCAGAGCTTTTCCAGTCCCCGAACATAACCTTCAGGAAGTCCGCGCTTCTTGGCAGAGGGATCATAGGAGCAGACACTCCCAGAATTCTGACAAGCCAGGCATGTCGGACGAGTTCCATCACAACGATCCTTTTTGCTTCGACATCTATCACAGGCCCTGGACACGCGCTTTCGTCTCCGACCTACTTGTTCCTGTGCGTCCTCCATTGCAGTCTGGTTGTGTTGTCTAGACTCAAACTCGATGACATTGATGCCACCGATCCTCACGTTTCAGATTCAAAGCCCGAGATATTATTTGCTGTGCAGTGGACAAGAACGTCATTAATCCCGTCGTGGCAAGGAGGCAGGATCAAAATAACACCATTATCAAAAAAAAAGCCGCTTCAAAAGATTCTAGTTGCTCTGGATTTGCGGAAGCATTCCACCGTCTGTCTTTCTAGAAATCCAGGAAGCAGAAATCGAGCCAAAAGAAAAGAAGCAGTGGAGGGCACCACATGCTATGTATATAGCCCACTAAAATCTCTGCGATCTGGAGCAGCATGGGGACTTCAAGGAGAAAATATGGAGAGCGGAATGAGGGGAAAGTTCGGGAGGAAGTTGAACGGCTCCCAGTGTCGGGTTGGAAACTCAACCACTGTTAGAAGCTGTGCTCCGAGAAAACTTTAGTCTCCCCGTTCCTTGGGATTTTGAGTGCAGCTGCTCCATAACTGTGGCGGCAACAAGCTCAAGAATCGCTGGGAGGAGCCCACCCGTCTCCGAAATTCGCACACCCCGAAATCCCCCAAGCATTACTCAATCGTTTGTCAGTCTGATTTGTGCCAGCGCTAACTAAGGAAGTTTATTTATTAGGTCTTTCCGGAGCCCAGGTCTCACATACCGTCTCTTGAAACCAACACCTGCCATCGTCATCCTTTGAGCCTGCCTGGCTTGGACTTGGGGGGGCTACGCAAGTCTTCCATCGAAAGGGCGTTTCTCAAGAGACCTTGGTGATGGCAGCCGAAATTTGTGTGGCTATCTGCTCCAGGCGGGAAGAACGGGTTAAAGAGCTACACCTTTTCGGCCGCAGATGCAACGGCGAGAATACATATGTTTGCCGCAGGGCGGGCAAAAGCGACAGCTGATCCCGCGACTCGATTGGATATCGGAGCAGCTAACTACGTGACAGAAAGGCTTTCTTCGGGAAATTTCACAGCGCGTATCACTGCAACCTGCCGCCCAAGCCGTCACCAGTTCTGGTTTTCGACATGAAATTCTCAGAAACTGAGACGAAGCATTTTCTTTAGTCTGGCTAGTAGCGCCAGCAACAAAAAATGTTGAGGCCGATATCCCGAGAAAATGCGGATAAGGGCAGGCCTGGAATTGCTCTCGAAAACCTTGACCCTCAAGGTTTCCGACTTTCGGTTCCAACCAGCCATTAGTGATTCCGTACGGGAGGGTTTAATTATATGCCTTGCTAAAGTCGGATCGACCACAGATCTGCATGGTATGCTCAACTTCCACGTTGTACAAAAGCGCCATTTCTAGAGTGGAACGTCTCCAATTGAAATCGGCGTTTACATATACTGTAGGTTCGGGCATGGAAAGGCGGCTCCAAGGGACCTAGCCTTTTCAAGCAAACTCCTTCCAGTACAATGGAACTTGATCATCACGCTACCGCTCTCTCGACAGAAGTCGATACATAAAAGGCCCTTATCATGTTTCTGCAAGTGGAGATGGAAGGGGGATTGGCGGCGGGCCGGTAGCTTCAATAATACGGAGTACAAAGATACAGGCTACATAAATATGGCTGCCAATGCTGGATGTAGCGAGTTCGAGTAATAATAATACAAATATGCGTATGAGTTCATAATTTCGTCGCCCAGCTAGGTGGCATTTCAGGGCGTCCGACGATGGCAACCGGGGCTCCAAGGTTCCGACCGGGATCGGAAGTACCATCCATTCGGAAGCCCAGAAATCCCGTAGCGCTTCCGACAAAACTAACCAAATACGGGCTAACTGAGAAGGTTAACTCGACGGCGCCCCCCACTCGCCGCTCCGACTCTTCCACAATTCCAGCAGAAGGCCAGGAAAACAGAAGCCCGAGTCAACCTTGTCACCCCAAGCGATGCCCTCGTATGGCTAGAACGGAAGCAAGGCAAGCCGTGCGGGCCATCAGCCACGAACTCCGGAGTACAAATGTGTAATTCGCCACAACGTTGGCTCCGGGCGCGTGACAGGCCTTGGGATAACTCTGCTTCGTTGGAGCCGACGTTCATTCGCAGGCTAATTCATGACTGGTGCTCTTTGATGCTCGAATGTCATGATCATGCCCGCATAAACTTGAGGTTCTCCATCTCCTTCAAGGCACTCTTTGCAAAGGAAGTAAACATGTGTCTGTAGCCAAAAAACAAACTATTTGCGGGGAGCAAGAGTATGTGTCTTGGCCTTGTGAAAAGAGAAGCACCAGGCTTTCAAGCAATCCCTTTTCAGCCTGTGACGAGTGTTAAAAACCAGAGGCGACCAAAGGCTGATGCTGATGCCTTGCATATTTCACTTATATATGTCTGCAAGGGCATAGATGCGAATGCCGTCACGACCTGCCGAGAGCCCTAACTATTAGGAAGAGCACCATTCACCCTTAGTTCACCTACTCGAACTAACTCGGGACGATTTTTTAGCGTCTGCAATACTTAGCTCCTAGGAGGGCTCTCGGTTGCGCGGCTTTTTACTTATCCCGCTTATGTAAGTAGGTTAAACGCCACCGGCTGTCAGTCTGAACTTGATGTAAGACAAAGACGAGATCATCATTTCTGGGCATCATAGATAGATATGCGCCATGTTTGAAGCGAACAGCCCTGTATTCACAAATCGATCCCTATGCATCTTAACCCCGCGATGAGACCCCTTCGTATGCACTCTCTACTTTTCCCTTGATCCCGATGTCGGAAGCCCCAGAGATATGGATCCAATGTCCGGAAAACCAGCCCCTAGCTCTTTGGAAAATGGCCATGGCACCAGCTCAACTTCTGCTGTCCATGACCTCTTAACTATGCTCTCACCAGAGGACCAGGGCAGCAGGAATTTTAGACCCAATGCATCCCTAGTTTTGGTTGGTATCCGGGGTAGCGGAAAACGCTCTCTTGGTTTCATAGCTGCAACGGCTTTGAATTGGCGGTTTATTACCGAGGACCATTACTTCAAAGAGATTATTGGATGTTCACGCTCTGAGTTTCTGCAGAAAGCTGGGAGGCGGGAGTTCCACCGCAAGGACGTGGAGGTATTGAAGTTGATGCTGGATAACCATCGGACCAAATGCGTGATTGAATGCGGATTGGGGAGCCTAACGCAGTCTTTCCAGCAGTATCTTCAGCAATATGCACGGACCAATCCAGTTGTTTACCTGCTGCGGGATATGGACCAGATCCAGAGGCTTTTGAACTTGGAGGATAGCGCGGTGCAATTACTGCAGAGCACCGATCCGTCGCACCGAAATGGCTCAAATCTAGAATTCTACAACCTTGAAGATCATTCCAGTGATTCACATGGCCAAGACGATGCAAGTGATCGAAGATGCGCCTCTTACTCGTTTAAATTGAAAGAGGTTAAAGAAGACTTTACCCATTTTGTCCGCTTTGTTACTGGAGTAGGCATAGCCCTGTCAGGGTTCGATTCCGAGCCGTTTTCGCTTCTAGAGGATAAGATTGAGTCTAGTCTTCATACCCATGCCATCTTTGTGCGTTTATCCAACCTGTTGGATGGCCTAGTTGATCTTTGTGAGCTGGACTCGGGCGGTGAGGCAGTGGAATTCTGCGTTGATGTCTGGCCATCCGACGCAGCTCGTGTAATGAGCAAGTACGTGTCTATGTTACGCCGGAGCGTAGGCGTACCGATTATCTTCTCCGTCGACGTTCGAGCGCTACAGATCAGCAAAAGGTCGCTACCCCTCCCTTTCGAGGAAATATACTTCAAAACTCTCAGCCACGGATTGAGATTGGGCGTTGAGTATTTATCTCTAGACTTGACGCAAAGCGATATCGCAGACAACCCTGCAACATCCCAGCTTCTTCAATTTAAAGGCCGAACGAAGATCATCGGCCATTTCTTTTTGGACTACTCTCACGGCCTTCCTTGGGAAACTGAGGACTGTATGCGATTATACAAGAAAGCCGAACTTTTGGGATGTGACGTTGTCCGTATTCTTCAAGTGGCAAAGCATAGGTTGGACAACGACGCTGTCTGCGCCTTGAGAGCAAAAGTTAGAAGTCTTCCGGGCAACCATCCGCCGTTAATAGCGTACAATGTCGGTATCCTGGGACGAACATCCCAAGTCTTCAATCAGATTCTGACTTCGGTAACCCACTCGGCTATAAAGAAGAAGCGCGATGTCGATGGCTATGATCCTCTCATCACATCACGGGATGCTGTTAGGGCGTTGTTTCAAAGCTTTGTTCCCGACCCATTACAATTCTACGTTATTGGCACGAACGTCACGTACAGTCTCTCTCCAGCCATGCATAATGCTGCATTCCATGAATACGGGATGGCTCACACTTATAGAATTCCTGAGAGGACCTCGCTAGCCGAGCTGGATCGCCTTGCCATGGATCCTAATTTTGGAGGTGCAAGCATTCTCCAACCATGGAGAGTAAAGGTATTCGAGCTTGTTGCGGCCAAGAGCCGGCATGCAGAGGCTATTGGGGCCGTTAACACAGTGATGCCTCTTCGGGCTGATGCAACGGGATACATTTATCCCCTCAAAGAGCAGGCAAGTCTGAGGAATCGAGCTGGGAGGGTAGCCGGCTGGTACGGAGATAATACCGACTGGATCAGCGTATTTGTTTGCCTACGCAGGAGTCTTTCTCCTCGAAATGCCATTTCATCGAAATCCACAGGGCTCGTCATCGGAGCTGGAGGGCTGGCGCGGGCTGCCATATACGCAATGCTGAATCTGGGTTGTCGTAGTATTTTTATATATAATAGGACTGTTGAAAATGCCGAAACGGTGGCAAGACACTTTAACTCATGGGCATCATCGTCGTCTGAGTCTGGCCAAGTTGTCCGTGTTTTACCTTCATCGAAGACCCTATGGCCATCTGGCTTTGCGTTCCCTTGCATGATCGTGTCATGCGTGCCCGCAAACACAGTCGGCGGTGATTCCCCCACGGCACTTGAATTGTCAGAGCAGTGGTTGGGCAGTCCAACTGGAGGAGTGGTTCTTGAGGTATGGCTCCAAGTCTTATTTACCATTATGCAGACTTTTAACATTTTATCTAAGATGGCATATAATCCTATCAACACCGATCTGTTGAAGAAGATGCGACGATATCTCAACGAAGCCAAGAAGCCATGGGTTCTTGTCGACGGACTTGAAGTCGTCGCTGAGCAGGGTATTGCCCAATTTGAGTTGCTTACTGGGAGACGAGCGCCTCGCCGGTTGATGAGGCGTGAAGTGCTCCGTAATTATGTTGGCGAGGAGGGCCGGTATGATGAGAAAACCATCAATGCTAGGCTACGTGGAATCAGCCGAGTGGGATACTAAGATACATACGTATCCGTGGATGGATGTGAAGGTGTACACATGCATTGAGAAAGTTATCTGAGGTTCTGATTGATGCTATCATCATGTTAAATTCCTTTCTGTTGATTTTCAATTTCCGTGTGGCATTGAATGGAGTGCAGGTTGGATCTGGGCCATGGTTCTAGAAGGGACAGTACATGATGTTTAACTCGGCTATGGAACATCTCGGGCATAATCTTTCCTGTTGAACAACCCAGGAATCAATTTAGGAATCCATTGAGTATTTGATATTTGTCACAAACCATGAAGATTATGAGGGAGTCTGGATTGGAAACGGATAAGAATACACATTTGTCAGCTAAATATACACCTGGGAGGGAGTCTTGACTTCAGTCATCTTGATGTCCTTGGTTCTTTTTATACTGCTGGGCAACTCTGATAACAGTTGCGTGGTTGGAATATGGCTGATGAACCACGGGACGATGCGCATGGTGTCCCTAGCTATATACTGGGAAGGCACTTGCGAATCACTATAATTACATTTTTCGTAATGATCAGTTGGCGAACGCCACTCTTCCATACCAATTGATGACACCATCAGCAGAGTACGCATGGATAATAATGGGAACAGAGCTCTGGCTGAAGGATGCAAGTGCATGGAGGATACAGTATCTTTCTCCCTGGCGGAGAGCACACGGTCCCCCGAAACAGTAATTCGTGTATCTTTGACATGGCATCATTGATTATTTGTCAGGTTTCTTGACCGAAGAGTTCTTAATGCCTTGAAGTAGCTCGCTCTTTATCTTTCTTATACTTTTTTGACTATATCTATAGCTATAGCTCTTTCACGTGTAGTTGCTTTAACCTCTTGATAGCGTATGTCATGAAGGGGAAAAAAGGGTCATAATCGTGTGAGAACCAAATCTTTTCTTCGGCTGGCAGCTCGAAGTGCTAAGCTGGCCGATGAGTTAGGCGTATCTAGACCCTGGTTGGCCGCCGCAGGCGGCGTTGGTTAGCGGCGGCAACTTAATTTACCGAAGTTAAAATGTGTGGTGGTCAAAAGCAACAACATCAACTTGAACCGATCAGAGCTTCACTCAACGACAGGTTACGCTGGGGCTAGGGCACGCCAGTTTATAGCTCTTCCGCTTGCTGGGCACTGTGTCTTCGTACATCCATCTCATAGTTTATGGATTACTAGTTATAATTTACCCAATCAGTGCCCATCTTCCCATGATATTTTGGCCCCTTCGATGTCCAAGGAATACATGCCAGGCATGCTCAGTCACTCACCGTCTCCAGAGAAACATAAAGTTCCCGTGGTGGTAGGGCTGATGGAGGCAAGAACTTCGAAGAAGCGTACACGAGATGACGATGCTGGAGGAGAGAATCATAACAGGAATCTTTTGTAAGCGCCCGCATCCCCCGGAGAGCGCTTTTCACTCCGGCTTCGCGTTGTCGTCCCTTTGAGAACTAACAGTATGGGCTCGAAGCAGTATGTCAGATATTTCCAACAGTCACTTCGTAAACCCTCCAACTTGTCGGGGATATTCCATCGAACAGCCCGCACAGTCCATGGTGACCGTTATCTCACCCCCTACAACTACAAGACTCTTCCACGGCTCTCGTATAAATCTCGATATTCGACCCCGTCTACGCCCGGCCGTATGTAAACGTAAACGCACGGGGGAACACAGAGTTCCGGAGCACCTCCCACAGACCCCTTACAACTGCATGTCAGATCCGGGCTCTAAATGCACGCTTTCACACCCTTCATCTCCGCACCGGCCAGAAAGTGTTCAGCAACAACGGCAAAATGCTGACAGGCCTCCTCCCACTGCCGCACCTATATTGACCCCCTGCCATATCTGTTATCGTCGTCCCACCATGCACTTCCAGCTAGATGCGTATGCCGACTGCGAGTTATGCAGGAAAAGAACATGTTATATCTGTCTACGGGAGTGTGATGGACCGGATTGTCGCACAGGTGTTATGGATACATCAAGTGGGTCATGTGAGCGGTCATCTTCAGGACGAAAAATGTGTTCATGGTGCGCTGTAGAGGGAGTGACAGATTCTGGAGTCGACGCTGTATGGTGTGTGGATTGTGTGCAGCGTGGAGAGGCACGGTGTCAAGATGATGCATGGATGGGTGGCTGATGTTTAAATGGTTCTCCCTTTTTACTTTTCTGCTACAAGAAGCGGCGGCCTTGTATCGGCCTGAGGACTTATCAACTGCTTGATGTGAAAATAAAAAAAACACCTTGTGATACGAAGGACAGCATTTCTTGCTCTTCCTCTTTGCATATTTCATCTGGGTTAGTCTCAATATTTTTCCCTTCCTTTTTTTTTTTTTTTTTTTTTTTTTTTTTTTTTTTTTGGCGGTTATCAGGGCAAGTCTGAAAATGGGGGTTTTTTTTTAGCGATTCAGCATCTGAGCCTATTCTTTTCTCTTTTCATACGCAGGCATTAGGGATGTATTCATTATGACAGCAACATCTCTGTTTATCTTCATGGAGCTACAAAGATTGATTTGTTCTTAAATGGACTGGATTATTGCTTTGGATATCCTTAACAGACCCTAAAATCGACATTTTATCAACAGGTGGAAGAGTGCCAACGCTATACTGTATGCAATTGCAACGAAGAAAAGACATCTATGCAGGATATATCAAACGAACACAAAACTGCCGAACGGGGTCTCATCGTCCAAATCTGAACTCAGCCTTTGCAAACCTCCACAAACCCTGCAGAAACCTCTGGTACTCCACGGCTTCCCCGCTATCACCCATGATACTACTGCTATTGTCACCGGTGCAAAATATCTCCGTCAATCGAATCTGCCATGGCGGATAGCCATCCAGTCTGACATATGGGCCAAAGATAAGTAGTAGGTCTGGCTCGGCTTTCATCACTGGGCCATTCGACAGCTGGTCCCTTTCCACGGTGGTCTCATCGGTATCGCTGGACTCGGGTTCTGCACCTTCAGGGGGAGGAGAGGTGGGCGTGGTCAACATATCGGAGAGTTCTGCGTCGATCAGCTTCGTGCTGATGTCCTGGGGTGAGATCTTGCCGTTCTGCGCCATTTCTGCGAGGGTCTTGGTGAGGTCGACGAGTGTTTCGCGGCCGTCGGTAGAGGAGAGGAGGAGAACGGTTACAGTGTCTGGATTGGTCTTAGGAGCAGAGTGAGTGGACGCTGGAGGGGGGATGTAGAGCGGATGATGGGGTGCGAAGAGACGGAGGGTTGGCTGCTGGGGAGCAGGACCGTAGTAGGAGGCCAGTTTGGCAGTGACAATCTTATGGAGGGCGGGGATGTAAGACTTTAATACGCCTGTAGTCCACTGGTCAGTGAAGCATTTTCAATCCATATATAGTGACCGAGGGCATACCGGTCTTCTCATAGACACTCAGCGTCGGGATACCAACGCAGCTGCTCCAGGCGACCAACTCGGCAACCTCGTCCATCAATACCTCCAGTCCTTCGTCATCCTTTCTCATGGTCAACACTATACTCAGATGTTCCGGCAACTTTCCCAGATCCCTAACATCCTTTCGAATCAACTCCGGCGTGCGATGGTGGTAGTAGCAAATCGCCAGCACCCGGTCCACCACAGCATGGTAGCTCTGTCGCAGACGGATATAGATACTGAAAAATATGTGTATAAGGAAATATATGAGGAAGTAGAGCTTGTTTTTGAGGAATGTGCGGATCGGTTTGGGTCTGGCCTTGCGGGATCGGCTGCGTGCTGAGCTGATTCGCGGCTCTGGAAGGTATGGCTTTAGGAGCCGCTCACGCTCGGTCGGGGAGAGACGGGAAGAATGAACACGAGGATCGGGCCGTGGAGGCCCAGGTTCTTTGAAAATTGCCATCGAAACAGTAAATTAGGAAGAGGAAGCCGGGATCTCAAGGGCAACGAGGCATGAAAAATACAGCCTTTTACCAATGTCGCTAAACTCATGTGAAAACGCCCGAGGATCGTATGTGAGTATCCCGTAGTTCAAGGCCGTTACGAAGCATCCAAGACAGCACCGGTTGTGGCTCAGGTGCCGGCTTGCGAAATGGCCATGTTTGGGTTACGTGGTTTGGTCGGGATGATTTTTCTTTGCTGGAATGTTTGCAACTGCGTCATCACAGACCATCAGCAGCCCCTTTTAAGTAGTTAAACGGAGCAAGAAAAGTTTAAGGATGAGAGGTCGTATCTGATGAGTTGGGAGATAGAGTAACAGAAATTTGACGGCCATTAGCACTGGCGATGCAATCTACAAAATATGTCCAGTGCTGGGCTACACACTGTGCTGAAGACAGCAAAACGCCTGGCGACAGTGCTGTGCCCTGCTGCTCGCCGTCAGCTCTCCAGGCTGAGCAAAAAGGAAATATTTTGTTGCGGACAGGCACCGTGCGTGGCAATAACTAAAACTCTCAAGCTAGCTGGCAGCTGGCAACGCGGGCAGCCCAAACACAAATGAAGCGCCAACATCAATTGGCCGTCGCATGACTGTTCGAAATGCCCATGTCAACATCGCGCATCTCGAGTCATGACAGCAGCAGACCGGAGACTAAAAATAGAAGAACATCGGATGCAAAGGTGATGTGCCTCTTCTTACCAGATTGCTTCACAGACCCCCTGATGTCGACATCCGCCATCGCCCGCTGTTATCATGCCGGACACTACCCTTAATTCCCAAACCGCCCGGCCGACAGCACGCAGATCCATCTTTGACAAAGGACCAACTTTCTCCCTCGAAACTTTCTCCAATCGCGATTTCATTGTAAAGGACTTTATCGAGTCGCTCTCCGACAGCGCCATCTCCTCCACCCAACGTCGCTCCGGCGCCATCGGAAACCAAGGCTTCGATCCTAAACCGCTGATTCGCACTTTCGAACACGCCCAACGTCGCCTCGTCGACCTATCTGGAGACCTCGAGCTCCGTGAGAATGAGCTCTCGGCGGCTGTCCGGAGAGCAGAAGCCCAACATTCTCAGAACGTGACCACTCTGGGCCGCAAGCTCAACCAGGCGATCGAGTCCTTCCAGAAACTGGACTCGTCGTTGAACGGACCCCGCGCCATTGGTAGTGAACTGTCCGGCAGTGGGAATGTTGCCGTCGAGACGGGTCGGAAGCTGGAAGAGCTTGACCGACAGAGACGGAGAGCTCTAGATGCGCATTTCCTCATTGAATGCTGGGACGAAGTTAGCAATCGCGGTGAAGTGACGCTCCTCGAAAACATGAGAAGAACGGGAGGCGGCGAGGGAATGGTCAGGTCCGCACATATCGCCCGGCAATTGCTGCGAATCAGCCAGAGGCTGGATCCTCTGAGCTGGAGTGAGACCAACGGGAACGTAGAGGTTCGGCCTAACGGCCAGAGGAAAACGAATACAAGAGAGCTGATAGAGAAATTCTCCGAGACGCTTGAAAAGGATCTCCTGAAACAGTTTGATGATTTCTACCGGAGAGCTAATTTTGACGGGATGAGAGAATGCGCAAAGGTCCTGCATGATTTCAATGGTGGTGCCAGCGTCATTGGCCTCTTCGTTAATCAGCACCAGTTCTTTATTGACCGGAGCCAGTTAATCACTGATGAAGCCGTCGGTGACCCTGAGACATGGGAGCGTCTGGCAGATCCTGACGCTGAACCTCCAGGCGTGGAGCCCAGTCTTCAGTCCCTGGTCGACGAGGTTAAAGTGGTAGTGCAAGAAGAATCGGGGATTATAAAACGAACATTTCCATTTTATGAACAGGTGCTTGGGACATTTGTACAGAGAGTGTTCCAGCAGTCTATACAGCAGCAGCTTGAATTGGTACTGGACAAGGCTAATAGTGTTTCCTCATTGGCGTTTTTGAGATCTCTACAGACAGCAAGGGCTTATATTAGCGGCTTAGTAGATGACTTGAAAGCTCATGGGTTAACCGAACACCCAGACACAATTTCCTCCCAGACATCAATGGTTCTAGACCAGCAGCTTGAAGACCTTTTTATCCCTTATCTTACAGGGTATAGTGAACGGGAAAAGGGGAACTTGGGAGAGCAGTACACCTCGCTCTTGTTCAAGTTTGCCACTTTCCATGCGCGCCGCAAGAAGACCCCAACTACCTTTATATCCTCCCTCGCTAAATCCGGCAGCGAACTGCTAGCTTCCGCTCGGGAGGCATACATGAACCGGCTTGATTCGTCTGACTTTACGCCGACTCAAAGAAAGATGTTGCTTCGTGTCGCTGGTCTGAAGGATGTCGATGACCAGAAGCAAGTTGAAATCGAGCTCACGGACGAAGATGGTCAGCTTAGTGTTGAATTCACCAAGCGCATGCTCCGATGGCTTGCAGAAGGTGTTGGTCGAGGACTAGAATTGAACGTGGGCAGTGAAACTCCGAAGGATGTTTCGGCTTTGCTGAATATGCTGCTATCCGTGATGGCTGAGGGCTACGTTGATATGGCATTGGATGCGTCCCTGGAATCTGCCGCCGCTCAAGAGTCCGCAAAGTCGGAGCCAGAGTTTGGTTATTTGACCACGTTGCGCACGGCAGTTAGCATTGCCCATTTGATAATTACTTGCATAAATACGGTGTTAATGCCGCTGGCCTCTTCGAATATTACGATCCGGAGAGATATGGAGAAGAAAACCAATTTTGCGACAAATCGAATCGAGGAAAAGATCAACGCAATCGAACAGAAAACTGTAGACGTTGCGCTCGCCTGGGTTACACGTGTGCTTTCGGGACAAAAGAGGAATGATTTCCGGCCGAAAGAAGGCGTGACGGAAGCCGGCGCGGGATGGCTGGAGATGCTTCAAACTCCGGTACGTCGGCACTAGTCGAGATATCCGCGTTCATTACAGATATATGCGAATGAGTATGATACTGACCATATGTTTTAGACCTGTGCCTCTATATCTGGCTTCCTCACCCGACTTCACAGCGTTGCTCTTAACTCTCTCCCCAGCAGCGGTTCTAACGTCAAAACTTTCCTTACAGAAATCGCGTTAGGAACTCGTGCGCTCCTACTAGAGCATTTCAAAAAATTCCCTGTTAACGGCCCAGGCGGTCTCATGGTCACTAAGGACATGACCCGCTATACAGAGCTACTTCGATCCTGGGACATCGACGAAGGAGTCAAGGGTATTGGCGGCGCTCTTGATGTGTTGCTAGAAGTGGGCAGTCTGTTCGTTGTTGGGCCCGAAGCTTTGAGAGAAAGAATTCGTGCCGGAACCACCGGTGGCTCTGGCGGAGGGGGTGGTGGCGGCACGAATACCTCTCAGGGCAAGTCAAACGTCGCTTTGAGCGTCCAGGAAGTTCGTGCCTATGTCCTGCGCCGCGAAGACTCGGGGACTGTTGGCATGCAAAGTGTTCTCAACTCCCTATGACAAGTGAAGCTTGCTTCTGTTGATGGCTAACTTTTTATGAGCCAGGAGATGGACATTTTCGCTCGTGGCACACATTCAATCATTCCTCTTTATTCGATTGCTGTTTCACATATGTTTATAGTGTTGCACATAATGGTAATTTTTTACTGCAAGCATCTGTGGTTTCCCAATTTATGCTGTTGATACTTGATAGTTTCCGCTAAAACTATGAGACACAGGCGCGATGTTTGTACACTACTGGATGAAGACACCGCAATGATGGATTTTTCTTTTTAATACTCACCTATTCTTGTTCCTTTCCAGGTGTGCTCCTTGCTCCATGATATCTGGATTTAGATTTGGCAGGCCTAAAGGTTATGACTGTAGCCTTTGGGCTAAGGGTTTCCTTTTGTTTGGGTCGCCTGGTCTCCATGGCCCAAGCTCTGCCACAATTGGGCTTCGTGATAGGTTGCCTCATGCTACAGGATAGTTCTGTGGGGTGTGTGTGTGTGTGTGTCCAAGTCACAATTATCATGTCTATCTTCCTAGAGGATATTAATCTAGGGAGGGTCTGATAGAGGGTGTTCCACACTCCTATATGATACTCGGATGCTCAACAATAGCTTTCCTGGGCATGATAAGGTTGGAGATGGGTCCTTTCTATCAATGAGGATATTTGATATGATGTACGAAGACATGCAGCCGACCTTCCTCAGGGCAACTACCACATAATGCTCAGCACCTGTTTATTCAAACTAGTACAGAGTACGGAGTACCTAGCATGTAGTGTGCATACAAGCTGGCAGTTTAAACTGTATTACATATCTTTTAACTAAACATCTCGGTAATGGGGGAAGTACGCGGTATCATAAGAACTCAGGTTTTGGAGATTTGTGGCGGACTTTCATGGTTGTGGAGTACAAAGAAATTTATTACTCCAAGCTCTTTTGCATTTGTGTGATTCATCTTCAACAGGACCAATTTCAATAACTACTATCAAATGCTTGTTGTTGTGCCTCATGCCTGACCCATGGTTCAAATTGGATGCCCTCTGGCACAGCATTATCCACTGAAGTGTCAGAAGAGAAAGCATCTATGTCGGGTTGCAAACAACTGGAGCGGCGCGGCGTGGCGAAGATACGCGTTTGTGAGCCATCCAACCACTGGTTAAAGCCAGCTAAGCCATCTTTCTGGGCAATGTTGTTTGTTTCCTTTGTTATTTTTTTTGGCGCGTGGTTAGTGGCAACTGTACGCAGTAGATCCTCCAACTACACGTCCCGGAGGATGAAGGCCGACATTCATTCACAGTTATACACAACCCTTTGTGTCATCACTCCTTTTTCACCTGTTCCATCCACCTTCTGGTCATCATTCCTGGCAATCTTCAGTGTTACCATTCGCTAGCTATAGGCCCTGAGTATCCCGCAGGGGCTGCCCAGCAGGTTCTCCCTACATGGCGGGCCTCTCGAAACCCGCCAGTGTCCGCCATGTCACCCTCAGTCTCCTCCCTCCTGAAATACACCTTGAGATTGCCTCATGGCTAAGCACTCCCGACTTAAGCTCTCTTTCGCGAACAGCATCCTTTTTTCACGATATACTCACACCAAGGCTCTATCGTAGAGCTCTTGCATATAAGGTGCCAAAGACAGGTTCGTCCGTTTTGTACTGGGCTACCTGTTTTCGGCGAACGTCTGTAATCAAAATCCTGTTGGAGATTGGGTCGGATACCTTCGAAGAATACGATGTTAAGGAAGCTCTAGAAAGTGCCGCCGAGTGGGGTTATCTGGATGCCGTTGAAATTTTTCTGAACAGACCCTCCAAATTGTCGGCTTCTGAAAATGGACACTTTGCTTTTTATTTGGCCCTTACTGGCGGCCACATGCCAGTGGCCCGGTACTTGTGCAATGCCGGAGCCGACCTTAGAAAACTCTACTGTGAGGAACTGTACGTTCTTCACGAAGTCGCGAGAAATGCCGATATGGAAGCCCTTCGGTTTGTACTTGATATTGGAGTGGAAATTGGGGAAATCAATAATCTCAACCAGACTGCACTGCATATTGCCGCCGGAATAGGTCATTACCAAATGGTTCAATTTCTGCTTGAAAAAGGGGCAGATGTATCTGCAATAGACTCATTTGGTTTCACGACGCTATTCCATGCCGCATCCGTTGACCGCAGATTCAAAGCACCCCAACCCGACTCTCTTACGGAACGCGCAGCAATTATCAAGCTACTTGTTGCCTGTGGGGTCAATATGTCTGCTTCCGACGCTAATGACCTGACCGTGCTGCATTATGTCTGTAAATTTGGTTGGACCGACGTGACACGAATATTAATTAAAGCTGGAGCTGATGTCAGCCTTCGATCGGGCGCATCCAGAGTAACGCCACTCCATTGTGCGGTCGAAGGCAACCAAGTTGATATCGTCACAGAGCTCTTGTCTGCTCATGCCAATCCAAACGTGGCCAATGATCTGGGTCGCATTCCCTTGCATTTGGCAGTCAAGTGGGACAATGTTGCGATAGCCGATTTACTTCTAAGTGTTTCAGACACTACGTATACGGATAAACACGGCTGGTCGACCCTCCACCATGCTGCGGTATCCGGAAATGTCAGGGTTATCGATGCCTTGTTAAAGAAAGGGGACGTGATATCACTGCCTAACGGGTCTGATGATGAGTTTACCTTGCATAAATTGGTTAGATCCCGTCATGTGGATCTAGTCGAGGCTTTTCTGGAGGCCGGAGCGGATATGACATTGGAGGAAGTGCAGAACTTGACAGCTTTCGATGTTGCCATCGAAACAGGTCAAGCCTCGGTGGTCGACTTATTTCTCTACTATGGTTATGACCCAAGCGATATTGATGGCCTTTCCCTACCGCTCCATCGTGCGGTTTCAAAGGGCGACGAGGCTATTGTATCCTTGCTTATTGATTCAGGGGCAGATGTCCACAGCGTCAACACGAGAGGAATGTCAGCTCTGCACCTCGCATGTATTGACGGGCATGAAGACATCGTGGACACGTTGATGGAGTGGGATGCTGATCCTGATCTTGAGGATGAAGACGGATGGTCCCCGCTTATGCATGCTCTACATAACGGCTATACAGACATTGCGGAGCTTATGATAGGTGAATTAGACGATTCGATATTGATCTCGCTAATGCAACAGGCGATTGAATTGGATAGCGGGGATAGGATCCTTCAATGCTTGATTGACCTTAATCCGGTCATAGTCTCAAACCGGGATAGTGATGGCGCAACCCTCCTCCATTTGGCGGCAGCCTGGGACAACGCACCCGCTATTCGTGCTCTTGTCGATGGGGGCGCAGACATTCTCGCTGTGGATAATAAGACGAGGACGCCTTTACACATAGCCGCACTAGATGCAAGGCCTTCGGCAGTCCAAGCTCTATTAGAGGCCCGGCACGACCCAGATATTAGAGATGGCAAGGGGAAAACCGCTTTGCACCATGCAGCAGCTGCAAAGTGCCTGCAGTCCGCTATGCTCCTTATCAACCATGGTGCGAATCCTGTCGCACTTGACACTACTGGACTCACACCGCTTCACCGTATTGTTTTAGCCCTGATTTTACACCCCCCAACAAGTAGTTTCGAAGATGATGATATCCCTGACTTTGTTTGCCGTTTAATGGATGGCTTTCACATAGTCAAGACCCTTATTCAGCATGGTGCCGATCCCCTTGACGTCGGTAACGTCGAATACTCTGCTGTGCAGGCTGCTGAAGTAGGAAGCAATATGGTTCTTGTCGACTTTATCATTCAGGCATATGAAAATGCACAATATTTTCAAATGATTGGAGACGGCGTACCAAAGGAAATGCTAGTTGCATGGAAATTGAACGAAGAGGAAGAGGAAGAGGAAGAGGAAGAGGAGGAAGAGGAACATTATGAAGACGACAGTTAAAGTCACCAACATTCGATCCTTTTTTTTTGGCTGACCAAAAGTCGAAATTTCTCCTAGTGGCATTTAAGCCGAGCTTGGCTGCTTTTTGGCTCCTTCATATTTCACTCTTTGGATTCTTCCTTTCCTCGTGTCACGAAAAGTCTTGATAATCGGGCACAATCTCCTTTTAGATTTAGTTTGCTTTTTCACTTGACGGCCAGATTTCTTCAGTTCCCTTTCTGATGGTTGTTGCAGATCCTTGTCTCAATCTGATTCCAAGTTGTTCCGTTCAAGAGAAAAGGTCCTTTTTTTTGATACTTTAATCTTCAGGATATCCCTCCTTATTCTAGTTCCGGCCAACTCCTCATTCAAGTTCTGGAGGACCAGACTTTTTTTTCATTTCTTGGTCAATCATACGTATTTTAATTCAGGCTCTCTCTTTATTTCTCTGCTAATTATTATGTGAAAATCATTTCGGTCTCCCTTCCCACATTGCAAACATTCTTCCACGAAACATTCCTCAACCCCCTAGGAACCGAAAGGCCTTCCACCGTCCAGCTAGCAATCGCCAGCTCAAACACCCACGCCAGGATTGTCTTTCCCCAGTGCGACTGCCTTCCCCACAAGGCCTCCTCCATCACTGTCCCCACGCCATTCAACAAAAAGAAAGCAGATATGCGCAGCAGGGCGTCCAGGGGCAACAACGGCGCCAAAGCGTATACGTGGAAAAAACCCATTAGTATGAAAGACGCGATTATTCCTATTCCACGCGCGAAGGCGACGGGCATGCCGTATCTTAGTGGAAGGATACGACGAAGTGGTCCATAAGCGAGCGAGTGGCAAGGACTGGCGAACGCACTGTGCCAGGTCTCACTCCAAAAGGAGCTAAGCGATGTTGCGGTGTACACTGGGCCGAAAAGGGGTGGGCTGGTGCGATACCGAAGTACGAGCTGCATAGATTCCCAGAGTATGTATATCGCCAGGAGGATCTGAACGGCGAGAATAGTAGGATTCGATTGCGGAAAGAGGGTTTGCAGGATGGTGAAGAGCAGGATGTGGAGGATCAGGTTTGTCGGTTCGGAGAAGTTGGGTTTGGAGAATTTGCTGAAATACGACCTGCCATGGTGATTGGAAGAGGCCCTTGTTCGTGATTTCGGTTCGATAATTTCTGACATAGATGGTGCTGGTGCTGTGCGCACATGGTTTGGAGTAAATGATTCATAGCGGAGTTCTGTGAGATAGAGGAGAGCAATTATTGCGTCGGACGGCCTAGTAGCATGGGTGTATTGCGGCGGAGCATGTCTGCGCACATAGAAGTCCATGGCTTTCATGATACCAATTGCCACTACATTGCTCGAGAATTAGTATAATGCCTAGCAATAGTCATCCGGCAATAAACAGAGAAGACCCTAGGATACACAACAATATCATACGCGGACTAAAGCACCAATGACTTGCGCTATGTCCCAAATTCATGCATAATTAGATTATCCTCACCGCAGAATAATTGCAGACTTCGGATGGTGCTGCATGGCACTACCGTGACAATGCTGCTCACCGCAAATGCAAACATAGCCATAACGCTCAGATTTTCGTATACTTTCACACGCCGCTTCACCAGGGCGTATAGGGCAAGGTAAAGGAGCACGGTAGGTAAAAGGAGAGAAATTGCACCCTGCCATATGCTGTGGGCCATTTCAGTCAAAGCTTCTCGAGCATCGGACGAGAGACTCGGCACTGGATACGTCCACTGCTCGAGGTGCATGGCTTTTAGTGCAGCAGCTGGCATCTGCTGAGTGTCCTCCTTAATACACATGTATTTCAATGCTGGTTGGCGCCCGCTACATTGAATATCGGGATATCAAAAACCGGGTTGTCTTTAACAGTATCTTTCTGCTGATTGACCGTGCACAAAGAGCCAAGTCGCAATTTCCTGGCGTTACGGCGTCTGCGTAAGTGTTGCCGCCGCTCAGAACAATCGCATCGTCATCGTCTGTCGCAGGAACGATGGGCTACCGTCGAATTTGCCAACATGCTCGTCGAATTCACAGTGCAAGTGCAGTGATAACAAGCTGGCCGAGTAGTTCGTCGGTATGTAACTGATGCACGGGAATCCCGAAGATACCACAGAGGAGAAGTTCAAACGCCGAAATTCTTTTTGTTCGTTTTGCCGCGAATCGTGCCAGGTTGGCAGGATAATAACTGAGATATATAATAATGTGACTCTTCAAGAGGGAGAAACTGCGCTCTTAGCTCTTCCGAATTTAAGCCTTAGATCGTCGCTTTCAACCAGGACTTGATCAAGTTGGAGCCAGTTGACTACACGCGGTTCGGCAAATCAAGGCCGACTGGTCCATCCGCCATGTTGTGGGCCCATATGGGGAAAAGCTTTTCTGGTCTGATGCGAACCGGAGGGTCCCGTGGCCTTCAGTCACTCTTCCATGTTTTGCCTGGGCAGAGGAGCGTGCTGGGGGCGTGGGGAAGTTCTGGGGATGGATCACATCACACGGTGCAGATCATGTCCTGCAGAGTCGGCGGGGAAATGGCACGCACGTTGCGAACGCTGTTTGGTCGGCCCTTTGAGGATCCAGCAAATAGGAACTAATGGATGTCACGATCCAGCATGAACGGAGGACAAGCGACGAATTATTTTAGAAGAATCAAACGGCATGATATGAGCGCAATGGTGCTTTAAAATGGGGTCTTGGGCCCAGTTAGCCTGGTTCTGCAGGGATAGCCGAAGCCTGGATTCAGGGTCCAGGTTGCATCATGCCGAGGAGAAATATGAGTGACATGAAGAAATTGGCTAGCTTGCTGGCTCGAAGCGGATATGCTTCATGTGAGACTGCGATGTCACCTTCGGACGGGCTCACGCTCACACAGAAAATTGCAACCGCAGTTCTCATTTAACTCCTCCGTCGTTACGTCTGTGGATCGTAAAGTTAAAATAGTCAATAAAGATTCAAAAAGTCGCGCAAAGCGGCGAACTTTATAAATGACGACTTTATTAACTACACGAAGAGCGGAAGCGCGGCATTGGCAGAATTGTCGTCCACCACATCGTAGTGTCAGGGGATGCGTGCCACCAGCAGGGTCAGGGAATATAGCGGATACTTATTTCTCTGAAGAAACCGGAAGCTTGCCGCGGAGAAGGGTGATTTGAGTTGTCTTCCAGCTTATTAGTTACCTGATATGCTGGGCTCGCAGGTATGGAGTTACATGATACATCATAACAAGACCACAATTATGCTCGACAGAGATCTTGATAGAATATAAGTGGACCTCGGGACACGTCTGGCTGTCTTAAAGACGTCTTGTACCCCATATGTGTCCGTAGTTATGACCAGGTCTAGCAAAAGTCCTCGTCATGGCATCATTCAGAAAGGTCTATTTTCTACTTCAACTTATTTTTGTGTAACCAGTACAAGGATCGAGTCGCTATTCGACAGGAATATTAAAATATCAAGCTCAACCTCCAGAATCAAGGGTAGTGGTACGCTGTACAATGGCAATCGACCTTTGTTCTCTATCAAGGTGTAACAGCTCTGGCGACTACCGATCAAATAGACGTGCTCTTTAATTTCTCGCCGAGTTCATCCACAGCTTTGTCGACATCTTGAGCGACCTTCTCGTTCTCAGCCTGCTCAGCCTCCTCCACGACCTTCTCCGCTTTCTTCTCTACCTCTTCTGCCTCGCTCTCCTCCTCCTCCTCCTCCTCTTCTTCCTCTTCACTCTCTTCTTCTAACTCATCTAGTTCATCCAAGCCCCACGCATCCTCCTCGTCGTCTTCTTTGCCTCTCGCTTCTTTCCGCTCGTCAAGAAGCTCTCTCAATTCCACGATGCTCTCGTCATCCTCGTCAAATTTGTTTCCATTCAGCTCGATGCGTCTCAGAAGGGGGAGCGCATTTTTCGCAGCATGGACTAATATTTGCAATCCAGCGGCATTGATATCATTATACATCAATCTGAGAATCTCAAGCTTCTTGTTATTTCCCTTTGCGATCGCTTTTCCGACTTTAATCCAACCTCGGCCCTTGAGATAGCAATCTCCTAAAGAGAGCTCGCGAATCGATGGCCAGCCGGTCACTGTATCTGCGAGTATTATGGCGCCGGAGACTGTAAAAGTATTATCCTGAAGATCGAGTAACTCTAGCTCGGGCGCATGTCGCAGACCATGGTCCAAGAGAAGCTTGATTCCATCCTGGCGGATACCATTCTGGACCATCTTGACAACTCTGAGGCCCTTGCCGTGAGCCTTTATCGCACGAGCCCACGCAGCCATACTTCCACTTTCAAGTCTGTTGCGACCACACACGATCGTCTCCAGCAAGGGTACTTCGTATCCAAGGTCCGGATTCGATCGCGCCTTGATCTTTCTCGCGCATAATTCCGTCAGCGCATCGGCAATAAGGGTACCTGCCTTTGGGCCCAAGCCGTTATTGTTCAAAAGCAAGTGACGTAAAGGAACGTGTGCCTGTAAGAACTCGACGAGGGGGGCCTGCGTGTTTAGCCCGAAGGCGTTATCGCTTAAATCAACTGTCTGCAGAGTATGGACATCTAGCAACGCGTTTAATAGAAAGGAGAGGGCTTGTGGGATCTCGGCGAGGAGGCGTGAGGTGAAGATATCGGCGAGGTTTGCGGTGTGGAGTTTCTTTTGCGTTCGGAGAGCTTTACCCAGAAGCTCGCAGGCGGGAACTCCAAAGGTGTTTCCTCCGAGGTAAATTTCCGTAACGATATTGTCGCTTTCAAGGAGAGGCTTGATGTGAGGTTCCAAGTCGGTGGCAGAGTCAAATCTCAACCCTTTATCTTGGATTGAGAAGACGGTGGACGGAGGGGCCATGGCGGGGTAGTTAAAAGTCTTATGGCAGGGCAAGAAGTGATGGAAGGTTGTAAATAAGAAACTATGTTTTTATGGCTATAAGAGATGAGAATAGCAGATAGTTTCCTTGTTTTAAAAGAGAAAGGGGGAAAAAAAAATGTCAAGTGCTGTTCAAGGGATTCAAAATAAGGATTGTGATATATTTTGGATTTGCGGGACATCAAGTGATCACCACCAAACAATTTTCACCACAGACGATTCTAGATTCCCGCGCTAAGTTTGTTCAACTCGGGAGTGCTCCTCCGAAATTTTGCATCATATCCCCCATTCATTAAGGAAATATGTATGCATAGAATACACTGACCGGAAACGCCTAGCGAGAACTATTTTTCATGCAGAGTCGCTTCAATACCCTGCGGATCAGCTCGTCGGCCTTTTCTCCTTGGAAAGGCTGAAGAGAACGGAAATATAATGATCCATCCCGTCAGTCAATTCTTGGCGTCACTAGCCAAATGTAGTTTAGCGGTTAGCAATTTGGAAATCTCGAGATTGAATGTCGAGATATGTACTCCGTAGCCAAAACCAATCCCGAGGGGATGGTGTTAAACCAGAAGGGATCCTCTTCGTTTTGGGATGAAAAATGGACAGCCTCATTGACGAGATCTTGTTTGTCAAAATTAGGAAAGAGGCCGTGTACGGAGCAGAGCTGACGACGATGAGTTGGTTGGCTGGGTCGATTCGAAACGGAATGCCGGGCTCGAGAATCGGGGCCAGCTGGGTTTTGTTTCGCGGCCGATACTAAGCAATGCCATATGTTTGCATGAACTGCCCTTTACAAATGTTCGACAATTGAAGAAAATAAACATTTGTCCTCCGTAACGCCACAAGTTTGTTTTACGTTCAGGCTTGAACTAACTGTCGGCCCGGGTTTAGTTATCGGGAAACCATGGAATCCGCTTACTCAGCTCAGCTGTTGAAATTTGAACGGATTTATTTCGATTCATCACGATATATATAACCTCACTTCTCCTAAGATCTCTTTTCCGCATCAATCAATCTTGTGTCGAGGCGGGAAGCTCCCAAGTCGTTCTTTTATTTCAAAAATGTCGTCCGCTGCTGTGTCCCCCATCTCATCCTGTATGTCCCCCAACCGCCGCCACCGCCGCAAGAATGCGCAACATTGAACTAACCACCTTTGCAGCCCAGGTCACCTCTCAAACGGCCAATTCTTCCATAAAGCCATCCTACTCCGAAACAGAAAAGCCAAAGGTATGGATACTTTAGGCATTCGTTCAGAAGCGGAAAAAAAAAATAATGCCCCATTCTCCTATCTATCAAGTTTGCGCTTCCTCTCTAACTATGATACATTATCTTCTTTTATTATAGCCCTGCTGCGTCTGCAAACCCGAAAAGACCGCTCGCGATGACTGCATGCTCTTCTCCAAGTCCGACAACCCTGCCGAATCGGAATGCAAATCCCTAATCGATCAATACCGAAGCTGCATGGCCGGCTACGGGTTCAAGGTGTAACGGGAAACAAAGTCTCGAGAGATCACGGTTACCGTTACGCGACTAACTTGAAATTCTGGGTATGGTTATCGGCTTGAGTGTGCTCAAATATTACAATGGCGTTCCGGAAGGGATGTATAAATACTGACGCTGGTTTCGCGAAACCGCCAGCTAAGGGCAGGATAAGGGTCGTTTGGGATTCAACTGTACATTATCTTTATAAGAGGTCTTCGCATTGTGTTTGAAGGGTGGAATAGACCATCTCTTTTCTTTATACCATATTTTGCCTCCCATAATAGTGCCTCTATGATATACACTTACATCTCCAATCTTAGAATAGACAATGGTTTTTGCCCTTGTAGTACAAGAAGCTCGAGAATTTGTACATAAGAAAAGGGGTATCACAGTGTCGGATGTCTCCGGAATAAATATAGGAAAGATACAAACAAGCTGTAGGGCTCAAATTGCTATTGCTTCTTCTTCGTGTTCGAAATCCGAGGATGTGTTGATTCGATGGCTTGGGCGGTGAATCGAGCTCCCTGGACCAACTTTACTGTACACCAAAGGTAGATTAATCCAAACCCAGACGTCCCTATCAGGGCATTGAGGACAACCCAGAGGTCCGGCTTCGTCGGCGGAGGAGGAACGAATGCGTCAAAGACATGCCAAACAATCATCGATAAATAGCACCCGAGGTGTAACAGTTTGGTGAAAATGTGCAGGTCCCGAGACCCTTCACGGTTTCTATACAGATCAAACGATGTTGGTGGGAGTCCAAGAAGATATGCCCAGAGCAATGTGACAACAAAGTACGGCACACGAAGCTCTTCCCGCTTTAGCAAGGGAAATAATGTCCATGCTCCAAGAGTGTTGCTAAAACCAACCCAGGCTCTTGATTCTTTGCTCAGTCCACCATCACCGCAAAGGAGTAACGTCATCGGCAGCAAAGGCAGGAGCACACTTTTTTCATGTACCTGAAATGAACAGAGGAAGAAACCCCACGCACTGTTTGCCAGAGCAAACAAAAGAAGTTCCGGCCGCGGATACCGTCCGATAGTAATGCAAGGGATAAAAATGCTAAGAACTGTCGCAGCTAGAGAGGCCTTTTGGAGGGTAGAAGAGGAGAAGCGGGAGAGCTTGTAGAACGTGTGGATGGCACACCACATATTTGCAACTTTGTCTTCGAACAAGCCACGAGCAAAGGGGAATATCCGGTGGATAGATTGACAAAGCAGAAGCAAAGGTGCATAGAGCCAAGATGAGTCGTTTAGCGATATCGGCAAGCTTTGAAAGAGGGGTGGTTGAGAATTTGGCATAGGGATACCGCGATAATTGTCATAAACAGCCCCAGCAATCAAAGGCGCGAATACCAGGGCGAATGCGGTTATTGTAATCAGGCTGATGCCAAGTAATCTTCCTAGCCTGAGCTTTGGAGTAAAACAGGAGCCCAGCATATAAGAGAAGATCACTGGTGCGAAATACAGTGCCATCTGCTTGAAACCAAGGGCACCAACAAAGAATACACAAGCCCATAGTCGTCTCTTCGCTATTATGCTTTCCGATGCGGCAACCACCAGCCCAAGCATAACAGTGTTATACTGAAAATGACCATGATCGATCAGTATAGTCGCGGGCTGCATGAGGATAGCGACGAGGGCGACTGAAGCCGCCCAGATGTTGACCCTTTGCTCACGGGCATATCTCCTGAGAAATATCACGACGGCGGGGATGTAGACAAGGTACTCGGAGACAACAACGGTGGCGCGCATATAGACTTTGAGAAGTGGGCTCTCTATCCCACGAGAAACGTAAAGGGCGAACCAGGAGGGGTCAATTAGCGATCCTCTAGTCACTATCAGTTATTTGTACATCGAAAAGGTACTGAGATATATGTAGCGTCATACACTTTTCCGAGCAACCAGCTGTGGTACGCAGTCAACGGCGGGTAATCAAGGCCCCACCAATTTAAATCGTAGAAGTACCAGGAGGAAATAGGAAGGTGAACTGTCAGCTCCATCCAATGCCGTTGGGCCTCAAAATCACCATACATTGGCGGCATGCCATGTCCTAGAAAGAAAGGTTAGCTCTGAAAGGCTCCTTAACAGGCTCCAACGGCGAATCCGGGAGCCAGCCGAAGTTCTACCTGAGTATCCCCACAGTCCTACTGCCCACCGAAACAACCCGACGGCCATGAGAATTATAGGAAGAATTAGCCATTGCGAAACACCAGTACGTGCTGGCCAAAGAAATGATACCAGCGGAAAGGCTGGGGATTGTTCGCTCGTATTTGGACCGGTGATCAAGTCGATGTTGGTGCTCGAAGAGGCGCTGGCGAGCAGCCGTCGCTTTTTTCGCGGTCGGTGGGAGGACGGGGTTGACGGCCTTGGAGACGTCATTGCGAACATCAAGGGAGGCCGACACCGTCCATGGAAAGAGCCGCTTTTAAAATTTGAACCCGTGCAGCGCCAATTGACTCGGTTCTGCCTGGAACAATCCGACGATGTTCGCCGTGGGAACGAGCGAGTTCGAACAGCAGGATTCCAGGAACCGGCTGTGGGGACTCGAAACTGCTGGCAAGCTATGGAGCGCTATTCCTAATCAGGCTAGTCTCCGCGTTGGCGCAGGCGGTGAGCGTGAAATTTTCAGCTCCGCCAAAATCTCGCTTTTCTCTTCCGTTGCTGTCAATTCCTTTTTTTTCTTTTGCAACGCGTTCTTCTGCCCTTCACTACTCTGTGTCTCGAAGATTTATTTTCGATTCTCAGAGCTCTGACTTACCTTGGTTGATCAAACCTCGGAGTGTCAGTCAAAAAAAAAAAAAAAGGAAAAGGATCGCAAAGCGGACTTTTGCTGTGGACTTGTACGTATAGCTTTCTTTTCGTGGGCTTCCTGGGGGCTTACTGTGGGCTTTTGAACACTGTGGGCTGAGGGCTGTGGGCAATTGCGATTCTATCTGTGGGACTTGTCCGTGGGTTCTATACATAGACGGCGCTACCATCAAGTGCCTGTCTGTCAACTGTGGGCTTGAGACTTGAAAGTGGGCTTCTGAGGGCTTTGAAACTGGGGTCTAACGGCTGTGTGCGTGACAGATAAAAGTCAAGCACACTTGCAAATCGGGTGATATTATTCATTCAGCCGCACTTGAATCCAATTCAAGCAAGCAAATTTGCACTCTTGTTTCTCCTCTGGTGATTACTCGTTGTAAGTCCAACATATGTGCTCTTGTATCCGCATCAATGTTGCGCTTTCATACTGACTCAAGTGTCTCGTTCAGCAACATGAAAGCACCGAAATCCAAGACTAAGGCTCCCAAGGCCGACGACAAAGTTCTTAGCAAGGTCAAGAATGGAGGCGTGACGAAGCCATCTACTACACCTAAAGCCAAGAGCAAAGAAATCGCCAAGAAAGTTGCTTCCAAAGCCGAAAAGAAGCTAGAGAAGAAAAAGAAGGCTCCTACACCGTCGGAATCTTCAGAATCCGATAGCGACGAGGAAATGAAGAGCGTTAGCTCCAGCAGCGAGAGCGAGAGTGAGAGCGAGAGCGAAGTGAACGTGCCAAAGGCTGCTGCTGACTCCGAATCTGAATCGGCATCTGGATCCGAATCCGAGTCTGAATCCTCGGAAAGTTCGTCGGAGGAGGATGAGAAGCCTATCCAGAAAAGCGGAATGGCAAAGGTCGCAGAAAGCGAAAGCGAAAGCGAGAGTGAAAGTGAAAGCGAAGAAGAATCGGAGTCTGAAGAAGAACAGAAGGTTGCCAAGAAAAATGTAAAAGCAAGCCCAAGTGAATCGGAGTCGGATTCTGCCTCTCAGTCCGAATCTGAATCCGAATCCGAGTCTGAGGAAGCTCCAGCTAAAGCCAAGAAAGCTACTAAGGAGGTTTGTGTGCTCAATACTTCGTAATGATTATAGCCCCGTTTAACATTTTATAGGAATCCGCCTCGGAAGAATCTGAAGAAGAGTCTGAGGAAGAAAGTGGCAGCGAGGAAGAGTCATCCGAAGAGTCCTCCAGCGAGGAAGCAGAGGAGCCAGCCAAGACTCAAAAACGCAAAGCTGAATCCGACGAGACCCCAGTAGCGAAGAAGGTTAAGAAGGAGACCGCCGATGAAGCCTCTGCCGAGAGCTCCAACCTCTTTGTCGGCAACCTGTCATGGAATGTCGACGAGGAATGGCTGCGTTCCGAATTTGAAAGTTTTGGCGAGCTTTCCGGTGTCCGCATCGTCACCGACCGTGATTCTGGGCGTTCCAGAGGGTAAGAAACAACCCTGCCGAGAGTACTCGATTCCCATGCTAATCGTCTGGCAGATTTGGTTATGTTGAGTTCACCAATGCTGAAGATGCATCCAAAGCCTTTAAGGCCAAGAAAGACGCGGAAATCGATGGACGCACGATCAACCTCGATTTCGCCAACGCTCGTCAGAATGCTGGCGGAGCCAGGGACCGTGCCCAGTCGCGCGCTAAGAGCTTTGGTGATCAGACCAGCCCGGAGAGTGATACGCTGTTCATTGGTAACATCTCATTCAACGCTGACGAGAACGCTGTCCAAGAGACATTCTCGTCTCATGGCTCCATCCTCGGGATCCGTTTGCCAACCGACCCCGAGTCTGGTCGTCCAAAGGGATTCGGATATGTTCAGTTCTCCTCAGTGGATGAGGCCCGTTCTGCCTTCAACGCCCTGCAGGGCACCGAGCTCGCTGGCCGTGCCATGCGCTTGGACTTTAGCACCCCACGACAGAACTCTGGTGGCAGCTTCGGTGGCCGCGGCGGCCGTGGAGGCCGTGGCGGTGGCAGGGGCGGTGCCCGGGGTGGTGGACGTGGTGGACGCGGTGGTTTTGCAAGCCGGGGAGGGTTTGGAGATTTCTCAGGGAAGAAAACTACCTTCTAGGCCACTCTGTTCGACCAAAGGGTGAAATGGTGAATCCCATACTACTTTTCAGGTAATGTATCAGTATGCTTGTTGTTTCGTTGGGCTACTAAAAAGTGTTCGGTTTTCTTCTCTTTGTCTAATTTACAATATGCTCGTGTTGCTACTCCGGAAATATTAATAGGACAGTATGTTTGTATGTACAATCAAAAGAAGGGGAGGGGCCCATCAAGACGTATTTCTCCATGCACACGCCCGATGCGATCGTCCATCATCCACTCGCTGCTGGCCGTTTCCGTCTGCAGCTGCAGGTGACTTCTTGGAAGCCCTAATGCAGTGCCCTAAGCTACGCCCAAATGTAGACTAGCGTGGCGAAAGCGGGGTAATTGATGCATCATGTGGCCGGCTCTCGACCAATCGATCCGTCGGCCGCTTGAACCACGCACCACATCCACGCTATCTCCACGCGCTATCCCAACCGCCGATCCCTCACACGTCCAGACACGTCCAGACCGGGGAGGGTGGAGCTCATCCCCGGAGTATTTCCACGGCGCATAAACACCCTATCGCATCCGCGCATCATATGTCTTCCGTGGTGACAAGACAGCCCGGCGCTCGACGAAGCGACAGGTTCTTGACGACCCGCATGGCTCCCCTCCTCTCAGTGCTGTCCTTTTCTTCGTCCTCTATCCCTCAGGATTCACGGCCGTCTCAATGCTTGACGGCGTCGACCTTGATCCTGGCTTGATCTCATTGCTTTACCAGCTTCCTATACTCCTCCATGCACAGCCGCCTCCAATCCCGTGAGCTCGTCACCTGATATCAGCATCATCAACACCCCCGTACCGTTTTCGACCATCAATCATCCTGCTTTGCCAGAGAACAGCAGCAGATTGATTTTGGACCGTGATCGGTTTGAAAGCTGTGGTCATCGCTCCCTTGGTTTAAGCACGCAAGCCACTTCCATTCCGCATTACGTCACCTGCTACATACCTTTTGTGCCTTTCCAAGGGGTTGTGCTGACCTCCTTGTCCCCAAGCAGCGCTCTCCAGTGATGGAATGATTCTCCAGGAGGGCTAGAGAGACAGAAATTTTGGCGAAGGAGTTTTGGGTTTTCTATATTGTTAATTTGACTCCAGGGCTGCTGGTTTGCACCGTCTCCTGGGTTGAACCACCTTTCCCAACAGGTATATCAAAGCATTGAATCTCGGAGTTACCTCGATACAATGGGATCAATTCGTGGCGATGTGTTGGAGCGTGGGTCGCGAGTTGCGAGAGGTGGTGAAACTTCATCACAGGACTTCAGCACAAGACCAGAAGTGACATCTCCTGCCCAGCAAGCTAGGTCCGAGGGTGAGTAACTGCCTATCTCCTCCCCCCTATCAGCCCGCCGGCGATCGTTAAAATTGCTTGGACAACCTTCTCGGCCCCTTGCATACTGTTACACCCTCCGTTATTGAAACCTTGGCTTGCACATCGGCCCCCTACTGTCTCTCACTTTCGCCGTTTGTCCATTACAAAATGTACTCATTTGGCTATTATTTAGATTCTTGGATAGAGGTTGCATCCCAACCTTCCTCCTCATCCCTATCCTCAGCTACAGCAAACGATGAGATCGTTACAACCGGACTAAGGGTCCAGCAGCACCGCACTGGTCGTGGCGTCCGACATCCTATCGTTCCCCAAGACCTGGACATAACGTACTCCCATCGCCAGCCTATGGTAAATGAAAGCAGTCAGGAAGAATATGAAGAAACTGAAAGCGAATCGGATCGCGTTTTGAGCAGCTCAAACGAAGATATTTCTAGACCTCCACGCCCAGCACTCGCGTTCATTCCAGGAAATCCATCAACATCCGATGTTGCTCTCTCGAGTGATGAAGATGATAGCTCAACAGCACTCGGGTTGAATCCTCCCGCTTTTACTCCGCAACCTAATGTATTCTCACATCCTCCGACCTCCCAGACTAGTGCCCGACCTCATTCAAACTTTCCTACTTCGGGTTATGGACCCGGCCCGATGGACAATAGAGCGAGAAGCCGTCGAAACTCCCGAGCCGGCTTACATTCCGCGCGTCGGACACGAACTCATCAGCAACAACATTCTCCCTACAACATGTATTCTCCGTCGCACCATGTAGATCATGATGCAGCGCTCCGTGCAAGCCTGTCTACTCTTTTGTCATGTGCTGCAGCTGCCCGCGGCCTACCGAAGCGGGACAACCAATGTTCGGCCCCAGAAAGGTCCAATGCCACAAGGTCGTCAGACCCTCCGACATTCCGGTTGGTCCCCGAGTCTGTTGCTATGCGGGACGATGACTCCGATCAGAACGACACAACTCTAAAAGAACCACAATTCCGAACACCGCCGCCCCCACCTTCGAAACGATCCCGGTCCCCGCTGAAATCCACAAACAAAGCAAGGCGAAAATCAAGCCCGTCTAAGGATCATTCTGCTGCTCAACCGTTGCCAAAGAAGGCCCGCCGCACGGCCGTAACTGAGACTGGCTCTTTGCTGGGGCCTACCGTGATGACGTGGGTTATCAGTGCTGGCGTTGTTGTCCTATTCTCGGCAATTAGCTTTTCTGCAGGTTATGTCCTAGGCCGGGAGGTCGGAAGGACAGAGGCCGGCCAGGGACTTTATGCAAATGGCAACGGACTGTCAGGCGCAAGAACCGGCGCTGGGTGTGGAAAAGATGCCGTTAAGGGTGGTTTACGGCAATTTCGATGGGTTCGCGGCGGCTCTGGGTCAGGAATAGCGGCCTAGATGCACCTTCGGCTATTTTCGCCGATTCATATAACTTCTATCCTACAAACGCCTTTTTAAATCATGATGATGACGGGTTTGGTTTTATCGGAGTTAGTGGCCCCCCATTGGAGTGGGACATATTGTCCTTGTGATTCGGTCTCTTTTAGTTTGCTCATTACATTTTATTAATTCCCAGCGAATATCTTGGCCATCATAGTGCTCTTCTATTCATTCAATTGACTACCCCCTTTTTTCATGAATACATGTATCTAGCACCTCCCTACAAACTTAGGGACCTTGCATACGTAAACAACTAGTTTATGCATGGATGATGTTTCTCTTAAACGCTTCCGCTCCTACGTAACAGGCAACTGAATGGAAGCCGGACGTGCAAACTATGCGATTAACTTGATATGATGACATATGTGACTTTTCAAAGTGATTACTCCGTGTTGTACTCAGCACCCTTGGCCATTCTTAGGTTCGATGGCGCCTAGGGTCTGTTAGGATGCATTTAAACGGTAGTTCATCAAAGGTTCTTCAGTGACCCTAAGGGAAAAAAAAAGTGAGCAGTGGGGATTCCATCCTCCAGCATCGCAGCTCAATCAGTGTTAGCAATATATGAAGCACTCTGGAGCACAGAACGATGGGCGATCAATTGGTCAGTGAGTGCTTGCAGAAAAACATCATTCAACAGGGGAGAATACACCTGAGCTTATCCAATAGCGTTATGCAAACGATATTTTTGATAGGGTGTCTATGGCTCTATTTTCAAATATTTGTAGGCCTCGGGTCCACAAACAATGGTTTTTCCGATGGATGGCACAATTTGATTGGGAAACACAGGTGATAGAACGCGGATTTACCGACCATGTACGGAGTATGAGATATAAAGATGGATCGGTTTATCGTATTCTACTAATCAGCCCTGTATGCTCCAGTAACTCGTAAATGCAGAAAAGGCACCTCAAATATCAACGCATATTATACAGAAACGTAGCAATACACCCGTTGATAACGGGATGAATGGAGGATTTTCCTGCCCCCTTATCGTTGTTCCATTCGAGAATGCTGTAGCCCTTGGCGTCGTCTCCTGTCTCTTTGACGCCTCTCCCACAACGGAGGTATTCAGCTAGACCGGCACAGACAGAGGACGATGGTCGAGCAGTATATGTCTCGAATAACCGCTGAGAATACCATGCCTTAAGCTGCCCACAAACTCCATGCTAAGTACCGATAGCCGGCATCTTATAATCCCTTCAAAAAGTTTGACTCCTTGATCGACTTCCTTCTCGCTTCGCGCGAGCTTTTGGTGATTGCTCTTCTGGCCTCGATACCCGTGGAAGCCACCTCGAAGTTCTTCGCGGCATCAGGAGCCACAGCATCCGCCGCAATGATATCGATAGACTGTTCGTGGAGCGGGATCACTGGGGGTTTAGAGGCAGCAGCAGCGGCCATTTTCTTTTCGTGGCGTTTTCGTTGTTTCTTATTCATCGCTATAAAAAGCAACACAATTCGCGCGGTCAGAAAAACCAGGGAAATAACCGACAGCGAAAGAAGAAAGATACGCTAATGGCACCACTTACAAGAGACATCGACACTCCCAGAACCATCCTTAGCCGACTTCGCCTTCGGGTCATCTAGTAACTTCCACAGCCAATCTGGATATTCGCTGTCGTCCATCGCAAGGACCTCGGGCTTGTTTTTGAAATAGTTTAATCCGGCTAGGCGTGTTCCGGCAGGGACAGTACTCGTCACCTTTTGCGGTGCAGCCGCTCCTGTAGCGTCATTGGCACTCCCAGATGTTGAGACGGAGTCTTCAGCTGCTGTCGCTTGTGTGGGGTTGGTGGGAGTCGAGTAGGTTCGTTGTTGAGTCCTTGATATGATTCCGGAGCATCTGGAGGACGGAAGAGCGGACGACCTGCGATAGAACGGAAGGCGGGAGAGGAGATGCGTGCGACAACGGGAGCAAAGCATTGTGTAAGTATACTTCTTGTCTGCAATACGCGGAGCGGAGACGTGCGGTCAAGTGGGTGAATTGCAACGGTCACTCGTCGGTTGGCTGCTCGTTCAAGTTGCGCTGCGAATCAAAAAATTAGACTTTGGAGACCTCGATAACCACGTGATATCAACGTCGAGCGGGCCGCCTGCTTCACTAAATAATCCCTACTCGGTACCGGTTTGCGTTTGGGCTTTGATTCTTGCCAACAATGTGGCCCATCATCATTATCTACAAACAGTCAATACATAATAACTACAGAACATTGGTTGTCACAGAAGAGACCCGACTTCACTAGATTTGAAAATCGGAAAGGCGTGCAATCCACCAGGTCAGCACTTTGTGGCTCTTCAACTCTTCTTTGCCAACGGAATACTGGGGCGAAAGTCGGAAGTACGTGAAGATGTTGGTCCTTGAGGGCCAACAAGATTTGAGATCCAAGGAGGATAACTTGCGTCAACAAGTCAATCTGTTCGGTTTTATGATTCATAAACCTCGTTACGTGGTTGGATCCTCCAGACTGTTATCGCTATTGCAACTACACATTATATCTGGTGCAAGAATGACCCGCCTAATGCATTGTTGCGCTCAATGGCCTTGTTCCTTTTGGTGTGGCTGCTTGTCCGAGGTTTAGAACGGGACAAGACGCGCTTTATGACGGCGGAGTATTTATCGACTTCTGATGAGGAAGAGCTGAAAGATCCGTGATCCGATCACAGCTCGTGTCCTCTAATTCGATTGGTGGACCTTGGGGAATGGAACCCGGTAATTCCAATAGCACAGCGGCTTGATTCTCGTGCGGTGGGTTTACTAAACTGCTATACATAGGCGGAGCTAGCCCAGCCGGAGGAGATCCACTGCCATTTGTTTCGGAACTTGCAGCTAGAGCCATGGGCTCCGACAAAATCTGATTGTTATCATAGAGATCTTTGATCTCATTTTTGCTTTGGTAGCCTGTATAACTTATTAGCCAGGCAAAAACGTATCATGATCAAACCAGCAACCCAATATGTGTCGCCTTTTGCTCACCTTCTTCTCTACCAGATAAAGGTTGGTTATGGCTTAGTTGCTTTTCACTGCTAAATAAGCTAGCACGAGAGGCTAAAACACTCCCTCTAAACCAAGGGGGTTTAGAGGAACCTTCGGGAGGCGATCCCTCCTGCGCAACATTTCTTTTTCTTTGTCGCCTAGAGGCAAACCATACAAGTGCGAGTAACAAGATCACAGCAACACCTATCGGGACAACTATGGCGATTAGCCGTCCTATATTGAAGCGGCTTGGTCCGGCTTCAGGCGCTGGGGAACTAGTTCCTGGTACTGGCGAACTCGTTTCGGCCGCTATCTTAGCTGGGTCATGGCTAACTGTCTGGGTGGAAGTTCTAGTGGCGGTAGAATGGGTTGACGACGATGTAGGAAGCTGTATCTTGGAGGTGTAGCGTGTTGTTGTCGTACGTTTCGTTGTTGATGAGGACAAAGAGTCTGCAACATCAAAACCATTTTTAGTTCTGCACTCGATGAAGATCGCCTATGGCTAGGGGGAACGAATGCAACATACCAGTGGAAACATAGATGATAACTGTTTCGTCTAAAGGAGCATCGAGACAAATCCCAACGTCGCAAGGGTCGACACCACAACATCCTGCAAAGGGTCCCTTGGAACACCTATACCATGAATAACCCGCAGGGCAGTCATTTAACTGTCGGCGAAAATATACTGACATTTCCACCCACTACCAGCTGATCTCAAACGACCCAATGTCTGGAGTTTTAGTTTTATGTGGGAAGAGATATCAACGTTGGTCTGGGAGCTTAACAATTTCTCAGGTTCTCAGAACAAAGGATTTTTGATGCGGTGCTGCAACAGCAGGGCATGCGGCACATGAACTGGACCGCTCGGAAGCAAACTTTCAAAGAAAAGCTCACAGAATATGAACGCATGCAAGCTTCTGTAGAGTTATCAGTGACAACATAGGCAAGTCGCTCCATGACAATTCTCCCAAGCGGTTATGCTTATTATTATGTGGACTTTGAAATGCGGACACCCTTGTCACCGGCAATCCTTACATATGTATGTATAGTACCCGGCGGTACTACTATCTTACATTCTCCTTTTTCTAAGGTATACTGGTGAGATATCCTAGGAGAACGCCTCCAGACCGGCCAGCATCAAGGACCTTGTTCCTCTTCTTGATAATAGCGAGACGCCCAACCACATCACTCTCTAAGCGCCCGCATTCCAGGAGAAGATCCGCATTCTTTACCAAAAAAAGGGTTTAGCAGGCAGCTCGTCCCAGGCTCGCGGGTCGGAGAATCCAATCACAAGTGTCTTGAACCCTGATCCATGCAACTTGGCGCGCAAGTCATCATACGGAGGCCACACCGTCATTCCGGGCAATTTGGTCCTCAAAGACTGGCTCCGGTCAGGCCAATGGGAGATTTCCATGGCAACAAGCGACGCGACGTTGGAATCGGCTGGAAGACCAAGCCGAGTGGAAAGAAGATCGATGCAAATACAGTTTCGCGCTCTGTTAAATACATCTATATTAGCAATCTAGGGCGGTTTACAGGACATATGCAGGCCCCGGCCATTGCCTTGGTGAGGCCTATCTTTGGTTTCCAAAGTGCGGTCACTCTTTTCAAAAAATACCGGAGAAGCGTTGCACGACATTCTCAAGCTAATACAACTATACTAGTATGCTGTGCTCCTTATAAAAGACACATACATTGTTGGTATGGTGTAACGTGGGGTTTCGCCCTTCTCCTTAATCTCTCTTTTAGAAGTCTTTTCGAATATTGTTTTTGGATCTTGAATTTTTTGGATTATCCCGCTCTACTCCGTAGTCGTATTGGTCTTGGCCGGCGGCATTCCGTTTCCTATTTTAGTAATCCATGTTGCGGCGCATCGTTTAGCAGTGTAGCCACAGTTTGCTATTTCCTTTCCTTTACATCTTCTATCGTTTCTGTTTCTCAGTATTGGCCCCAAGCACTTCGCGGGATCTGATCTCCTAGCGCGGCTCTACGTTCACGTCCGCCCCTGCGCAATGATAAAGTTATGTCAAGGTCAATATGACACTCTGATTTAAGTAGCAAGCAAAGGAGGTTCGATTGCTACAAGGCCTCGCCCCTAGCTAGGATAGACCTCGTCTTATTCCCCTATGGAGGATAAATATAAATAATATCAAGTTATCTATATAATCTTTATTGACCTGTTGTGAGAAGATAGAGTGTGGATACTGCGTGGCCCAGGGTGATAGTCCAAAGAAATGGAAGAAGAGGAAAAGGGTAGGGCATAGCGGAGAAGGGCTAGGGTGAGAAAAAATGAAGAGCCGGAAGACCCCTAAAAACAGATGAGCTTCCAATTGTCTAAAGTAATGTGATGTGCCCTGAAAAAAGGATGGGATGTGAGCTGGCCAACGATATTAACCTGATCATTATGTATTTATTCTATTTTTTTATCTGTAGGATGACAGTGCCTCAATAGAACATCAAATCCTGCCCATCTGCCTCCCCCAAAAAAATGGTTAAGGCGACTTGTGCCTTGCTAGTGGCTCACGTGTTTGTCATTTTCTTTCCGCTTATCTCGACAGAGCGATGTCATCAATGCGTAGAATCAATTTCACAGTCTCAGCTGCGAGCTCAATAGCACTCGTGCTCACAAGCAATGGTTGCAAAACCCTCTCGTCGGCAATATTATCCTTCACTCCACCGCTGCGGATACTAACGCCCGCGTTCTTCTCGCCCATTGCATGCCGATGGCGCAAATCTGTCACCACCTTGATGCTATTCAGCCCAGCATTTTCGGCTAGAGTCACCGGAATAACCTCCATAGCTTCAGCAAAAGCCTTCCAACATATTGCCTCAGTACCCGACAACGCGCGAGCTTGCTTCGCCAACGAGTGGGCAATTTCTATTTCAGGTGCGCCACCACCAGCGATTAATGCTCGCTTTTTGACCAAACACCGAACAACGCAGAGGGCATCATGGAGAGAACGTTCAACTTCATCGAGGACGAGGTTGTTCGCGCCACGAGCGATCATAGAAACAGTCTGGCTTGCCATTGCAGAGCGAACACCAGTAATCTTCACGTATCGAGATCCAGACGAATTGACCTCTTCGACCAAGTCTGCCGTACCAAGTTTATCCTCAGTGAAAGACTCGACGTTGGCAATTGGTTTGCATCCAAGGCTCTTGCAAATGAATTCCACTTCATCACGCTCAATATCCTTAATCGCCAGAATCTTCACTCGAGACAGGAAGTTAAGCGAGAGGTCATTAACGGCGTCACGAAGGATCGATTTCTGAATCAGAAGAACGTTGCATTTGGTCTTGGCGATTTTCCGGACCATGTTGAGAAGATAAGTACGTTCTTCCTTGAGGATCTTGTCCATTTGTCTGTAGTCGTTGACCACAATTTGGTTCTCCATCTGGATATTCTGTTAGCTCTCAACCATCGAAGAGCTTTGGGCAATGCAGGGTCATTACGTCAGGCTTAGGTGGGCTCAGCTGGAATTGTATTAAAGCAATGCGCGCTTTCTCAATCCTTGTTGGACCACCTGCATTCTTTAGAACTGGCTGATTGAGAATCAGACCGTCCACCATCTCGCTATCCTCTATCGTACCGCCGACCTTCTTAACAATGCGGATGTTTCGAAGGTCAACATTATCAGAGGTTCTTGGATCTATTACTTTAAGAACGGAATCAACTGCCATTGGTCCAAGGAGGTTCGAGTATTGAGAAACGATTTTCGATGAAAGAGAGGTAGATGCTGCTTGTAGAAGAGTCGCCCGGTCCGAAAGGGAGATAGGCTGGGACATATCATGGAGTATCTGCACCGCAGCTGCTGCGGCTCTCTGGAAGGACTCAGAGATGACGGTCGGATGAATTCCTGGATAGATTTAGTAAACTCGGTTATTGATTCTAAGAGCAGTGAACTCGATAAATACCTTTCGAAAGTAATCGCTCAGCAGCTCCCAATAAACTTCCCGCAATAACAACAACGGATGTAGTCCCATCACCAGCTTCAACATCCTGAGCAGCACTCAAATCTACCAACATTTTAGCCGCCGGGTGCATCACACTCATATCCTTTAACATTGTGTTTCCATCGTTTGTCTGTGCCGTCGTCAGTTAGCTGACCTTGAAGTTGGGCCGAAACCTCAAAGTTCAGAAACAACGCACGATTATAGTCTCGCCTTTTCCAGTTTGGATCTGCATATCAGTCAGCTCATATTAATTATTACCCCGGGGGCACATGAAATTACCATTTTATCCATTCCTCGCGGCCCAAGTGACTTGAAGATATTAGCCCCGCTTCCCAGGAGTTGAGCAGAAGTCTATCATACCGTTCTTATAGCATCGGCGACAGCTTGGAAGATTATTTAGCTATACGGCCAAATCGTAAGATGCATAGAAGACATACCTCTAGCAGCCATAATATTGGCTGTGCGGACAGCCATTGGCTTCTCTTTATCCTGGTAGCTATCAGCATCTGAGAGGGTTCAGTCAAGCACGGTAAGCGGCGGCAGACCTTGAATGCATTGGTTGCAGCATTTCCCTGGCTTCCCAGAGCGGCCGCCATTTTGAGTATCGAGTGTTAAAGAAGGATAGAAAGCTGAGAGCAGGATACAGAGGGACGAGAGAATATCAAAAGCGGCGTTGATTGAATTTCAACTTATTGCTGGAATCTCTGAATTTCGATCGGAGATGCTTGGCGCGCCTGGCCACTAGCGTGCTGGAGCTCTGACGCTACCACCTCCAGCTTGTTGTTAACGAAGATCTTTGGCTCATCAAGACAGCTAACGGCCACGGTACTAAACGTCTATTTGAGCGACTTTTAATCTCCACCTGACGGACATTTATCCTGATCTTTAGTCCCTGCCGATATAACCTACTTACGCTCAAATCTCTGACATCCTTGTTCCTTCACATCCGACATCATGCCCAGCGCGACGGGCCAAAATTGGGAGAAGTATCGGAAGAACTTTGCAGACGATGAAGAGCCTGAAAAGAAGATAACGCCTCTTACCGATGAGTTCGTTGGTCCTGTCTTCTTTTGCATACTTTGTGCTTACATTGTCTAGGGATATCCAGGTCCTCAAGACGTACGGTGCGGCTCCATACGCAGCAGCTCTAAAGAAGCTCGAAAAGCAGATCAAAGACAAACAAGCAAGTGTAAATGAGAAGATCGGCGTAAAGGTATGCGTCTGCAAGCCCTTTGGCCTTGTTGAATATACTTATGTCAACCTAGGAATCCGATACTGGTCTTGCACCACCACACCTGTGGGATGTTGCAGCCGATAGGCAACGAATGCAGGAAGAGCAGCCTTTACAAGTTGCACGGTGTACGAAGATTATCGCCGATGAGAAGGATCCCGATAAGAGCAAATATGTGATTAACGTTAAACAAATCGCCAAATTCGTCGTGAACCTAGGGGAACGGGTTAGTCCAACAGATATCGAAGAGGGAATGCGTGTCGGGTACGTATTACGCCGCGTCACTATCCTCGAAGCCTCTTCTAAAACTGTGATTTTCTAGTGTTGACCGAAATAAATATCAAATCCTGTTGCCTCTTCCCCCCAAGATCGACCCTAGCGTTACTATGATGACAGTCGAAGACAAGCCGGATGTTACATATGGAGATATCGGAGGTTGCAAAGAACAAATAGAGAAACTCAGAGAAGTCGTTGAGATGCCACTACTATCCCCGGAACGGTTCGTCGGCTTGGGTATAGACCCACCGAAGGGTGCTTTGCTTTACGGCCCGCCAGGGACTGGCAAGACTCTATGCGCGCGAGCTGTTGCGAACAGAACAGACGCGACATTTATCCGCGTTATTGGCAGCGAGTTGGTTCAAAAATATGTTGGTGAGGGAGCTAGGATGGTTCGAGAGCTTTTTGAAATGGCGCGCACCAAGAAGGCCTGCATCATTTTCTTTGATGAGATCGACGCTATCGGTGGTGCGCGTTTCGATGACGGAGCAGGTGGAGACAACGAGGTTCAGAGAACCATGCTTGAACTGATCACGCAGCTGGATGGCTTTGACGCTCGAGGGAACATTAAAGTAATGTTTGCGACCAACAGACCGTCCACGCTGGACCCGGCTTTGATGAGACCCGGCCGTATCGATCGAAAGATCGAATTCTCTCTGCCAGATCTCGAAGGACGTGCCAACATCCTCCGCATCCATGCCAAGAGTATGTCGGTTGAGCGAGACATCAGATGGGAGCTTATTTCCAGACTCTGCCCGAATTCGACTGGCGCAGAACTAAGGAGTGTTGCGACGGAGGCTGGAATGTTCGCCATCAGAGCCCGCAGAAAGGTTGCCACGGAGAAAGACTTCCTGGCCGCAGTGGACAAGGTGATCAAGGGCAACCTCAAGTTCAACTCCACTGCCACGTACATGCAGTATAACTAGGCTACCGTCTATTAATGCTAGCTACCTTTTTTTTTTTTTTTTTTTTTAATTCTAAGAGGAACTTATGCTTTAAGCTAGATTGGGCGCGATTGGTTGGACCTGGAATTTATATGTACAATGAGACCACGTATGCTCCATTTTCAGTGCTCTTTTTTGGTCGATAATGCGATAGCCATATCACTTTTTCCCCATAGGCGCAAGCCCCCTCAACTTTTCCCACCTCCTCTGCCCGGCACGTAGCTCGATGCGACGAAAAAGGCCGATATTTGTTCCGGGAAAAAAGAAGTCACGTGCCTGTTACGGGCTATTCCGGAAAGCTGACCTAAGGACGGGCTGCGATTGGCTGGTCGGAGCAGACCCGGCCTCGGAAGAGCTAATCTGACTGCTTAGGTAATAAGTCTTTTCCGTTCGTGGAGCACTTCCATAGCAACTTGAAGCATTTGTCGACGACAGGTCGAACTGCGAAGAATTCCTGAAGTTTCGTCCCACGACCTGGGCAATTCCTGATTTCTTGCATTATTGTGTTTGTTTGAGTGCTGATTCCGGGTCACCATGAGCTTCAACGGCCTGCGGAGCCTTGCTCCCGCTACAAGAGTATTTCCACCCGCTTCCACCTGGCGCTCCACCGAAAGGACTGTTTCAGCTGACCCTCCTCCTACAGTTCTCCAGATCTTTGAGAGATCAAAGGCGACTTTTTTCATCTAGCAGACCTGCAGGTATGAGCAAGACCATCTACTTATCGTTGCGATACAATTGGTTGATAAGCGGCGTTTCCCAGCTCGAATCATTACCAGCCAACCCCTTCGTGCGAAAGAAGCCTCGCCATTTCTCACAAAAAAATACCCAGTGATCGTATGTCGCTCCCAGAAACGCTGCAATCTTTCGTTGTTGGGCCACATGCTAAGTGAGTTTGACCAATTTAGGATCATGAGTACGATGCCGTTGTCGTCGGTGCCGGAGGTGCCGGGTTGCGAGCAGCTTTCGGTTTGGCCGAAGCTGGATTCAATACTGCTTGTGTCACAAAACTCTTTCCCACAAGAAGTCACACAGTCGCTGCCCAGGGTGGTATCAACGCCGCCCTCGGAAAGTATGTCTCGTCCCCCCGAAGGTCAGGAAATTTCCAGAAAGGAGAGGCTAATCGGCCAATAGTATGCACGAGGATGACTGGAGATGGCATATGTACGATACCGTGAAAGGTTCCGATTGGCTCGGTGACCAGGATGCTATTCACTACATGACCAGAGAAGCTCCTCAGAGTGTTATCGAACTTGAGGGCTACGGCTGCCCTTTCTCTCGAACCGAGGATGGCAAGATCTACCAGCGAGCTTTCGGTGGCCAGTCGAAGGAATTTGGCAAGGGAGGCCAAGCGTACCGATGCTGTGCTGCCGCCGACAGAACTGGCCACGCTCTTCTCCACACCCTCTACGGCCAATCTCTCCGGTACAACGCTAGCTATTTCATTGAATACTTCGCCCTTGACCTCTTGATGGAGAACGGCGAGTGCAAAGGTATCCTCGCATATAACCAGGAGGATGGAACACTTCACCGCTTCAAGGCCCATCATACCGTCTTAGCCACTGGCGGTTATGGACGTGCCTACTTCAGCTGCACTTCCGCCCACACTTGCACTGGTGATGGTATGGCCATGGTTGCTCGTGCTGGATTGCCTAACCAAGATCTCGAGTTCGTGCAATTCCATCCAACTGGTATCTATGGTGCCGGTTGTCTCATCACCGAAGGAGCTCGTGGTGAGGGTGGCTATCTCCTCAACTCTAATGGTGAACGTTTCATGGAACGTTACGCATCCACTGCCAAGGACCTTGCCAGTCGAGATGTCGTTTCTCGTTCTATGACCCTTGAAATCCGTGAGGGACGTGGTGTTGGCCCTGAGAAAGATCACATCTACCTCCAACTTAGCCATCTTCCTCCCGAAATCTTGCACGAGCGCCTCCCTGGTATTTCAGAAACTGCTTCCATCTTCGCTGGCGTCGATGTCACCAAGCAACCAATCCCAGTCCTGCCAACCGTTCACTACAACATGGGTGGTATTCCTACTCGCTACACTGGTGAAGTGCTCACCATTGATGAGAAGGGCAATGACAAGGTCGTTCCTGGTCTCTATGCTTGTGGTGAAGCCGCCTGTGTCTCTGTCCATGGTGCTAACCGTCTTGGTGCCAACTCTCTCCTCGACCTTATCGTTTTCGGCCGTGCTGTTTCCCACACGATTCGCGACAATGCTACTCCAAACACTCCTCACAAGGAAATCAGTGCCGATGCCGGTGCTGAGTCTATCGAAGTGCTTGATAAGATCAGAACTGCTGATGGACCAAAGTCCACTTTCGACATCAGAAACGCTATGCAGAAGACTATGCAGACAGATGTTAGCGTTTTCCGTACTCAAGAGAGTTTGGACGAGGGTGTTCGCAAGATTAACGAAGTTGACCAAATGTTCGCGCAAGTTGGAACTAAGGATCGCAGCATGATCTGGAACTCCGACCTCGTGGAGACCCTTGAGTTGAGAAACTTATTGACTTGCGCGTAAGTACCGTTCCGGGCCCGTTATTATTCCGTCCACAAGGATAGTGTATACTGACAAAATCTGTAGTACTCAAACAGCCGTTGCTGCTGCTAACCGCAAAGAATCGCGTGGCGCCCACGCCCGCGAGGATTACCCCGACCGTGACGACGCCAACTGGATGAAGCATACCCTCACATTCCAGAAGGAACCCCATGGAAAGGTCGATCTGACTTACCGCGCTGTGACACAGACTACGCTGGACGAGAGCGAGTGCAAGCCTGTCCCACCATTCAAGCGCGTATACTAGAAAGTTCCGGGTTTGCCCCCATTTTCTCTTTCAAAAAGCCTCTGTTGAGCCGGAGTTCTGTCCGTTTCATAAGCTGAAAGGACATGTATACAAAGATGAAAATTTTCTTGATTCAACTGTATATAACCATGATGCATCTGTCTGACGGGAGTGTTATTGACTTTTCTGTTTGATATACTTTTGTTTTGCTACCTTTTTGGCGTAATACAACGACGCAGATTTCCTTGTTATTCAGAAGAGGCGCAGCTGAGGCTACGAATCAGGAGCAAGATCAAGTTCTTCGACCACTTGTCGGTGTAAACCGGTGCTGTAGAAAATAATACAGGTGAAGGCGGAGGCATAAGATTGCTCATTAAGCTCCGAACCAAGGGATCTTAACGCTCGAGACATTCGAGAAGGCCTCGTCAGTGGACGTGCGCTTTGACTGTAATGACGCTAATTACAAGGAGCTCAGAGCAACGGAGCGCAAGATGAGACGAATCATGTTGATATCCCGGAGTGCCCCGGAGCAAGAGCCGCTGGGGGAGAGAAGCTTTGTGCCAAGCCTCGTCGTGCAGTTGAGTAACGTTTAGCTCGCGACCCATTACAGCATCAATGGATCACATCCCCGGCTGGCTCGCTCCCACAGTTTAAGTCGCGACGATATCCGGTTGCCATGTGCCAAAAAGCCCCGAAAGCGAACTGAAACATTGCGGTTACTCTACTGAATCTACCTATGCAGCCTTTAGGTCTCGAAACACGCCATACACTCCACGACCGCAGAAGAATCCAAAGCACGTTCAGCGCGCCGATCGGCTGAACTTCAGTTTCCACATTCCTTTGCGATATGGGGGTCGAAAAGCGAATTAACGATGAGGAAATGCAGCCGCTTGCCGAGCGGGATGATAAGTCGAGAGACTCTATCGATTCGACGTCCACTGCCTCCATATCCCTTGCGCTCCTCGGTGGAGCTAACGGTTCGGCGCACGGTAGCCGAGCTGCTCGTACTCGAAAGTCCGAAAACCAGGAGAAATACCATGATGATGAAGAGGAGGGTGATTTGGAGGAAGGATTTGTTCCCCCCGCAGGCGGATGGTCGGCTCCAAGGAAAGTGAGCGTGATATTCACACTCATCGTTACGCTGTGCATTGCCGGGTGGTTGGTGGCCTTTTTTGTCCTGCTGGGACGTCACAAGGATTCTAGCAAAGACGCCGCTGTGTCGCAGGGAGAGAGCAATATTATACCAGGCATTTACTCCGGAGGAAGAGGAGGAAAGAAACTCGACCTGGACGGAGTCTTATTTGGCAATTGGAGCCCAAAAAGCCATGACATATCGTGGTTTCCAGGTCCTAATGGAGCAGATGGCTTGCTTCTTGAGCAGGGTGGTGACAGAAACAAGGCATATCTGCGTGTGGAGGACATCAGGAGCCGCAATCCTGGAAATAAGGCAGATGATACAATCGTTCTAATGCGAGAGTCATCATTCATGGTTGGGAAGAGACTCGTCCGTCCAAGCAAAGTCTGGCCGAGTCCAGACTTGAAAACTGTCCTTGTCATGTCGGATCAACGAAAAAATTGGCGGCATTCGTATACCGGAAATTACTGGATATTCGATGTTGAAACGCAAACCGGAGAACCTCTCGACCCCGAATCCCTTGACGGAGGGATACAACTAGCATCCTGGTCACCCAATTCCGATGCTATAGTTTTCACAAGAAAAAATAATATGTTTATACGAAGATTACCGTCCAAAAACGTGAAGCAGATCACGACGGACGGGGGCACGAACTTGTTCTACGGTATTCCTGACTGGGTATACGAAGAAGAGGTATTCTCTGACAGCAGTGCTACATGGTGGGATGGTGACGGGAAATTCGTTGCATTTCTACGAACTAACGAATCAAGAGTTCCCGAATACCCGGTGCAATATTTCATTCCTAACACTAACAAACCCAGTCGCCCGAGCGAGGAGAACTATCCTGATATTCGCAAAATCAAATATCCGAAAGCCGGGGCCCCCAATCCAGTTGTGAACATTCAATTTTTTGATGTTGAGAAGGAGGAGGTTTTCTCAGTTGACGTGAAAGACGACCTACCCGACGACGATCGCCTCGTTATAGGAGTTACCTGGGCATCAAATGGAAACGTCCTGGTTCGGGAGACGAACCGCGAGAGCGATCGGCTCTCCGTGGTGTT